TACTACTGCGACATGCTAGATTCGCGAAAAGACCTGTGCGAGAAAGCAAAGGCTATTGACAGCGATTATATCAGCGATGATCGCCTTCCAAGCGCGGAAATGGCTGCTATGGAGCATTTTCGAATTCGTGTATGACCTAAATAGGCACATCAAGACTGCTGCTGGAGGAGACAATTTGAAACCAATAGTCAGTGCTTTGGGCGAAATGGTCGAAACACTGGACGAAAGAATCGCAGAGGCTAGCAACTATCTTGGCATTTAACACCAAACTCTGGGCGACCTGAGGTGGACCTGACAAAGAGTAAGATATGTCCCACCTGAAATAAAGAATTCTTTGTAACATCGAGCAGGAGACTATCTGAAGCGCTGTCCAATGTCACGTCTAGTCATGTTTCAAATGCTGCGTCTGGATACAAACACAAGAAAGCTGTACTTGTTGTTCTTGTGATGCTTCTATGCATGACCTCCGCGATCTTCGAATATATTACCTACAATCGCATGGGAACAAAAACCGGAAGGTCCTCCGATGCTGACTATTGGCAACTTTGGGCATCTGTACCTTTTCAACTCCTGAGCATAGGCACATCAATTTGGCCAATCATCAAAGACATACCCTCTCATTATGGTTTCCGTACCTTTTTCTGGGGAGTTGCATTTGTGAGTGTCTATTTTACCTGCGCTGCGGTTCCTCTCTATTTGAGAGCACCAGTAAGATTAAGCGTGTTATTGTTCTGGATCGGATCATTTCTCCAGATTATCTTGCAACTGAGCCTTACACTTGGGATAGCTTATCTTAAGGTGCACCACGATTGAGAATATTAAGAATCATCTACTCTGGTATGAATTTTGCTTCTCAGCGGATAATGTATACTTAGCCTTGAACTACATTACCCACCCACGTTCTTGTACATATAAATCATATAATCAGGACATTGAAAATGAATTGCGGATTGAATTCACTGCTTTCTTCTTAGCATCCCTGTTGTCTTCCCTGACCGAAAATCTATTTCATCCGCAATCCTATATCAGCCGCCAGAATGAGATCTCCTTGTTCGAACTGTGTCTTCTAGGAATGGTGGAGGGGTATCAAATCATAGAAAGTTGATGTCACCGCTAATAGCTTAACACGTCAAGCATGAAGGTGAAAAGGAGGACAGTGAGTCAGATAATATGTTGACTCCGCCTGAGATGGTTCTGGGAAGTACCAGGCTCTCTGCAGTCAGCGAGCTGCGAAATACAGAGAGAAAAGAGAATTGTTGTCCGATTGCCATGACCGCCTTGTTTGTATAGAATCTTCTAAGTTCTAACTCGTTAGTTTTAACTTCTAAATTTGAGCCTTAGGCCCTCGTAATTTTTTTAATACTGGCAGTATGCAATGTTGCCGTACTAGTATGAATAAGATTATTTATACTTTACGTATTTTGGTCTAATATTTCATGTGGTAGGGTTCGAATACAAACAAGTCTCTTTGTACAAAATATTGGAAGGCAGTTTCGGGTGGCTTTGTATATAGCTGGTGTTATCCCTGGGCCCGCTAAATACCTTCCAGTTATAATGCAAGCCATTCTATTCTGGAAATAGTCCCTTGGGGTCTAGATGCGTGCACCGGTTCGCAATCACCTGTATTGTATCACATTTCTTCGATCTCTTCAATGGTCAGGCCAGCGTTTCGGAAATGCCCTGGTGGACTTTTCTCCCTTGCGCCCACTGTTTCAACACACCATTCCAGAAAGGAGTCAAATCGCTCTTCCGGGCTATCTTCATAAAATCGCCAATGGCGGCGAAAAAATACCTTCAGTTCAGGCACGGAAGGGTCTGATTAGCCATAACCTGTAAGCTGCGTATAGCTGTAACGCATTAAAATAGTAAATGGTGGGAACGCCATCTGCTGTGCGTGTCTGGTCGGAATTTGACACCTCCGAAGCGCTCGAACCACTCTCCTGAGGGGTTTCTTCGACTGCTTCATCACATGAAGGCAGCGTGGTCAGAGTAACTTCTGATTTAGGTACATTGCCCTCTCCTCGGCTCACAGGCTCGGGTGACGAGGAAATCGCTTCAAGCTCAACGGAGCATTCATCGGAACCGGCACTCATGTTATCATCGTTTGGAGAATGTAGGTCAACATTTTCGTTGCGAAGTATTCTGTTCGCTAATTCAGGTGATTCTTTAGGGCTCATAATGGCCGATAACGCTCCTCGTACTTCTGCCCCGGCTGCCTTGTGAGTAGTAAGTACAGCCAGTTGTTGTTGTCTTGGTTTATTTTGACTCTGGTCTCTCTAGTCGATATCGAAAACCTCACCAATGGTATCGGCAACCACCTCGATGTGGCCCGCGGGGAACTTCAGACCGTGAAGAATGCCCTGCACCTTGAAGGTCCCCTTCGGGGCGATCCTGGTGCCCGCCAATCTCCTGCCGAGATACATATATATTTTGGTCTTTGTTTTCCATACATTGTTATCCACGAAGAACAATTTAGGGGATTTTAGAAATATATTTTTTATATTCAAGAGATAGATGTTATATTTATTTACTGATTTTATGCTACTAGCGTCCCAACTACATTTCTGTCGGGAGTCGAGGATTATGGCCGGAACGCGTAAATATGTATATCTTATGTTAGGCGCAAATCAACAGAGTGATCATCCTACTAGATTGGACCTCTAGAATCGAAATCAATCGTGCACAGAAAGTCGATCGGTTAAGTGATGAGTACTATAAACCGGATCTCATTGAACGCACAATGTGTCAAGTTTTTGTGGTCCTCGGTCTGCCCCACATCTTGTCTGTCCATGACGCCGATAATTGCTTCATTCCTGTGCAGGAGTAGAAATGGAGCATTGACAAGCTCGTCCACTAATATGTGATAAGGCCTACCTGGAGTTATGAGTGTCGCTCATTGGCCAGAATTGTTGGGTAAACATCATCAGCACGTAATACTAACTCATAGCTACTGGCTACATCGGACACAATTACTGTCTGAACTCCCATTAACTATGTACGGTGATTATGAAAGCAACTAAGTTTGCTATTCAAGGCCAATTGAAATACTAGCAAATACCATGATACGCCGTCGTTCGATCCATCTTAGTAGTAATTAGGGCGGGGAGGGGTGGAATAATAAAACTAATATAGAAATGTGTAAAAAAAAAAAAATCAAATGCGTCTCTTTAACTCATATATTCCTATGTAATCGGAACCAACTCGGCTTGCTTTGAGGTGCGGTTAGGCTGAAGAGCGAAGCAGATACTAGAGTTGGTTGTGAAAATGTACTCAGCTAAACGACAGTAGTTAATGAGAGAAACATTTGTGTAGCATGATGCCTGACTGACTGAAGAAATCTGTCAACTCCTTAGTAGGTCAATGATTTTCCTGGTACAGCCATTATTATTCAGGTTTACTATACCATTGCGTGAAATATCATAGCCGATCCTACCCCATGAGACGCTTAGGTATTCCTGGCGGAGTTATTCTGTATATAAATAAGTTTAGAAACTTCTGCTTACCCTTCCATAGAATGGAGATGCTAATCTATAATGTGGTTCAGGTCCATCATATATAATACTTACTTTTGACAATATCTGAGCAAAAAGCAAATTCTAGTGCTGTTGAATCCTTGGCTCTATTAGAGAAATATAAGATAGATGTACAATAACTGCGTGTAGTTATCTAAAGATATATTAAAAAGATGTCTTGCTCTCTTAAAGGCTTCTTAACAAGGATCCCCCCTGTTTATAGGTGTGATATGCTTGCAGCCCACAGAATTGCCTATACTTTAAAAGTATACTAAGCGCTTCTAGTATAGTGCTAAGTCAAACTAATTATTAGCAGGAAAGCTGAACTAGATTTAGTGTAAATTTGGAAGATTATACATAGAATATTGTTCTATTCTTTTGTGGCAGCCCTATAATAGGCAGTACACCTATATTAATGATATCTATTATTGGAATCGGTGATCTCGTGGTCCGAGTTGGCAGAAGAGATAATAAGATATTAACTTTGGATATAGTTAATTAATGACATATGTTTTATCGGGAGCATATACTCAGTATTGATAGTGACAGCTTAATCGCAGCTTTATATATAACCACAATAGAATAATGGAGTCGAGTTATCTCTGGCAGCGATATTAAATAATATAACAGGACTACTTGAAATTTTGATCTTGGCTCTAGTAGCTACTATCTCTAGAAAAATTTATATTAACTTAATAAGTATTACAGTATTATAATATTGTCAAGTCTCCTGTAATTAGAAAGGTATTTAGAGCCAGATAATCTTGGACAGCATATATTATATTATAAAATCTGTAGCCCACCTATCAAGGCCACCAGTAAGGCTACTTCAATCCTGTACTCAGTACAGTGTTATGAAGGAGTGAATGGGAGTTCGAGAGGGCTAATCCAGGCAGTAGGGGCTCCCAACATACCGTGGGTCACGTTGCAGCAGTATTATAACTCTGTCTGTAAGAAAACAAAAGAAGGCAAAAAAAAAAAGGCACTATGTTGCTATTGAAAGGTGTAAATCCATCTGCAGTTCTCAAAAAGCACCTAGCACTGGGCTATTTCCAAGAAAAGTTGCGAAAGCAAACCCGTTGATAGGCGAGGTTTAGAAAAGAATGTGCCCGCCAGGGTCAGTGATATTTCTGGTAGTGTTGCAGGGATTGTCTGTGTCTGGACCAAAACCGCTTCACGACGGTTTACCCGTCTGAACCTCTGGACGTAAGTTGACACGAATACTATCGCTCAAACCCCAAACCTACACTGATTCTGGTATGTGCGGACAGCGCCGGTCGGACCTCTGCCGTATAGGCGAGAGTGACATTCTTTTTTCTATTCGGCGCCCTGGAAACATCGCAAACGGAAAAAAGGCAGAAAGGAGGAAAATGGAGAGTTGATGCAGGACCGACGACCTTTCCATGGTCAGCTGAAGGATCGGCGAATGGCTCTTTGAAGCTGAATTTCTGCCTTTTCCTGTATCAGCGCTCTTTGGGGGAAAATGTTTCATAAAGTCTCTATCTCCTGTACCCGATATTCTTCGTATAGTCGAAGATTGTAGAGGCCGTCTAACGCTTCCGAGATTGATATCAGTGGAGGAGGTTGGGCCCACTCAATGTCATCGTCCTCCTCCTCGTCCTCCTCCGGCCCTTCGGCAGTGGCGAACTGATTGAGAACAATGAAATCAGTATTCACGAGATCATCGTTGATCTCCTCGCCTGTGGGATTCGGAAAGCTATGGATATCCATGACATTAACAACGCTGTTGGAGATCTGTAGATGTGGAAGTCCAACCTCGATCTCTTTGACAGGTTGCTGGTTGCAGGTTCCCTCAATAGCACCTGTAGATAGAGCATTCTTGAAGCACTTCCTGATAGTATCGTCAGAAAGATCAAGGCCCCACGCAGAGATTGCCCATCGGATAGCTTGTAGAACTATCATAGTTGGTCCTTGTCCAGCCATGGATTCTCGTGTAGTTGTCGTAACTCTACCGAAAGCATGTATTTGGAAGAGACAAACATCGTCAGGAGTCGTGCTTGATTAATTATCTATCTATTCGGAAGGCAAGACAAATGGTCACCTCTAATGGAGAAACCCACACTTCTTCCAATTTTCGAAATACCGCCGAGTGATCTCTTCCTTCACCGGACCAACCCGCGCCAAAGTCGAAGAATGCTGCCGCGCCTTCGTTGGCTCCAGTAACAACCCCCCACATGACATGCGCTCAAAGTTGTTTTCCAACCAGTCCACCATCACACTTGCTGGGTTATCTTCTCTCGAACCCGGAAAGCTACGGACCCGCCGGATCCATTCAGAGAACGGAACGATATTAGTGGCAGGAATGTCAAGATTGCTTGCTAGGATAGGGATCATATCTTGCCACGGCTGGCGGACGGGGTTATCTAAGTGATACACCGGATACGGAATGTTGCTTTGGAGAAGTATCTCAACCACGCTGGCGGCGACGGCGTCTACAGGCGTCCATGAAAGATCGCCCTTGAAGTCCGGAAGCACCTTAAGTGTTTGTGCCGATTTGACCATGGATGGGAAGTGCTCTGAGGTGTTCCAGTATCCGCTGCTCGAAGAGCCAGAGATTTGCCCTGGGCGGATAACCATCGCATGAAAGCGATCGGGATATTGCTGCAGAGTCTGCTCCAGGATTCGTTCGCAGACAAATTTGGCCTCAGCGTACCCACTGGGTAGTACACATTCGATGCTTGTTGGCTCTTCCGGGACAGCACTCTGGCCAGTGATAAACGGATAATGTCCGACAGTGGCAATAGAGGAGATAAACTGAAACCTCAACACCCACTCCACTGAATGAGCACTTGCTACCTCCCTTGCAAGGGTGACCAGATTACGCATCACTTGAAACTGCGGCTCAAAGCTTGATAGACGCGAAGATCCATTCATCGGCCAGGCATTGTGGATAATGTGGGTGACGGTTGCTTTAAGCATGTTGTAATGTTCCGACGAAAGCCCTAGGTTGGCTTTGGAGGTGATTGCCTCAAATACTTTTATTTTGTCCATCGCACGAGTAGTCATGCAGATCCCACGCTTCTGGAATGCCAGAGTCTGCCGCTGAACAGGCTCCTCATTGGGAATCCTTCGGTTCAGGCAGTATATCGCCTTTACAGATTGCTGTTCGGCGAGATGTGCCACAATATGGCTCCCAAGGCTACCGGTTGCTCCGGTTATCAACACGACCAGCTGGTCTGTCTTAGAATCGCATGTGGAAGCATCAGGAGCAGAGAACCTATCAATGCCGGCCCGTATATAGTTATCGGTCACTACTTTGCGAGTGGTGCTATCTACCTTCATCCCGACAGGCACTTCGTCAATGGAGCTGCCTAGCGGCAAGCGCTGACCCTGCATACCTGAAGCTGTGGCAAAGATAACTCTCTGTACACTAACCTCCGGTGAGTGGCCATCTGACCAGTCTACATGGCCATACCCCGCTGAGTGCAAATCTTCCTCCCAGCGCTGTTCGTTGGTAATCGCATGGTTGCGACCGTCGTTGAAGACCCACCAGCCGCGGAATAGGCCAAAGACAATATCAATCGCAAACGCTGGTTGAGTCATCTCCAACATCATGACCACCCCATCTGGCCTCAGAGCCTGTCGCATGTTTCGACTGGAGTTCCGAAGATTGGATGTAGCATGAACAGCGTTGCTGGCTATGATGATGTGCTGCGTGCCGACGAGATCATCAGCCGGGTGCTTCTCGATATCGTGTACACGATATTGCACAAAAGAATACTCCTTGAAACGCCGTCTGGCTTGGGCAAGGAACGCGGGTGAGATGTCAGTGAAGGTGTATATCACCGGAATGTCAAGCTTTGATAGAACAGGCAGGAACCATTTAGTGCCACCACCGGTACCTGCTCCCATCTCGAGGATCTTCAGTGGTCCCCTATCCACCCCCTCTGTTGTTAGTTTCTGTACCAGCCGCTGGATGAAGTCCAACATCTGCATGTAACCAACAACATTGTGTGGTTCGTTACCATACATCCAAGATACCAGTTCTTGACCTTCCTTGGTTCCAAATATCAATTGAAGGCCGTCTTGTTCGCCGCGCAAAACAGAGGCCAGCTTGCTGCCCGTGAAATAGGCTAACTTACTGGCTCCAGCGTACTCTGGAAAGGAGCGCTCGATCTGCTCTAAAATGGAGGTACTAGATTGGATGGGCGCTAAAACGGCAGTGCGGATGACCCTAGTGCCATCTAAGTCAACCAGCCTTGCTTCTTCCAGTCGATTGTAGAGGTAGTTGACTAATTCTTGATGCTGTGGATCAAACGTAATGCGGTCGAGTCGCTGGCCTGCCGAGGCAGTGCGGAGGGAAGATCCAAGTTCTTCAAATGCCTCGAGAGTTAATGCAATGCACAGCTGGATTTGTAGCGGGGCAAAGATATGTACGCGGCCACTACACTGGTTGTCCGATAGGAATTGGTCGGTAAGGGCCTTTGTCTCTCCAAATGCCTCGAGAACAATTCGGGGGGATAATTGGAGGTCAGGAGTATTCGACGAAACACTGGTAGCCGATCCAGAGGTGGCAGTGTCAGCATCCCTATGAGGAATGCTGTCTTGGAAGCTCGCCTCCTCTAGACTGTCGCTATTGTTGTGTTCGTCATTCTCGCGTTCCCCCACGGCGGTCTTCACACATTTAACCAGATCCTGGAATGTGTCGGCCTCCATAAGCTGCGCGGCGGGCAATGTACACTGAAAAGCTTCTTCCAACTCGCGAGCCAGTTCCATAGCCATGAGCGAGTCCACCCCAGCATCGGCCATGTTGCCGTCTTCGGTGATCATGTTGGGGTCTAAGGCACAGAAATCGGCCACAACTGCCTTAATACGACCTGAGAGACTAATCCTGGAATTAGTCCTGCTTTTCTGGGGTTTCGTTCCAGCATCCTTTGAGCCTGCAACAGCGGAGCTTGATTTGGTGGCCTTCAGCCCTGTATCCTCTAGCTGAGGAGGCGCATATTCTGGCACGAACTTGCTTAAAATCTTAGCGAAGGTTGCCTTCTTGACACGAGCGTACTGCATCCCCAAGAAGAACTCTACAAGCTGTCCACTTGTTGGATCAAAGACGAATATATCACTGGTATAGCAATCGTTCCCTCGCTCGTGCTTCGCCAGTACATCCCATGTCTCTGGTCGGGATTTGGCAGAGTCGGCGTATATTGGATTTCGCATCCATCTATCCATGCCACTGGCTAGATATATATCCGAAGGGTCCCGTTCGGTCATGCAGTTGACCCAGAATCCACCAATCTGACTGAATGAATCGCACAGATACGTATCTGTCCATGTCTCGCCAGTATATCTCTTAGCTACTTTGCCTACTGACTCACTATTCTTTCCCACGAGCTTTTGAACCCCACGGTAGAGCTCTGAGTAGTCCACAATCTCAGCAAAGGTACGGTACACATTCCGTCCTTGGATGATATCGTCGACATCTGGGTCATTCAAAAGATCTTTACAGTGATGGTGGCTGACTAGGCGACTGTACCTAGCGAATTCGCTCTGCATCTGTGCATCGTCCGGAGCGAACATGATAAATCGCGCTGAACAATGAAGGATTCGTGACCGCGATCCCTTTTGTCGATTCTCACTTAGATACTTTAGATCCCATATCTGTTTCTGTTCGTCCTGCGCATACAATTCAATCCAGAGATCTCGCGACGTGTCTAGACAGAGTGGCGCATCGCTTATGACGTTTTGAACCTGAGGTACCTTCCCTCTCCCCTCAGGCAAGCTGCGTAGTGCTTCAACAACATAGTCTAGCATGAAAGACGCGGGTGCAATGGGTGCGGTATGTGAAACTACATGTCCTGCAATAGACTCCTGGTATTTTGGATGGGAAGTGTTGATGCTGAACTTGGCGACTCGCTGCTGTCGATCTTGGTATCCGAGAAAGCAGAACGTATCTGAATTATTGAAGCCTGTGCTGTTCAATGTGAGAGTAGAAGTTGGGAGTTGCTTGTTTTCCATCCAATGTCGGGTTTTCTCGAATTGATACGGTGGAAGGAATATGGGTGCATATTCTCTGGTCTGTCCGGGGTGATGCCCCCAAAAAGCGACTGATACGCCTGCCTTCCAGAGATTAATAGTGACATCAGTCAGGTTTTGAATGCCATCTTCGCTAGTGACATTGACGGCTTGAAAATGATGTCCTGCTGAAGGCTTGAAAATGCGGCTCACCATGGAGGTGATAGTAGAGTTGGAACCCGCTTCTAGCCAGACGCAGGCGCTATATTTATCCGCTAGTCGCTGCACTGCGTGGTGGAAGTACACCGGTTGGCGGAGATGTTCTGCAGCTATCTTGTGCGACGGTGTAGATGTCCACAGCTGCTCCGTTGCCCTCTCATGATGGATATCTGGTTGTTTGACGCTTAAGCCATGCATCACGCCCTCTAGGGCAGGTATCAAAGGGTCAACCAACGCTGAGTGGAAGGCATTTGCAACGGGCAGCCTTTTTGCCTTCATACTCGCATATGTGTTTAATTTTAGACAACCTTGCACGGCATCAATTGCGGCTGTGGTACCAGCCAGCGTGAAGTTACTTGGACCGTTGAAGCAAGCAATTGTTGCCGGGTCGATGTTTGCAGGGCCGCTGCGATATGCATCCTCTATCAGTCCTTGAATTTCCTCTCTACGCCCCTCCACGGCGATCATCGAGCCCCTGTCAGAGCCCCACCTATCACGAATGATGGCCGCACGGCGGGTGATTAGGGTTACCGTGTCAATAAGTGACAAGGCCCCTGAGATACATAGCGCGGTTAGCTCACCAAAGCTATGGCCAACGACGGCGGCAACTGTTATTCCAGAATCAATCCAGCACCGAGCACAGGAATATTGCAAGGCAAATAGCTGTATTTGTAACTGCACAGGATCGGCAATTGGGTTAACCTCAAATATACCAGGGTATATGCTATCGTATCCAGATGCCTGTACCAGGGAATCACATCTATCCAAGTGATACCGGAGAAGCGAGATGCAATCGTACACGGTTCGGTCCAAGCCGACAAAAGTAGATATTTGCCCACCGAAACATAATATGACTGGACGGGGAGGCTTCTTTAGCTTGAATATAGTACTTACATCGCCGTCAATGATTGCCGCCAGCTTGGAATCAAGGTCTCCTGGAGAGCGGCATTTGAAGGCCAATTGCGAGTTTAGCGTGGGATTAGACTGGCGACAGATATTGAAGGAGAGATTGGCTAAAGATGCGGCGTGCGTCGCAGATATTACTCTGCGGCGGAGAAATCCCCGCAATCGTTTGGCATAATCACGTAGACGGCCCTCGTCGGAAGCACACAGCCGGAGTGGCAGAGCGAGGCTAGACAAGTGGATGGAACATTGCATATTGTTTCCCAAAGAGCCTGGAGCCTCTGTGATGACCATCGAGGCGTTTGAACCCGATGCGCCGTAATTGTTAATTAATGCCGCCCGGAACTTGGTTTTCCATTGTTCGAGGGCTATTGGGATTTCCAAATGGTCGTTTGGGAATGTCTTAATGTGAGGATTGAGCGTGTGAAAGTTTGGTTGTGGAGGGATCATGCCCTCGTTTATCATTAACAGGACTTTGACTAGTGCAATCAGGCCGGATACACCTTCCGTATGGCCGACCAGCCCTTTAACAGACCCAAGAGCTAGGGGCTCCGTGCGCTGTGGATCTCCAAAGACCTGTCTGACGCTGGAGTATTCTGCGGGATCACCAGCTTGTGTGCCAGTTCCGTGTGCCTCGACAACTGATATGTCTCGGGGGTGGAGGTGTGCCATTTTGGTCACCTTCCTAAACAGCCCAGCAAGAGAAGCCGCGTCGGGAACTACTATTGGGGTATTGTTGTTGTTCTGCTCGACGGCTGTAGAAGCGATTGTTCCCAAGATCATATCACCATCCGCCAAGGCATCCGACATCCTCTTGATAAAGATCGCTGCAAATCCTTCTCCACGGCAATATCCATCTGCGCTGGCATCGAACGGCTTGCAAGGACCCGTAGGGCTCACAAATGAAGCCCCTGCAAGATTGTCGTATGCTAAAGGGCTCATAATTGCATTAGCGCCCCCTACGAGGGCAGCTGAACACTCTCCGCGGATTATAGCCTGGCACGCTTGATGAAGTGCAACGGCGGACCCGGAGCAGGCGCTGTCAACACAAAATGCGGGTCCCCGCCAGCCAAAGTAATGACTGAGTTTACCTGCCATGAAGCTTCGAAGTAGCCCGGTTGCAGCGTACGCGGAGGCGTGGTGACAGTTGACATTGTGTTCATAGTCAACCGTGCACGATGCAATGTAGCACCCGATGTTCCTGGTAATGTTGGACCGATGGAAATAGCCTGACTGCTCCAACGCCTGGTACGCAACCTGTAAAAGTAAGCGCTGCTGAGGATCCTGAGACATGACTTCCCTTGGCACTTTCTTGAAGAATTTATGGTCGAAGGCGTCTATGTCCCGGACAAAGTTCCCAAGCCAAGGTCGGATTGCGTTAGGTCTCCAGGGCGTCTCGTAATGACGGTATCGCTCCGGTGGCATTTCTTGATGCTGTGACTGGCCTGAGCACAGCAATTGCCAGAACTCCTCCAGGTCATCCGCACCAGCCACACGACAGGCCATGCCGACTACAGCAATATCGTTATTGTAGCTTTTTGGTGTGTCATGCAAAAGGGAAATCCTGCAGAGCGGGTTGAGATCAAGATCTGCGAAGTGCACGACTCGCCCTCGGAGCTTGCGCATAAATGTGGGTGGGATGCATCGTTCCGGCCCAAATTCGATAATGAGCGTATCAGGGTTTTCTAGATTAGCGTCGTAAACCTCCGAGAAGGTATGAAGCCATTGGCACTGCTCTGCCAAGATCGACCGTAAAATCAATTCGTGAAGGGCACCCTGAGGTGCAGAGTCCATCGCCATATTAGCCCGGATAGGATGAACTAAATGCGACGCTTCAGGGAGCTGCAGGGCCGGATCCGTAGAGCACATCTGAATGAGCGCTTCTAGTGTATCGCCATGTCCAGACCAGTGGTATCGGCCATTGAAATCGACTTGGGTAGTGCTGAATCCGGCCGATTGCAGAGCCTGCTCTAGTTGGGTGACAGTCCGACGTGGTGTCATGATAGTGATTCGATTGGTGTCGAATCGCACCGTGGTATATGACTATTCTGTCAACTCCTCCATCCCTACACTCTGAAGAATAAACGTACCCCTGGGAATGTCTCTAAAATCAATGGCAACTCTTCCTCGGAGTCAGTAGTTTTCCACACTACTGCAAGTGAGGTATATTCCTCTTCCTTCTCTTGCGCATCACCAATAGCGCCCAGTAATGTCGCAAGTCGGATAGCAACAGCGGCATATTCACGTAGCCGCTCTTGACTATCAGCAGCGGAAACAACAGCAGCGCTTAGGAACCCAATACAGAATCCCACGATCTCCACAATTGAGCCTCTCGTAGAAGACTGATTGTCGGGTACCTGACATTTTGAGTGCACCAGATGCATATACTGCCAGTATTCCGTGAAGTGGATTATCATCAGTAACGGTGCAAGCTGGATATACGGTAACGGAAAACTGTCGCTCGGCACTTCTCCTGTGCGGAACCATTCGTTCACATCCCAGAGCTGCTGTGTCCCTGGGACTTTATTTAGCTTCTGGATATACTTAGAGGCTGCCGTTCGATAGTATACTGGTAGCTCTGACAGAACGTTTTGGACCCAAGCGTGCTCTGGTGTGTCGAGTACCGTAGCACGGAGACGACAGAAGTCGTCAGCATCGAAAGAGAGACATTGGCAGCCGAAGACAAGAACACTCTTACCCCCAGGAGGTGGCTGGAGCTTGCTCGTCATGCCTATTCAGATGGCGTGCAGACGAGAAAGGGAATGAAGACCGAAAGATGCTGGAAGTTGGAGGTCGAAGGTTGTCCGTTTTGCTGCCATGGGTCAAGTCGCTACAAACCTGACAGGTAACAACCTATTCCATATGAAAATACTTGGTATTCCACTATTTCATGTACCTTTTGCACAATGTCTCATGTGTTTTAATATTGCTTTTGCTCGGGGCCGTTGCGGGCGGAGTTTTGTCGTCGGGATATCTCCTCGGGATGGCTGACTGAACCATCTCTAGTCTGAAACAAACAGATGCACGAACAGCCCCCGGACCAGTGATAGCTGCCTTGCTGTCACACTGTGGCCTGACTCCGTGTTGTATGTTTCCGAAGAACCCGGCGATAGTTTAGTATGTTCTATGGCTATTTGGAATCCTGATATCATTGCTCTCGGATATTTCCGAGCAAGGTATATGCCTGTACCCCAATCTTTTGGGCTGCAAGCCCTTTTTGCCATGATTCTAAGCATAATTTTGACTGTGGACTGAATGTAGTATATAGTGTGAAAGAATCTCTTTTGCCGTACATGCCTGTAGGAATTCACGCTGGACTTTTCTTTTCTCAATATTACATGAAACGATAATAACTCTCAACACCCCATCCCTCTATATCCCGTGGGTCTTGACCTGAATGCAGGAACACATTACCCTCTTGTCAACAAGTCAGGACGCCGGTAATTGTGTCCTAAATGGATAGCGCAGGACTCTGACTCAGGTTTTTCACGCGATCTAAATCCTGAAGGCATTCGAGGAGTTCTTGTAGCATGATATCGAATGAACTGTCGAGATACGCGTGTGCCGTAAAAAATTCGGTACACATCATGATTGGAATGGGGGTCAAAGGATGTACCTATACTGTCAATGACTTGGCTTTCGGTAGTTGGTGCGGGTAGAGTACAGTACCTTGAAATACCCTAACTGACCTTGTAGCTTCACGAGGTTGACGACTTCGTGTGCCGCCATGACACATAGGCGCTCATATTCAAGGATGCCTAAAAAATGCTCCCCTGTCTTCCATGTGATCGATTCCAGTACACTGTGGAGGAAAAGAACCAAGGTCTGTGCTACGATTCTCGCAAAAATGAGCATTGGGTCCACCTGTACCGACGCAGAGAGTACCTGGATACGATATGTGAGCATTTCATGCAACCATTGATGCCGTGTCCAGAATGCATCAACGACATCTCCATTTATCTGCTCGACAGCTACCTTTTGTCGATGGGACAGTGCTCGACCGCATATTGTAGCAAGGATGATACATTCACTAAATGACGATAGGTTGTTAGAACTATCGTTGCTTGCACCTCTCGTCATAACGTCGGGTAGAAATAGGGTTGCTGCTGGATGGCCAGCTTGGAAATCTTCATCCGGCGCAGGCAATCGAGTCGCAATCTGCTTATATTAGATACGATAACTTCGTTTTATGCAGCGAAACATACCAACTCTTCATCCAGTGTGTACGGCAACCCGTTGTGGAAGCTAATAAACCGATCCAAGGAATAAGCCATCCAAAACGTTCGCCGTTGCTCTTCCAACCCGGTCCAGTCTATTAAGCTCGGCTCTTGATCCCGAGCCATTGTTAGTGGGCTGTTGGGATCGTCTATCTCGTACAGCCGCATGCCCAAGACCAGACGGCAACATCTTCCGGCGCTCATCCATGCTTGGTTCGGCGAGAGCTGCATATACTCGTAAATAGAAACGAGGACCCATGCCTGCGCCTGCTCAATTGCTAGTATTCCATTTGTGGGGCTATTGAGGTCCATAGCATCCAAAGTTCGGCGCGTCTCCTGGTAAAGGTTGTCTCGGAGAGATTGGAAGTGGGCCGATAGAGATGCGGCTACTGTCCACATCGCATACTGTAGGCACATCTGGGCTTCGCTTTTCTTGGGGTGCTTCGCCCAGACATGATATCGCCAGCGCTGTAAAATAGGAGCAAATGGGTGGACACGATCAAAGTATAGCTGGTCTCTGTATCAGTCAGTATCGAGTCCCCTAACATATTGAGATTGCATTATGATGTCTTACAGGTCAGCCCGCATCAGATCAGAAACTAGTCCGCTCGGACGTGTGAGAGCCTCGGGTGATTGTGGGGATCTATCCCTTGTTTGTTGGTCATCGGAGAAGATCTCAGGGGCTTGTTCAGGCAAGGTAGTTATGTCGCGAAGGGGGTCTTCTTCGGAGTCGCATTCAATGCCGGAACTATCAAACAAGCCCGCCATTTGGTGACTGATGCTTGGGTGCTGATCGGCCAGGCAGCGTTCAAGTGCAGCTTGCAAAAATGAGCATTGTGTTTTGTCTATGTCGACCAAAACTCACCGATTCGTGTCCTCAGTGTCCGCAGTTGACCCTTTCGCGGGCCTCTTGGAAGCCTCGTTGTGCTTATCTTACACTCGATACCTGTTTCAAAGCACACTTGGCATTGTGGACGCCGACGATCACAGCGGACCTTACGTCGACGACATTCTTCACAGGCGGAACCGGGTCGTTGACGGGAAATAGTTTGAGTGGTTACCATTTTACTGGAGTAAAGACGAGGGGGTGTTGGCGCTTGGAGCTATGCCTCGGCGCCCATGGGTAGAAGGGTCTAAATGAACGCAGATTCCTGCAGGACCCAGCGAGGTAGACTCGACGCGTTTACAGGGGCCTGTTGCGACTGCAGAGAGAGTGTCAGGCCTCTGGTGCACGTCACTATGGGCTGTTTACGCTTCAGTGCGTGCAGTGGTTCGCTGGGGATCAATGTACGGGTTAATGAGGCGGGTGAAAACAGAGGAACCTGGGCTACTTTCATCAACCAGTTCAAGTGGGAGACTACATTGACCGTCCAGTCTGCCATCTAATAAACCCATCTGCAATACACCCCCAATGTTTTCCTCTCGTCCTGTTCCGTACGAACATGCTAATCTGTCCCAAACATTGCATCTGAGTCGCAATGTGCATTGCTGCATGGCTCATTTCCCCTAATACTCCCTAGGCAAATCCACCCCAAGAATTTCAACGCTCGTACCACCCACCAAGTAGACTTTGAACATGTCAATTGCACCTTCACCTAAGCTTCAACGAAGGGCGCTAACTAGCCCGCGCTACCTTATAGCGGGCCCTTGCTGGCTGGCCCAGAGATTGTTTCTTGGCTGCAGCGGGGAAATGAATTGTCCAGGCCATTATGGGAGCCATAGTAGTCCATTTCCCACACGACTCTGATCAAAGTCGATTGGCCTCTCTGGATCAGGGACCACTTTCTAGGCATCATAGAGTTGACTAGCACAGACCCTTGATTGGCTCTGATATAGCCTCATTCTGGCCGCTAAAAGTTGACATGAATCCCAATCAAATGTAGTCCACTAGTTAGCCATTGATGCAATTTCCCACAGTATTACACGGATCCCGATGGAGTTAATTAGTTGCTTCTGACCCCAAGTATCTAGTTCATGATGTCAAGTTGAGTGGGCGATGGCGAAGCTGGGTCAGTCGTCTTTGGTGGCGATCGTGCAAATTCGGATGTTGCGAATAGGGCTATGTACATCCCATGAAATTTCAGACCCGCCTGGAGGACCGTGTGCTCGTTTTTGGAGGGGGTGGCACGAAGTGATGTCTAATACACTAACGCACAGGTGCAGGACATCAGCAAGGGTAAGCACATGTCTTTTCTCATGATAAAGGCTGCTTCAAGACAACGAGCGACTGTGCATTCCCAGGAGTTACAACCCGCGTATGGACGAGTCTCGACCTGAAGGAACATTCTCGATCGTTCTGTTTCACATTTTAGTAAAAGGTTTCTTCAGAAGACATGGTCATGAGCAACACCCGCTCGCTACCATTCAAGTTCGCATAGCTTTAGTGTTGAACGTGCTTTCAGCTGCGCACGGGTGCGTAACCACCTCTGCCCCTTGCAATGCGCATATCAGTTGCACAAAGGCCTCTGTTTGCCACTTCCAAAGTGCGACTATCGCTTCTCCTGAGATGAGGTGCTGACCTATCAAGCTTGGCAATTTCCCAAGTACTTTCGGTATTAGTACATAGACCATTCAGAATATACTGCACATGTTTGTGTCCATCCCATTGGTACGATGTTGAAGAATATTTAGGTATGTACAAGTGTAACTGGCGAGGTATGAACTCCCCAGGAGCACAAGTAGTACCTATATCAGAGATCCACAGTCAATTTGTGGACTACGCTCCTCATCCGCATCGTGATCTAACCCCCACTGACCTCCCCCGCAAGCATCTTATGACTCAATTAGGAGAAATTCCATTCCAAACCATCATGTTGAAGACCGGGATGGCCAACCCTAGGTATCCTGGAGACAATCGCGATTTCACGCTGCTCCGAACGTCCTTGATTGGGCCAGTGAATGCCAAGTTCCTTGTGCGGCTGGGGATCAAGCAAGCCACGGTCCCCCCTATCGAGAATCAACCCCGTGTCTAGTTTATGTCACCGTTCTATACCCTAAATTTGGACATTTGGAAGATGAGTGTAGCGCGAAAGCTGCGAGTCATCCGCCCTTAGCGCCGACCCTGCAAATGGCCAAGATGGTATATCATGGTCTAGGCTTTTCAGCCAAGACAAAAAATAACTCATATATAACAGGGTACCCTGCCTTCGGTAGGTTCTCGTCGGAGTGGTTTAATTCAACTTCGAATTATGCATCGTGGAAGATTACTCATCAATTCATATATAGCGGAGTTTCGGCGGTTCGGGCTTTCTTGAATGTTGAAGAATTACTGTAGAACAGGCGACGGTAACTACAGCGCATGGCTATCACTATGTCTACTCTTACAAAAGCAAACAAGTATCCCATTTTGCCGGGACTGCGCTGTTTTGGACGGCATTGTACGCTTCTGTCAGCCTCTTGCGTTGAGATTCTAGTCGGCCTTATCAGCTAGAACAACTTCTACGTTTGTTGTTGGTCGCAGCAAGAGCCAAACCAGCACTATGGCTACCTTTGAACATGTTCAAGACGTCATCGGCCAACTGCCGATTCTCAAAAGCTACAGCCATATATTGATTTGCTTCGCTGTCTCCGATGAGAAGCGTGAGGCGGCCATTCAGCACATCGAGCGTGCCGTTCGCCTCGTGATGAAGACCTTTCCCTATCTCTCTGGGAAAGTGATCAACGAGGGGAGTGGCTCTGGAAGCTCCGGCACATTCAAAGTCGCAAGCTCTGGAGAATGGGAGTCCTCGGAGCATGTCTTCGTCCGGGTTGAAGACCGCACTGATGTGTGTCCGTCGTATGATGAACTTTGTGCTGCCCATGGGCCGTCGTCCTTGTTACCTGGGCATCTGTTGAGCGCGCGAAAGGGATTCCCGGAAAGCTACCAGGAAACGGAAGACGATCCGGCTCCTGTTCTTGACTTCCAGGCCAACATCGTCCGTGGTGGACTCTTGCTCGACCTGGCCGCCCAGCACAACATCATCGACGGTACCGGAATCTTCCAGATCGTGAACTTGCTGGCTACAGCTTTACGCGGGGACAAGTTCCCTCTGTTCCAGATCCATGAAGGAAACCGTGACCGTCGCTCTCTGATTCGATTGCTCGGGCCGGATGAGCCTCTCCTCGACCATAGCGAGCTCAAACCGCCTGTCATCATCAAGGCGCCTCCCCCACCAGAGGTATTGGCTCCTTATAAATGGCGATACTATCGCTTCCCACTGGACTCAGTGAACAAAATCAGAGAATTGGCCAACAACAAACCAGAGGATTTCGACCCCTCCACGACCTCCATCTCCCTAAACGACGCGATCACCGCGTTCTGCTGGCAACGGATCACGACTATCCGACTGAAAAGGCTGGAAACACCGACCGCATATTCGAAGCTCAGTCGAGCCGTCGACTTCCGACGCGTCATGAAGCTCACGCCAGCCTATCTCGGTCACATGGTCCGTATCTGCAATACGCGACTTACCTTCCAAGAGATTGTCAACAGTTCCCTGTCGCGACTTGCCTCGCTGCTTCGCAAGGCCGTGCAAGAGATCAGCAAAGAATACGCCCTGCGCAGCTACGTCACCTTCATTGCGAATGAACCGGACAAATCGGACATCGCCTACGGCGGGTCGTTTAATCCGCAGACGGACTTTTCTTGCTCGTCTATCGCGCATGTCAAGGTCCCTGATTTTGGGCCGCTTGGGACACCAGGGTTGATCAGAAGACCGACATTTGGGCCTTTGCCTTGTTCGTCGTATGTTGCGCCGATGCTACATGGAGAGGGTATGGAGGCACTGGTATGTTTGCATGAGAATGATATTGAGGCGTTGGCAGCGGATGAGAGCTGGAAGGAGTTGGTGGAATATGTTGGGTAGCTTTCTTGATGGTCTCCACGTAAGATAGCGAATACTACTGGGCACTTACGCAGTGACACTGTACGGGGGTCTGAGTTTAATTTTTTTTTAATTTTTTATCCTCCGTTCATGGGCTATCAATGGGTGAATTTTCTCTAGTTCAATTCAATCTTAGTAGCATAAAGTTTTATATTACCTCGCCCAGGAGCGTTTGTGTACGAACCGATCTATCAGATGTGGCGGAAGAGCCCTAACAGTACCCAAAAGAGCGGCTCTATTCGGGTAGAGGGGTTTAACTAATTTAATCACTCGATGTTCACTTGCTTGTGGTTATGTCAAACCAAACCCTAATTCGGATATCGGCCAACAGCTTTCCCTAACTTCTGTTGATCGACATATTTCTGTGAAGCCTCTGTTTGCTCATGATATGGCTCTATGGAGAATGTAGCCTTGCCATTGGAATCATCGTCTCCTTCCTTACCTCTCATATTAAGAGGACCGCCGCCTTGAAGATATTTCGGTCACCCCTCATGGCTCCCAACTTTCTTCGGGATCCTTTGAATATCAATGGACGAAGGAAAGGAAAGAAAAGAAAAGCAGGGATACAGCAATGCGGTATTTTAAGCTTCTTTCATCTGCTCTGATCAGCTTATCTCTTCTATTCGGTTCCGCCGTCGGTGAATTGCAGTCAACGGAGGGAATCGTCTGCCTGGTCCAAAGAAGGCACCCAGATCATGCTGACAAGTTGGTATTTTCCCTGGACAATACATCACTCGACTCGAGTTCAATCAAACATCACAAGGGTGCGTACACGGTCTCAACTCTGGCTAACAGTACAATCCATGTCCAAGGGAACTCACTGAGCGCCCTTGCCTCATGGTATGGCTCCCTGCAATCCACTATGATGATGCTACCGCTCAGCTGATCAATAATGAAGTCGGCATAGGTACTTGAGTGATTGTGTCCACTCTGATATCTATTGGTCCATTGGCAGTCGTCTACACACGGCTCCAGCGTCCCTCCCCCATCTAGATGAGCCGCTCAAAGGCGAGAGTGTCGTCTCATGGCGATGCTATTTCAACCCAGGTAGACCTCCTATTAATCCCGACTCTTCCACGTTTCACTGCACTCAGTGCACAATTAAATCTATATACTGATCCCTACACCATACAGTAACATTCTCATACACAACCGCCTTCTGGACTTAGGATGACTGGGAACTCGAACTTGACTGTTGCCGCTCTATGGGGCGTAAACCTGATCCTCGCCTGGGTCGGCTACGAGAAAATCCTCCTCGATACACTCCAGGACATCGGCCTAACCGAGCAGGAAATTTTACCCTTCTTCAGTGGCCCAGCCTTCCAAGCCTGGAACCGACTCGGAAACACCCAAGGCGAGTGGGGCCACCACGGCGCCACCGCAGCATTCCTCGAAGCGCAATTCGACCTCTAGAAGAAAATAGTAGCCCGAATTGTAGAGCTTGGCATGACGCCTGTTCTCCTTGTATCCCCTGGCTTCGTACCGCGGGCTATAGATCGCGTTCGGCCGCATGCGACCTTGGTGAATGCCTCACGGCGGTCGCACTTCCCGCCGAATCTCACCGAAGTGTCCTTCTCAGTCCACTTGATGACACATTTTCCGAGTTACAGATGAACGTTATTTCGAGACAGATGCAGACTTTTGGGAATGCCTCACATGTGTATGCGTTGGATCAGTTTAAAGAGGATAATCTTGCCTTGGGGACCCGGAATACCTGCGGAAACTATCGCTTCATTTAGCAGACTCTGAAAGATGGCAATCCTGCTGCGATGTAGATTATACAGGGTTAGCTGTTGTATAATAATCAAGATCTCTAGACTTCAAGTCGTATATTAGCTTATATAGTTAGGGTAGGAACGAATTGATGATATGCTCATTCTCGATCTGTTTTCTAAGTCGGAGCCGCAGTGGCAGCGGACCAAATCGTATTTTGGAAAGCCGTGGATTGGGTGTCAATTGCACGGCTTTGGACGGAATATGGGCTTGTATGGCCAGATTATGAATGTCACGCTGAGCCTTATAGACGCGCTGGAAAGCCCCGACTCGCTTGTTGGGTTTAGGCTCACGATGGAAGGTCAGGAGGAGAACGAGATCATCTACGATCTTCTGCTGGTCCAGGCCTGGTCCGCGGAGCCCATTGAAATAAAAGCTTACTTTGAGAATGGGGTCAGCGGTCGCTATGCTGGGAATCATTCGGTCCCTCGTGAGCTGTACACGGCTTGGGACATGATGCGGACAACGGCTTACCATAACACAAATCTCACAACCAGGGCAGTGGCAAAGCCTATCTTTGAACTTTCGCCAGATATCAAGGGTTTGTTATATCGTGCTGGTAATCATGGGACTACTATGAATTACGATGATTCGATCTTGATAAAGGTATGGTCATTATTTATGGATGAAAGGAAGAAAGAGCTGATTCTTTGGATGAACCCTGCATACCAATATGATATGCTTGATATTACTCGTCAGCTCTTGGGGAACGCTTTTACCGCCGCATATTCCGACTTAATGCAGTCCTAGACATCAAAGACAACAAACAGATCCACCGATAGCGCATCAAAGAGCCAGACGCTTCTCAATATCCTAACTTCAATGGACGATGTGTTGTCCTGTAGTGAGAACTTCTCCCTCCCGAGTGCTAGGAACTAGGGGAAATACACAGCCTCTAAAGTTCTCTCGAGTATAATGCTCGAAATCAAATTACCCTATGAGGCACGACTAGAGAGATAAGTGATTGTATGGGCGGGCCTTATCTCGTCGTTATAGGTCTCGATGGTCTACATTCGCCAAGTACCTTATGGAGACGAATGGGACAAGCTACAATTGCACAGAGTTTCAACAAAAGACCAGAGAGTTTGAGTTGTCCCCGCAAATGCAGAATTCTCAGCCAGGTATTTCGTAGACGAATGGCTCTGGTGAACGGCTCGAGGTAGTTCTTAGAAATGTGTCGGAGAGTTGGTCATCGATCTTTAGGGTCATCTGAGCGATTGAAGAATAGCTTTCTTTGTACTCTAGCATGGTCCTACCTTTTCGTTCTCGGCTTCAAGTAATGGATGTGTGCTCTCATAAAGTCATGTAACTCGAATCAATTTGCTACCCAATCTGCTACACAACAACTATCGCTTTCTCTGTACCTACTTGCCAACCTTCTCATCTATTTTCTCCTCCACCGATTCCGCCCCATGAGAGGGGGATGAGGAATGAGGAGATGCTTCCGACGAAGAGGATGGTTCCGGCGTAGTCGATTCGACGGAGCTTTCGCTTTTGTGACCCCTTGGGTGTGGCGAGGCGGAAGAAGAATAGGACGAATATGGTGTTTATTCCGATGAAGGGAATGTTGCCGTAGAAGGTCCAGCACTGGCTTTGTTAGTGCTATGTCAATCTTGGGGGATGGAGGTTGAGTGCTTACCCAGAGAAGCCCCCTCCTACTATTGGCTCCAGGACGGATCCTAGGCTGTACATGGCGCTGAGGATGCCATATTAGTTTCTCCGTAGTCGGAAGGGAACAAGGTCGGTCACGATGACTTCGGAGAGCATCGCGAGGCCGCCGTCGCCCACTCCTTGGCCGCATCGGCCAATTAGGATCTGGGTGACATTGCTTGCTATCGCAGTTACCAGTGCTCTGATGAAGAACACGATCGATATACAGATTAAGGGTCGGCGGCCGAAGATGTTCGACAACGTGGCTGTGCTCGGTTGAAAGACTGGCACCGTTAGATCGAGTATGCCTAAACAGATATTCGCTTACCAGTTGAACAAAGGTTCCACTCCAAAATGCCTCTATGGCCGTTCCATCCAGCTCCCAGGCCATCTTCTGTTTATGTTAATGGCCATCGTATAGGCAGTGCCATCAACACATACCGGTAAAGTCACAGATATGGACGTCCCATCCAAGGACACCATCAGTATCAGGGGCCGCCAGGGTAAAGGATACCAAGCGGCCCGTTACGGGCAACTTGAAACCATCGTACCTAGGCACCGTCACATCGGCCTCGGTCTTCCGCTAGTGCTCATCAACGTTTCCCGGCTCGACCTCATGTCCCCGACCCTCCTTCTCGGGTTAGGCCAAAAACTCGACTGCTGTAATCTCGTCTAACACCATTATGCCGCATTTTTGCGTTCATGCACTGCCTCTTTCTCTATTCTCCATGTGGGTGAGAGAAAAGTGAGAAAGCTCAACACCTGATCATTGATCCTGATGTCAAAAACGAAACATACCTCGGCCGAAAGGGAAAAGTAGGAAGAAAGGCCTGGTTTACTCTTGTTCCACGATGTGTAACTTGTGGTTTGAACTGCATGTGCATGTTTGCATACTCACGCGGTTGAGTGGCTCCGTTTTCTGGGTTACGCGGTGCCACGAGCCACTTCGTAGAGATGCTGTACTACTGTCAACTTGTAAACTCCGTGTCAAACTCTATTGGTTATGGAGTTAGCGGAGGTATATAGGGTGATCTACACGGACCGAAGAGTTTGCTAGTGGGAATGGGTGGGTGCAGAGGGGTTTCTTGTTCTGTATGCCTCGTGCAATGTCACTTGCCCTACCTGCGACTGAGCAAACTAACCAGTAACCATGGAATAGAGTGAATCTCCTATCAGTTTGTGTAAAGTGGCTCCTGTCCCTATCTTAGGTATCCCTAGACACCCCTACATTGCTCCTCCAGGAGTGAATGCAGTATGTCTTAGTTGTACGTGTACCCATTCATTCGTTGTGTCGCCCTTTCCGATAGGGGCAGACACTGCGCGAATACTGAGAGATTTATGGCATCTCCCCCTCAACAATGTACCCCAGGTGAAGCCGTCTGACCAGATACTTCTTCATTTAGTCAAGCTCCCCGTAGAGTTAGTCCGAGATCACTGGCCTTATGATCCGACCCGTATTGAGCCCCTTGGTGTTGAAGCTTGCCCCCTGTCCAGACATTCCCCAGCCCTAATACGACTGGGTCAATCAAGTACTCCAACGCGCAGAGCTGAATCTACACCAGCTCGTCACTCTCAGTAGATTTCTATTACCAACGAAACATTATCCCAGAAAATCAATCCTAATGAACAAGATGCTAACCCGCTTCCTCGCCTGGTTCCGCCCCTCCTGGCTCCCACCCTTCCAAACCAACCCACCCCCAATCACAAACCAAACCATGAATCTCCAGTGCCAAAGCCCACCCCTCCCCCCTCAGCCCCAAGACCAGCCCCTCGAAATAGCCATTATTGGCTGCGGCATAATCGGCGCAATCCTGGCCCTGGGCCTCCTCTCCAAAAACATCAAAGTAACAGTCTACGAACAATCCCGTACGCTCCGCGAAACCGGTGCCGGAATAGCCTTCACAGCCAACGCGCGCAAATGCATGGCGATGATCGACCCCCGCATCGTCGATTGCGTAGCTGCCGTCGCGACAACGAACGGCGACCCGGGGAATCCCAATAATAATATGCAGTTTATAGACGGGTACACGCATCGTCCGGATGAGGCGGACGATATGAGTTGGAAGAAGCTTTATGAGTTGTCGACGGGGCCGAAGGGGTTTGAGGGGTGTCATCGGGGGCATTTCCTTGAGGAGGTTATGGGGCTTATTCCGGATGGGGTGGTTAAGTGGGGGAAGAGGTTAGAGAGGGTGGAGGAGTTTGGGGTTGGGAGGGTTTTGTTGAGGTTTTCAGACGGGAGTGTGGGGAGGGCTGATGCTGGTGAGTTTTCTTTCTTCTTTTCATTTCTTGTTTGTTTGTTTGGAGATGGGGATTGGCTAATGATGCTGTAGTTATCGGCTGCGATGGGATCAAGTCGAGGGTGCGCGAGCTTGTCCTCGGCGAGGGCAATCCGGCCTCGTACCCCCATTACACGCATAAATTGGCCTATCGGGGCTTGGTGCCCATGGAGAAAGCGACGGCGAGGCTGGGCCACTACCGCGCGCATAATCAGCATATGTATGGGGGACCCAATGCGCATGTGCTTCATTTTCAGGTCGCAAAGCAGACACTGATGAATGTGGTGGCGTTCGTTACGGATCCTGGAGACTGGCCTCTGGACCGGAATATGTCGCAGCCGGCGACGAAGGATGAAGTTGCTGGTGCCTTTGCGGAATGGGGTCCCACGGTGAGGGCTATTATCGATCTGTTGCCGGTAGAGTTGGAGAAATGGGCTGTTTTTGACTCCCTGGAGTATCCTGCGCCGACGTACTCGCGTGGGCGTGTGTGTATCGCTGGGGATGCGGCTCATGCGTCGGCGCCGCATCATGGGGCGGGGGCTGGGGTTGGAGTTGAGGATGCGTTGGCGCTGACCTTCTTGTTGGACATGGTGCAGTCTGGTATTAAGAGACGGGGGCAGAGGAGATTTTCTCTTCAGGAGGCTTTCGCGGCGTTTAGTACCGTCCGTCGTAAACGATCTCAGTGGTTGGTGAGAAGTAGTCGTGAAGCCTGTGAGATCTACGAGTGGAACGACCCGCAGTGTGGTTCCGATATGGATAAGGGATATGAGGAGATTAAACGGCGGTCTCATAAGATCTGGCATTTTGATATTGACGGTATGTTGAAACAGTTGGAGCAGGAGTACAAGACACATTTAAGGCTATAATGGAGTTCGACCGGTCCGGGATAACTGTGCTCTACAAGGTCAACTATAATTCAACTATGATTGCTTAAGCTGTGTAGCAATAGTGATAATTATGGCTCTCTAAAGGAAATGTTCCACATGCTGGGTGTTGGTCTGGCTCACTTAGTCTCTTATCGGCCGGATAAAGAGAATAAAAAGACAGCATAAGGCGTTCGAAGGGCCAAAATTTCTCTAAGTTTTCAAGACTTGTGTATACAACAGTGGTGCCTAATTGTAGCTCTATGGAGGCCCATCTGGAGCATGCCAGACAATAGGGAGCACCACACCGCAAGGAGATAATGCCAAGTACGGCAGACCCTCGGGACAAGAGGGAAAAAACTGAAGTTTCATGTATTCGTTAGTATTCTGCGGGCAGATACATACGTAAGACTTTTGGTTTCACCAGTTGGTTACTTGTCCTAGTACTGAGTACAACAGGTACAAGTCCTTGCTCGGGTTGTTGTATACAGGGCCCGTACAACTGGGAGTGCCGGTATTAATATCAATACTAAATGAAGGCTTGTATATATCTCTATAGAATAATTGGATTGTTTTTGTCCCTATTCTCTGTCACAGATTGAATAGCAATTCAGCCTGATAACTGTACAGGATACCCTGACCCAGATATGTAAACAATCGGCCAGTGATAAGAAACATCAGGCCGCATGATAGATTAGGTTTAAGGGAGATTCTGAATTCTTTAGGTATGGAGCCTTCGGCTATAAATTAGTAAATTGTTGGTAGTAGTAGAAGATCAAGAATCAGTCTCCTGTCTGAATAGTATTTACTGCCTGTTTTTGACCTCTCTCTTTCCTTTAGCCTATATACCATTACCTAGTTGACAGATTCTTTATCCTGAATAGGGAATATCCTTAACATTCTCCTTATCTAAGTTAATTAGTATTGTGATTTCAGGGAAAAGGACAGAATAAGGCAATATCAGCTATATATATAGTCCATTGAAAATCAGATGCCATTTTAATAGATACTTAATCTATAGATAACTCTATTAACTACCTGAACTGCTCTAATTCTCATGTAAAGGAACTCCTGGGATTAGCAATTCGATACGTAGGATCTTTCCACTAGGTAAAAAGACCCACTATGATCAACTCCGATCGGAGTTGATTTCCCAGGCGCGGTATATATAGTATCGTAACTTGCCATTGAGGCCTTAAGCCTAAGGCTTACCCGTGACATCTCACTATAACTAATAGATCAAGCCTTCAGGGGTTAGAGTTCAGTGATCAGCCAAGTCACTAGAATAATATGGTCTTATAAAGTTTGATATTAATTGGATACTATGTCAGAGCCTATAGAAGCCTAAGGCAGCAACCACGTGACCTGAGCACAATACAAAGGAATATCTCTGTACAGTAGATTTAGACCTGAAGCTAATTAATCCCGCACACATGAGCTACATCAGCTCTATTATACTATATACTATCTTCTCCTGTACAGGATAGACTGCGGTCAGCTCTATATATATTTTCCTATGACTTATCTCGCACGGTGCACTAATATGCAGTATCAGGCCACTTGTAATTAATATATATACTGTTAAATGCCCCTGGAATATGGCAGTATTCAGGGAAGAGCTGACAGATTTATACAGTGCAGTATCTTATATAAGGCTCTATAAGCTAAATATCTCTTTATTGTGGGAAGTTTAAATCCTGAAAAGTTTAAATATAGTAATCTTTTTAACTACTGGAAGTTCGGGCCTTAAGCTGAGCCTAACAATAAGACTTAAGATTAATTACCAGATGAGACATGATAATGGCTTGTACAATAGAATCTAACTCTTGTAGAAGTAAGCTATACCACTTGTTTTTAAAAGATCTGATATCCACGCAGGGCGGGTAGGAGGGCAGTAGACAAAACAATTACGTGAAATTTCAGTTTTTTTCCTTTCATCCTAAGAGTCTGCCGTACTAAGAATGGACCCCAGGGCACGGACAGAGGACGAACCATAACTCTGAAGCTTTGATGCAACGAATAGAGCTTAATAAAACATGTTCCAAGTTCAAACGCCTAAAATCTCCCCTAGAACTGGGCTCTGCGTGAGTTCAAAAGCCTGTTTGATATACTCCTCATCTAGCGAGAATGGTTTGGCCATCAGATTAGGGATATATTTTCCCACTAATTCCTCGGCGTCGATATTGCCATCGAGAAGGCCTGGCCGGAGGAGACATTGGCGGAACATCTCGACGGTGGAACGTAGATGGCTTGAGTGGAACGGCACGTCGATTCCTTCTAGAGGAACTGTTGCTGTGCCGCGTTGTAGGACGATTGGTCGGGGAAGATTCTTGGCATGGTCGATGAGGTCGCGCATTACTGTCTGGAGCTCGGGCGTGGACGCGTCGGTGGAGTCGGTCATCTGGACTTGTTTTGGTCCACTGCGGCACTGAGATATGTGGTCCATCAGTTTCCCGAGGATATACAGATTGGTCGTCTGAGGTTTCGAATATTAGCAATAAGCAATCCTTGGGCTGACTCTTGATAATTTACCGTGCCCGAACACACATACTGCTCCCCATCTACGTTAAAATTGACGATCTCTAACAGCTCCCGGCTCTCGGCTGCAATCATGCGAACCAAAGTGCTCAACAGAGTGTGATCGAAAACTGCGCAGATTAGCTCTTCCTTCTTGGCCGATTAGAAAATATCGACAAGTGACCTACATTTACCCACACGTTTCGGATTTGCAGCCACCATGCCGTACGTGGCGCCCTCTTCACCATCTCGTGTCACAGAAGCTTGCATCATCAACCCCCGGTAGAAGGCTAACTCGACCAGAGAGCTGGTAGGTATAAATTGCGATAATGCAGATAGTGCCCCGTATTCGCCTAAGGAATGGCCAGCATATATCGCCTCACAAGATACGTATCCTTTGGCACGCATCTCGGCAAAGGCGGCAGCTTCAAACAGAAGAATTGTTGGTTGTGCAAATTGTGTCGAGTACAACAGTCCCCTCGGGTCATGGAACGTGTAGGATGTTGATGCTGATGTGAGTCCCGTCAGAACAGGCTTTTGAACACGACTGCCATCGGGAAGCACGGTTTCGGCCGTAATAGAAAGGTAGTTTTGACGGATTTTATGGCCTTGTTTGCCTCCAAAGTGGATGGTGAGCGTTTTGGGATTATTCTTTACGACGTCCAGCACCGACCAGCCTGTCCTCCTTGTTAGCGGCAACGTCCAGACAAGAGGATTAGTCGACACACCGTAAGCGTTGTATAGATGGATATCAATATTGTCCCACAATGCCTGAGCGCTTGAGCTGGTGTTGTATAAGCTCATACCCATACCTTTACTTTGGCTACCTTGGCCCGTGAAGAGATACGCGGTTGCAGGCTGTTCTACTTCGGCATCAGCATCGAGCACTTTTTCCCCATTTCTCCTTCGAAAAGCTTCTACAGTAATTCGCATTCGCCCCTCAACCATACCCGTGTGCTTTAGTTGCACTAACAGCGTCTCCGAAGGCATTACCATTCCCACGAACACGGTGGAATATCGTCGAAGGCGATTCCGTTCACCATTCAAGATCAAGTGTTCCAATACTGCAACTACAATGGCCGATGTGCACATTCCGTGTGATATTGTGCCTGGCAACTGGGCCAAATTTGCAAAAATGGTGGAGACATGGATAGGATTGAAGTCACGGGAGACATGGGCGTAAGGTTGATTGCTGGCAGGCATTTGGACTTCGAGTGATGACGGCCCCGACCAACCGGGTGTCTCAAAGAGTGTTCTACCCTCTTGTGCAGCCCCTCTACGCTCGAGGAATTCCAGAACTGGATTCCCGATACAATCATCGCAGGTAAAGTCAACGTCTCCGATATGTCGCAGCTCATGACCTGCTACCCGGCAATGAGCACTACCCGTGACTCGGAGGCTAGTGTGCGTGTTTTCCTTATGCATGATGTGACTGTCCACGTTAAAAACCACTGTCTTACCAATCAGTGAAGGCAGACTGCCTAGTGGATGAAACCAGTCTCGTTCCTTTAGCAACGTCTCTTCTAGGTTGGATCTTAAGTTGATCGTCCAATCCGATAACTTCGTGTGCCGAAAGGTGTTTTTGACGTTATCAAAAGAGCCCCGGAAGAGAAATGTAGACATGATTGTCAAGACATGCTCCCCAGAGCGAATTATTCGCCCTTCCACAACCACAACTTTGCCTGAATCCTCTAGATAGACAGCCTGAACCCGAGATTGGGAGCTGACAGTTTCACCGAGCCGCAAGGGGGTAGCACCAGCAGTGTACGCAAATGTGTTAGATTGGTGAACCAGCCGTAGCAGGTCACCTTCGATATCTTTAAGAAGAAGTGGCCGGGAAATCACATCCCAGGCAATAATAATTCCAACATTAATGGGCAGTATTCCCGAATCTGCTGAGAATACTGGATGGTTGGGAAACGCCGCACCCACAGTTAGAGCTAACACTTCGAACCGCTCGCGGGTGAGCGTCACTGAACGCCCAGTGAAAGTGCTGTGGAGTGTCATGCCGTCGGCGATATCCTCACCAGACCAGAGCTTACTATAGAAGGATTTGATTCGCTCGTTCCGACGGTCCATGATCTCGCGCAGTCGGACAGGAGCATTGCCTGGGTCGAATTGGTAGAACAGCTGCAGACTGACCGTGTCATGTGAAGGATGAAGCTCGACAACCACGTCAACCCCATTTTGACATGTGATCGTCATCGAGGAATCTACGTCGATAATATTCTGAGCAATGACTGATATCTCTGACCGATGGGGATCGTACTGGATGGCAGATTCAGGATACGCTTCAATGTATAGGCGGAATGGATTCTCTTGCCGGAGTCGACCCTCTAAGACAAATTTATCTTCAAGGACAGCCCGTGCCCAAGCGGGAACATTCCCACTAGGAAAATAGCGAAATGCTCCTAAGGGCACGCACAGGTCATCAGTAGATTCTGAGAGTGTCGCAGAGGATGGTGTTGAAACTTCGTCCATGGAGAAGTCCTTAGTTCCAGGTGAGACGGTGGACCAGGAGTCCGGGGTACGTATGCCACTATCTAACCCAATAGTCAGTTCCCCTGCGGACATGTCGCGCTGAAGCCGGTTTGTAAGGGAATCTACAATAGTATCGAGAATTTCCTTTGCTGATTCTCCCCGATCACATGAATACTGCGCTGCCACAGGCCCATGAAGGATGCATACTCGTCCTGCATCCTGGTCAACGACAGCCTCAATATCCTCTGATTGCCACAGTGAATCCTTTTTGAAATAGAATTCAAAATCCTCGTTAAGGACGGGGATAAAGTTCACTGGCTTTTGGCCACCTTTTTTGGTTTGCATCAGAAAGAACGAGACGTCTTCTGGATTCAAGACATCCTCAGATGCAGCAGGACAGGCTGCTGCAAACAATCGGAGGAAGTGAGCTGGATCCTCTCTCAGCGCGGTCAGGGACAGATGCCTAGAGTCGTTCAAGTCTGCTGGTAACCGTTGTAAAGTGCGGGTAGCGAAGGCGAATGTGAAGTCAACATATGACGGATCGACCCATCGCTTTTTATGCTGGATATGCATTAGTTCAACTAGCCGATCTAGCACCTCGCTGTAAGTCATGTCCTCCAGACCAATCGCATCCCCCTGTGAATTGCGACCAAACCATGGCTTTGCAAAGTCTGTGTTCAACCGACGGATTATCGTATCGCGATGCTTAGCTAAATATGCGGCACGCTCCTTTCGAGGCAGACTGAAAACTGTCTTATCCATCTCGGCCCATAGAAGAACTCCCCTGGTTGCTATCTTATGTATTGGTTCGCCCATTTCGGACTTCACACTAACGATTCCCCCTGCCGGCCCATGATACGTCTTCTCCCATTCGTGGTCTTTCAATCCGGATGTCGAAGTGATGATATGCTTCACATCTTTGCAGGTATGAGCTTCACTGGCAACCATCATACAACTTCCCAAAAGCACTCCATCAAAAGGCATAGGTGCGTATCCAAAGGGAACTGACCATGTTCCTGTAAGGTATGGGTAGATGCTATCGCTGCTGCCGAACCCACTTCCGGCCACCAGATAAATGTTAGGTTGTTGCCGGATAATGCTGTATGTGTTCAATATGGGGGCATGGAAGTCTTCATAGGAGTGATGGCCCCCTCCACGACCACCTGTCCATTGAAGGATAACAGGGAAGTCGGGGTGAGCCCTTGAAATACGAACTACCTCGCGTATAGCCGGCACGGACCCAGGTTTAAAGCCGATATACCTCAGCGTTAGCGTTTCAATGTAGTCTGTCACAACTTCGAGCGAAGGAACTCCAGCCCCAAAAGTCAAACCGTCAATGGGGACTCCGCTGTGCGATAAGCGACGCAATAGTGCAACTTGCCAGGCAATGGCCTGGGGATTGGCGTATATTAGGTTACAAGTGATGCCTCGTCCAGCAGGAATGCTTTTGATGAGCTTGTTAATTGCTGTTGCCATACTGGCCGTACTATAGTAACCCCCGCCAGCCAGCTCAACATGATAACCTGCATTCATGATGGCTGACACGAAGTCCCAATGCACGGTAGTGGGAGTCATACCAGCTACCATAATCGGAGGGGCATCTAAGAGCCGAGTGAGACGAGTTTCAATCCTAACCTTTGTTCCTGCGGCCAATCGAGGTTGGAAGCGCTGGGCCCATGCCTGAAGTTTTGTTGAGGACGTCAGCGCAAGGGGTGAAAATAAATCTTTCATGGTTCCCATCTCAGGGTCCCGGGAGTTGAGATCAGAGCCCTGGATTACCCGGACCCCTTGACCTTCTATAACCTTCTTCACTAACGAACCAAGGCCGCCACTGTCAAAGGCAATAATGTGGGACAAAGAAGGACGGCGAACATCTATGTCAGGCGGACAGGCCAGCGCAGTGGGCCAATCACAGATCTCATGGACAATGGCGTCAAATGCCAAATGCAAAATATTCTCACTTGAATGGCGCATATCTTGTCCTGTTCTGGTGTGGTATACTGGTATGATCAGCTGCTGTCCTGTGATCCGTCGTTCTGCGAATCTCTTTTTCAAGGACTCAACTGCCAGTCGAAGATAGGGTGTATGGAACGGCGTGCTGATTGGCAGGAAGTTATACTGAAGATATGGCTTTCGGCTACTATATGGGATGCGGCTCTGGTCTACCTCAGAGGTACTGAACTCTTCGAGATAGTTATTGAGGTGTACCAAAGATGACAAGGGACCGCCAACCACGAACTGGTCTTGGCTATTAGCCAACGCCAGATAAAGTTGCACTTTACTCGACAGGCAACGATTTAGGCGGGCTATGATCTGCTCAACTCCACGTCGTGTCGCTCCCCGAACGCTGAGCATGTATGAGAGTGCATTGTAGCCCCCCTCGTGATTTCCGCTTCTCATCGATAACTGGGGAACTGCACTTTGAGGCGCACAATGATGACAGTCCCATCCTAACCAGAACAAAACCTCCATTACTAACTCACTATTGTCATAGAAGGACTTCCATGTGTCTGATAAGGCGGTCGCGATCGATATTAATAGGCCCTGAGAATGCCCTGTAGTCGCTGAAAGCAGTGCTCGCAATCCCCCAGGGGAAAGTCCTAATATCTGGCAAGTAACACTGTAACGTGCGAGACTCAAAAGCCCAATGATAGGCACGCTAACGGGAGCACTAGCCACAAAGTTGGCATCAGGGATCTCAGTAGGGTGCATGATCCAAGTCTCAACGTCCAAAAATCTCCCCTGATAGTATTGTCGACATTCCGGCAGGCGGGACAACTCAGCAAGCTTAGACCCCATCGTTCGTAGAAATCCTTGAAGCATCGGCTGGTATGTACGAAAGGTTTCACCAAGTTCTTGTACGCACGTGCGACTCGCCTCGCCTTGTCCTCCAAAAACCGCCATGAGCTGGAATTGATTGTTCTCGACATTCTGTAAGAGACTGCTTTGGGTGTGGCTCATAGCCTTGCATTGTCCCTCAGGGCCTTCTTCATGTTCAACATTGATTGCATGATAGTATATGCTCAACCATCTGCGTCGTTGCTCAGGTATCAATGTCAGTTCAGCAATGAGAGAATGAATGTCGATTTCCACGAGGAATTCACTGTCGAACGCCTTACGCAGGACCGTGAGAGCGGACGGCACAATTGTTTCTTGAAAAAGGAGAAACTCGAGGAAAGCTAATGCTAGTTCAATAGGATTCTGGATCTCATGTGTCGCAGACGAATGTAATAATGAAAGAAGAAATGAGTTCCTTCGTAGTTCAAGGAGGGTAGAGAAGGCGTTGGGAATGGCGAGGGTCACGCTGACATCCTTGTGCTGAATATGCAAGTCGACGATGGTGGAAGATGCTGCCGAGTCAGGTGACGGAGGAGTCACGTCTTTCATATGCTCTTCCATCTTCCATATATCTAATCTTGTGTGGACACAAACGTCTTCTCAACCAGTGTCACTTCTCCCAACATGTATACTTTCTTTCCACTACCTGCGGAGTACAGGGAAAGAGATAATGCACAACATGGAAATTTGTAAACCTGATAGCAGAAAGGCGATTCTATATATGAGATACTGCGGTGAATTAGCTCATTAAAATATTTATCCCTGGCAAGCCTCACTCTGCTTGATTTGTGCTTACATGTTTACCAGACACTCTAGCAGGCGCCTAGGTTACAGCTTCAGGTACTTCCAGAAGGATGTCTGACCGGCTTCAGGCAACAATTCCCTCCCTATCTATGGATGCAGTTTCGCCACGTTGGAAAAGCTACTGTTGATATAGCTTGCCTTTTCTATCCCCGCCGGAGTATCACAGACGGAGTTTCTCTTTGTCCCACCTCGCACTGGTGTTATACCGGTCTATGAGAGAATTCATGACCTCCCTTTCTCTCCAAATTCGATCGGACTGGATATATCTAATCCCCAAGAGCCGACCGGGGAGCTCAAATGCTTATCACCATTTGAAGCCGTTGCTAATCCCAGACTCCCCAATGCGCTTTTGAAAACCACTCGCTTAGGCATTTAGTTATTCCTTGTCTTGTCCTTGATGAGAATTTAGATATACCCTGGAAACTGCATACTGCTGGTGAAAGAAGAGTAATTCGGTGAGCCGGCCCGCTCGCCGTGACCGTGCAAAAGATCATGGCCATGGATCCGAGTTCATCTGGACACCTTCAGGACAAAGATAGAAAGCAACTAGCATTCAAACTGCTCGTTGAGATACTGGCGTGGGTCATTATACTTTCCGATTATAGTGCTTGTGCTGATAGTTCAGATATCAACTGGCGTCTCCTGTGCGGTGGTGAGTCGAATCGATATTCTACACGCCACTTGCTGATATGCCTAGGATTGAAACACAGGAGAGGTTGCTATGCAGTCATCCTGCAATCTGCCGCTTTGTTGAAGTTGGACCACGTACCACGCTGGCAACTATGGCGAAAAAATCCGCTGCCAGACACTATGAGGTCTATGCTCATTCACAATGGTCTCACATACAGTTTCTCTCCTACCAAGATAACAAAGACGAGATATTTTACGTTTACTCAGATTCAAGTTTATGCTCTGATGAGACAGGCAAACCAAAACCCTCGGCTCCACACTCTGTCTCTCTGTTGCCTTTGCCTCATGATACTCTGCCGGAATCACAACAAAGTCTTCCAGCCAAAGCGCATGTCACGAATACGCCTAGCGTTGACATCTCCCTATCAGCTAGCCACATTGTTCTCGCAATGACTGCTCAAAAGCTACGAAGGCCATTTGACCAGATACCAATGGATAAAACTATTCGTGAGCTCTCGGGAGGTATAATGAGATCCACTTCAATACACGAGCTTTGGCTAATTAAGCAGGGAAATCAACGCTTCAAAATGAACTAGTAGGTGATCTCGTCGCGGAATTTGGTAGGGTTCCTGAGGGAGTTGAAGACATGCCCTTAATTGAGTTGGGAGAAACGTTGCAAGGAGGCTTTGGTGGAAAACCAGCCAAGCAGATGACCACCCTGATTGCTAGGCTAATATCGAGCAAAATGCCTGCTGGTTTCAATCAACAGTCCATGGAAAATCATATATGCTCTCGTTGGGGCTTTACTAAGCCTCATTCAATCATCCCTATCTGCCTAGCGACTACCATCGAGCCTACTACCCGTTTAGGCAATGCAGACGCCGGACAAAAATACCTTGACGAGCTGGTCAACCGATATGCAGTTTTCCAAAACATCTCTTTAATCCCCGTCATTGGTCTCCAGAATGACCAAAAGACGACAACCCCGCCTTCCGTTGGTTCTTCCAACCTCGACGACTCCAACGAAGAAGAGCGAAGCTATCACCGTAGGCAATTTGACATACTTGCCAAGTATCTCCGGGTAGATATCAGCCCTTCGGAGGGACCGCCGGTCAATGCGGTCACCGAAGGAATGTTAGACAGGTGGAATGCCGAGCTTGGTGACCAGTTCTTCGAGGGCATAAAGCCAATATTCAGTTCCGGCGAGGCTCGGTATTATGACTCTTGGTGGAACTGGGCACGGGAAGGGCTTCTCCAGTGGTCGCACATGCTTGCCTCCCGCTCGGCAGATGCGGCTTACGCGAATACAGCCAACCGTCTACGTAGTATATTGAACCGATGGGAGCCTAGTTGTAGCGACATTATCAGGGCCCTGCTGAAGCGACCACTTCTGTCTCAAAGTCCGGAGAATGTAATATCCCTAACTCCCGGGACTCGGCATGTATTTAATGAGGTCCTTCGTCTGGGAGATTTGTCTTTAACTACTAATCCCGTCTACATATACTCGTTTTCGCCTGTTGCCCCGAAAACAACAGTGACCAACTCTGGGGAGCTGAAATATACCGAAGAAGCTCGCGCAGTATCCTCCTATCCGGATGTTGCGCGCCAAGGACGTGTGTGCTCAGATGATTACAAAACAATAATACCCTTTGTTCATCTTAAGTCTCGACAGGGCGCGAGAGGCTGGAGATATGACGTGGATGCTACAAAGACATTCCATGCAGCCCTAGACGTCGGAGCTACGGCTGGCTTTAGTTATGCGGGAAAGGCAGTTTTAGTAACAGGTGCTGGGCATACCTCAATTGGGGCACATGTGGTCCAAGGTCTTTTGAGTGGTGGTGCTCGTGTGGTTGTCACCACTAGCCGGGCGGTTTCTGAGAGTGCAACCTTCTATCAAGGGATCTATCGCCAGTACGGAGCTAAAGGAGCGTCTCTGACAGTCCTTCCCATGAATCAGGCCAGCAAGCAAGATTGTGAAAATTTGATCGAACACATCTACGGTGCCAATTCCCCAACCAGTGGCGACCTAGATTATCTCATACCATTTGCGGCCATTCCACAAGCGGGTGAGTTAGATAAGGTGGGTAGTCACCAAGAGCTCGCTCTAAGGGCCATGCTTGTCAATCTCCTACGACTCATAGGGTCCATTCGCCAACAGAAGGAAACGCGGCGCCTTAACTGCAGGCCGACTATGATCGTTCTCCCTATGTCATGTAATGAGGGCACTTTCGGCGGCGACGGTTTGTATGCAGAGTCAAAGATCGGATTGAGGACATTGTTGAACCGTTTCCACTCTGAGAGCTGGTCAGAATACGTAACTGTTTGTGGGGCAGTCATTGGTTGGACAAGAGGAACAGGGCTCATGCACTCATCTAATATTGTAGCTCAAGAAGTGGAAAAGCTAGGTGTGGTAACATTCACCCAGGCTGAGATGGCATTCAACATCCTTGCTCTAATGACACCTGACATTACTGCATTTGCAGAAGAAGCTCCAGTCTATGCAGATCTAACCGGGGGTTTAGGCTCTATGTGGGATATCAAACATCACATTTCAACCAGTCGCAAGCGTCTCGCCGAAGAGTCGCAAATACGAAAGGCTCTGGCAGACGAAGATGCCCGTCACCTAGCGTCTCTTTTTGGTCCTCAACAGCAACAAGTGGAGGACAACTTAATGAACATCGGACGGCGACGTGCCCGTCTCAGACTTTCATTTCCACCTTTAGCATCATACGAGGACATCGCGGCGAAGCTGCCCAACCTTCAAGGAATGATCGACCTGTCTCGTACGGTTGTTGTAATAGGGTTCTCCGAGCTTGGACCTTGGGGAAATTCCCGCACTCGCTGGGAGATGGAACACCAAGCCCGTTTCACATTAGAGGGCTATATAGAAATGGCATGGATGATGGGATTAATCAGGCACATTGATGGCGACCTGAAAGGGCGACCTTACGCTGGCTGGGTCGAGGCGGAGTCCCAGGAGCCAATACATGACCAGGATATACCTCATAAGTACCACCAGCATATCATGTCAAATACCGGCATACGACTAATTGAACCTGAAGGGTTTGAAACGTATGTCCCTTCTCAGAAGGAATTCTTACAAGAAGTTGCAGTTGAGGAGGACCTTCCACCCTTTGAATGTTCCAAGTCAGCCGCGGAAGCTTTCAAGTTACGACACGGGGATAAAATTACTTTGCAGCTCATCCCGGAATCAGATAACTATCGGGTATTTCTCAAGAAGGGGGCTATTCTAATGATCGCAAAAACAGTTCCCTTCCACCAATCTGTAGCCGGGGTGATCCCCACTGGCTGGGATCCTTCGCGATACGGGATTCCAGAAGAGATTGTACAGCAGGTTGATACTACTACCCTATACGCTCTTTGCTGTGTTTCGGAAGCGTTTTTGTCCGCCGGCATCAAAGATCCATACGAAATTTACCAACACATCCATGTGTCAGAACTCGCCAATTGCTTGGGCACAGGTGGCGGGCCCTTGAAAGTTATTCGGAATATGTACCGGGACAGGTTCCTAGACCGCCCAGTACAAGGTGATATTATCCTGGAACATTTTCTCAATACAATGGGTGCATGGGTCAATATGTTGCTATTGTCTGCTGCTGGTCCTATTAAGACTCCTGTCGGCGCATGCGCCACTGCCCTAGAGTCTCTGGATATAGGATGTGATGCTATCATCTCAGGGAGGTGCAAGATGGCGATAGTCGGGGGTTGTGACGATTATCGTGAGGAGTTGTCCTTTGAGTTTGCGAATATCAGAGCCACTGCCAATTGTGCAGAGGAACTGGCCAGAGGAAGGCTTCCTAATGAGATGTCTCGACCAACAGCCAGCTCGCGCAGTGGTTTCGCGGAGTCCACTGGCTGTGGCGTACAGATTCTCATGAATGCTGAATCAGCTCTTGACTTGGGTCTACCAATTCACGGAATTGTCGCGTATAGCCAGATGGCTAGTGACCAAGTTGGTAGGTCTATCCCCGCCCCCGGCAAGGGCATTTTAACCGCTGCGCGCGAGACTTCAGATGCCAAGTATTCTCCAATTCTGGACTTTGAGTTTCGCCGTACCGGGTTCGACGATGAGGTGGCAGACATTCAGCAAAATTCCGCCAGCAGACGGCTGGGAAGTATGCGGAAGTCTCCTGTCACTCGGGTCTTAGAGCAATCAACACGACTAAGAATCCAAGATGCGCAGAACCGCTGGGCCCACAACATCCGCCTATATGACTCCTCAATATCGCCACTTCGGGCAGCCATGGCTACTTGGGGCCTGGGGATTGACGATATTGGCGTTGTTTCAATGCATGGAACATCAACCAAGGCAAATGATATCAACGAAGGCGAAGTCATCAACACCCAAATGGAGCATTTGGGCCGCATTAAAGGAAATCCACTCTTATCAGTATGCCAAAAATCGCTCACTGGACATCCAAAGGCTGCTGCAGGCGCCTGGCAACTAAATGGTTGCATGCAGATCTTGCGGGAGGGAATCGTCCCAGGGAATCGGAACGCAGACAACATTGATGGGCAGCTACGAAAATTTGAGCATCTAGTATATCCTATGGAGTCAATTCAGACCACGGGAATCAAGGCGACCATTATTACATCTTTCGGATTCGGGCAGAAAGGTGCTATTGCCCTCATGGTCGCTCCGAGGTACCTCTTTGCATCGATCCCTGCACCAACGTATAAGGAGTACTGCACGCAGGTGACAAAAAGGCAGCGGGCTGCTAGTGCCGCCTTTGCCTCCCGCATGTTAAACAACTGCCTGGTTCAAGTGAAAAGCCTTCCGCCGTGGCACAATCTAAATTCTACACAAAGAGTCTTTCTAGACCCGACCAGTCGCCGACAAGTGGACGGTCACGGGTTTGTAAATAAAGCACATGGGGAGCCTTCTTTTTCGACGCATACGGTCAGCGATCGCTCCTCACACATCGTTGAAGGAAAGGACGAAGAAACCCCTTTAGCGCAGCTTGTTGAGAAAATGGTTACAGATGTAACTGGACAATCCAAGATAAAGCCACCCCCCCGTGTGGGCGTCGATGTGGAAGAAGTTGCCAATATCAACGTCGAGAACGACACATTCCTACGGCGCAACTTCACACCGGCAGAACGAGAGTACTGCTTGAATGCGCCCAACTGTCGAGCCTCTTTCGCAGGTCGCTGGAGCGCCAAGGAAGCCGTCTTTAAAAGTCTCCAGACCCCGTCCTCGGGCGCTGGTGCACCGATGCATGAGATCGAGGTCCTCAACCAAAGCGGAGTGCCTAGAATTACCGTAAGTGTGTCTATTTACTCCCTATGCAGGCCTACTAAGAAGATTATTTAGCTTCATGGGAAAGTCAAAGAGATCGCCCGGGCCAAAGGTATTGAGAGTATTGAGGTGAGCATTAGTCATTCATCCCGGGCAGCGATTGCCATCGCAGTGGCCATATAAACTTGCCTTTGGAGGCAATATATATTTTTAGCTATTTTTAGCCGGTGCAATAACGGACGCAAGGGATAGATAAGATTAATATTCATTCGCAACAGTTGATGGAATTATGATCCATGCTCGGCATTTAAGGTCTCAATATCACATCAAAATTGGAACTGTACTCTGTAAACCTGATACTTGTGTACCTTGATCCGAGTTTCAACCCTAGGGTCCAGGTCCCAAGGTTGGATCCAGGCCCGTTCCCACACCCACGGAGGCAACGGAACCGCATCTTGGAATTTTTAAGTGGAGAACCCAATACTCAGCTGAATACTTTTCAGTGCTATATTATTTATTATTATAATAGATTATTCCTATATTTTTTTTCTCTCGTTTGTTTTAATTCTTCCCTGATTTGGTTGAATATATATGAATTCTAAATCAATAAATCCATTTATTTAGATTAATCCACTATCCACACATTTCGAGTTTCAAGGCCCCGATTCGAAACTCGCCCTTTTCCTCCTGGTGGAGTCGAAGGCCCTGAGTAATCCATTTGGCATCCTTGGGTAAGAGTTTTCTAGAAACCATGGAAAAATCGGTTTTACTCTTTTCTTTTCAATGGGATTTTAATTTATTAAAAAAAATTTATAATGATATTAATTATTATTACTCTTTGGCAACAATAGGATTTTTTTTAAATTATTAATGGAATTTCATTGTACTGTTACTCCCCCCAAAAATCGAAAACGAAACAAGATATAAAATAAATATTTTCAAAAATAATCAAGATCGAATACCGTACTCGGATAACTTGTCAAATAGACGGTCCGTTCAGGATAGATCAGAAAATTAAAATAGAAATGGAGAGATGTTGGCCAACAGATTTAGTACAGGATTTCGCAGATACTTGCTCTTTTTGCTCGGGGTGTCAATGAAGAGGGAATTCCGGTAGGAACATCCCGTCTCCACGGTCAGCCTCATTGATCGTAGAGTTTGGTGAACGTCTTGACGATCACACAAGATCTCTCTCGCTTCGGGTAGTACGTTCAAGCTTTGCCACCTAAGATGGTCAAGACCCATGACAAGGCCTATGACACACGAAGAGACTTGGTATAGCTTAACTATACGCATTATCTATGGCAATACACAGACTAAAACCCTACATGTCCCCAACAACGGCTTGCCCCAATCTTTCTAGTGGGTTATCAAGCCCATGACAGAGAGTTGACCAGCCTTACACGGTATACGCAATCCCAGTGGCTTTTCACTCCGTACCTGTCTCAGAACCCGTGGAAAGATAACGTCAGAGGCTAGAGTTTGCAAGACAACAGATGGTGAGGATTGGATCTTATAGGGCAGGTGTCAGGCGCCACTACATGGAGACCCAGATAAGAGGTGGAGCATATACCCACTTTAAGTCGGTTGCTTGTTCCAGCGAGAAACCTTCCGAGGAAACCAAAAAAATTCTTTTCTCTCTCCCTCTCATTTGTGACTGGATACGGTCCTTGCTTGACCCAAAAAAAGTATCCTGGGTCCCACCCGCATCGCTATCGAACGGTCTTCGTAGCATAGTGAGGTGCAGTGTGCGAGGACTCTCTTCGAGTGGTGTCTCTATATTTCCAAATCCTAAGCCAAGCATTAGTCTAGATAAGCCCACATCACCCAATCATGACGCCGTGTTTCTTAATATAGCCCCCAGAGTCCCACCTTCAATCGGGTTCCCGTCCCATCATCGCCCATGCAAAACGGGCCCCGCTCCAACGATTTAATGCGAAACTTCGAGCAAACACACTTGCCCTCGAGAGCTGCCACCCTGTTCACCTCGTCCGGAGACAATCGGACCGGGCATGGATGGCAAACCGCCATAGTTGCCGCCACTTCTGGCACTCCAGCGAGCGTCACGCCATAGAGGGGGGGTACACCATGGGGGTTTCTTGCGTCTAGGTAATGACGAACGAACTGGCGTCTTGGGCTGCAGCCTCGACCAGGTCAGAGGATCGCTTAGATTCCCTCCTTGGACCCCGAGATTCTCACCTAGACTGGGATAGGAAACAAACGGTATCAGACCGAAGAGACACCGATACCCCACCACGGGTGAAGAACAGTAGTGGATGGTTCCATATCATTTAGTCGAAAGAAGTGGATCCGTAGGAAGTCGTGGTACATACGTAGTCCATTTTCTCCCCCAGCCTTCCGGGCTTGATAGCTAATTCTTCTTTCCACTATTTCTTTATACCTACCTTTGGTTCTTGTTTACCGTCTCCGAGTTGACAGGGTCACTCGTTCTTTCGTTTATCTTTCTCTCGCTTTCCCCTGGCGCTAGGGCATGTAGGATATATTTCATTTGCGATATCTCAAAGAGTTTGAGTCGCGCGCAGTTGTCTGTAGCAGGTCACTGGCGGGATGTTCCTCGCGGAAATGCACCGCTCGGCGATCCTCATACTGTCGTTGCTGAGCATCCAAGCCTTAGGTTGGCCCTACACCGAGTCGCTCGTTGACTATAATTTGAACGAAAACAAAACCGCCGAATCACCGATTGATTATTGGGGAGAATGGCCCAATCATAAATATCATCCATCGCCCGAAAACTGGCGCTTCCCTATTTACACGATATTTTTGGACCGCATATCGAACGGTGATCCCGCGAATGATGACATTAACGGGACCGCCTTTGAGCATGTGGTGGGCTCGAATCAGATGCGCCATGGAGGCGATCTCGCTGGTTTGATCGATACGCTGGACTATATCAGAGGCATGGGTTTCAAGGTGTGTCCCGAAGGCTACTCCGAGGACTGATTCGGTTGCTGATCTACGAATAGGGGATTTACTTCGCCGGAACGTACCTGATGAACCTTCCCTGGGCCTACGATGGATACTCTCCGGTCGATACCACGTTGCTCGACATGCATCACGGCACACTGGATGATTGGAGACGGACGATCACTGAGATCCATAACCGAGATATGTACGTGCTTATGGACAACACGGTGGCAACGTAAGTAAATGCTCTAGCTATTCCGGGCGAACACGAGCTTACAGAATTATGTAGGTTGAGTAACCTTATAGGTTTCAAAGGCCATCTGAACGACTCGGCCGATTTCCGCATAGACGAATATGAAGTCCAATATATTTCGGAACGTGTGTATGCCGATTTCAAATTTGGCAATGAGTACAATGAAACCTGCAACTTTCCGAAATTCTGGAATGAGACTGGCTACCCGATCACATCAGGCGAAGCTACAGAGTTGAAGGGTTGCTACAACAGTGATTTCGACCAGTTCGGAGAACTGGAGGCCTTCGGTAACTTCCCTGACTGGAAGCGTCAACTGACCAAGTTCGCCTCGGTGCAAGATCGTCTACGTGAATGGCACAAGCCGATCCGTGATATCCTAACCAGGCATTCCTGCATGCAGATTGCTAGTCTGGATATCGATGGGTTCCGTTTCGATAAAGCCGTACAGACAACTCTCGAGCCCCTGAGCGAGATCACTGCAGTCTATCGCGAATGCGCGAAGAAATATGGCAAGGATAACTTCTTCCTTCCCGGAGAGATCACGTCTGGAGATACCTTCGGCAGTCTTTATCTTGGTCGCGGTCGTCAGCCGGATCAGCGTCCTGAATCTGCCGGTGCTGGTGCCAAGTTGAAGAACGATTCGGACGCCTCATACTTTCTGCGAGACGATGGGTACCAGGCGTTGGATGCCGCCGCGTTTCACTATACGATCTACCGTTCGATGACTCGTTTCCTAGGCATGGATGGTAACTTGGTTGCTGGGTTCGATTTGCCCACTGATTTCATCGAGGCTTGGAATGGGATGCTGGTTAACAATGACTTCCTTAATGCCATCACAGGCGAATTGGACCCGAGACATATGTACGGCGTCTCGAATCAAGACAACTTCCGCTGGCCGGCAGTGAAGAACGGCACGGAGAAATATCTTCTGGGTCTGTTTATCGTCACACTAGAGCTTCCTGGAATCCCTCTTATTCTGTGGGGCGAAGAGCAGGCGATGTATGTTTTCGAGTCTACCGCCTCTAACTATCTATTCGGTCGTCAGCCGATGACCTACCAGACCGCATGGTGGACGCATGGTTGCATGACTTTGAACACATCGAAATTCTACGATTTCCCGAATGAGAAGGGTCTGCACGGTTGCCACGATATTACTGTTACCTACGACCAGCGGAATCCTGCCCACCCGCTTCGCAATATCATGAAGCGGATGTTTGAGATTCGAGAGCAGTATGCGGTGGCTAATGATGGCTTGTATTTGCAGACTATCTCTCAGCTTACCAAGGACGTGTATTATCCTGGTTCATCGACTACCCCGACGGTGACTGGCCTGTGGTCGGTGTTGCGAAGCTACTTCCCTGGAGTCCAGAAGGAGGCATCGAAGAGCAACCAGACCCTTTGGCTCGTGTATCAAAATGATAACAAGACCGTCACCTATGGTGGTGACTGCAGCAAGAAAGACACTGCCTTGATGGCCCCCTTCAAGTCTGGGACAAAGCTTAAGAATCTCTTCTACCCTTACGATGAGCTTACTCTAGAAGATGGTCCCGGCGAGATCGAAATCCAGGGCAGCAGCGAGTCGTACGGATGTATTCGCAACATGAAACTGTTGCCTTGGGAATACCGTATCTACGTGGAGTCCGCGAATTTTGTCGAGCCCGGTCCCACTGTCACCGAGTTTGTCCCCGGCCACGATGCCCGGCTGATCTCCACGGAAGAAGACAATGGTGAGACCCTGGACATCCAGCTGGGGTACTCGAAAGAGATGGACTGCCCCAGCATTACCAAGGCTATCACCCTGAACTCTACGACACAAAAGGGTATCACGGCGTCTCTAGACAAATCTAGTGTGTCTTGTGGCAAGGTCACTGCCAGGACCACCGATAACAACTTTGTCGGGGAAGTCCCGACCGTTTGGACATGGTCCGCCAAGCTGAAGGATGTCCATCATGGAATCCACCAGCTCAGTGTCAACAACGTGTCTACGCCCTCTGGGGCCCATACGGATGCGGTCGACCGATTCTTGTTCCGTGTCGGAACTAAGAATAACCCCCTTATCTCCCCACTTTCTAATTACTCTACCAGCCTTCTGCACAAGTCCGACGATGATAGCATCTATATCAAGCATGATGCCGCTGGAGCCGACCAGTTCCGCTACTCCACTGATTTTGGTCTGAGCTGGTCCAACTGGACGACGTACAACGGTGGCAACACGACGGTCGACTTCCCAACCTGGACCGGCACTGACGCCCAAAAGTGGGAAGGGTCTCATGTCCGTGTACAGTACTTTTCCCGGCTCACTGGTAGCAGTGATTACATCCAGGAAGGTGATTATGGCTGGAAAGAAGGTGCTGTTCGAAGATTCCCAAACATGTTCTGGAACGGTCCATACAATCAATATGGTTACGATTCAGGACTGGATAGCAAGATGAGATACGACACCAAGAGTGGTCGCTGGAAGTACGATTTCGTCTATGAGTGGCCTGCTGTGGGTCAGATGAGCGTCTGGGGAATGAACAAGGATGGCATACCGGATACCTCGGAGGTCTATGGCGATGTCGACAACTCGTCTGTCGTCCAAAAACTTCCCCCGTCCTATCTTTCGTCAAACGTGATTAACATGACGATTTTGCCGCCATTCCCGCACCTTGGATGGACCATCTCGCTCAATGACGCTAACCTGAGATATGAGTTGACTCCTGTTGGCTCTGGGTGGGCTCAGCTCGTGCTGTACGTTCTTCTCTGGGTTCTACCGATTCTTATGGCTCTTGCTGGTGTTTTCATTTTCATTAGAACTTTCTACCGCGTCAAGCTTAATACGGATGGCGACGTGGTGAAAGAGGATAAGCTGCCGTTGCTGTTTTGGCGCAGGGTTAAAGGAAAGTTCACCGGAGACGGTGACTCAGATACAATGTCTGACAAGTCTCTGCCAACTGATATTGCCATCGCGGGTGCTCCCGAGCAACGACGTACAGTCTTGATTGCGACTATGGAGTACAACATCGAGGATTGGAAGGTCAAGGTCAAGATTGGCGGTCTAGGAGTCATGGCACAACTCATGTCCCAGCATTTGAAGCACCAGAATCTCATCTGGGTTGTCCCTTGCGTCGGTGATATAGAGTACCCCACAGACACAATAATTGAGCCTTTTGTCGTTACAATCTTGGACAAACCATATTTGATCAATGTGCAATATCACGTGGTTGATAACATTACCTATGTCCTACTTGATGCCCCGGTGTTCCGACAGCAGACCAAAGCCGAGCCTTATCCCCCTCGTATGGATGATCTAGACAGTGCCATCTACTATTCGGCATGGAACCAGTGTATTGCGGAGACAATCAAGCGATTCCCTTCCATCGATCTCTACCATATCAACGATTTCCATGGATGTTTGGCGCCTCTTTACTTGCTGCCATCGCGAACTATTCCCGTCTGCCTGTCCCTGCACAATGCGGAATTTCAGGGCCTTTGGCCCTTGAGGAACCTGCAAGAGAAAAAGGAAGTCTGCTCGGTCTTCAATCTCCCTGTCGAAGTTGCCACCAAATACAGTCAATTCGGAAACGTGTTCAACCTTCTGCACACCGGTGCTAGCTATGTGCGATTTTACCAACGTGGCTTCGGCGCCGTGGGTGTGTCCAAGAAGTATGGAAAGCGTTCCTGGGCTCGCTACCCAATTTTCTGGAGTCTTGAAAAGATTGGAAGTCTTCCCAACCCAGACCCCTCCGACACTGGCACCGGGGGCGACGCAGATGCGGAAGTTCCGATCCAGTCGCTTGATGAGCGTATCCATGACAAGTTACAGGCACAGAAGTGGGCTGGTCTCAACGAGGATCGCAACGCTGACCTGTTGGTGTTCGTTGGACGTTGGTCGAAGCAGAAGGGTGTCGATCTGATTGCAGACGTCATGCCAGCGATCTTATCCGCGAGACCCCAGGTGCAGCTGATCTGTATTGGCCCTATCATCGATCTGTACGGCAGGCTCGCTGCGATTAAGCTGGAGCGTATTATGCAAATGTTTCCGGGTCGTGTGTTCTCTAAACCAGAGTTCACTGTTCTACCCCCATACGTGTTCTCAGGTGCTGACTTCGCCTTGATCCCCTCTAGAGACGAGCCATTCGGGTTGATTGCCGTTGAGTTCGGTCGGAAAGGTGCTCTGGGAATCGGTTCTCGTATTGGAGGTTTGGGACAGATGCCCGGTTGGTGGTTCACTGTAGAGTCCGACGCAACCCGCCATCTTCTCCATCAGTTGAGAACTGCTATCAAATCCGCCCTGGACTCATCCCAGGAGACTCGGGAAGAAATGCGTGCAAATTCCGTCAAACAGCATTTCCCTGTCCTTGAATGGATCCAGAAACTCGAAGCCTTGCAACGCACAGCGATTCAGATCCACCACACGAAGAACAAGAACACTGTGACAGGCCCAATGCCTGAGTCTCAGACGTACTGGGAGACACAGAGTGTACGGGCTTCCGCGCTGGGTCTCCCTGGACTAAACCGGTCAACAGCAGATGGCTTCGATACGCCCCCAGGAATTACGATCCAGAATGCTGAGTCTCGACTCGAAGAGCTACAGGAAGAGGAAGGGAACAGGAGCAGCGGCTTGGGTCGCCAACTCTCTCTCGGTCGCCGATCTGGGCCTGGCCAGGGCAGAAAGCGCCTCACCAAGAAGACACCGCGCGAGAGCCAAGTTCTCAACGAGCAAGAGAGCGACGAAACCACTGACGGCGAGGAAGAGGACACTGCTACACCGCAAGCTGACTATATTTCTCCTGAAGACGCTATGGCTGCCGTGAAGAACGCTCTCGGATCACAGGACATTGGCGCTTCACACATGAACAACAGTACTCACTCGCTGGGTGGTCCTCGTGCATCATCTTACGCTTCTGTGCCAGGCTCACCATACCCTATGTCCCGGGCATCCTCTCCAGCTCCTGGTGCGCCTCATTACCCATATCAAATGGGTCTTGCTTCTGGCGAAAGCACGCTCTTCGCTCACTCCCGCAATGTTTCCGTTCTTTCTTTTCAGTCAGTCGTTGGCGACCAAAACCAAAACCAGCCTGTATACGAGCTGCAAAAGGTTGACCCAACATTTACAGACAGCATGGGTCACTTCACTAGGAACTTCGAAGAGCGCCTCAGCAACCTTAACAAGAAGAACTCGATTACAGACTACTGTATCGAGACATACCTAATGAAGAGCGAGAGGAAGTTCTATAACATGTACAACGACGCACAGCTGAAGAAGCAGCCTAAGGATATTGCAGCGTCTGCCCCGAGCTCACCCCGTATCGTGGATGACGCGCAGTATAACCGCATTTCGGTCGCCACTGGAGATTCAGACCCAGGCCCAAATGATTCAGACGCGATCGACCAATGGCTTGCTCGTCTAGGATACAAGCGACCCATGGCTATTCAAAGATTCATGAGGCGGCGTGTTGGGAACTGGCCTGTCTATGCTCTGTTCCTGGGTCTTGGACAGATCATATCGGCGAATTCCGCTCAAATGACCCTATTTGTCGGCCAGGTAGGAGAAACAGCTACCAAATTGTATATCATCGCGGCCATCTACTGCATCTCATCGATTTGTTGGTGGTTCCTATTCTGCTGCTTCCCGGCATTGCTCGTTCTATCTCTTCCTTGGTTCATATACTCCATAGCATTTATCGTCATTGGCATTTCACCTTTTGGTGCCACATCTCTCGGTCGGGCATGGGCTCAGAACGTCGCCACAGGCATCTATGCCGCGGCCTCTTCTAGCGGCTCTCTATTTTTCGCTCTCAACTTTGGTGACCAGGGTGCCGTCCCCATCAAGGATTGGATGTTCCGCGCAAGTCTCATTCAGGGCATTCAACAGATCTACACCGTCGCACTATGGTTCTGGAGTTCGAGAGTCACCGCAGCCGAAGTTGGGGGAGTGTCGACCGTTGCATTGAATAACTGGAAACTCACAGCCGTGGTAATGCCTATCGCTGCTGTATGCTTCATCATCGGCGTCATCCTTGCCTTGGGTCTGCCTAAATACTACCGTCAATCCCCCGGTAAAATCCTCTTCTTCTACACCTCCCTCCTCCGTCGCCGCATTGTGCTTTGGTTCTTCTTCATGGTCATCGTCCAGAACTGGTTCCTCGCTGCGGCAGTGGGTCGCAACTGGTCGTTCCTTTGGTCCTCTAAACATGCTAAGACGTGGGAAATTGTAATCCTGGTGGTGTTCTTCTTCATCATCCTGTGGGTGAGCATTCTCATCATCTTCCGTATCCTGTCAAAGGAACACAGCTGGATTCTACCGGTCTTTGGACTGAGTCTGGGTGCACCGCGTTGGGCGCAAACTTGGTGGGGAACGTCCAATATAGGGTACTACCTCCCGTGGGCTGGAAGTCTGACTTCAGGTGCTATTGTGTCCAGATGTGTCTGGCTTTGGCTCGGTGTCCTCGATGAGATCCAGCAGGTCGGTCTGGGTATGATTCTTCTGCAGACCCTGACAAGAGTCCACGTTTGCTTCGTCCTGCTGGCTGCACAGGCTATCGGATCCATCGCCACGATCTGTGCTCGTGGATTCGCGCCGAATAAGCTCGGCCCCGGAGACATATCTCCTAACGTGGGCACATCTGTCGACAAAGTTGGGAATGCGTGGTTCTGGATCTCGTTGTTCTTCCAGCTTCTCGCCGCGTAAGTCGCCATCTTCCTAGCCTCTTACAAGATTATGCTAATCATGAATATAGTTGGGGATTCCTCCTATTCTACCGCAAGGAACAACTCAACAGGCCATAAACTGCATGCTTTGCAGCAACCATATCGGCTACAGGCCGTCAAAATTATGATTCTACTCATGATTCGCGCACAGTCTCCCCGACCATGACCCTTTTCACTCCGCCTGTTCCTATTCTGCATAAATCTTTCTCGAGCCTTTGTCATGGGTCAAATATCCTGCCTACAATCTCATTCTGGGCGGAATTTTGCTTCACACGTATTATCCTGCGGTGTTGATTGGATAGGACGAAAGTTTATGTTATGATATATACTCTCATAATTGCATGTCTTGTTTTATTATGAAGGATTGTCGCTGGTGGTTTTGCAATATACCAGGTGCTTAGTGATTTAGCTTTGCTGTTGTTTTTGTTTAATTGTACATGATGATGATTGACATATAGACACTCTTTGGCTACACGTTTCGGTGAATCATAGGAGATAGTAGTTGGGCCACCGGAAGTTGATTTCCAATCCCGTCAGTAATACTACAGTATAGTATTCTATGCTCTAGAGATCCTACGGCGTCCTCTCAAGGGCGAGCACCTTATTTGGAGTCCGAAAGCCCCTATTTAGAGTGAGTTAGTACACTGTACAGACACTCTAATATAGATCTAATAGAGAACACTCCCAGAGGAAGTAAGTATTTTCTCTACTTTGAATACTTTCGTCTTCTTTCTACAATCAACACACAAATGACCTCTAATATACTGAACTACTATAAGTGAACCTATTCATCATACGGCGAAAATTAGGATCTCGGACCACATCACCTATGAGTTTCAGTAAGAACGACCGTAATAAAAAATCTGTACTTACCGATGAGTTTTATTTAAGCTTTTCTATACATTACATCGACTCTAATATAAGTGACAATACAATACATGCTCCCAAAGCCAAATTGGGGTTCAGAGAGATTCATTGACAGCTTTAGCAGTAGGTGGCTGATGACAAATTTAGTGCGAATGCTTGACTTGCCTTCATGGTATGAGTATGCGTATAGAGGTTAAAGGTGTAAGGTGCGTTATCATGCATAAATAGCCTCAGATCCTGCAGCCCAATCTCGGTCTCCCAGCCATTACCCATTTTTACTGAATGGCATTCATTATACAACGTCTTGCACCATCATTCCCACCAACACCACTTTGCCCGTGGCTCGGTTGGATACTGGCAGCTGACCGTTGTAACATTGATCTCAGAAAAGTCCGAGGTAGTGCTTGTCAACACCCTCTTCACCCGTGATCAAGGTGTATCCCTAGGCGACTAGATTAAGAAGATCCTTAGCGGCAAGCGCCTGACGACGATTTATATCACTCACGGCTATAGAGATCATTAGTTCATCCTCCAATACTTGATCAAGCGTTTTCCAGGCATGGAGGTTGTCGCGACCCAAGACTCTGTCAACCACATGGCAACACAGCTGGCACGGGAGTATCGTGCTCTCTGGGACGGTCTGTTCTCCAGGCAGATTGACACGGACTCGTTCCAGATTGGGGCAAAGAAATTGAAGGACAACAGGTTCTCTCTTGAGGGCCACACTTTCGAGACGGCTGAGGTTGGACACTCGGATACCGACGAAACAACATTCCTGCATGTGGCTTCCTTGAACATATGGTGGTCGCAGGAGATATCGTGTACAACGATGTACATATGTGGATGACAGTCTCCATTGCAGAGTTGGGGGGGTGCTTGGCTTGTTACTCTCACTTTGCTCGAATCTTATAACCCGGCTATCGTCGTTGCTTCACCCCACAGTCCTGGGGCTATGGATGGAGCCTTCAGTATCGGTGCTTCGAAGGAGTACACCTCTACCTTCAGCCAGCTGGTGCAAGAGTTGACTAGTGCTAAAGAGCTGTATGATTGAGGTCGGATGTCTATCTGAATAGGATTGGGAAGCTGGTATTGTGGATAGGCTGGTAAAGTTGTGTTTCCGTCGAATATGAGGGTTTGAGGATAGATTAGTTCAGGCTTTTAACTCTTAGTGCTGTTAGTGATCAAAACACATTTTCTTTTCCTGCTTTTCTTTATTGAATACGCCCATAAAACTATCTAGTATCGCAGGCACCTGACATATGCCTGGTGAATTGACCACCTACGGAAGTATGTGGATTGTTGAATGCTATGGTAATCAGGCCTCACATATAAATGGCCTCATGATTCCCACCTAGATAGGCCTTTGAGATAGTTTGATAGGATCAAAGAAAAGCCTCTGATCGTTTTGATATCATTTAATACGAATATCTTACAAGCTATTCTACGTTCTTTTCTGTTGCGTATTAAGCTAGAGTTGATGCTATAGTACGTTGTTCTCGCTGGCTCAGTGTAGAAGTTTCAAACCTCTTATAGTACCGATATCCTTCAGACATATATATCATAGTGCAAGGTTAGATTATAAGGGTCTCCTACCTATACTGTTTTTGGTTGAACGGGAAAGTCACTCACATAATGAAGATATTAGGTCATTAACTAACTAATTGCCGCGATATTTGGGAAAGAGTTAAAAACTTACTATCAAAGTGTATATGTCTGATGATTCGCGGGAATCATATGTGACTGGAGAGTACAGATGACTTACGCGCCTGAGGCATCAATATCGGACCTTTTCTTTTGGGGTCACAAGTGGATTCCATTACTCAATGGAATCCACCGATTCACCCAATAACTACACAGTTAAAATCTGAATCCACTCTTCAAGCCAACCATCTGACAGCCTGAAGCCCCTCAATGGGTTTCCCATTCTGTAGACATGGATCCGTTTTTGCTTAATACTCTTGAATTGGCCTAGGTAAGCTTTCTCCAATTTCTTTGTTTCAATCATTACGTATGCTCGACCTGCGGACATGACGGGTCGAAATGACTGTTGAATCTCCAATACAGTGGGCTGATCATCCGCATAATCCTTTCAACTGGCCTAGCTCGAAGAAATGGATGTCTATGGTGACCTCGTGCTGGGTCACCTTCATTGTCGGGTTGAATGCCACATCAGTCACCACTGCGGCGGAGTCAATATCCTCGGAGTTCCGCTTGGAAAATGGCATATTTGAGTACAACTTCTTTGCCGTCACAGCTTGGAACGCCGCGGCTGCGTTTGTTCCACTGGTGACTCTCCCTCTTATGGAGACGTACGGCATGAAGTTTGGCTTTTGGGTAGCGTCACTCTTGCAATACACATCAACATCCAGTACTAACAATATCGCAGACCGCGTATGGCCTCTTTACCATCTTCTTGATTCCACAGGCGTTGGCGCAGGATTTCGCGACACTTGTGGTTTGCCGGGTTTTTGCTGGAGCGTTCGGAGGAACCTTGCAAAATTGCGCAGATGGGATCGCCTCCAACTTGTTTCTGGACTACCGAGAACGAGTGTTCCCATTAACGTTGTATACGTTCACCTTGTTGTTTGGGGTGACAATAGGCCCTGTCTTGGGTGCTGTTGCAGAGCCGTTAGGGTGGCGATGGTAAGCGAAAATTATCTTCATTGAAGCGGGGCCATAACTGACTGAACAGGGTGTTCTGGATTGAACTGATCATCTACGGTGCATTCACCCCGGTTGTTCTATTCTGTATGAATGAGACTCGAGGGCCCTTACTTCGTGTGAAAATCATTCCCGACGAAACTTCAACAGGTGTGCCTGACAAGACCGAGGCTCTCGCAACGTTCAAAGAAACGATCGCTCGATCGGCTATTCTTCTCACCACCGAGCCGACTATCACCTCCTTCACCCTATGGTCCGCGTTTGCCTTCGGCCTGGTTTTCATTTCCACTCAGTCGATCCCCATCGTGTTCAGCGACACTTATGGTTGGCCATCGTACACCGATGGGATAGTTCAAGCTGCGATTGGTATTGGTCAAGTTGTTGGCCTCGTCGCATGTACCCTTCAGAATCGTGTCTACATCAGAAGTGCATCGTATAATCCAGAGAGCCCTGCGATACCAATCCCTGAGTATATCTTGCATCTGTCTATCCCAAGTACGGCCATTGCGCTTGCTGGTGGCCTCTTCATGTATGGCTGGGGCATTTACCAGCCGCACTGGATTGTCCCTGCTGTGGCTCTGGGGCTGATTGGATACGCGAGCATGGTGATTGTTACCGCGGTTAGTGTTTATATCACCGACTCTTATGCGGGCTACGCAGCTAGTGCCATCGGAGCCGTGGCATTCGGAGAGAACATCTTCGCGGCATTCCTGCCACTAGCTGCTAAGCCGATGTATGTTCGACTGGGGTATCAATGGGCGAGCAGTTTGCTAGCGTTTGTAGCGTTAGCGTTGACTCTAGCTCCTGTGGTATTACTATTGAAGGGAAGAACCATACGGGCGAAGAGTGTTGCAATTAAGAAAATGTCGCATTCGCACTGTTAGCTATTACTTCCTATCTCCCGAGCGATTCGTCTAATGTATACTAAATTCACACGGCTATGCCACAGTGCCTGTTCACCGGGCTACTGTCATTTCATCCCTTGACACCTCATGTAGATAGTCAGATCTCCAAAATACTCATCTGGATCCTTCAGCTGCACATGCGAATATTGTTTGATCATTCTACGTACCCGACCAGAGTCAGGGTCGGTGGTAAAGGGACTAACAGCATGTTAGCGTATATCTTATTTAGCGAGGACAACAGACTCACCACGTCCAGCCGACATTTCCATCTTTGCCCACACGCTTGATCCAGTATTTATCATTGTCTGACGGGTTTACAGTGTTCCATACCATCGCAGCGGGCGATTGGAGATCGGTGACGATCTGTTTGACTGGAACGTTGGGGCTCACAGAAAAGACTAGTGTGTGTTCATCCACCTCGAGAAACCCCTTTGGGTCATCCAACGGGATGACCCCATTGCCCCAGAGGAACTTCTTGTCGACTTCGTTGTACACTGGATCTTGCGCATAACACTTGATCTCCTGACCGCGGTTCAGTCCTCTCTTGGCCAACGCCGCCACCATCGTCTCTATTGCAGCGTGCTGCGTATGGGCCCGAGTACAGTGGTAGCCGCCCAGTCTTCCGAGGGAGCCTAGGCCAAAACATATTATCTTCTGAATAGTCGCCGTGGTCTTGAGAGTTGCCAGATGGTGTTCTAAATTTCGACAACTCGCACTCTCCAACCAGGTCTGACGTTTCCGGGCGAACGCCTCACGAACAGCCTCGAGATTTGTTTCACTTTGGCGTGAAGACCGCATGTAACCGATGGTGACAGGGGCATGATCGCTACGTAGGACGAACTCAGGACAGAATGGAGTGGGACAACCCAAGGAGTGGATACTTTGGTAATTGATGCGATAGGTGTTGCTATCGCTGCGGGTTAGTCTTGCTGGGCTCCAAAATATGGTGCACATCGTTAGGGCTTACGCAAAATCGGCGCACCAATGTGGAACCTGGAGGCTGTAGACCTGAGGTACATCGTCGAAGTCTGGAATGCACACTTCATCTTTTCCTTCGTCAATCTGCCGACTGAGGTCTTCCAACAAACGCCGGGGAAAGAGAAGCTTTCCGGTTTTATACAGGTGACCGATGTGCTTCAGCCTTTCAATGATTTTGAAGGTTGTTTCCTCGTCCAGACCGAGCTCTTGGACTTTGTTGGGGTCGGCCATCTCCTACCGCTGTTGGCTTCTCGCGATGTTGCGGTAACGGGCTCAGAAGTGAAGCTGAAGAAAGCGACTGAAGAAAAGGCCAATTCCCAAAATGATTGTCCTCAGTCGTCACTGCTGATCGTCGATTGATTTTATAATGATCCCAGCGAAGACTATCCAATTTGCTTACATGCCCATGCTTGACGTCGCAGCCCAGTCATAGTTAATTGCCCGACTTGCAGAAGTTAGGAAAGCGTTCGGACCACTTAAACAAGGCATGTTTTTTTTTTTTTTTTTTTTCACGTTTTTCTCCTTCAGCTCACATGTGGACTATGGCATGGCATCTCGCATGGGCCTTCAGGCTGTGTTTCTAGGGACCCAACACGTTGGAACGCAACTGCACCGCTGATTGGATTCTAGACGCCAGGAATGACTATTAATATTAGCCGCTGTTGGTCAACTTAACGTTCTAATTTAAAATATTACGTGAGTTGGTTACTATCCTGGGCAAATTAATGGGATATTTATATCTCAAGCGCTAAGGCAGTCTGCATACATTAATTAGGGGCCATTTGGCGGACTTACATGCATCGTGCATATGCCTTGGTTTCTATATCGGACCTCCAACGGCGGAATGCCAGAAAGTCCTTCCACGACAAGATATTCAAAGATGATACCTTCCCCATCGTGCCAACAACCCACTCTGCTCCGATTGCTCTGTTGGTCTCTAGATTGCGGAGCCAACGCATCCCTCCTTCAATAGCCCCAACAAAGCAACCTGTCTCCGACTGAGGACAAGTGACGGGCTCAAACTTAATCACGGATGCGTTGGCAGGTGACAACCGGAATGCCTCTTCTCATGCCAGCTAGCACTTTTGGCAGTCTATTACCCATGCCAGCTGCCCCGTCGGTGACAGTAGCTGAAGGAGTCCTCATGATGACGACGTTTGGCAACCATGTCCTCGCCTTCGCCCCTACCTTTAGCACCCTCCAGGATGCCACTCCTGCACCGTCCAGAGCCAACTGTTATGCGCTTGCACAGGCAGATTTGACATCCGAGGATCTTACATCCGTTACCATGTATCGCACTAACAGGATCCTTCGAACATTCCATTTCGCTCCTTTGCCCCCTGAGGCAGATGTCGCGTGCGGCAGCCGCATTCCTTTCCCCTTCCATTGCAGTTCTGCTGACAAAAGCACACTATATTGTTAGACCGTCTGCTTATTGTGATAGGCCCTTGGTGCCCCCCCACTCAATACTCGGCACGTCTGCATGATTGTTTATGGTGCGACAGCCACTTTGGTTGCGCCTGTTCGGGGCAATCCTGAGTTAGCTCCATTGCCACCCAACATCATCTATCGACACTGAGTGGCTTCACAGTTCTATGACTGTTCCTCAGTAATGAAGACATCGGGTGGACGTACCATGAAGCCGCCACAAGCGTTGCACGTGGGGGCTGAGCGGGTACACCATGTGCATGGTTCTTAGCTTCGTGAAGGTTTCTTATTTGAGGTCTCTGACGTTGCTTCATGTTGTGGATATATCATTCCCTGTTTCTCTTCCTCTGAACCCCACGTATAGCATGGCGTCCGGAGTGTAGTGCCTGCGGGCCGGCAGATTTCAATTCCTCGTGAATAGTCTGCGGCTGAACAACGTCAAACCCTGGGTATAGCGATGACAGCGAAACTGAAATGCATTTCAGCCGCAAGGCCCCATTTGCGTCTAGGCTGACGATATAGTTGCTTCCCAACCGGTAGGCTGGATCGTAGAAGTGTAACTCGGAACAAGATCATTTCCCTATTGCGGTTCATATGCGCGAATAGAAACAGCCGACGTCTCTATCATGTTGGCGAAATGGCGCGGTTCGTGGTCTGCTGACTGTTGGAACACATTCCATTGACTCATGATTTAGGTGCCTTTGCATTGCACGAAAAGATTGGTCCTATTTTCCATTTTGCAGATGAAGGAGATGGTATGTCGCATATATTTTTTTTTCATATTATATGCACCTAACCAAGGTACTTTTCGCCTGTCCTTGTCGTACGTGTAGCGGCCTATGTGCCTACCGTGCATGGTAATTAGAGGGTGCTATGGTCATGTGGAACGGCATGGAGGACAGCGTGAGATTCTACACCGTATGTCTAATGGGAATCCTAGAGATATGGCTCCAGCACCCTGTCACAGTGGGTGTTTTAGGGTCTTGGAATTGGCGCAGGAGAGGTGTTGTTTCGGAATCTAGAAATCTAGAAGTACTGAGAGAAGCGCATTGTTTTTCCTAGGATAAGAAGTCAAGGTGTGGATAACTCCGAACGAAGGGAAGATGGAGGTGACTAGGAATACAATCCATCTGCAGCGTCAATTATGTGGATATTATTGTTTCGCCGCCGATCCTCGACGCACAAGAACCAAGCAACTAAGCTCCTTATCCATAACGTCTAAACGCCTTCAACGTTGGGACTGCTTATCCGAATCAACCCTCCTGCGCAACGCAGCGATCTGCTCGGGTCCTGCCCGACAACATCCTCCCATGATTACACCCTCCCAGGCACCGTCAGGCAGCCCTTGTACCACATCCCAGAAGATCTCGTCCCACGGCCGCGTTTCTCTCCCTGTCTCCGTTTCAACCCATGTTTTCGTGACAGGGTCGTACTTCTCCCCATGAGTGCCATCGGGATACAACACTAGCCAGGGTCGTCCGGTCACGCCGTCCCACTCGTCAACGTAACCCTTTGTGCCCAGCGCACTCAGGTTACGCAACTCATCCTGCATAATGGAGACGATGCGCCCAACATTCCCAATCCGGGTGCAATTGACCCCGATCCCCCACGGCCGGGGCAGGTAAACGCCAGGTGTAGTCTCCTGTGTACCCACAGCTGCACGTATCCACGCTCGCACATCCTTCTCATCTACTTCCTCAGAGGGGAAGACACCACAGATCCACCACGGTTTCTTTCTCCCCACCGCCGATTGGCGCCTGCCTACGCCAGGCCCCTGACCCTCATACATGTCTGCCAAGACATCCAACATCGCCCCGCGAATCGCCCGCACCTCGTCTGCCCTCCTCACCGTCTCGAATGCAATGTATTCCACCTTGTCCCACGTCCCCGTCTCGTCCACAAACACGCACAACCGCTGCGCGTGCCATTCGCGCAGCCTCGGCTCAGAATCCATCTCTGCCGGGTAGAGTCCTGTATACTCTGCCGCAATGGGCGACATGGTCGCACCGTATGGCCCCAGCGATAGTGCAACTTTCACCGTCTTCCCGGGCGATGCATGGGCGCGTTGCGCAAGCGGAATCGCTGAACGCATATAATGCGCTGCATCTTCGGCTGTGTAACGGGGGTTCGTGCGCATAAACCCCTCGAAGCTCGTTTGATAGGTGGCTGTCAAGACGATGTCGGCGCCAGCCGTGGCGAAGGCTTGGTGCACTTCTTGGAGGGTATGGGGCGAGGAGATGAGCAGGTGAGCGGACCAGAGGGGCGTTTCTGCGGTAAAGGTGATGTTGTGGGGAGGTTCGCCGAGGGTGGTTCCCAGACCGCCGTCGAGGAGGAGGATCGGTCGTGTCCTTGTTGACATTATCGGTGAATGGGATTTTGGGCACTGGTTGTCACTTTTTGCCAGTGATGTTGCGTAGTTTTACTTGTTTTATTGAGGTTCCTTAGGTCAATGTGGGGTTAATTTGTGTCCATTTGGATTTGGGATTTGGATTTGGATTCCCTTATCGATAAGAACTCTCTTGCCGCATTTCGGTCACAGGACTTTTACTTGCATAGTATGCAAACATACATCAAGTAAATTCGGGTAAATAAACACCAGATAAAGTAGAAATCTTAATGTTTGCTATACAGAATCGATTTTTCTTTTTCTTTGAAAGAGTCTCATATTAAGATGTTTTTGTATGTGTTGTCAGCCATATGTTGGGTACTAATACACATTGTCATGCCAGTTAAAAAGGCAAAGGTGAACATCTGGATCTTAGTATTTCACCTTGAAATACAAACTTCCATCGCAAGTCCTTGGCTCAGCAGGTCCTTGGACATTCAATGCTGTATACTATGATGCGTGGTTTCTTGGTTATCAGAAGATGGGGAGCCGAAGCTCCATAGAACTGTTTAATTTGTTTGTTCATGATTCTTCCAAAGCCCCCACAGGCCGTGCCAATAGGGCTATTTTAACGATATTGTTAACTACTATCCCTAGATACTGCCACAGCAGATAAGTGTAGAGTGTGTAATGTTCCATGTGCACAGGTTGAATGGAATGGGAGATAAAGGATAAAATTCGCGACATCATTGATTTTATGGCAGGCAGTTGAATTGGCGTCGAAGTACTGTCCTTGCAATTTTACCTCAACACATTGCCATTGCATCTTCAGTGAAATGCCTCGAGGAGAAGGGATTGAAGGATTAGCCACAGAATATGGGTCCCGCCAAGCAAAGATTGACTGGTCATGAGATTGACGCATGATCTATTCTTGCAAACGGATGAATGCCCGATCTCGTTCGCCGTATCGTAAGGGCATATCCAGACTGAAAATTCCTAGCAGACAATATGCCATGTCTTCCAGGCGAGATGCCTGTCGTTTTGCCATCCAGGACATTCGCTTGGTGATTGAAGTAGAAGAGAGAGGAACTTGGTGAGAAAGGTATTCAATACCAGTACCTGTGATTTTGGTTAATATCTCATATAAGCCAGTCTTCTTCTCTAACACCTTCCACTCGGAGGGAAGTAAGATCACTTCTTTCGGTGCTAACGGTTCCTGGAGAGTGAAACCGAGTAGAAACCATCTGCTGCACGCAGATTCAGAATCTGGATATTTGGTATTAACATTTGTTGGTACATCAGAAAGATATGTGTAGCATAGAGTCGCATCTTGATAGCTGGCATACATAGAGTTTAATGCCTCGTACAGCCCAGCACTGCTGCTTTTCTCAATACAGAAATTATCAATCCACACATACTGGGATTTTCTCTAGCAAATTGCTGCGCTGCTGCTTCAAGCTTGGAATAGAAAGATATGCTCTTCGCCATGTCAAAGAGGATATCAAAAAGGAACTCATTGTCACCTTCCGTAGGTGACAGGATGGCATACAGAGGTGTACTATCTGATAAAAAGCTAACCAGCTTCATTTCTGACATATCCAGAAGACGCAATGTATTTGTGTGATATCGGTGGAGGTGGGAAGGAGAGAGTCAGGTTAGAATAAAAGCAGATAAGATGAAAGTTGTGTGGGTTGATGCTGACTTGGCTGAGGATTAGCTCCACAGCCTACCTTGAACTCTTCCAACGCCTTATATACTTAGCCAATACGTCTATGAGGTATGTTCAGACCTCAGATAATCGCTAAAAAATAAATATACCATATAAATTTCTTCGAAGCATTGTTCTTGCCACCTTGCAAATCAAGCCCTACAACAGCAGCGATATTCGAAAGTTAACGCTATTGGCTATACCCAGCTTGAGTTAACTGATGAGACATAACAGATATGGCTCTCAATTATTAGATGTTTTACCTTGATAATTGCATAAGGCTGCTTCACGCCCCGCCTACCGTATAATTCTCTGGTTTCTTAGTAACAAGCTAGGTACCATTTTTGCTGGACCAACCACTGCCCCTCAAACCCCAGGGCTTACATCGTATATTTTGAGGAAAGTGGTCTACACTATGGGATCATTTTTTCGGTTTATATAAAATATCTTGTTGCAGCCATTCTTGGGAATGGACCTTCAACGAAATTGGGGGTCTAGTTTTGCCCAATCGATTAGGAGAGGATATGTCATATCTGTTGTTCGTAGTAGCAATGCTTTTACATACTTTTACATACTTGCCTCCCTCTTACCCCCCATTAAGAGAGGGGGAAAAAAGCATTCAAGACATGAACGACGCCCTAGATGGTTACTTCACTGGCGGGAACACAGATTTATTTCACATATTCCGATAATCAGACCTGCCCTAAAGTGTGGGGCCATGTCTTAGCACCGTAATCATGGCTGCTGTACATTTGGATGCATCTTGGCCAATATAACGTCTTGCAATAGATCCTGGACACTTCATGTGCGCCGCTTAATCTGACTCGTATTTCTTTGGTAACCCTTAGAATTCCGGTGGTGGGCTGGATGGCATTCAGGCCTTTCGATGACATATATGGCTAGATTCAGAAACAGGGGGCTAATGCCAACACTACTCTAGGATGAGATCTCGCCCACAACACATTATAACATCTGACTGTATTCCTTACGTAACCTAATGCCGGTCTTGTCTATCTATGTCCACATAATCAGATCTAGAACTACTGAAAACTTATAGGATGTACACAAGCCAGTATTCGGAGGTAGGCCGAGCTGAGATAGCAAGGAAGATGCTTGGCGCTGTAACTCAGGGGGGAGAAGGAGAGAAAAGGAGAGAAGATCTTTTACACAAGGCGAAGGCTTTATTTGGTTTAGGCGTAGTAAACATGATATGAGACCAGCTGGCACCCTTTTATCCTTACTATTGTAATTTAACATATATGTTGGGAAAATGAATAGTTGTGACACTGCTTAGCAAAGTTCTCTTTCTTTATGGATTGCCTCTGTCGCAAAAGAAGAAGAAGAAGAGAAGGAAAAGCCCAGCTAGCTTCTGATCGGGAGCTAGGTATCCTCTGTGTACTCTAGTTTTATTAGAAAGACGAGCATTGATATACATAGACTAATGTATGAGAGTGGAGTTCCGTTAAACTTTATTGGTTTGATATTAGTGACGTTTCTCTATGAGCGTCCAACATGCCACGCATTGCCATAAGCAGCAAGGCTTTGCTAATGTATTAAAAGGGTAGCCTCACCCCTACTCTGACACAAGTATTCAATATCATACTAAGCCTTTCTTCTCCTTTCTCCTGACCACAACATCCGCCATGAGATATATGTTCTTCCTCTCAGCTTTTCTGGTGTCATGGGCAGTAGCTAGCCCATCCGCTCAGGGATCCGCCTGGGATGGGAGTCCCAGATGGGAAAATCCGAGTGAACAAGTGTGTGCACAGTCGGGCGTGAATTAACGAAAACGGACAGGATATGACATTGTTTACTATCGTAGCTGACAAAAAACCTTCCTAGCAATCTTGCGTTCCTGGTGTATGCCAAATTATCCCTTTCGACGCGCTTGACATTTCTGCTACTTTCTAACAGGTATCCAATTGTTGTCATGGCAAATGCTGTGACCTACCTTCTGGGCTGGGGGCAGTTTGCGGTGGCAATGTAAGCTGAGCTTTTTGTGGTCCATTTACCATTGCAGGTTCAACTATCTAACTCCTCCCTAGTGCTAGGGAACCGGGCCGTGCATGTGGCTTTTGTCATCCATCATAGTGGTGCGAGAAGGTAGACACTGCTAACAAGTTCAGCCTTTGAGGGTTGCAATTTGGGAGACTAGCTGTTATGATAGATCTGTAAACTTGGTGCTTATCTACAAGATGACTATTAGATGTTCCAGTAATCAAAGCGATTCCATACATACTTCCATATATGAAGCTTTATAGTTGTCTTTGAGGAAGAAGTTATAACTTAGTACAGCAATTTAATCTTTAATAAGTACGTCATCAACAAACTCGATTTCCGTAAGGCCGGGCGATACTTCCATATTGTGGAAGATTTAGTATGAGAGATATCCTTTTGCACAACGTTTGTTGTCTATCAGAATAAAAAGCAAGATCGGACTATCTGTTTATAACAACTTATAGCTGATTATTTCTAGCCCGATTGAAGCATCTTTCTTTCGGGGAACATCTATGACGTTCTTCACCGTATGATTAAATATCACCGGCCAGCCCTAAGAGATCCAAACAGTCGTTCGAGTAAAGGGTGGATATACATAAAGGAAGAGGAGGATCATGGGGACCGTGGCTGGCTGTGGTATAAATTTTGGGTGTAGATTTGTTTCCAATTGGGACCGTTAAGACTTTGATTATAATATTTGGCTAATCGGATGAGTCCCGCTAAACAGATGCTCTGCCAGCATGGCACAGCGCCATCTCGGCCATGTTAGGTTGTTTCTAAAGAACAGTTATCGTCGTGGAAGAAACCCTTTCCCTTAATTTATTGTTCAGGTCTAGACTGTTTTCAACGTACTATTCTTCACGCTAGCTGTGAGGCTACTTTAAGGTAGGATCTTCATAGAATATAGTGTGGAGTACTTAACGACCCACTTGAGCGAATTTCGGAGGTTTGAGATAGGTGCTTTCAGTAAAGGACCGGGTAGAGTGGCAACTAAGAGCTGTGGATATTAATATTTGTCAAGGATTCTACTGGGGGATATACTAGCTTCAATTTTCGCACATTTCGTGCGCATTGCACGACGTGGCCGCATCCATCAACGGCCTTTTGCGAAGCCTCGGAATTGTGTCTGTTTCTAGGAAGTAAATTTCCTTGTAGTGGGCTACAGTACAGCTGTTTGGGCTATCACCTTCACGCTGAAGTCATGCTGTAGTAGTTCGGATTGTGGAGTCTCAGCGATAAGGGCTAGATTTTCTGACTACTCCTTCAGCGTTCTCGTTAGAGAAGTTCTGGCTGCACTGCGGATAGACACATAGCGATAATTCTTAACACAGGAAGCTATGGGCCCTAGGGGATCCAGCTCGCTTCTGAAAGATGCTAAGTCGATGCACAGATAACCTAAACCATTTCCCGACCTAACACCTAATTTATTGAAGATGCTCTGATTTTCACTGGGAAACTGTACGGCCTGGTGGGCCATAAATTGTCATTAACATGAAATAACCCTAACGCAACATGCCTGAAAATTTCCAACGCCTTGTACGTAAGTTAGCAAGCAGCAACATATGGTTGGCGAAAACCTGTGTCCCCATATATGGTGATTTTTATTACAAAATAAGCAAACAGAGGTTGAGCCTCTGTGCTGTTTCTTAGCCATCACCATTTAATAGTTGCCGTTGACCATTTATATGATACTTTAGGAAGACCTATCGTCTATAGCTGTTCTTCCCATAGATGCTGTGCCTAGCTAACCTTGTAGCACAACGGAATTCCTGTCTCGTTAGCACTATAATGTGCTATGGATGAACCAAGCCTCCCGTGTATGTATTATGGATGTTCCAACTCGAGATTTGGCGTACTGACCTACGAACTCATCGAATATTTTAATGAGTTTTAGAAGGTTAAAGGAATCTTTGTTATCTTCTCCATTCATAAACGTAAGAATCGCAGGCGTAGACCTGGATATCTTAAGCCTGTATGCGCTACCTATACGGATTTAGGGGTTTTCGCAGCTATCTGCGAGCAATTATTAACCTTTTGGCATTGGGGAAACTGACCCCTGATTAGTTTCTGTACATCTTCTATATAAAATAGTAATTTTAGTAATTCGTGGAATTAGCGATTCTCGAGTTTTGCCGAGTGGCACTAATAGCCTTCTGTGATTAGCCCTCTCGTACCGCAAGCGGTTATAGGACTTTTTGCTTCCATATTATGCAAACCTACATTGAGTGAATTTAATCTAAATCTGAAATCCCACTCTTTGTCCACCAGAAATTACATTCTTCGCGACTCCATTCGTCGTCAACTATTTGCGCCGCAGTTCCTACGCCACTTCCCCCGGCGCGCTCGTCATTCCCCTCCCCAAACACCATGATCCTCCCGGAGGACGATGCATCGTACCTTTCCCACACGGGACGATCTCCATACATACCAGACACGGCATTTGGATCTCCAGAAACTATGAAAGAAGAAAAGTACGCATGCAGGGTTCCCGCAATCCTCTCCTGACTCTCAGAGATACTCCGCACCTCCGGATTAAAAGTCTCATACGCCATTTGATCCCCATGATTGGCACCACCCTGCACAGTCTTATTCAGCGCCCAGCGATAAAGAAACACAGGAGGGTCCTGGCCCGCAGAGGCAAACTTGGCCGTCTGTCGCACCGGACAAGCATACGCATACTGACCGTATGCGGCTTCGACGCGCTTGTATTGGGGTCCGACCGGTAGACCCCTAGTGTCGACGTATGGCGAAGAGATGTCCTTCGCTGGGTCGGGGTAGAGCGTATCGATGGTCTTAATATCGGCGTCTGTGTATGCCGGGAGAAGCGTCCGGAAAAACTCGGGGAATTCGTCGGATTTGGACATCGAAGCTGGCACGTAGTATGTTCCTTCATTGGTGTTGAATCCGGTTAGGATGGGCATTTTGTTCCAGTGGCCCGAGTGCCAGGCGTCGATTGGTCGTTTTTTGATGAGTTCGCCGTCGATGACGGGTTGGAAGGCCCATCGTATTGAGGGGTTGTATCGGTCGAAGACCGTGAAGGAGGCGTTGGTGACTGTTGACTCTGGTTGACTACGTAGACAGTCCATTACCTTGATGCTGGGCGTGTCCTGGCAGCCGGCCTCTTGGACGAATTCGCGGAATTGGTCCTCGTGTAGGCGGGCGTTGTGTGGATGGACTGCCCGGGAGGTTGCGGCGCCGGATTCGATGATGGCTCGGTGGAAGAGGGAGTGGCCGAGGTCATTGTTCATGATATGATGCGCGATCTGACGATTAATGACTGGTTAAAAGGTAGACGGGCGTGGAGAGAGGCCTACCGAGTGAGCACCGGCAGAGAGTCCGAACAGTGTCACCTGGGATGGATCGCCTCCGAAAGCCTCGATATTATCTTGCACCCATTTTAACAACAGGATCTGATCGTGCAGTCCCAGATTTAGGAGACCCTCCTCTGCGGTAGTAGTGGAAGGTAGAAAGCCAAGGGCCCCGATGCTATCTTCGTTGGCCAACTTATCTGATCGCTGATAATGACGAGAGCTTACCGGTAATTAAAAGTAACTCCGATAAAGGGCTGCTCAGACCATCCAACCATTGAGGCCGTGTTATGCATCGATGCTAGGAATTTGTTAGCTTCTCTAATAAGATGAACGGCCGGAAGCTTACAGGTTCCTCGATTGTATGCGCCGCCGTGCACGTAGAGAGCTACCGGCATGGGCCCTTGAACGCCGTGCGGCCGGAAAATGTTCACAGTCAGGCAATCCTCGCTGTTTCCGTTGTCGCCTTTAATCGGCAGTAATTGTTTACCAGGGCATCTGTCCGGTCTGTCAGAATCATGGTTTCCGTCAAGGATGATGGTTCATACCGTGGACCAAACCGTGCTGCGTCTATAAGTCCTTCGGAGGGACCAATTGGTTCAGCGCGACGAAACCGTCTGTCGCCAACTGGCGGTAGTGCATATCGAATGCCGCGGAAAGCGTCAACGGGTTGCTTAAGTGTATCTCGCAGGGTGGTTCCAACAATGGTTCCTTGGGATAGCGTAACGCGAGGCCGACTGACGAGAACCACATTCTGTATCGACGTCGGAAGCCAGGAGACATATGGTTGAATTTGAGGCGAACTGATTAGCGGGATTGCCTTCTGCTGGATCAGGAGTAGGGCAATAATAAGCAACACGGCCCAGCGAAACAGCCCCAGTATGCTCAACATAATAGCTTTTGACAACAAAGAAAAGAAACGAAGATCCAGCTATAGAATAACACTTTATCACCGGCGCGGTGACCAGTTTTGAATGCCGAGTGAGCCGTTCCCCACACTTACTCCGCTCTATCGATTGCGATATCTCGCTCTATCTCGGACGCTGGCCGAGTGCCAAGCATGCATACTTCATTCCATTGGCTTGAGATATCGCCTCCGATGCTCTAGTATCATGACAGCCGGTCAAAGATGTCCTATCGCTGGTCCGGTGGTCTATCGATTCTTTGTGGACATCCTTTGTTTGACTTCAACTACGCTCTTGGATAGGAAGTGACTTCCCGATTAGATATCCATGTAAAGAAGATTAGCCTTACCCAGTGGCTATCGCGAGTCAGATATAAAGCCCCTCTCCGAGCGGCAGGTCATATTTCGATGTATCTAGCAAAACACATCCATTTAAATTTGTTGTTCCAATCATGCCTTCCATACCCAAGAGCAACAAAACGAAAGAAGGGGCTATTATCTCGGCCACAACTAAGGATGATATCGAAGTTGGTCAAATGTCCTCGCTGGACGAGGCCGAGCTATTCCTCCAAGATCACGGTGTTACCAACTCGCAGTTACAGGAGATGTTGAATGATTCCGACAAATCTAGTAAATTGAGAAGAAAGGTCGACTTAATCCTTCTTCCGCTTCTATGTGGGACATATGCATTGCAGTACATCGACAAGCAGGTATGCTCCCTTGCCCTCAATGCGTGCTTCTAGGGTAACAGGCTAGCTAGGCACTTTCGTATAGTGCTGTATTTGATCTGTTCAGCGACGCCCATATTGACAGCAATCAATATAGCTGGCTCGTCAGCGTCTTCTACTTTGGTATGTTCCCACAACAGATGTGAAAGCCGCGACAGGATGTATTGACAGTGGAAGGATACCTCTTCTGGGAATACCCAGCCAGTCATCTTGCCCAAAGGCTTCCGATCGGAACTGTGATCTCGTCGTTCGTGTACGTCTCATTCTATTGGCTTCCGATACTATACTCACCCTGCATAGAATTTGCTGGGGATCAATGCTAATGATCACTGCCGCTTGTAATAACTTCACGGGGTTGGGAATTACACGATTCCTATTAGGCTGCTTTGAGGGTAGGTATACCTGACGTTGAACCACTACCTGAATCCTGTCTGACCTTCCAGCCCCAATCACCCCATGCTTCATGATGATTGTCGCAATGTGGTATACACGCCAGGAACAGCCCTTCCGGGCGGGATGCTTCTACTGCTGCAATGGCGTTGGTTCCATGGTGAGACACAATCCATACAGCCCTTGGTGCATTCACAGGAATACCTAATTACAATCAGCTCGGAGGCCTTGTCACATTCGCCATCGGCCAAATAAACAGCTTCCCAGTCTGGCGTGCAGTCTTCCTCATTTGTGGTGGCGTAACCGTCATCTGGGGGATAATATTAATGCGCTTCCTCCCCAACAGCGTCCTATCCGCCAAACCCTTCTCGACCGAAGAGAAGATCCTCCTTGTGGGGAGAGGAAAGCGAAACCAAACAGTGCGCACCATCCTCCACAACCCCAAAGATCAAGAAGCTAACCACATAACACAATAGGGTATCCTCAACCGCTCCGTGAAATGGTACCAAATTCGCGAAGCCTTCATCGACCCGCAAGTTTGGCTCTTATTCCTCTTCACCCTCCTCAACGAAACTATCAACGGAGGCACCGCAAATGTACACTCCCTCCCCGAACACTACCCATCTCAAGAAACCACCACTAATATATTATATACAACCTATACAGTTCGGCAAACTCATCATCAAAGGCCTCGTCTCCAGCCCCCTCCTCACAACCGCCCTCGGCATCCCCCAAGGCGCTTTCCAAGTCCTCTTCATCCTCTCGGGCTCCTACCTCTCCACTCGCTTCAAGAACATCCGCACAATAATCATGATCCTCTATCTCGTTCCTACAGTCATCGGAATCAGCCTCCTTTGGCAACTCCCCCGAACAAACCGCTACGGCGTCCTATTCGGCTACTACATCGTCAGTTCACCACTTCCCTCCCTTGCCCCAGTATGTCTCATATTAAACTAAACATGAAAAAAAAAACTATAGCTAGGGTCCTACGTCTCCTCCCTCGTTCTATCCCTCCAAATGCCCTCCAGTAACATGGGCGGCTATACGAAGCGCGTAACAGCCACCGCCTTCGTTTTTCTGGCCTACTGTATCGGGAATATTATCGGGCCGCATGCGTTTCTGGCCAGAGAGGCGCCGGTTTATCAGACGGGGTGTAGGTTGGTACTGGCTTGCACACTTTGTCAGATGGTTTGTGCGGCCGGGTTGAGGGTGTTGTTGGTTAGGAGGAATAGGAGGAGGGAGGAGCGGATGCGCGGTTCTGGGGATGGTGATGGGGAGGGTGAGAGGGAGGATGTCATGGCTGATTTGACGGATTTTGAGGTATGTTCTCATTCTTATTCTTCTTTTTAGAAAGCTACGGTTGGACTGAGGTGCTGACTATTCGGGTAGAATTTGGAGTTTCGGTATGTTTTGTGATTGGATCTGAGGGATGCTATCGGGTTACTTTGGGTGAGACGTATTCGTGCTTCATTTTTGTTTATCATAGTTAGGTAGGCTAAGGTGTCTTTGAAGAGGCAAATTCTATCGTCAGTACAAAAAGGGAGTTCGGTCGGTAGACCCCGAAGGGCTAGCTTCTGATGGTAGAAATGATTGGCCGTCCGGAGCATTTCATATATACACGAGCGATTCAAAAGAACGACAGGAAAGAAGAAGGACAATGTCAAACAGTGAAAGCAGCATAGACAATCAATCACTCATCTCCAATATATTTAACGTTGAATTCGTATTCACCGGTAATCTCAGTTTTGGTCAACACCTTGTTGTTCTGCTTCATCTCAATGACCATTCCATCTTTGACACCATACGTAGCCCCTCTCGCTTCTGCCTGCGCACCGGTGAAGTTGGTTTGGTCAAATTCTGCTAAAGCCACCATGTTCTCTCCCGACTGGAAGTCCTCCACAATCCAGTCGGCGTTCTGCCCGGCCAATGTGGCTGTCGCTGCGGGAGCGGTAAGAGTCTGTGTCGCATTTTGGCCAGTGGAGCGGTTTTCAATAATAGCAATACCGTGGCTCGGGGATGTGGAGCGGACGGAAGCCACGATCGTGTCGCCCTCGTCCACTGCGATGTTTGGGAAGTTGGTCGCATATGCAGGATACCATTCATACCATGCGTGGTTCGGCTGGTTAACGTCAGAGTAGAAGTCCACGCCCGCTTGGAGAATAGCCCCGGTGTAGGTGTCACCGTCGATGCCAACCCAGATAGAACCAGCTTGGAGCCCTGACTGGCCGGGGGCGGTGGTGGATGTGGGGATAGTGAATGTCGCTGATACGGCGGTATAGGGGCCTTCTGGGGGTGGCTGTTCGCGTACCACACCGGCCCAATTGTTGCTATACTGGACTTGAGTGGCTGCTATCCTGGATTCTGAATTGCCATCCTTGTCGTCGCCAGCACTCCGGAAAGGAAAAGACTGGTGAGACATCGCTCGGTGTTGCATGCGCTCGGCCAGAGTACTACCCGGGGCAGCTAGAGCACCGCCGGCCACAGTCGCAGCGAGACAGCCGTGCGTGAGTTTCATGGCGTCAGTAAGGTCATGTAATCTGTGGAAGGTCAAAGTCTAGTGGCGGGAAAGAAAAGAAGATGACCAGTATACTCGACCAACCAGCCTGTCCCAAAGGGATCATCTTATAGCTTAGTGCGACAGGTTTGGTGCGGCCGGAAAAGGAACCCCTATCAGGTGTATTTCCCGATCCCGTCATGATCCCAGATTGCACGGGGCATGGCCCTGGGACCTAGCTGTGGAGAATAATCGCACATGGATGTCGCATCTGCCACTTCGGCTTCCCGTGTCTCACTGTTTTTGGCAAAGTTGACAGTGACCAAGATTATGTAACGGTACTAAGATAGTATCCAAAACCGGCAACTTAGACACAGATCAGCTCTATGACGACGCGGCTCCACGCTTGGATAACAAGATTCAGTGTGAACCATAAGGCATGATCACGACTTAAGGAAATGATTTTGAGCCACGCGGTCAACGTAAGGTAAGATGACCTCTGGTCATTGTATTATCAGTGAATCTCCTACATGCCATCAGCCGGTATGGTAATACTGTCATTCAAACGGCTGTCGGAAGGGTACTCAGTGAAGCAATAAGCCAGAAGAGGTATCCGCATTAAGTTCATGATGACAAAACGGCTTCAGAAAATGGACCGAAGGCAGACAATCGATTGTAAGGCGATAATGGCGCATTATCGATTGCACGACCAATCATAGGAATTGATTGGTACAATTATTACTAGAAAGAACCTTTCCTGGAATGTAAATCCCTGGTGACCGAACAATAAGGGATAGTGTGCATTCCTCGACTCCGCATTCCAGTTATGCGTCGTCCGTTGGAATGTCCTCTGTCGGCTTAGCTACCGCAAACAATTAGGCTTCGGTGCTATGGCTAAGGACGGATGTATCCGTGCGTCCCCAGGCTTTCCCTTCTAGCACAGGTCCTTATCCCCTTGTGATGGAAGGCTACGGAGGAAACATGCAAGAGAAGGTTTGACAGAAGCGTCGTCGTCATACCTTCACGTAAACAGTCAAGAGTTTTGCGCTAGGTTTATAAAAACCGGGTCATCTCGCCAGTGTATCGACAGAGCTTGTGATCAAGATGGGCACCAAACATGTCGAGTGGAAACGGTAAACAAGCGTCGTCATCTGCCCGATGGAAGCACACGTGTCCCACAGAGTGGATTCAGCAAGGGGTGCAAATTCAGTAAATCAGAGATAGAGCAACAGTCCTACCAGGAAAGCAGCCTCATAATCATGCTGCACCGCCATTCTAATCACATCGGAAGGCTGCGCATCTCCTCCAGTGTCCAGTATTTACGCATATTCTCCGCTTGAAGTGTTCGAACCTCTTCATCTAGATGTGCCCACAACACTTCTCCAAATGCGTCCATCAGCCGTTTCATCTCCGCCAGCTCCAGGTCCTCCTCTCCCGAGCGGCATTTCTCTAAGTATTCTTCGAGCTCGGCCAGTCCACGATGGATCTTTTTATGTTGCGACAACAAAGTTTGCTTCTGACGAAACTCTGGCATCTTACGAGCCAGCACAGGAAACACGTGCTCTTCTTCAACTTTGTGGTGGAAGTCAAGCTGGGAGCAGAAACGCAGGCCTGTGTTGATCAATTGCTTAGGCTTTTGTCCGTTGGGCCGCTTCCAGTTGGCAGCACAAGCGTTCTGTAAATCATTCCAGGCTAGACGAAAGTGATTATGCTGTTTATGTTTAGTACCGATGACACCTTTATATCTCCTCGTAATGATGGGAAATGGCGATCCCCAGGCACCGAACATACAAATTGATCCATCTGCGCCGCCAATCTATTGTAGGCACCAAAGTCCTTCAGTGACAGAGGTGGTAACTTCTGTTCCATGGTCCCATTCTCATTAAGAGCCGGAGTAGACCCATTTTTCTGTGCCATTGCGGTTATGAATGAGCGTGGTGAGGCAGAAGATAAGCGACGGACTACGGGTACTGCGCCAAAGATCTTGCAAATTGTACTCGGAATACGTATTACACTTTGACTACTTGGTAGTCCTGAGTTCTGGCGCTCAAAAGATACGTGGCTGAAGGGAACAATGAATAGTCTGGGAATTCAGCGTCAGCGACAGGAAGAAAGAAAGCAAAAATTAAATGTTTGCAATTTGTCCTCCAAGCGCTAAACCGCATTACGTAATTCCCTTTCTGGACTAGCGCGTGGGTATATATCAATAGAAGAGTAGTGAACGAGTAGCTTCAACCTTTATAATTCAATAGAATACGTGATGGATGAGTTTCACCAAGTGAATCTTCTATAAGCAGGTACTACGATTATTATCTGTGTGGTAACTTTCATACCTGCAGCCATCCCATGTCGTACAAGTTACTACAGAAAATTTTATTTACAAACAACAGTGCAAAGATGTTCCTTTATAAAATTGGTGCTCTCCTATAGTACGTAGAGTATGGCCCTTAATTGAAGGACTACACAAACAGTCACTAGCTGCTTGTATGGCATACATCCCGTGTCTTCATCTGCACATCGTTGCATGTACATATCTATGTGCTTAGAGGGATCAGGCGCGAGGTCTCTGGCTGACTTGCTGCTTCCTACATAAATTTTTTACTCTTACAAGGGGCCTAATTCTTACATAACTTCTACACCACTCCAAACTAACGTTTTCAACCACCGAGTCGCGGATTTGTATTCCCATACAAAATGGCAATTTTGAATCTGGAATATCTCAGCCATTACTATGTCGCATAAAAAGATATTAGGAACTTAGATAATGTGAATCTACTTAAAAATAATGCACTAGGTTTTAATCTATCTTCCGAACCAATTATCCAGGTATTATAAATTACACTGTATGACAAGGCTGCTTTATGTATTTAAGACCAATATAGGTTTCTTTGTCAAAATAGAAAGGATACTAATTTGCTTACTTATATTAGACTTCAGATCTCCAATACAAGTTGTCGGAATGGAGATATGTTACGATATTCCAGATTCAAGATTGCCATTTTGTATAGGAATACAAATCCGCGACTCGGTGGTTGAGACCGGTATCGATTCTTCTATATTTACCCCCTCTCTTTCTTACAGAAATACAGGTAGAACTACTGTGGCTCGTTGAATGAAGAGGAACATCACATTTTCTTTAGCCAACAGAGCTATAATTTTGCCGTATAGGAGCGCATGCCCGAGACATGACCTATTTTTTAACGTAGGACATGTTGTTCTAATACAATACCCTAGGGGATATCATCCCCCCATTCAATTCCTTCTGTCATATATTATCACGCTCGGTGCGTGGTTGTATCTACCCTTTTGTCCACTACCGTCCTCTAGTAGAATACAAGATGCATGCCCTAACACAGTTAGGCTGCTATCAGAGCTGCGAAGAAAAATACTGAACTGATTACTAGTCGCTTAGAGGGATTATAAGTGACATCCTATTAAAGTAACATGATAGAGAACTACTTTCCGGCTGCATGTGGTCGGTCACCAATCCGAAGAAAGCAGAGGGATAGATGGATATCTTTAGTTGCCTCGATTAGTGGGCATGAAGGGCTTCCCAAAATGATGGCTAGCATAACTCCTCATGTATGTACCTTGTAATTCTCCACTTGTTGTGACCTGTCATAGTGAGCTGAAGATTCCATCATACGCGGGGAAGCTAAGGAGGAACAGACAACATATTTAACGCAGTCTTCTGTCCTAACTCGACATGTTCAAATTATTCAAACCAATTCATTTTCTGTGCTCATTATCTGACTCTCCGTAGTCTTCATCTCTTTGTTCACTTAGATAAATCCTCCTTCTTACTCACCATGGAAGAACTCGCAGTCACTTCCCTCTCAGACCTAGACAAGCTGTCGAAAGCCTACTTCGACCTCGAAACGAAGCCCCAAACGTATATGATCAGACTGGCTAGTAACTTCAGAAGTGCCGGCCTAGCCATGCCACAGGGTACCGACGGAGAACTCAGCAGCTGGGCCTTGATCAAATGTCATACTGCTTGGCTATGGCATTCGAGCCAGACAGACGCAGCCAGCGCGATTCGCTACTACAATAACCTGATCGGCTATTTTTATAACCGAGCAATGTACCACAACACCGCACTGAAGGAGCGCGCAATGGATGCTACGAATAACAATGAATACTGGACAAGCATTGGAGGCACCAATGCCAATAAGCAGGATATGGTGCAGAAAGCACTCACTGTCACGACGATGTTCAAAGGATCAGGAAACGATCACGCTGAAGAGGCGTTGTGGAACGAACGCCTGGCTCACCTCCTTAGTCACTGAGACACTGATCGGATACTGGGTATATCACTATTACTAGAATGGTATCGCCTCATTCAGTTTGTTTATGACAGCGAAGGAAATTTTCTACTTGTCCTTTTATGCTACATGTAGGCTAAATTAAGTTGTAATAAACTGTCTCGTAAATAGCATAGAGAATCCCTGCTAGGACTGTTTAAATATGCCTGGCTAACTGGTGTACCTGATTGGGAAGATCCATGGCCTCCCTGGAGTTAAAAGTGAAAAAGTATTGGAAAGGGAAGGCGGTCAGTGAGGACTGCTTCAAGGTGCATTTCTCATGGTCGACGATTTCTGACAAATATCTGAGAAAAGTACAGTGCGATCAGTCCAATAATATACCTCGATGAAAGACCATTAAGATTGAATTTGCTTGGTAATGGGGAGTCTTGGGCTGACCCACTGCTCCGCCACTCCGCTTCAAAAGGCTCATTGGGCTGGGTTTCTTAAAGATGTCACATTGGCCAACCTATGAGCTGAGATGCCGCCGCGAAGATCCCATACAAAGTCACGCACCGGCTGTCTACAGTGCAAAAGAAGACGAGTAAAGGTAAGGTCAATGCTCACCCGAACCTGGGTTGTTGTTCTCTTTGTGTCTCCCGACATCATCATGTTCGTAGGCTTGATTACGGCCTCATCTCCACAATAATGGGGTTGGTAACATGAAACAACTGAAATTGCCCATCATACCAGCTCTTGCACACCTTCCATCACTCTGTAGTGCTTTCAAGTTAGGCTTCGGATTTGTCCAGATCCTTCGATGTCCTCGGCATAGAAAAGAAAGCCGCCCTTGGAAGCATTGTCACAACTTTACCTATATTCCTTACATGAAAAGGATCCTTCTACCCTGATATCCGTCTGACAATTTCCATAGTGTGATGAGCGAGGCCCCCCGTGTGGTAACTGCATCACCCGAGAGTTGCAATGCGCCTATTCCAGCGCCCCCGCCATACGTCGCGTATCCGATTCATTGTCACGGAGCCCTAGTTCTCCGCAGCTTTCCATAACCACAAATGGCATACCCGCTCTACCATCAACAGTCCCCACCCATCATGATCTACGATCATTAGAACTCATGCACAAGTTCTCAACCGAAACTTACCACAGCCTCTCTAGCCGCCCCTCATATGACCATGCCTGGCAAATCATCATGCCTCGAAAGGCCCTCGACCATGATTTTCTGCTCGACGGCATCCTATCAATCGCATCACTGCATACAGCTGCTACAAAAGGGCCAACGCAAGCGCGCCCATACATTGACACCGCACTAGAATACCAGAACCGAGCCCTGACACCATTCCGCCACGCTCTCAACAACATCACCCCAGCCAACTGCGACGTTATCTACGCCTATTCCGTGATCACTATAGCCAGCGGCATAGTATTACCCCAGCTTACTGCTGAAAACGACGGAAATCCGAATACGATTGAGAACATCCTCCATGTCTTCGTATTGTTGCAGGGTACCACCGAAATCTTAAAGACGAACCGTGCATGGCTTGCACAGAGCTCATTCCCGCCGGTTGGAGACTACTGGGAAGGAGCAGCTCGGAGCCTTGACCGGGAGACGGAAGAGGCCTTTGAACGTCTAACTGCGATGAACCGGCAGAAGAATAGCACATTCCCCGAGGCATACTGCATCACGGAGGAGGCTGTAGCCCTGCTGAGACGCTGCTTTTGTCGGTACAGCACTATGAAAGATCCCGGCTCGGTCATCACGTGGCTAGCTGTCGTGAACAGGCGGTTCGTTGATACGCTGCGGGGCCTGGAGCCTCTTTCGTTGCTTATCTTGGGACATTGGGGGGTCTTGCTCGCGAAGCTAGATGGAAAAGTATGGTGGGCGTTTAAATCAGGGAGGGCCTTGGTAGTTGATACATTGCAGGTCTGTGGTACTGATGATGTTGAGTTTCGGGATGCTTGGGCATGGCCGAAACAGCAGTTGGGGTTATAGGTGTACTATAAATTGGCTTACTTAAGCAATATACACCGGTCTTTTGCATTGGTGGGTATACTGTAACCTCTGTACAGTCGCCTAAGACAGGTTTAATTGCGCAAAAGGGAGGTCACCTCTCGTAGTTGGCGCAGTCTATAATCATTAAAAACCATGTGCCAATGGCAAACCATGCCGAGGTACATCCCTCGAGAAGAACAAGGGGTCGGGCCAATCTAACTGTTCTCCCTATAATCTTCATCGGGATCGTATACATATCTGCAACTCGGACATCACAATACAGATATCGTTCAGGGACTATTGTCGTTATTCCCTCATAGATGAATCTATGGCTTCTTTCTGTCCCCCATGAACTGCCCCTTCTAGCTCCGTTTCAGTCTGATACCTGTGAAGAGGCTGTGCAGCTAGAAAGTAACCCTAACGCAGGTTCAGCGGAGAAGCCGGCAGTCCAGAGTCCGACACGACAGCTATTCTACCACTAGGAAATACCATTGGATCCCCAATCTAACAGGATAGGATTCAAGGAACCAATTATGGTTGAGGACCTGGATACTTGGGCTTACTCGGTGCGTGATGAAGATATCCAATACAGTCCATTTACAAATCATTCAGATCGGCAAATCGTCTAGTGTATTCGGTCAATGGTAAACAATATCTATGCAGAATGAATGGTCTGAACCAAGAGGATCGTCTTAATCGAATTGCAGTTTACCCAAATATAGGAAGTGGATGAGTGGAGGATGCCTAGGGGATACTTGGATAGGCGTCTCCAAGCCGAAGGATTAATGTGGAGCAAACTAAGCGCAATTCCTCGGCAGCAAACTGAATATAGCGTCTAGTACTTCTAGACTGCATAAACAATGAGCCTACATATTGGATAGCACTGGATACTCGGAGAGTCGAAGCTTTCTAGGCAAGTCCGTCGGGGTATCATTAGGGACTAATCGCGTCCGGGGTAAACAGTCGACAAGGGTCTCTGACGGCTTAGTGACAATCTTAGCTCAAGTTTCGAAATGCAAAGAAGGCAGTGCATTCCATAAATCGGGGGGCGGAGGAGAATTAAGAACCGTTGGATTCGCGATCCGCGCAACCATTACTCTTTCTAGGTGACTAGCATGACTGGGGTGGGGGCGAATACTAAGCCCTAAATGAAATTGAATGTGACCCTGAACCAGTTTCCATTATCTAAAGACATAGTTATTATGGTGCTCTCTCCTAATCTAATTCTGTCTTAGGGGACTGGGGACAGTGCAATCTCACAATGCGTGTCCGATCTAATCTTTTTGTTCGATTCCGTTTAGCCGGAGAGGGAGGGGGGGATGTATTATTTTACTAGTGATGTTGGGTGCAGGCTCGTATCACACTGCTGCTAGACTGGGATGAAGGTGGAGTATTAGGGCCAGTCAAACACGCTGTCACCCAAGGTGCCAAGCGCCTGGTCGACTCTGAGTGGCCAAAGATTGATGGTTGCCTGCATCGTACTCTTTCACACCAATAGCAGGCTATGCCTTTCATTGTAGTGGTCCGACCAACGGGGAGAGTACAAACAGACGTGGCGCCAATATGCCGAGGACAAGAATGGAACGGGCCGACAGCTAGGGAGTCCCTAGTATTAAGCAGACACAAACTGGTAATATCTGGGGTTACATACCCTACGCTTGAACCTGTTGACTACTAAATTAGGAATGGAGTAATGCTAGCATCCTATCCTGCACTGCCCTCTCGTAAGCATACATTAGGCTGTGCACTAACACCTGGTCAATTTCGATGTGATTGAAGCTGGGATCCAGAAGATTTCGTTCGTACCTTTCTCGCAAATGTTCGATCCCCCGCTGATACGGTAAAAATGTGGACATATTTTTGGGGGTTCACGCTCACAACGCTGCTGACACTCGGCCGGATAACTGCGGCGATTCCGCTTGATATCAATGATCCTGGTATTTCCGCCACCGTGCACGCGATGGATGGTCCTATAGACACCTAACGATGGCCTAGAATCGATTAAAAATGCGGCCTCGACAGCCGCATACGGCATGATGACCTATTACCACGGCAATGAGTCCGGACAAATCCCAGGGAAACTCCCTGGCACGTGGTGGACAGGTGGTGAGGTGTTCATGGCTCTAGTGCAGTACTGGTACTGGACTGGAGACACGTCCTACAACGATGTTACCAAGCAAGCGTTGATTCATCAGAGGGGGCACAACGACTATCTACCGGACAACTATACCCAGGATTTGGGTAACGATGATCAGGTGTTCTGGGGTCTGGCTGCGATGACGGCAGCCGAGCTCGATTTCCCGGAGAGCGAAGAAGTGTCGTGGCTCGCATTGGCGCAGGGAGTATTCAACACGCAAGCTGAGAAATGGGACCCGGACACCTGCCATGGTGGCCTACGATGGCAGAGGAATTCCTGGAACGGAGGGTACGATCTAAAGAATTCGGTTTCGAATGGAGGATTCTTCCAGCTGGCAGCCCGTCTGGCCCGATATACCAAAAACCAAACCTACTCGGAATGGGCCGAAAAGGCATATGACTGGGCCACATCCGTTCCCTTAGTCTCCGAGAAGGACTGGCATATCAACGACCTGGTTACCGTGGAGTCGAATTGTCAGGACGCGAACAATATGCAATGGTCATACAACTATGGGATCTACTTTGCTGGTTCGGCCTATATGTATAACTTGGTACGGATCGCTAGCGACCTTTGATTTCTAGGTACTGTGCTATCGTGAACTTCATGGACATGCTGACATACAGTCCAGACCAATGGTGGTGAGAAATGGAAACACGCAGTAGATGGCCTACTTAATACTACCTTCCGCACATTCTTCCCACAGCAGTACGGAGGGATGATCATGTCCGAAGCAGCATGCGAGCCACAATTACCGCAGGTACTACCCTGCGACGGGAACCAATCTACGTTCAAGAGTCTGGTTTCAGCCTGGCTGGCTTTTACGACCACGATTATGCCCTACACGCTGGATGAGATCCTACCGAGATTAAAAGGCTCCGCAATAGGAGCGGCCAAACAGTGTTCTGGACCCTCGCCCGACAAGAAATGTGGACAGCGGTGGTATCTAGACGAATACGATGGGACAACGGGCCTTCGCGAACATATGTGTGCATTGAGCATCTTTACAGCAAATATGGTGCCGTTCAAAAGCAAAGAGGCTGGGCAAGGCCCCTTGACAGCGGATACCGGAGGAAACAGCAAAAGTGACCCCAGCGCAGGAACAGGAAATCACAGGCCAGAGAAGGACGCACCACGAGAGATCACAACTGGCGACCGTGTTGGTGCTGGGATTGTGACTGTGGTTGTGCTGGGTGGATGGCTGGGCGTCGTGTTCTGGATGATGACAGGCCCCTGAGCCAGGAATCTGAAGTGTGGTCTATACAGAATCTGAGGAGTCCGGAGTCCAATGTACAGTATTATGAAAAATGAGCCGAGCCTCAGGTTTGATTCAGTCTCTATCGACCTGGATTGTAAGCGTAGGAGGATAAAAGACAACAGTCCTGGGAGGTTGTTAGTAGATAAGGAGGAGGATCCATGAGAGAATGGGCTGGATGACAATGTGTAGAATCAGTCGCCTACTATCCAATACATTCAACGACAATTATTGGGGCAATAAATATCCCTATCGGGGGTCAAGTATGGAGCAGTGGTTAAGGTATCATTGTCCGTGGAAACTAATACGCTGTGGGTATTCCTTATTAGGAAAGTATTACACGCACAAAGCCATCAAAGGTTCGGTTAACCTAACCTACTACTGTAAATAACTGTGGACTCTGAAGTATACCTAATACTCAGCTCGCTCAGCGTGGATGAATTATGGAATTCTAGTTGTGTTTGGCAAGCACAGCATAGTTCGCTACTTTCTGCATACCACCCTTACGTGTCGTCGATGGATGATCGACTTTAGGCAGTGTAAGAAAAGGTATCTAGATAGGAATGAATCGGCCTACTGCTCGTTTCAGTCTATTCACACGATAGTTGTCTTCGATTCTAATGTAAAGAATGATTCTATTGATATCCTTACCGTCATCATGCTACCATTCTTCCTCAATGCTCTAATCCCTCCTTCATTGTTGTTAGAGCTCCATTCCTTTCCTCTTTCTTCCCGTGTCTAGATTGTTTTCGCCCACCCCTAGCGAAATTTATACAACAGGGCCTGGAATAACAGTGCTCATGTTCGAAATGTCCCAGGAATCACGGTTAAAGGTGGGCCGTTGGTGGTCGTAGCGGGAACGGGGGTTCTCCTAGCATCGGGCATAGTGTTAGCAAATACATCATCTATCTATAATGACGTGGAAAACTGAAAGCCTCATACCGAAAACGGAGCTTAACAACTACCGGCTCTTCATCATGCTTCCTTTGTCCCATGTAGACTTGGATAATGTCGTAGAGTTCCTGCACTACTCGCTCGGACATAAGACGGCTAAGGGTGTAGTGTACTTATTGAATGTTTAACTTTCCGATAGGCACATGGACAGAACGAAGTACAAGGATTGAGACTCAGCGATCTAGTCCTGTCTAGAGCATAAGCATATGATGGCTTAGGCGAATGACATCGACTTTGCTTACTTATTGTACCCAGTTAGTCTACCCATCGTGGATCACTATACAGTATAGCCCTCTTTCTCTTTTTCTTGAATCCATTCCATAGTTCAAGAACCTGTCTATCGTCTTCAGCCCTCCTCGTCGCTCAACTAGCAGGCGTTCTTAGTGCTTGAGCCCGACACTCTACGAAAAGTTGTTATCTTAAAGCATTATATGGAGCTCATTTTTAAGAGAATCATGATCATGTTCTTGTTAGCTAGAGCTATCTCCTTCACTAACACTTGATTCCGCTTACTGGCCAGATCATCCCACTGGCCGGTCCAACCAGGACCGCCAGCCGGAATCCCCCGCCAATATGTTATGCCTGGAGCTACTACCGACGCAGTATCTTCTTCCGTGGTCATCCATGTATTGGGCAATTTGGTCCACAGACCAAGTAGCAGCACTTACTAACCCCAATAATCAGCATATTGCGCACAAAAACGCCTAATAAGTCAGTAGAGTATTCGAGCAGCGTCTGAGAGCCGTTTCGCCCGCAATGCCACATTTGTGGAACAGTCAAAGGGGCACAGGTGATCTTCTATTGAAAGATCAAAGAATCAACAAGAGCTCCTTTGGCAAGTCCCGCAGCCTCGTGGCCTGTTGAGTTTTGGACCCTTAGTAGTTCGATCATGATGGTATTTATCTAAATACTCTTATCGATCAGGCAGCTCCCTGCCCTTTGGGCCCAAGACTGCCCAGGTTCGTAGTCCATGGTGCCTTGGGCTCTCCTATCAGGTGTACCTCTCCTAAAAGACAAGTACACAATACCTTTTTCGTCGGCTTGAAGTAGCTAGGATTGATCCCGGTGGACGCCCGTCGGACAAAGCGAGAGAAATCCGGCCATCTCTTCTTGCGTACGTTTCCATTAGACTCGAGTCATGCGGCAGCACGCTGGATAGAAGTGACGTGCAATAGCGCCATAAAATGCCCATACGTCGCTAAGGCGACAACCAAAAGGTAGCCATGCAGCTCCTGGTGCGAGAGGATTCCAAAGCTGATTGACTCTGTACCGCTCATCCGGTGCCACGACGTGTGTTCAAGCGCCGGTCTCATACCTGATCCTTCGAAGCGAAGTACTGGGAGTCGACTAGCGATGGCGGTGATAGACATCATGCAGACAATATTTGACGTGGCTAGAGGAGTTAAGAAAGATAGTTGTAAGGGGGCTAACAGCTGTCTTTATATCCCCGGCTTGTTGAGTATGTGGGTTACGAACCATTTTATATAGGGAATATGCTGTTCCTGTATTTTTATTTGACATTGAATCACTTGATATATGTGTTCTGCACTACTTACAAAGCACAGTGCAGTGAATACCTTTCAAGGGTGCAGATTATTCCAAATGGGCGATGACACACCGTCGCGCGATTCACTTGTCTATCAATTGGGTGCATGGGTATGCATGGTGTTGGATGATCTCGACAAAGAGAATATCTGGTCATGACATCCAATAGCTTTGTCGGCCCTTGATTGAATTCGAATGGGAGATGGGCGACCAAGGCAGAATAAAAAGGATACGCTAGCAATATAAAAATGAGAAAAGCAAGGCTTGCTCTTAACACAGTTCGTCCGTCAAGGTGGGCAGCCGCTTGTGGGATACTAGGCATATCATAATACTACCACAAGCCAACAAAGGAAGATCTCCACTATGAAAGCAAGGATGACATGTCTGTCCAGTAATATTATAGGCTTAAGATATACTATCTACTGTAACCTAGGTAATTGATGGAGTTGATGGCGTCATCTATGCGCCGGCGCTTAGAAGGCTGGTCCGTGGCTGTGTGGAGTAGGTACTCGTTTGGATAACACTGCGGGCGCGTAGGTTAACTGCTCAAATAGCTCGCTGAAAAGCTTTCAGGATAAGATCCAGAATTACTCTGACTCAAGCTCCCAACCCCCCACCCAGTAAAGTAAACTATGGTACCGGTCATGTGGCTAGTTGACCGACTTGGTAGTCGAGATTTTTCTGGCGGTCCAACAGGCTGCTGTAGTTCAGGAAGCTGTGGCAGCTGCAGAGGTTGCCGAGGTTGGGGTTGTTGAGAAGTTCATGGGCGTGGCTGTTGTGGTTTGTGAGGTTGAGATAGTTTCCAAGGCTTCGGGGATTTCTAAGGCCCTTTGAGTTTGGGAACTTCGTAGATTATTTCTCCGGTTTAATTAGAAGGATGAAAGGGATGAGTGGAACGATGTGGTTGGGCGGTTTGAGAAGGCATTGCTGAGCAAAGACAATGCATTGGTGGCGTCCTGAGATGATTCTGGTTCTTGAGGCTCTTGGTTATCCTGATGTTGGTTATGTTGGAGGAGTTGGCTTATAGAGTTGGTAGATGGCTGATGCGATGACAAAGACGACTGGAAGTTGAAGAAGTATGGGTTGGGGAGGCGTTACTGAACATAGGTGTGGAATCAGTGTTGGACTGACCTTCGTGATGGCCTTGCTGTAGAGATTGCAAGGTATGCGGGGCTTGCGATGCGTCTTGTGTAGCACGCCTTGGAATGACGCCATGGGTGATTGGAAAAGCGTAGAAGTGAGGCCCGAGGAACCATTACTATGTATTGGCGCCGAATCAGAAGCGTTCTGCTGCTGCGCGTCGTGAGGCTCTTGGCGCTTTTCAGGTGGCGAAGGTTGCGATATGTAACTCCTTGAAATTTGCTGGAATGTCGTTATGGATGGACGAAAGGGTGTAGGTGTAGGATGTAGATGTAAATTACTACTCGGATGCGTGCCATTGCTGTCATCTGAGGCTCCTACGGTTCCTGCTGTTGTGTTTCGTGGCTTGTTGAAGGCTGGCTTGATGCGGGCGGTGGTTGATATGACAGGGCTCGATCCAGCGGAAAGCCCATCAGTGTCGAATCAACGGCGGCATGGGGGACCTGCGGTTCCTGGGGCTCTGGTATGCTATTGGTCCGTAGTTGGAACGATGCTTCGGATGGTTGACATGGTGCATAGGCTTCAAGTCATTGCAAGTTGCCATGGTCTGTGGTTGCTGCTCTTCTGAAGCTGGAGGCGCGACAATGTCCAGACCCTGTTCCAGTTCTCTTCGTGGCTCTCCTGCCTCAGCCCCTGGTACTATCTCATTACTTTCCTGCGGTTCCTCCAGAGCCTTCATCACACGCTGAAGCGTGTTAGCACTCTTCGCCTGTTCCAAGAGCAGGTAGGTAAGGAATCTCTGAACCCTAACAGACGTAATTACCGGTCCACGCCGAATCTGTTGAAAATAGGTAGCGTAGTCCTCCTCAGTCTTTGGAACAGCATACTTCGCAAATCATATCACCATCAGGATATCAGTATCCATAAACGCCACGGGCAAGACCCAGGGGGAGCTTCAGGAGGCGGACGCCGCGGGGTCCCCTTCCCAGCCTCTAGCGACTGCAACCAAGTTCTGCGAAATTCCGGCCTACGGACCAGCCAGCGCTGCGCCCACTGACTTCCTACCGCGTGGAACTCAATCATCAAGTGTTCACATTTATGCTTATTCAAGTCGTTCACAACCTCCAGAATCAGCACGTTAGTCGGTCAACGGCCTTCTTCTTCCACCCGCCGCAGTGCTTCTTTCCCGATCGAGTCCTCGCCTGACTTATCCAGCTTCTAGAGTTTATACTTCGGGTTCTTCAGTAATGGCCCTCTTCTCGGTGGCCTTCTTCTCATACTCCTTATGAATATCCGGCCTGGAGGGTATAACAACGAATAACTCGGGATACTGTGGCGATGGCCGACGTTGCGCTCGCGGCCGCGGTCCCATTCTGAGGCCCACTCCGTTTTGAACGATTTGTTTGCGCGGGCGGGTCGCACTCGGAACATTACGCTCTTGGGAACTTTCCAACATCGTACCGTGAGCTAATTCGTGATGGACATGGAAAGTGTAATATTACTCACGCATCGTGCTGAACGCGTCTTGAGGTGACGCGATTCATATTCAGGGGAGAGTCGACGTGGATGAGTTATAGATGGTCGGAGATTCCTTATTCCGGTTATGCCATTGCCTGGTACATCGGGCATCACTTTCCTCACTCCTACTCCTGTGATAATATCGTTGGAAAAGGCAGGGACAGTAATTATTATGTCTTCGTTCTTATTTTAATTGATATATGCCATGAGCGTACCGACTGAAATGCTCTATCGGAATTTGTGAGTACAAAATGAGGCTAGATTACAATATATATATATAAGTTCATTCACAAAGTCCAACTGCCTTGTTACCGTAGTTGATCACCTGATGCACGTCCCCACCTGGTGCACGAAAACCATTACTTTCACTGACATTTAACGTAGCTTTAAACAACCATATCTCAACAAATATGAAGCCAATTGAAGCGGCGCTTGCAGAATTAGATTCCTTAAATCCAGACAAATCGATTAGCTATACTAAAGTTGCAGAAAAATATAGGGTTAACCAGTTAACTCTTTCAAGGCACCACCGCGGTGTCATGTATGCAAAAGATAGCCAGTATAAAAACCAGCGAGTACTTAACAACCAGCAATTAAAAGCCCTTATTAGCTATATAGAGAAGCTTACTGAACATGGCTTATATTCTTTATATAAGATACTTAGAAATTTTTACTACAGAGATTACTGGAAAGAGGTCTAGAAAATACTGGCCTGGCCGCTAGTTAAAGCAATTTCCTGATAATCTTCTCTTAAAATATACTACCGGCATGGATACCTCTTAAAAGCGGGCTGATTCTGTATATAAATATACACTATATTTTGAGCTTCTCCACCACAAGATACAAGAATATAATATATAGCCGGAGAATATTTATAATATAGATAAAAAAGAATTTCTTATTAGAATTATTAGTAAAGACAAGCAGATCTTCTCTAAATAATGGTATAAAAGAGAAGGCAATAGGCAATATCTCTAGAATAGTAATTAAAAGTGGATTACTACTATTGTGTGTATCTGCACTGATAGAACCTTACTATTGCCAGGCCTTATATACTAAGCAGTATCTGATAAGCTACAAGATAGCTAGCTACAAGACTTTAATACTAATAATTACTAGTGTTTCTTTATCTCTTCTTCTACTGGTTAGATTAATAATAAGCTAGGATTTATGTGGCTTCAAGATATCTTTAACCAGGAGACCAAGAATAAAGCTAAAAAGAGATAGCAGCTATTAATTCTTGATAGCTATAGTTTCTATATTAATATAAAGTTTCTTAATTACTATAAGATAAATAAAATATATATAGTAATCTATCTATTTTATTCTACTTATTCTCTACAATTACTTAATATCAGTATCTTCAGGTCTCTATCCCGGGTATACAGTGACAGTTTAGAAGACTTTTTATATAATAGTTAAGATCTAAGTTATATTACTAAACATAATTTCTTTTATCTTTTCTGGCCAGTTTAGAATAAGGCCTTATTATCAAAAAATATTAATTCTGTATAGAAATCTGTGGATATATAGCTATAGAATCCTAAGATTATTCTATAGAGATTTATAAGAGAGAATAAGACTAGACTATCTTCTAGTGAGTTCTCTTGCTCTATACTAGGCTCAAAAAATTAAAAGAGAATTAAGAGACTCTTAAAGTAAGTTATTAATAATATATATAACTAGAAAATAAAGAAATTAAGTTTTATAATATATTATCTTACTACAGAGAATATTCTGCTAAAATTATACTGTAAAGATCTTGAAAAGACTCTTTAGAATAAGAAGAAGAAATACTAGTAAAATAAATCTCTTTTATTTAAATTATAGATACCAGAGAATAGTAATGCTGTCTTTTACTCTTCTTAAAAGATTTAGCAAGTCCGGGATCTTTAAATATAAAAGGACAAAGCTATATAACTTGCTAAGGCTTTAAAAGAGAAGAAGAAGCTATACTATTAACAGAAGAAAGAAAAGAAGAAACACTTACAAGAAGAATATAAGAAAATCTAGATATCTAATAAAGAATTATAGCTTCATGAGTTAGAGAAAAAGAAGCATTAAAAGGAGAAGACACGCCTGGCTAAGGAGATAGCTGTACAGCTTTAAAATAACTTTAAACAGGTCAAAAGACATAAGAAGGATCTCCCAGTAACTCTAGAGATAAAGAATAGTACAGATAAAGTAGTTACTGATACTAAAGGTATCGCGGAGGCCTCTACAACAGTAAATTGACAAGGTAGGCAGATCCGCCTCCCACAACGCTTCCGGGAGTAATAAGATGTATATATAGGTTCTTTAGGATGTTAGTATCAAACCACCGAAATATCTCTGTATAATTCAGGTTGTATATGGTTAAAAAGCTTCAGTTTTGTTGTTGACGTTATGTTGAAATTCGTGCATCAGGTGGGGCCGTGCATCAGGTGATCAACCACGGTATACTAACCTCCCATTACTAATATAGAGATGCCCAAGTTGACTTTCTATCGTAGATACATGAAAGTGCCAGTGCAATTACCGTGAAGAAAGAATTAATTTCAATTTAGAAGCTAGCGAGGCAGTGTCTATTCTCTATATATCCTATCAAATGAAGCTTCCCCTAGTTGAAAATCTACTCAAACTTTTGCTATTTCTTGACAAGAAACCTGGGTATCTATTCCTCCAAAACTGTCCGTCGTAGGCATAGACAAACTGCAATGAGCCGCAAGTGACAGTGATAGCTTGAAGACGTTCGTCTACAATCCCCCCATCAGAATATTTGTTAGTCCTTGCGTGACTCGAATATCAATCGCAGTCGTCCCGGGTTTGACGTGAACTGGTCTTTCCAGTCATTCCACACCGCGTCTCCCGTCTCACCAGGAGGGAACCGAACACTGTATTGGCGCAACAACCGCGCTGCAATGAGCATCATGTCATTCATAGCAACTGCTCGTCCGAGACAGCTGTGGTGACCTAAATGCCAGGGTAAGTCGAAGTGTTTTCAAGCGAAAGAGGCGTAACCGCGAAAAAGTATCACATACCAGTTCCAAACGGCGTGTAGGCGGCTCGATTGCGTACCATTTCTGGGCGTGTGGTCCATCGCTCGGGGATGAATTTCTCGGCTTGCTCGAAACAGTCCTCTCCTGTTCACTTTGAGTGAGTACCAGAACGCGCGACATAGACGGGTACTTACGGCGCGAGATCGAGAACCGTGGAGCCACAATAGTGGTCTCAGGAGGAATGTATGTACCTCCGATGGTGATCCCCTCCTGCAGTGTCTTGCGGTAACCCCCAGTAGGCAGAGCAGGATAAAGTCTTAGTGTTTCTAGAATGGCAGACTCTAGGTGCGGACATTGGCACAATATCTCCCGGCCGTCACGGATACCGACCTGTTTGACCTCGCTATGAATGATGTCTGCATGGGATGGATTTTTGCCGAGCTCATAAAATAAGGCGATCAAGGCGACGGCTGTGGGCTCACTGCCCGCCACAATGGCAAGGATGCTGTCTCCCGTTAACCATTCTTCTTGGCCCGTGCTTTCCTGGGCATCCTGGAGAAGGTAGTGGGCGACATCCGGGGTCTCGGATGGATCTACGTGAATCTGTGTAACGGCCGATCAGAGAGAGTATTCATACTTGCTTCGGTGGGATACAATGAGCAAGAAACGATATCACCTACCAGCCTCCGTTTCCGTAATCGACTTTCACACCAGGCGACCATGTCAAACCAATCTTTCAAGATCCAGACTCGGGGAAGGAGTTTGAACGCAATATGGACCAACCAGGGCACAGGGCTCAAGGGTCCGAGGACCGATAGGGCCCGTTGCAAAAGAATGATAACATGGTTCCATCGTCTATCAGAAAGCATCTCAAATGTTTCGTAAAAGATAAAGTCCCCCATGCGATCGAACCCTAGCCAATAGAAGAGGTCGGTGACCTCAGACACTCGTTCCGCAGCAATGTCCGACTGGATGCAATAGTCTAGTTGGTCAATAATGGGCAATACTCGCTCCTGATAATGGTTCAGTGCTTGGGGTTCGTCAGCAAATTGCTCATGCTTTTGCCGGCATAAGTGTTTCTTCTAACCCTTGGAGTTAAATCCTCGGTTCCACTGCCGACGTCGACTTCCATGCGTCTCTTTGTCGCGAGCAGTCACCAGGGCTTTGTTCGGATGCAGTAAGTCATACCACTCTGACTTGATGCATTTGCTATTTGGGCCGTCAATAGCCATGAAAACATCAGGGTGAAAGACCGTGATCTCGCTAGGGCCTGGGGGGATCTCAGATGTGAGTTCAAGCGAGCATAGTGGTAAGAGGTACATTGTCCGTAGAACCTACCAGTCCGTATGAAATCGCTCCCATAGCGTCTGTGCAGATCTGCTAGAAGGAAGTGATTGCGACGAGATCGGCATTTCCACATGTGCCAAAGCTTAGTGACTCGGGCCCAAAATGGACCAGGGAAGTGAGACAGACGGTGGAAGTAGAGTCGGTAGATAGTAATACTAGAGAAGAGAGCTAGCAGGTAACCCGTGATGCTTTGCCATGCGTTATTGACTGAGATTGCTAAAGAAAAGAAGCAAATAAGATGCAACACAAGGATATTGGGGGCCTGAATATGCCATTCACCATGAATAAACAGCCAACGGTGTATTCCAACCCCCAAAAGGGCTCCTATCAAGAGGTTGAATGAACAGTTCATGATGGAAGTAGTAGTCCACAGGCCGTGCCAGGTTGACGGCTTTCAGGGCTAGATTCGGCGAATGTAAGATGTCATTGAAAAGTTCATAGGCAGATACATAGGGCATGGACGGCACCTGATGCCTATATTAAGCCGCATTACAACCGTCAGGTTTCTTTGGCGTACTTGAGGATAAACTCAACTAAAACTAGTCATCCACATTCCAGATGGTAGGACTATTTGGTGCTTACAACAATCCAATGTCTACCCCAAAGTCACCTCGGTTAGCGGAGCTACCGTCCCTCATCTGGCAGTTTACGAAAAGCGACTTTTCAACTTTTGTCTTGCCTAATACAGGATTCGGCCTTCTTGCGACATTCTCTGCGCCATCATTGACTGACTGTACCGACGGGATTGCGGTCTGGGCTCTGCTGCTCCGGGGTCTCCCATGCATGTTGATATTCAACTGGGGAAACCTGCTAGTATTCGATCTAGCCAACCAACGCCTCCCGGAGTCAATACGGGAAGATTCGATGAACAAGCCCTGGCGCCCACTGCCTAGCGGACGGATCAGCCCCATCGTGACGCGACACTTCTTGCTTGGAGTGGTTCCGGCTGTCTTGGCTGTCAGCTATGCCCTCGGGGTAGGGAACGAAAGCGCGCTGATCTTAATCCTCACCTGGATGTACAATGACCTAGGTGGCGGCGATGAGCTTACAAGAGACCCCATTATTGCCGCCGGCTACTGTCTCTTCCTTGTCAGCTCCCTACGGATAGCTATCACTCCGCGCTTCCATCTCTCACAATGTGGGTATTGTTGGCTGGCCATGATAGGCGGGATGGTTCTCACTACAATGCATATACAGGACTTAAAGGATCAGACTGGAGATCGTGAGAGAGGACGCAAGACATGGCCACTGGTACTGGGTGACAAAGTATCGCGCAGGTGGCTTACCGGCGCCATTCTATTTTGGAGTCTCGCCTGTGTCACCTTCTGGAACACGCCGCCCTGGGTATCTTTAGTTCCCATTTGCATGGGGATTGGGATAGGAATCATCGTTATGCGGGGAACTGATGATGCGCGGGCCTGGAAGCTTTGGTGCATTTGGCAGGTTGTTCTGTATGCCTTGCCATCATTGTCCCAATGGTTATGAGACTGGTAATGGGAACAAATGTATATTGCAGCATAGGCTTCCTGCTGGGCCCTGTAGGACGTCGATTAGCTCAATATGCATGGACTCCCTGTGCTTACGTTAGATGATGAACCTTTAGGTTTAAACCGACCATGGGAAATGGAATGCATTTAGACATCCGTCGATTCAGACGTGAGAGCAATAACTTCCGTTTCCCTCGTATTGATTATTTCGAGTTTCCTCCACAGGCATGGTCGTGTGACCACGGACCACGTGCGAAGGTTACAGGATGCAAGGTTGTAGTATTGTTGATATATATAGGCCACCGAGTATTAAAGCAGATATGTGTACTACACTGTTGAGTTGAACACCCCCCCGCACTGGAGCATCGGGTTATGGATAGAGCAACAACGCCCTTTCACCACCTTGTGGTCCTCCTGCTACCCCTGCTCGGGGTTGTCGCATCAGCTGCAACCTGCCGCTGCTTTCCTGATGAGGCTTGTTGGCCGTCACCTCTGGAGTGGAGTGAATTCAATGCGACTGTTGGGGGAAACCTGATCGCGACTGTTCCGATAGGAAGTGTCTGTCACACCAACAACACGTATGCTGCGTATGACGCTAAGGCGTGCACCGATTTGATTTCCAACTGGGGAGACCCAGCGAGACACTATGAGAGTAGTTCGTCGCCGATGGCTGCCTGGTTCACGAATTTCAGTTGCTCGCCATTTGGACCGTTCAATTCTCCCTGTGCAATCGGGCCGCTGGTGCGATACGCTGTAAATGTCACCTCAACGGCTGACGTGCAGAAGACATTAAACTTCATCCGCGAACATAATATCCGGCTCGTCATACGTAACACTGGCCATGATTATATGGGGAAATCCACGGGAGCGGGGGCTGTTGCGATATGGGTCCATCATCTGAAGAAGATAGAGCATGTTCAGTATTTCTCCGACAGGTATACAGGGCCCGCCTTGCGGATGGGAGCGGGAGTCCAGGGCTTCGAAGCCACAGCAGCCGCCCAGGCGCAAGGCCAGCTCCTCGTATCCGGAAACTGTCCCAGTGTCGGTCTTGCCGGAGGCTATACACAGGGCGGAGGCCATGGACAGCTCGTGTCACAATTCGGCCTAGCGGCGGACCAAGTACTCGAGTGGGAGGTGATGACAGCCGGCGGCGAGCTATTGACTGCATCTCCATCTCAGCATGCAGATCTGTTTTGGGCGCTGAGTGGAGGCGGAGGAGGAACCTATGCCATTGTGCTCGGCGTTGTGGTCAAGGTGTATCCAGAGATGAAAACCGCCACGGCCACCCTGTCATTTACTGACAGTCGTGTCACCCCGGAGGGATATTGGGAGATTATTCGAGGGTTCTTGGTGGATACGCTCGCGTTAGTGGATGTTGGAGGGGTTGTGGTGTGGACCATTGCTGCCACTGGCTTTAGTGTCACCCCCGTGACCCTGCCGGGTGGCAGTCAAGCCCAGCTGCATTCTTACCTTACGCCCACTTTGACTCGCCTGAAGCAGTACAATATGACTTACCGTACGTTCCCCAGTTCCCTAATGAACCAACCAAAAGAAGCTCATCCCGATACTACCTTAGAATACGAAATCACCGAATTCTCGACCTTCTATGACAGCTACCAAGCCACGAATCCCTCAATGAACATCACGGAATTTCAGATCGGGAGCCATCTAATTCCTCGGTCCACGGTGGAAACCAACTCAACAGCGGTGATCTCCGCATTAATAGATATCCTACATGAAGGGGTGACCATCTCCGGCATCTCACTGAATGTGTCACGGACTGCCTGGCCAGACAACGCCGTCAATCCAACCTGGCGTGACACAGCCATGTCAATCGTGCTCGGAACGTAAGTTTGTCATATTTTTTCTTTGTTCATACATTTGACTTGACTTTCTAAACGTTCCACCGTGCATTCCATTCTAGACCGTTCAATTACACCGATCGCGGGGTAAACGAGGACCGGCAAGCTCTCATGACCAATGTCCTGATCCCCCGCCTCAAGGCCATAAGTCCCGATGGTGGCGCTTACCTCAACGAGGCGGACTGGAAACAACCAGATTGGCCTTCAGCGTTCTATGGCGAACACTACGAGAGGCTATTGGCGATCAAGGATAAGTATGATGTGGACCAGGTCCTCTACGGGCGGACCGCGGTGGGCAGTGAGCGGTGGTCTGAGCAGGACGATGGGCACCTATGTCGAGCTACGTAGGCCTATCAGAGGCCACAGTGCACAAACACACTCGTATCATTGACAAAAGAACCATTAAAATAAAAACCGAAATGAATGATCCCGGTGCAGCCACAGGACTGTTTTCAATGATAGAAACCTTTCGTATGAAACGAAATAGTACTCGTTTACGAAGATCGAATCAGGTCGGCCGCTCGCTCTGCTACGGCATATACGGTCGCCATAGGGTTGGCGTGGGAGATGAGGGGGAATATACTCGCATCCACTACACGTACATTCTCCGTGCCATAGACCTTTAGATCCTGCCCGACTACGCCGCCGTCCTCGCGGGGAAGCATGGCGGCCGTTCCACAGGAGTGGTAGGTTGGTAGCGCCATGGACTCGCGCAGTAAGCTGCGGAGCGTCGTAATGTCCGTTGGCCGCGAACCTTGAAGGAAAGGCCGAAGAGCTGCAGAAGACGGGATGTTTTGTAAGTGCTGCACATGCCGGACTAACATCTCCATGTCCAACGGATTCGCCAAGAATCGTGGATCAATGCGTGGCATGGCATCTGGGTCTGCGGATTGGATATGGGTACTGCCCCGGGACAATGGAAACCCAGGAATAATACCCAGCAGTGCCATATTTCCGGGAAGGATACTGACGAAAAGGCAAGCGGAGGCCTCGTTCGGATCCTGCAGGATAGATTGGATAACACGCTGGGAGCTATCACTAGATCCCGAGCTATCCAAGAGCTCCATCATTTCAGTACCTAGACGGACAAAGGCTAATGCCTTGATCCCTGGTGAAATGCCTTCGATCTCGGGACGCGCGTTGAGGGGAACCGGTAGAACACTCATGACGTGGTTCTGTAAGTTCTCGCCCACGCCAGGCTGGTTGATTATGAGGGGGACCCCAAGATCACGCAGTCGGCTTTCATCGCCCACTCCTGATAGTTCCAGTATTTTGGGTGTCTGGAAGACACCAGCGGCTAGGATAACTTCTTTGGTGGCCGTGATCGTGACCACCTGATCATGCCATCGAGCTTGGACACCGATCGAAACGGCCTTCTGGGTTACTGTTTTAGAATCAAATAGCAATCGGTGGACGGTTGCGCCCGGCGCAATCGTGACATTGCTGCGGCTACGCAGGATGGAGCCGTATTGAGTGTCAGCACTGCTCCGAAGACCTGACTCTGGATCAATTGCAGCCGTATAAGCTCGGGTACCGACCGTTTTCTGTTCCGCAAGCCAATCGCTAACATATTCATATCCGCTGTCCCTAAAAGCATCATTCCACGCCTCGATGAGTACGGTGTCCGCTTTGTCCACGAGCGCCGGATAGATCACTTGAACTGGTCCGTCCGTTGGAGGGCGCACACTTCGGTGAGGTTGAGTCTCGAGCTTCGGCGGATGGAGGGTATATGACTTCTGGAGGTACGGTACCAACGACTCCCAGTTCCAGTCCGGATTTCCCAGCTTGGCCCAGGCATTGATGCCCGCTGGCGAAGGCGGAAGAAATGCCGACCCGTTAATAGCAGAGGATCCGCCCAGGGCTTTTCCCGCCGGGTGGTCCACTGTTCGATTGTTGAAACCCGCCTCAGGAACATCTTAGCTCACAGGCGGCTATCATGCCTTGCTCACTTACCTGGGGACAGGTCTTAAACTGCCAATCAAGCTCGGAGCCCGTCAAGGTAGTCCAGGCTGCGTGGTCCTTCACCCGAGGATCCTCGGTACGATCTGGACCGGATTCCAGAATGAGGACGCGTATGGTGGGGTCTTCTGACAGTCGGCATCCAACCACTAACCCTGCGGTGCCCCCACCCACAATGAGATAGTCTGCATTCCGGGGGAGGTCGCCGGCGATCATCGTGTTTGGGGTTTGATAATGTTGGGAGACCGTATATTGAGTGATGAGTAACAAGGTATGGCTGGAGGGGAGAGTTAGTGAGGGAGGTAAGTGAAGAGTCACTATAAGTAAATCAGAGAGACAAAGAGAAGAGTGCCAGGAGTTGGTTGGTGAATGGCAGGAGGATCCTTGAACTACTATTATTTATGTACTACCCTAAAACAATAAGTGTGTCCAGTATAATGGATCAAAACCAATTATCAAATTATGATAATACTAGTTGACAACCAACCATAATATGGCTAATTAAAAATTAAAACGTATAAAAATTTCAACAAATCGTCATAAATATATGTATAACGGTGTATAATACGGGGATCAAGCTCCAGAGTCTAGGCCCAAAATCTACCCCACTCCAAGTAATGTGACAGCTCGGACAGCCACCACGGGACTTTATGCACACTTCTTCCTCCGATTAACCAACCATCGCTCGTTTTTGATTTTGTTGGCCACCATGGACCCGGAAAGGGCAGGACTACCGATCGTTGAACAACGACATCAACTATCTTTACTCTCCGTCTTGCATAGTATTATCAATCTCGTCATCACACCGTTTCTCTCCGCGGTTCCGATCCCTGTTCGACCGAAATGTCATGTCGGATTTGTATGGCGTTTGGCTGCATATTCTGCACCAACCCCACATCATCATCATCATTCGATCCGTGAGTAGCACCTACCTTGGCCGTATAGCCACAGCCCTTCAGCTCGACGGTTGAATCCTGCGTTGAATCGAGGACATCCTTCCCTCGCCGCTGCCGAGGAGTACTCCCGATAGTATGACGGGCCTCGCGGAGGTGGCGTTCCCCCGTCGACCGTTGTCGAGAAAGGAGAGGCTCGATGTACCGTCGGAAGAGAGGAGCCAGCGTGGGCAGCGTGATAATAATGATGCTGAGCCACAGTTCGAGAAAGCTGGCTAAAGCTATACGACCCAATCCGTGCACAAAATCCATCTGGGTGGCCGGATCGAGGGTGATCAGGAGCCGCCAGATCATCACAGCGACGACGCTGTATCTCCGTCAGCAGACATTTCATGGGATAGGTGCTCAGGGCGGCGACGGTGGCCTACATCAAACCCATGAGAAACATTGTCCCGACCGTGATTTTGTTTCGTAGGGCCATGTGCAACTTCCAGAGAACCGAAATGGGCAGCACCGCGATGGCCGAGTCCATGAAGATGTTGAGGGTGATAGACGCAACCTCCGACGGGACGAGCGACTTACACCACCCACCCGGCACTGGCTTCCATCCATACGAGAGAGGGTAGCATTGGGTGAGAAAGACAGGCAGGAATGCCACAAAGTAGGCTCCCACGAAGCTGCACGCTATCAAGACCAGGATGCGGAAAGGCCGTGAGGTGCGAAAGAGAGAAAGATAGAGAGTGAGGATAGACAGCTTACACGCAACGGTGCTAACGAGCCAAGTCACACATGCGGTAATGAGGAGCTATAAAGAGACGGTGGTCAGTGTCGTCAGGGTTATGCCGTTTATAGCACGTACTTGCCATTGGACCCCAATCTCTGTTGGGGACAGCACCTCCGTATGGGCTCCCAGGCCATTAGCAATGGCCCACCATCCCACTACTGCCATCGCAGTTGCGCTCAGCTGGAGATCGTTATCAGTATGGTCGCAGCGAGCACATAGTGGCTGATCACGTACGTATGCGACAATCACCAAGTAATCATGGCTGTGTAGACCCCTTCCAGTCATATGAATCGACCATAACCGTAGGCCAATCACTATTGTTGTAAGACTGGTAAAGACTCCCATCCAAATGGCTAACCTGATCCCCGAGGAAGTGGCTCCCATTTTTTGAGGTGTAGTATGGACCAGTGACTTTGGAGCATCTCAGGCCGACAGCGATGATAGTAATACGAGGGCAGAGAGAAAAGTAAAGGGGAAGATCTCACGTTATTAACTTTAAATCCATCAGGATGACATTCTTCTAAAATAGCCGATGATCAGATGCTACTACCAATAGTACGAGTACCGTGGTTGTGCAACCACTGTTTACCCCTCTTCATTCTTCAAGCTGACTTACTTGACTTCCGTCCCTTAACCACCCTCGAAAGAACCTCATAAGTCCACTACCTCCACAGACACAATATGCAGCCACCGTTGCCGTCGTTGACCACGACCTGGCATAACAAGTCATATCCCGCCATCTCCCCTTCACGCCCAGAACTCAGTGCAGCGGGGAAGACCATAATCATTACCGGTGCCGTAAGCGAGTTCCACCACCAAGTTCTGTCTTTCTCCTTTTTATGTTCGCTAAGTGACATCTTTCTCCTTTTAGGGCAGTGGGATTGGTCGCGCAACAGCCTTGTCGTTTGCTCGTGCCGGCGCAAGCAACATTGTCCTCGTTGGTCGCACTAAAGCGACCTTACAGGAGACTCAAGACTTACTTCCATGTAGTAGCTCCGTTCATGTAGCGAGCGTCACTGATGAAAAGTCTATTTCGGACATCGCTGCGGCGGTGGGGGCGTGGGATGTTCTAGTTCTGGCAGCGGGTTACCTCTCTAAACCCATGTCGATCCAAGAGTCCACCACTGAAGAATGGTGGCAGAGCTTTGAGGTACGCAATGGCCCACTTCCCGTGGGAAGTTGATCCCAAGCAGCCTTCATGGTAAACATGAAAAGATGACTGATCATGAATAGACCAACATCAAGGGCACCATGATCACCTCCAAGGCGTTCCTTCCTGCAGCCAATCCGTCCCACGCCGCGATCATCGCATTGAGCGCCGGCATTGTCCTTCCCCCGACCATGCTGAAGGGTCTGTCTGCGTATACCACGTCAAAGCTCGCCCTGATCAAAGTGATAGAATACCTTGCGGTGGAGAACCCGTCACTCTTTGCCGCGGCACTTCACCCGGGGATGCTTGAAACAACAATGTTCAAGAAAACCGGGGCGGATCCCACTAGTCTGCCGCTAGATGTCTGTGAGTGGACCCTCTCTATTAGCGAAAGAATCCAAAGTCGAAGAACTAACGGTATCTGGCATAGTGGAGCTCCCTGGAGACTTCATGGTGTGGCTGACGAGCAAAGAAGCATCATTCTTGAACGGCCGTTACGTCTGGGCTAATTGGGATGTGGATGAACTAAAGGCAAAGGCTGAAGAAATTCAAGCAGGATTACTCTTAACATCGGGAGTTTACGGGTGGCCCTTCGCGTAAGTCTAGTGTGAATCACGAGTACGGGTCGGAGGAAAATATATTCAGTTCATGGCAGGTGGTTTAGTTAAGCCGTCATTGCACTCACGTCATTCTTGATTTAAATATTATTACTGCTACTATAGCTATTTTGTTTGGTTTGTCATGTTTGTTACTAAATTTCGCCTTTGAGCTGTTGTTGGTGTTCCATCTGCCATCCGACTACACTACATCCATCTAATGATATTGTCCGGGAACGGCAAGCAATTATTGTAGCGGTTGACCATCGATCTCGCCCATGAAGGTTAAATCTGGTAACCCATTTTATCTGTGCAGTAACATTGTGTCCGGCCATGAGCGCGTCAAGTAGTTCGTCCCACACTGATGCGTCGCTGCCGATGCGCGACAAGAATGACGGTTGGAGAATACCAGGAATTTGTAGGGAAGGGGAAGTAAACCAGATTCGGAGGGATGGAAAGCTCGGACAACTAGATACTGGGGACGATTAGCATTAAGCATGAACCGCGAGAATAAAGGAGAAAGAGAGATCCACAGTTTCATATACATCCGTCAGCGACCCCCGGAAAAGCGTGGTCTTGATGTCTCTCTCCCGAAGTGCATCCGTCTCGATTGTGTCGGCTGTTGAACATGCGCGACTACGACCTTGCCAATTTTGATCCTTCACTGATGGAACTGGACTAAAGAGATTGCCTCCCACCTCGTGCGTTACCTCAAGCTCCCGCGGACTGAATAATTCGCTTAGCTCGCGAAACTCGTGCGAGTAGACAACTTCTTTCGTCACCCCGTCCTTTTCGGGAGGATACCCAGCTTCCGTTCTGTGTTGTTTATCCAGCAAAGCACATAACGGCTCCATCTGTGCCCCTCCCATGGTCAAGCCGGACACATCGATTGGGCGCCAATGAAGTACCGGACCGTGCCCTGGCTATCGCAGAGGGGCGCGCATTGCAGAATGTTCGTGAATGGCGAGCCATCGTGGTGACTGTTGTGGCCGTTAGTAATCTTTGCACTGAGCACAAGAGGCGACCTGGCCATACTAATTAAGGAACAGCTCGGAACGATGTTTTCCAGCTTCCAGTGCGTCTTTAATTCTTCTCAATCTATTGGGGTTCGTCTTGGGACCCTGGAAGAACCGACAGTTGCGGCCAAGCACATAGTCCGTTTCATATTGCGTTGTGCGATGGAACTCTATTTGATGTTTCGTCAACACCGACTCCGCACTGAAGAGCCACTAGACAGGAGATCTTACTTTCTGACGCAAAGACAATCGGATTGTCTTCTGCGACGGATCCGTCAGGCAGAACACTTTAGCTAGCCTATCTGACGTTTTCTGAAATCTGGACGTGATAAATACCGGCAGTTCTTCAGCTGTAAGCACTTGTGGTGCTTCCTGGACGCGACGCTGGAGTGCCAGATTGAAACTTTCCCCGACTTGTTCTGAGGCCGCGATGGTGATTGGAGGCACATGGATGGAGCATCGAACCAGAACGTTCGCGTCTCGATTGCTTTTAGCGCCTTACGCGTATTCGAGTAATAGGTTAGCATCTGGAGTGAGTGTGGGCACTCTTCGAGAAGAAACTCGCGAAAGCGCACTAAGTAATACGGGCTGTTGAGGATGGAGAGCATGTGCTTGGGGAAGAACATGATTTCCGCGAGACGCTCTAGGCTGTGCAGAGGTGCTTCGCAGGAGTCATCAAATGGGGCGATGAGGCCGTATGAGTACCCGGCTTCTTGGACGGGGTGGAACTGCTCCAACCCGTCGTAGGGGCTTTTCCTTGCAGGAGTGCTAGTCCGTGGATCATGTAATTTCGGCAAAGGGTTTTGATGGAAGCGCGTGGGCTGCTGGTGGTGGCATTTTCCAGGCTTTTCGCGCCGCTTGGGGGCCGAGAGAAGGAAGAGATGAGCTCTGCGTGAGGACTGTGGTTATAACACAGTTTAGATGGTGGAATTGCATGAACGTCAGGTGGATGAAGCACCTACTTTGTAGGGGGATAGTCGCCCAATGCGACTCTGAAGGGGTAGGATAGTAGAGAGGCTGTGTCAAAGCAGGTGTATCGGTCCATGTTGGCGGTTGGCTGAGTCGCCTCCACGAAACCATGGGGGACTGAATGTGTCTTATGCCCTGCGACCTCCCATACAGCTTTATGATATATCCAACGATCGCTCTGGTGTGACTCCTGGACCTCAGATCCACGCAGCTTAAGGCAACCTTACTTTTTGGACCATGAAGCGATCGACGACGATAAGCAAATGAGCTGTTCGATCGACCGGAGCATCGTAAGTGACATCCACGAGATCGGGATTGTCAGTTCGCGGGTCATGCACCGGTAATGGTGCGGGAGATGTATAATCTTCCGACAACACCAATACATAGCAGACTCTCACTACACTATGGGTTGTGGCTTCTTGGACAGGGTGATGTATCCGCAGACAGTACCTGAGCAGATGGAAAATAAATTCGAAATGGGTTGGATCAATATCTGTTGAGTTGGAATGGTTGCGTACAGAGAACAATCGATTGGTTCCTTTTTCATGCAGGTACTAGTAGTCATACTGCATGCAAAATCATAGAGCGGGACCGACCCCACCCGATCAACTTCTAGAAAGGCTGGGACACCTTTGTTGGGACTTCCTAATTTGTCAGGCTATCGCTGTTGCCGTGCAATTGTTGAAGTCATCCAATGTTGTCCAGATAATGAGGGTGTTGGATAGCACATACTATGTCTTCAGCCTTTCTGCCTCAGGTGTGAAATACCGACAAAACAGGGCAAACAACACTAACGACTTGATACCCTTTACTGGGCAAAAAGAAGTGCAATGTAAGTCAGTGAGCAGTGTTCAGGGCATCAAGCATATTCCCTACTGGAAAGTAACGAGAGTCAAACTTCAAGCGTTGCTGACGTTGTCAGAATTCTGTATCGCAACTAGACCCAGGTCACGACACTTGGTTTTGTGTGCAAAAAAATGGCCTGCCAACATCCGCTTGGAGAATGGTTGTTGGCTTGAAGATCATACTTTCCGGGTGTACTCAAGTTTTATATAGTCCTACACCTTGTACTCGGAAAGGACCATGCAGGAATGAATCATAAGGTGCACTGTCCCTTTGTGGAGCACGCCGATCGTGGAGTTCTTTATACTCGAGAACAGAGAGCAGCGCCAGTCGAGCCGTGGTGATATCAAAGGCGTTTTGTAGGTCCTCCTGTGATCGGATGGCGCACGCTACTGGGAGGATCCATCGAGATGGTCGGAACTCTGATGCCCGGCTCGCACCATCCGAAGAGCATCATCGGGTAGCTCAGATCGCCTACGAGCCACCACACTGGCCATGGGAGAGCACACAAGAACCTATCAGAAGACGGAGGCACAATGCACAGTACTATTAATCAGAGTTAGGATGGACTTGTGGGCTCCTAGGTCGGGCATCCAGGCTCTTCTTTCTTCACATTATCCGAACGAACCACTTCTGTATCTTAGGATGCCTGCGTGGCGGCCATGCACGATCGATGACCAGACGACTGGGACTGAACTACGTTCCGACACCTTTCCCTGAAGTGACAGGAAGACCTTTCGTCAGATTATGTACTGTACCCTTGCTTGTACCTTGCAGGATGCAAAGTCACGATCGTATCGTGCGCTGTAACAGTGCTATTGCGGCATTGTGATACGTGATACGGAGTACACCCCTTTATATCTCGCAGCTGAGATTATCCTAACCAGGGCGATTTTCTTTCTTACAGACCTCTATAATGGCGGGTAGGCACTTGCCACTTTTCTTGTGAGACTATTACTAGGAATGTCTTATATTCCTGGGAGTGTTTGAGCCGCCGGTTTCAACCTGTAAGGTCCATTTCTCGCCCCCCTCAATGTTGTATATCATCTATGTTGGTTCTCCTAACGGTAAGCTTAATAGACTCCGCAAAGGGGTGTATTATCACTCTTAGCTCCTTCATCCGTATCTCGGCTCTGCGGTTTTAGCCCGTCTGGTATCTCCAAAGGAGGACTGCCTATCTAGCCGGCCTGTTCCGTCCCTAGCCGTGGCAACCAGACAGGCCGTGCCGGGCCAAAGCTGGTACACGCCCCAGCGGCAATTTGTATGCGCTCAATAAGGGGGCTAGCTCTCATGGCAGATATGCCGGGTAATATAACCTGGCCCACAGTGACGCGCCTTAGGAAGAACGGGAGTCAACCAGCAGCGGCTCCATGTGTATAGAGGAACGGGCCTTTTCGAGTCGCATGATCTGTCAAGAAGAACCTAGAGAGTGCAGCGGATCGCAAGCAGTATTGACACATTACGACGTGGCCATCAAGGTTTCAAAAACATATATACATATATCAATAATTACATTGCCAGTTGCGCAAATGACTTTGGTAGGGGGTACCTGAACAGACTATCATTGTCAACGGCAATCTAGTATCCTTCTCTGGGCTTGTTCTCTACTCCACGACCTTGTGCCTCAGACAGCGACTGTACTATAGCATTCCCCATTGCAGCTTGGTCGGTGATGACTGACACCATGTCAAAGCCTTGCTCGGCGCGGAAGTGGGCCTGGGCACCATCAGTGCAGAAGATGGCCGCCTTCTTGCCCGCGGACTTGCATGCTCTCAAGATACGCTGGATGGCTGCCTCATGCTCCTCTCCGCCGCGGACGATACCCATCTGCTTGGCGAGATCGAAGGGGCCTATGCGATGTCAGTACACCTCATCATACAGTACCTCCCTTCCATTGATTGATTCAGAACATGGGGCAAGCGGAGCTCAACGAACCGATCAAAAGCACGTCCAATCCCTCCACCTTTGCAATCTCCTCGACAGTCTCCACACCCGACCGGGACTCAATCTGGACCATGGCCAGCAGTCCCGTATCGGCGTTCTCGTCATACTGGGCTCCCGGCTGTACGCCGGGAAAGGCGTGGTGGGCGTATAGTGGTCCATAGCCACGGCTACCAACCGGTGGGTACTTGCAGTATTGCACGATCCGTCGGGCATCCTCCTATCAACCTGTTAGTTTCTAATCCAACCACGATTGCATAGTGTTCCGATTGCTACGCTAGTCATTTCTGTCCGGATGGGAGAAAGAAAGGATTCTCAACGCACCGGGGAATGGCACATGGGAGTCAAAATTCCATGAGCGCCGGAATCAAGGGCGCGCTTGATCATCCATTCTTCGCCCCATGGCACACGGACGATTGGGCTGGCGCCTTCCGAGGCAACGGTTGTTGTGAGCTGCATATATTGTTAGCTATTACCAAGGATAAGTCAATGTAAATTTTGCTCAGCATACTTCGTAGTAGTCGCGATCTGTGATCAATCCGTGCTCGGCGTCGACCAGGACCCAGCTGAAGGCCTCGACTGGCGAGGCGGCTGCGGACCGGAGTAGGGTTCGGGCTACGGCGCCGCTGGGGACACTGTATGATGCGGCTATGCGTTAGTGGATTTCGAACAGATGTTGGGAGTCAACGATTTGCACGGTGGAAAGTTGGATTCTGGAGAGTTTGCTTCAAAAGCCAGCCCCTTCCCGGCGTTTGATCGGGGAAGTGGCAGAATGTAGGGGAAAGGGGAAACGGACGTGAGCCAGAAGCCGTATGCCGTCGAATGGCGTTGGAAATGAGAACGGAGCGCAACGTTAAGAGCCATGGTGGCGTGGTGATATTTAGAGGGTGAGTGGTAGGAGTCAAGAACAGGTAAGAGGAAGAGATCTCAGCAGTTATCTTTTCTTTCTCTCGAACGCGGGTTTTCTCTACCCCTCGTGTCGGGGGAAATCCGACCGAGAAAGTGTGGGGAAAAGAAACCCCCACACTAGTTGATAAGAGATATCCGGCAAATGGCCGTGGGATCCCTAGTACATAGCTCATTCAGCCTGGTGTACAGTTATGACTCGGGGTCTGGAGCTTGTTATATACTCCACCAGGGCGTGCAAGGGTGACGTTTATTTCGGGATATATCCCGACAAGGTGCTGTATACAGTTTCTTCGAGGGAACAACGGACATCTTCCCGAGAGATTGTTGGCCACGCCCTATTTACAACCACAGTGCCTGGCAAAACCCTCCTCATCCTCCGAAAATGGCCCATATCTAAAATACCACCCCTTTCAAAGCTTCCCTTGTCCAGCATTACTCGGCACGGAACTCTGCGCAGCCGTATACGCCGAAGCGGAAGCAATATTCTTCCCCTTGAAGTTCGACAAAAACGCCGTATCAGACTGCTTGAACGTCCCCGAGCTACCCATCCCATTAATCTGGCAATTCCGGCCAAGATACGTCGCGCAGACCGCGTTGGTGTTGGTGTCGGGCGATGTAAAGAGCTGTCCATTGACGGGTGACTGGACGGGCGTAGCGATGTTCTGGAACACGTTACCTTCGGCGAGAACATAGCCGCCCGACCCAATCTCGAAGGCATGGCCAGTGGAGTCGTACCAATAGTTATTTACCTGGCCTGGGATTAGTGTTTTGGCTCACTGTGTAATGGGCGGTGGTCGAAGTATGCTTACGGCATGGAGGAGCGTGTTCCCTTGCACCTTGGGACTGCGGCCGCTGAAATGATACACGTAGTTACCCTTGAAGGTGACGAGGTCGTTGGACCCGTCGAAGTAGATGCCCCAGTATGCGTAGCCGTTGCAGGTTGCGCTGTAGTCGGTGACTCCGTTGAAGTAGGAGTTGGACACGGTCACGCGGTTAGAGGCACTGGTGCCGAGGACGAGGTGCTGGCGGCCGATGCGGGCAGTCTGGGTACATGGTTAATTATGAGTTTGGGAGTGGTTGGTACAATATACGTTGTGGAACAGAGAGACAGACCGTGACGTGATCAATCCAGACCAGGTCAGCGTTATTGACAGTGATCGCATCGCCTCCCCAGACGTATTTCGGGTTGAGGTCTGTAATTGCGACGTTTCTGAATGGGGTTAGAAACATGTTTGAGCGATGCCATGAATGCAGGACAAGACATACTGGATAATGATGTTGCTTGCTCCGCTCACTATCCGAAGGCCTTTGCCTTTAATGATACCCTTGGAGCCAGAACCAAGGAGGGTCTTGTCTGAGGCGACCTTTATGCCGAGGATACCGGCGTTGTCACTGGTGCTCGATTAGCATGCATATACGAGTGTTGATTCTTGAACAGAGCAATGAAATGCGTACTATGTAACGGAAGCCGAGGGAGCATCAGGCTGGTAATTGGTGCACCAATCGTTCTGGTTAATGGCCAGTTGACATGCAGCAGCGGTTCCCCAGGGGGCACAACCTGTCGCAGTGGTGGTGCCTTCGGTATTGGTGAAGTCAAACCTGATTCCATCAGTACCAAGCAATTGGCTCTCAGAAGACGAGGTACTAACGTGCGATCAAGGACAATGACACGAGGCGAGGAATCGCCTAGGTAGGAAACCAATTCATTCGTCGTGGCAGGATACACAGCAGTAGCGGATCCACCACCAGTGACGCCTTTCGCAAAGCCCTCTGCAACACCGGACACACTCACAGCGATTGCAACGGGAATAATTCCCCCGGCGAGAGCGGATAGAAAAGCAAGCTTCATATTGAATGCGACAGAAGCGAGAACTCTGGTCCAGCAAGAGACAGGACGATCCTTTGATGATATGTATTCATATACAGTATTCATCAACATCGCGTCATCATGCAATGGGCGAAGTATGGCGGGTTATGGTCATTGGTGGATTCTTTGGACCTGAAGAATTGGAATTAGAATTAAAGTCTTCCGGGAAAACTACCGGCGACGGAGCGTCGGCACTTGCTCACTAGGTTGCAACGTTCCTGTGGGATAATTTCCCTGATTGGAGGCTTTGATGCATTGTGTCTGAAGATGAAACGCTGTTAATTTCTCCGAGGCTTTCTGTTCAAATGAAGGATCACGAGGCTTGGCTGTTGCGCCAATAATGCGAGGATAGGAAACCGAACGGCCAGCCCTGAAATTGGGCTGCACTGGATTGATGGGAAATACAGATCAGCCTTGCCATGGGCAAGGTGTAGCGAAGTGGGGAAAGTGGAAGACGTTATCTGATAGCCCGTATCCTTGAGTGCGAAATACGAGTCTCTTCGCTGACATGACTGCAGTTATTATACCCAGTTTCTCCGCATATATTAGTCGGGACAGGGAAGATACACCAGCTTCGTGCTGTTTAAGAGGTTACTGGACCAAGGCAAGGATATTGAAAACCCATGGATATTATTACACTGGAACTGTAATGACATATGGTACAACTCTAGTTTAGGTCGTCAGCTGCAACCAAGATCTGGAAGCCCTATAACCAAATCCCGAGACCCCACATCGTTCATCTAGCTGAACCAGCCGTTATTGGCCCATTTGACCTAGAAGCAAGTCAGTAAACATCGACGCAAGTCACAGTTGTACATTGAAGTGGTATCCTTACATAAGAAGCATCGATCTTCTTCAAGTGAGCCACACCGAGGTTACCAGCATCAATAGCGATCTCATGCTTCAACAGCTGGATGGCACGCTTGACGCCCTCGACACCATAGGTGTTGGAATACATGAAAGGACGACCGAGACCAACAGCCCTAACGCCAAGAGCAAGGAGCTTCAGAACGTCAGCACCATAGCGAACACCACCATCCGCGTAGATCTCGATCTGCTCAAAGAGCTCTGGGGCTTCCTGGTGGATCTCGAGAGCGACCTCAATGGGAGAGGGGGTACCGTCGAGCTGACGACCACCGTGGTTAGAGAGGATGACGGCTGGGGCGCCGTGCTGAACGGCAAGCTTCACATCCTCGACGGACTGGATACCCTTCAGGATCACAGGCAGGGAGGTCATGTTCTGAAGCTTCTTGTAGTAGTCCCAGGTAATGTAGGTGTAGGAGCTATCGGCTGATCCCACGCCGTAGCGGGCAGCCCGGTGTCGGTTTCCATCAGCGGCGGAGTCCACGGTGAAGACGATTGCCTTGCTACCTAGCTTCTCAACATGCTCGAAGAGCTGCTTGGTCTCCGTATCATTGTCGTTGAGATACACTTGCTGGAAGATGGTCTGGGAGCCATTGGATGGCTTGGCGGCGGCAATCTCATCCACAGAGAGGGACGCATAGAGCGATGGGATGTACAGGATGTTCTCTTCGTACGCGGCCTTCACGAAGTTCTTCTCGGCATCGGGGTGGGCAAGCCCTCCGCGAGCACAAGGACTGATATAGAATGGGGCGGAGAAGTTGTGTCCTAGGATGGACGTAGGAAGCGTGGATTCAATGTTGGTGACGTCTACCAGCATGCGTGGCTTGAAGCGGAACCGACCGTATACCTCCAGATTGTTTCGGTAGGACCACTCGCCCGCTGCGCCATTGCGGTAGTATGTATAGGAGGAGCTATTCATGTAGTGTCTGGCTGCCCATTCGAAATCGGGAAGGCCGACAATCTCTTTGAGGTCCGGAAGGGTGCCTGCTGGAGTATCACCCAGGACATCTTCGATGCTAGATATCTATTAGCCAGCTCGCGTCTAGTAGATAGACATACGTCTGCCGTACCCAGTATCTGGCTCATTAAGGAAGGGTCTGGTTGCGAGGGCTGCAGGAAGCAATGGAAGGAGAAGGAATGGGGAACGCATTGTGAAAGGAATGACGGATTCACAGTTGTAAAGAACGTTATGCCAGGAGATCAGCCTCTTCTACGATCTACACGCCACAGGCCGGGTGTATGCGTCTATTATATGCGCTGCACCACCACGGCTACCTAACCTTAGCGTCGGCTCATCATCGGTACTCAGTGAAACGTCATCCACATCCTTTTGAACCTAATAGAGTGCTCTCGGCGTTCTTGGTAGGGCTCGGGAAGGTCGCGCGCCGTAGTCATCGGACCACGAAGATCCTACTGAAGCGTGTTGATGCGGCTTGCTAATCATGACCAATACATCCAAAGCGGGTTGAGAAGGATTCAAGTTGTTCCAGAGTTTCTACCGAAACCTGCTACACTATCGCCATGAGAGTATCACTCGGTGGAGACGATGTAATCTCCGCTCGATCGACAGGGTAGAAATTTGGAAAAGCCAAGCCAAGTCATGAGGCATGGTATGTCTGCATATTCAGGAACAGCTCATGAGACGGTGGCTGATCCCCAGGTTAGGGTGCCAAGGATGTTAATTTGCTAACATCCCCTCTTGGCAGGATCTGATAATACTCCAGATTAACCCTTTAGACGCCCATTGGACCCTAAGAGAGGGCTTTGCCTTCCCCACCGGACTCCGTGTCAGGGACGGAGTGCTGCGTGAGACAAGAACCGGCCAGAACAATTCGGAAATTAGAGAAAAAGGCTTGGCGGTACAATATGCATCCTTGCACAGCCTCCTCCGAGTACCAGTGGGATTAGGAGCAATTTGCTTGAATAGTTGTCGAGCCAATATGGCGTTGATATCGTATCGTTCCAATGACTTGCCCTGCAATATCCTACGTTTATAGCCATGCAAATTGCGACACGGACAACCGCAGCAACCCCTGTCATAGTAAATAAGATCCTTTACTGTGTTGCAGAGTAAATAGTTTGAAGAAGCCAAGATGCGCTAAATTCCTTCATGGAAATATTCCGGAGAATTTTCGCATCAGTGGGTTTGGGTCCAGTCAGACCAATCATATCCTCGGTTCCACCCGGGATCCACCAAGTATCGCGTCCTAAAGAGCGCCATAGACAGGGCGTTCATAGTCTAGGCTTTGCTTATGAAGGAGTATTTATCGTGGCAGAGAGCACCGCAGCCACCCTCGGTAGTGGCTATACTAGTTGCATTCATTAGTATATATCCGTGTCATGAGGTTCTAATCGCGAAGCTACTCTTATGTTTGGCCATATCTCTTCGAGATTACTGTTATTGGCAAAGATGGTAGAGCCCATATCGCTTCAGATCACCTCTACGGGGCCGTAGTATAAAAGCATCCGTGGTGTTCCGCGAAATAGTAATAATGTTCAGGGTCCCAAATATGACGTCTAGCTCCATTAATTCGATTTTTGTTGTAAAAGGTAATAGAACCCCAAGGAAAAACAGGAAAACTCATTCTATCCAACCAACGGGAAAGAATCATTAGAGAGTAGCTAGAGAGTAAATAGGATGACGTTTGTATCATCCATCTCAGACTTCTTGAAGTACGAAATACCTTTGTCCAGAGTAGCCGTGATATACACGTTAGTAGCCGAATTCAGTGAACGGCTTTAGGAATTTCTGTCCTCCAGAAAGTAAGTCCCATGGTGGTGTTTCTGCAAGCGTCAATGAAGAAGTTAGACACACCTCGTGATCTCCCAGCTGTCGTTCGTCTCAAAAGTATCTACAGTCACCTGGTAACCCTGGACCCTTTCTCGCGCGAACTGAAACGTCGCCTGTATGGCCTCGTTACCATCGAGGCCCATGCCCAGCATAATCACGGGAATGAGGTTCTCGGTTTGTCCATCACGCTGCCGAATATAATAAGCCTTGGTTACCCCCCAGAGTGAGAGTACTTAAGATCTCCTTCCGAAGGGATAATATGTCCTCTTGTCTGCAATGGAAGAGTTAGACATCTGCGTCGCAATAGCCCATCAGCCATACACGATGTTGAGGAACAACTAGCATGTGGACAGGTGGGATGTATCTTCCCATAGCTTCTTCAAATACTCGTTTTCTAGGTCAGCGGGGAGATACCATATCCGTAAGCGAACCTAACATCCTGTTAGTCGATATTCCAAATTGTGCTTCTGGGGACAGATGGCATTATAGTTATAGTGGGATATGCGCCTGCCGTGCGCTCTCGCCAGACCCAAAAATCTTCTACGGAAGGAGTCCTATTGCGAGTATAAAGTGTGTTTATGGTAACCACACTACTTACGAGAGCATATTGTCGAGGAAGACTTTGCGCGTGGTATATTAGGTAACGTAAGTATCGGGTCAGGATTAGGAATTGTAGCTGAAATGCTTACATATCGAGCAAACATGGCAGATGTGATACGCCACTTCGTCCCAAGCATATATGATGTTTTTCAGCTCTCCCGAGAATTGAGCCAGATCGGGATATTCTGTTTTCCCTTACAGAACGTGCCTGAAGTATTCGGAGGTCTTTTGTCGGTATGTGACAATGATTTCCGTGTCAGTTGTCAAAGAGCCACAGTCGAACACTCTATATCTTGATCTTAGATCAGAAAGTATTCAACAGGTCTCAAGTGGGTTCCCGTACAGTCGTCCCATATGAAGTACTATTAGTATGGTGAGGTTATCTGTTATCGTGGAGAGCTGCTAAGGTTAACAAGCCCATGCAAAGAACCTCGACATAGTGCATAGTTCCTGAAAGGAAGTGTCGGCACACACAATGGCGGCAAACAGGCCGAAGTCCGCTGCTTTCAGCTCTCGACGGATGGAAGAGTCGTTCACCCTACTTGGGAGTACGTGAGCATACAGTGGGCTTCGGTTTAATGGGAGACTCGGAAACCGTTCAATCCAGGGATTGAGAGCTTCACCGCCAGCTTTCTGGTATTCTGGGTGCATCTAAGCTGTCCAGTCCGGGATTACCGAGCCGAGATTGGGATTCGTGAATGATTGGCCTTGAAGCGCCTCTCTCACTTTGATCTTACATTGGGATAGTATGGCAGTGTGGCCCTGCCGCATAGTCCCAGGGCACAGTTCCCTGTTGAACAAGTAGTGGCATGAGAGTGCATATGGGTATGCTGGTTGATATATATTATTTATGAATTTCTGTGTTTTTGGTTGAATATGAGCTCCGGAAAAAGAATTAGCCCTTGCTTGACTAGTAGAATGTAGGGGATCTGTCGGCATTGAAATCCTCTTGACGACAAGCTACAATTGGTTCTCAGACAAGACAAGGCTTGCTTGGAATGTACGCTATGTTGATATTTATTTTCCGTCGCAGAGAAATGAGGTGATGAGTCTCGATGATACGTCCAACGTGCAATGAACAACTGGTGCTTGAGTAGATTTAACCTAGCAAAATGATAGGTACGTACCGAGTGTGTAAGGGATGCTAAGTGCCCAAACAGTTCAGTAAAACATAATGCAGCAGTAGCGACAGACACCAGGATTATGCTAAGTCCCTTTACAACATCGAATGTCCTTTCAAATGTCATTGGGCTGAAGAATGTACATAGTCTATCGTCAGGGTGAGATATCCTATCTTCATGTATACACAATTACAAATAAAGTACATCCGAATAGCTGGCTTAACCTTTATCCGCCAAAATTGCAAATTTCAGTCATGCAATGGAACATCATAATAGATCTGTCTCCGGCTATCGGACCCATACGGTACAAGCTAGGCCAGCAAAAGCTAGTGGACATGTCATAATGTAAATCTAGCACATAATGTCAGGAGTTCAAAGCTGGGAATGTGTTAATCTGCGGGATTACTGGTCCATGATCAATAGCACTGCGACATTGGTCAGATAGGTATTGAGAGCGCCTAGGCTTTTAGCAAGGAGCGTAGTGATAGGAGTACACTGGAGTGCCTAGTCGATTCTTATAAGATATATATCTCCTAAGGAATGCAGTATGACCAGAGATCTGATAGCATAGTACTCGGGCATTCGCATGTTGTACCTGTCTAAGTTATATATATGGCCCGGTGAAAAGGAGAGAAAGCGTTTTTATAGGATGCATATAGACATCCAAGTATTCCAACATCGATTGTCCATGTCTCTTTATGATTTGGCATTAAGCAGAGCACATGATACTCCGAATTCAACCATTGCCAAAGAAAATGACATGTGTACAACCAAGCAAGGTAAAACAACAGCATATGGTCGAATATCACAGGGAACAGTCTCTTGATTTCCAGTGGTATGGGTTGCAAACCTTGGAGACTTTTAGAATTCATACTGGTATTTCATGATGATAGAGCAATGGAACACCGAGATTTGAGATTGAACATTGAACCGACAGGCAACTTCTGGGTTAGGACGTAATATAGCTTGTGATGCTGTTCACGAAAACGCTCTAGTTAACATAGTCACTATTAGAGCTTTTCCCGAGGCAGTAAGAAGTACGTTATGCTTCGGCGTCCCTTGGTGATCAGCGAAAGTGCGATGCATAAGGGTTAGACTGGGATTGATCCCTAGACCTAGGAGCTTAAGAGTCGTGACAAGTTCGAGGGACCCACTCGATACACGCTACTGCCACGGTACCATCAAGCAGGGGCATCTAAGATCGCCTAATTCGGGTATATGCACCGCTCGCCTTTCCCAGAACTGTCCTTTCGACGATATTTTGTTGGTCCTTGTGGGGTGACGATCCGGTAGGCTTAAATCATACGAGAAATCAACCGTCATTCGACCGGAACCCGAAACATGCATATCCCTAGTGCTGACTTAAATCACAGATATGGGAAAGGCCAAGACTCCTGGAAGTCCCGGCTCAACTTTGTTTAAGACTGATCCTTACGGCCTTGCGCATGTGTAAACACGAGTCAGACAACGCTTCTCGAAGTGGCGCTTCTCCGTGGGGTTGACAGGGTCATCCTGGGACTTGGGTTCTCTATCAGAAGGTGAGATATGAATTCTGGGAGCCGTTTAAGTAATTATATCGTGTTCAATTGACCCTGTGGCTATTGGCGATAAATCGGGATTTGATGTTCCGGCTTAGATTCTCTGGATACTACGCTTTGGGATCAACAGCTTGAAGAGCGAAGGAGTTGAAGACAGGTGAGAATTGAGCAAGCTTTAAGCCATCTAACAGCTTCGTAACCATGTCAAAAATGTTCAACAGCTGTATCTGGAGGGTCTAGGGTGGCTATTCTATCTGTAAGTATACACTACGTCGTAGAATAGTGACATTAGACACAAGGCTGGCTTGAAAGGATTCCGCAGGCCGAAACTGCAGAAGGCCCCCATAGGGATGTAATGTGTAGCTTCCACACCGTATGCTCTTCCTATATGTCCTAACTTGTGTCTACATGCATGTGTAATATCAAGCCGATCTATATAAGCTCCCATCATCCCGTGTGTTCATCGTTCATAATCTTGCTTATCCTAAACTCACTGACAAATACGATTCAATATATCTTGTTACGTACATGAATCCTACTCACTTGTTCTGTATCATACAAATGCGTTCGACCATTACCCTCTTCTTTTTCCTCGCCCTCCTTGGGCTCGCCTCTGCCTGCAAGCGTGGCGACCATGCGTGTGGCCATAACAGTGAGTTCTTGCTCTATTGCTAAGGACTGTGGAGTCTATTTAATTATATATTTAATTTCTTGCTGACACATCAACTTTCCACGTCGGTATAGAGGGCAAGCACTATATCATGTTTTGCGATAATGGCATCCCGCGTCCAGTTTCCGAGTGTGGCAAAGGAACTCACTGCGCTTATCGGAAGAATGGCCAGCCCGCTTGCTTGCCCGTCTAAGCCTGCATTTTCTGGTAGGCATTAAGAGCAGTTTGCAAGAAGTGACAGGCTAGATTCATGTATTGGAGGCCGAGGTTGGGGAGGATTGTTGGAAAGTTGGGGTAGACTTGTTCAGAAATAATTAACCTTGCATTTTTAGTAAAGGGCGATTGGCCGTTATCAGAAGTCACTCTTCCACCCTGCTGAAAATTCGTTGGCTACATACTAACAACAGCAAGTCATCGTAAGCTTCAAAGTAGCATGCTATAGAAAGAATGTCAATTAGTTGTCGACGCAGTCAGAAACAATCCCTAAGCTCGTATGTAGTGTTGTGTTCAATGTATTTTGGGAATCTAATAGGATATATAAACGTCTATTTGCTTGATTGTAAGTTGGTGGGGCAAAGATGGGTAGGGCAATTACTCGTAGGGGACAACTCACGGATCAACATTACGATTAAATGCGTGGACGACCCCTTGGTACTAACATACCTTATCTCATCATCCTATCATACCTTCCAAGAATATGCTTCCCCAGTTGGTACGCTACTATTCAGGCAGGGAGCTGTCCAGTTTCAGTGCTTTCGTGCTCACTCCCGGCGTCGAGCGGGTATAGACTTATCATGCTGATAGTTATTGAACATAGCCAGTCAGATCCAATTGCCGGGAAGTAATTTACAGCTTTGATACTACCTCGAGATAGTGGCTGGGGTGTCTGTGGTTGCTATGGCAAAGGATGGAATATGTAGCGTGGAATGTTCATTTCTTTTCATTCTTGGTGACAACACAGCGGAATTCCACAGCCGACTCATGGTCATTTTGAATCATGTCATCGACTATGTGGAGCATAGGATGAAATGAAACACACTTTGTCAATCGCTACCTTGGTTCATGAATGGCGAAGGTGGTTGTATCATTGCGGTATGCGTAGATGAAGTTAGAAATGCCGAAATATCCTTTGAACTAGACTAATTTTCCCCCTAGGGCAATTACGCACACCGGATCATCTGGAAAATTTCTATTTTGCTAATCTTGTTTCAGAACCTAACCCAGTTCGCGGGAGGCGAATACAATGGTTTAGTAGTTCATGTTAGATTGATGAAACTCCAGGAGAAGAGCGAACAAGACATGCAGCCCTTTCAATTTGGCCTACAGTGAAATTTACAATCACGCATTGAACCTTAGGTGGAATATGCGCTTTAAGGGCCTCTGGAGCCTGTTTAAGGGCGTGTGGTAGTGACCGGTTCACATGTAGCGTGGGCTGATGTAGAGCATTTTTGACAAGTCCCCAAAGTCTGTCACTGAAACCTAGCTGTGACAGTTAACGCATGCCAAATATTGCCACATATTTCCTACAGGATGGGCATTCATTTACGGTACTACGGGCATATCCTCCAATTTATCGAGGCATAAATAGATGGAGTAGGGACAGATATAACACTGTAAACGTATTTGATGTCTTTTCCCTAGAGGCACATGAACAGCGAGCGAGTACCGAATCAATCCTCCAAGTAGTGTTTCATCCGAGGCCCTATAGGCCTTCAGATTGGCCTGTGTACTGAGTCGAGTCGGGCTTATCTTAAATCCAGTAGTCCACCAATTTGGTGGCAAATGCACCTCTCATTAGATATGTCATCGTCTCGTCCGAACAAGCCTGAGAAGAAAACAAGTTTTATGTGCTTACCCCTTAACAGGTTCATCTCAATCTTGGCTGTCGAGCCAATTAGCCTTCAAGACCGTCAAACACCTAATGTGGCCTGGAATGCAGCCCTAAGCCCCAGACATTTTCTTGATTTGTCCGCTGAAACGAGGCATGAGCTTTTTGGAATGTCGAAAAGGTACTCTGTTGAACGCCCACGAAAGATTTAAGAACTACGTTGCGCTGGTATACATCAGAATTAACTAAAAGTTGATACTATGTTTATTGGTTTCTTACCCTTACAAGGAACTTTAGAAGATTATTTGATCTTGGTTGCATCGAAGTTTGGCACATGATTTTGTCTTTGCACATTCGAATAACTAACTACTGGAACGCGGTACAACGAGCCCTATCATACTACATCCAACTCCGTCCTGACACTTGATAGAATCAATTCCCGAGTACATTTGGGCCCCAGCAATATCGTGGTAATCCTTCCCTCATCCCCGGATATAAAATTCCAGAATTCCTGTTAAGGCTCGCGGTGTTGAACCGCAATCAAGCCCAACTTAATAGATATTCCATATTACAGGCAACTGAGTGTAGAGGTTTATTCCACCGACACTATGAGGTATTTAAGTGTGTCAAACGCCTTAGAATACTCTGCTGACAGCCATTGTTTCCAGATTGTGACTTGTTAATGCATACGCCTCAAAAGCCCGTGGACCATGGAACAGGTTGAGACTTCAACCACCGGGTGTGTTGCTGCTAGCTTCCCTAGCGCGCAGCAGATTCGAGAACGTGTCCAACCCAAACAGAACAACGCCCTGGGTGTACCTTTTCCTCGCATCTTGAATAATGCCATTCACCATCCTGAAGAGCGTGCGGCCAACTATCATCAATACCCCCGTCGTGAGACCTGGGGAGATGGACGAGCTTTAAGCCATAGTGAAACTGCCTTAGCAGAACAAGGCGTTAATTCGGAAAATGATGATAGTTCCATCCTGCACGCTATCCCAAACCCAACCTCTCGATATATCAAGTCATATCTGTCCTATGATTTCCCAACCCAGCAACCGCCCAAAAATCCGAATCCTCAAATAATAGAAGATGTGAACAGCTTACCCAAAACATTCATCGTGAGCATCGTTCCACAAACGGCGGCACCGAGCCATACACCACATAAACCGAGCCTTAACACTGTGTCACTCAGTAAGAACACATTGTATCGTCGGTCAACATATTCAGATACCAGTGCATATGCAGCAATTGGCGTTTGTGTTGCTATCGGAATTATAGCAGGTTTCATTCTGTACTGGCTATACAAGAAGCGGCAGCTCCGCATAGGTAAGGTTATCGTTGGCGACTCTGGTGATTACAAGCCTTCAAGAGCCAAGATCCTTAATCCAGGCTGGAGAGCACAAAGCATCACATTCCCAAAAAGGAATCAATTATCAGATATTGTTCCTTCGTTTTGGAAGTCGTCCAATCGCAAAACCAACAACTACCGCCCACACCATACCCTTCCAACATCGAAATCCTTTATCCAGACCAAGGAGTCTACAAGCAATTTTGTCGTTCGCTTTAAACGGTTTGATGGGAATGGGAATAGTCACGACCCAGAGCGGACCAGGAGCGTTACCCTGCCAACTTTCATAACAAGAAGCACGGAACATGTTGCAAGCCTCATCAGTTCTCCGCGAATCCCTGCTTTACCCTCGCTTCACAGAGCCACATCAGCATTCGCCATAGGAGCTGAGGCTAAAGCTACGCCTGATCGTGACGATCGTCTCTCTATGGAAGAGAACAGAAACATTCCGTGTTATACCCCTTCCACGTTCAAAATATACGGTGTCGAGATGAACTTCAGCCCTGTACAGGACGGTCAGGTCAAACTAGAGGCCGGACAGTCGGTAAAGATCTACCAGTTTTATGACCATGGCTGGGTAAGCGATCTTTCCAAAACCAGCTTGGCTTGTTCCACGGACTAACCCACGTATCCCAGGTATATTGTGTCAACCGTGAAACCGGTCAGGATGGCTTAGCGCCACGAGCCTGCCTTTCTATATGGCCAACCACGAGAACGGAAAGCGATGTTACAATGTTTCCCGGGCACAGGAATTTTTCTGTCACGTCGTTCGGCTCATCGCACCCTATTTCACCGAGTAGTCGGTTCTATAACCAGTTTTGTCCTTCATAATCTGTATTTTGATGTACCGCATTCCGTGTATTTACTGGAGCTCATTATTTTCTGCATCTAAGCATTCATTCCAGAGTGGCTAAACTGCAACAAATGTCGTGGTTGGCCATAGCTCTCTTCAACCTTATATATCAATATTATTTTAACATTGCTAACTTGTTTCCTCCATGTATTGCTAACAGACTGGTTACGGTAGCCTTACAAATACGCTTCATACGGTGGCTAGAGCGCTGGGATTCTGTTGTGATATTGGATTCCACTGCGAGGAGAGGGGATAGTAATAACAGCCTGTCACCTTTAGATATATCACTTCTACTATAGAAAAATTGAACACCGATGGTACCATAGTAGATGGTATCATAGACAGATACAAATTGAACAGTCTGAATTGTAGTCCAATTTCTAAAATACATATATCAGGACGACAGGTATAGTTTTTCTATGTACAATGCATAGATGGCCTTCAGAAAAAAACAAGCGAACTAGCAGAAAGACGTGGGTATACACAGTACATCTTCAAACCACTGATCATCTCCCAAGTCCATCGACTGCATCCAAGTTATCTGATCTAGATCTGGGATGCGGTGGTTGTAACTGATTGTATCTGAGTTTGGCGTAGTCTCCACGCCTTCTACATGAGAAGCCATGTTCCACCGAGCTTCAGCCCACGCCCGACATCTAGATAAAAGCTTGGATAAAAGCTTGAGTAAATGGTCGTTGCACTGAAGGTCCGGCTCCTTGCTGCTCAGGTCGAGCTTCCGAAGCATACAGTCCATCGTCGATATTAGGTGAACTCGGTTCCGCACCGCTTGGCAATCCCAGTCTGGGTCTTTGAGTGTTGATAGATACTTCAAAAGTGTGATACTCAGAATCATCTGCGACCAAAAATGAAAAGGTTGGCCGATAAGCTTCGAGCAAGGGATTCGGTAGAAGTCGTCCAGCCATGACTTGATGTTCTCCACCGACTGCCACAAACACTCGAGGCGTTCGAATCCCAGGAATATCCCACCATCACCCTTCTGTCCAGATAAATCTAAAGGAAGCGTGTCTGGACTTATAGAATAAGCCAGTTGATTTATGTACAATTCTACATATTGCGCCTGTGTACTGAGAATGTCTGCATGTTAAGCTAGGTATTAGCACTCCTGCAGTGGATGTAACACCTGAGAAATGACTTGCCTATCTGGTGTAGATCCAAAGGAAACGAAGATCTTAGCTCGTACAGTTGCCTTCGCAGAGCCTTGAGATATAATAAGCGAGGAGCCGAGGCCCCCAGGTGTGCTGTTCCTTTGCCGTCGCAATCTGTCTCGTCCTGTTGTCGGACGTCATCCGCTTTTTGCTTTAACAGCTGTAATCGGACTTGAGAGACAAATAGCTTATCTGCGGCGCATGACTCGTTTAATGTAAGGACCCGAAGCGCCTCTCCCATCTGAGGTGTCCATCGTAGAGCGTCTTGGCGCCCAAGATGTGACGAAATACTAGGGATCATCATATGTCAGTATGATTTGAAACTATGAACAAAGATGGTAGTGGGGTTCAATAGAAGGTCAGGAAGGGCATGCGCACTTGGAGCTCAAAACGAAACATGCCAACACTGCCCGCTGCTTTTCTAATAAATCGTAGGGCGTTTTCTCGTTGCCGCTCGGGCTATTTTCATCAGCCTGCCCCTGGGTAATAGCCATCATGAGATGCACATCTGTTGAGGATGGCTTGAACAACCTCAGATCATATACTAGTGAAATGGCGAGCATCATGAAGCGAGAGATGAGATCTGCTCTGCCAAGAAAAGCGTCTGTGCTCCATGCTATATATGTCAGTAGTCCAAGTAGCAGGTCGATATTTGATTGGACTTTGAGCAGAGCAGACGTGAACAGGAGACGCTTCAGCTCCTCACCTTGAACCAGCCTTTCCTCTGTCGAGAATATGGTCACAGTGTGGATAGCCTGCAACAAGAAAGGCCTATTTTGGCGCAAATACTGGCTTGTCATGTCCGGGGTTAGGTCGATGAAAGGGAAATATGGCAGCATTCGGGATCGGAAGAAATTGAGAGGTTCATCTCCTTGATTTGGCGATGGAGTAGAGGGATATAGAGGAAACTGATGAGACAGAAACAACGGACTTAGATGCGGTGATCCTGTGGCCACCGAGTTGGTTCCGAATGTCGTCCCCTCACCGAAGCCTACATTAGTGCTCGTGGTGCTTACTAGAGTGCCACTCGTATAAGATGTCGATGATGGACTCCTATTTTCGTTGGGTGGCTGAAGGACAGAATCCCCGGGGGGGCGGATGCAAGATTGCATTGCGGATAACAAGCTGTCCATTTTGTCTTCCAGCCGAGCGATCCGCATAGCGGACTCTTCCGCTGTCTGAGCATTACTCCTTCGAACCGACTCTGATGGTTGACACCTTTTCTTGAGACGGAGACATCTGGAAACATAATCAGCCTAATGTCAGGCATTAACTGGCCTGTTTTACTAGTTGACCTTTCACAATTACCACCAGTTGAGGTACGCACACAACGGCACTTTGCCTTGTAGCATTGCATGCAGGCTTGGCCATAAGTGCTGGATTGGCCGAGGCTCACTCTTGATCTCTCCATAGTATTGACTGGGAGGACAAGCTATGCCAGAATGTGGATACGTCAGTTCAGGATATATAGGGACAGGAGACGGAGATAGGAGGGAATTTCCGTGTCCGACGGATTTGGCCCCCCGAAGTCCGTTGCTTACTCACAGGACTGTCATCCACCATATAAAATGGGTATTAGAATGTAAATATTATGTGCGTATAATCTATATAACCTATACTAAATAAGAGAAAAAACAGAAAGAAACTACGAGGCTAAGATGACTTATCTAGCGTTCTCCATATTTTAGCCCTTAATCTGTTACCAACCCATGCTCATGAGACCTATTTATTGTCGTATATTTTTGAATAAATTTATAAGATATTCTTCAGGTGGATAGAATTCCATGTCGTCGATGGCTTTGTGAGGAGCTGCCGTTGACTGGTATATATTGTACACTCGGTGGACAAGAGGGATGCCCTGGCTCTCAGCAAAAGAGCTATCCCACCAAAAACACATTTTGTCAATTCAAATCCAAAAAGTAGGGCATCAATTAAAATATATTTTCAGGAATGACCACTCATGCGCGTCAGTCCCATTTCGGGAAGCAATTTTGAAACTTCCCGTGGAGACCCATCAAGGTTGCAGTGCAAAATCTCTAGTTGCTTAACAAATACAAAATTCGAAAAAAGCGATCCACAGCACCGCGAAATAGAGGCATTTTTCATATCTAATAGTGTCTAAAGATTCATTGGGGTTATGTGGTCGCATAGCTATTGGACCTGGGGAATAACGTGGACGGAAGCTGAAATGGGGAACAGTTAACCCTTTCAAATGAGCAAGGCTCATTGAACTTGTGCGCGCCGAGTTCCAGATCGAACTATGTTTCGTTGGGGAGGCAGTAAAGGCTCTTAGGTGTTAAACGATATCGGTACTATTAGTATTAAACCTGGATGAGACGATTCTGGTTGTTGACAGAGGAATATATGCCGGAACATAAACGAGATAAAACAAACCGGAACAGAAGCGAAAACAGAATGTACAGGAAGAGAGAGTAAAGGAGTGAGAGAGAGGTAAAAGGATGCTTACTGATAGAATGCACGACGTTATTGGGCTATCTCGGTCACATATCTGTCAAGGATAATTACTATCAACGGGCGTACGGGTATTGGATCTTTGTCGTGCTTACCAAGCCCCGAAGAAATAATGCACTAGTAAACGTGGGTGCACTGTTTCAGTCTCCTCATTTGCGACCACGGAGGTCTTGGACAGAGCCAAGTTAATTATAGGCCAACTGAGTACGCCCAAGGAGAGGACACACCGTCGGTTGCTGAGTCTCTTAGTCGCCAACGCTACCAACAAGAGGCACGAGTACTGTTCACAACTTGGAGACTAAAATAGCCCGCACGGTAGGTGAAACCTGAAGACCTGTCTGACTCGGGAGATTCATTCCTTCTCGTTTGAACTAGGGGTTGGTTCCTGTCTCTGTCTAGTACACCGGAAGTCTGCGCAGCGTAAATACCCCTTTCGAAGCAGCTCATGCCCGCATACCTATTCCAGGAGGTTAGCACTACCTATAGACATTCACTGGTTATGTTTTGCGTCTTTCTCAGTGATGCAGCGTTCCTTTATCCTCATCAGAAAATGCTCTCAGTCCTGTCTAGCCTAGTTGCCTTGAGGACGTCTTTCAAGTAGGGATGGGAGTCATCCCCAGCCACCCACAAAGACAGATCATCCTTGCCTAATTTTTAACATCTTGATGCATGTAAATCTACATGTGAACCGCTGGTCAGCTTGGATGTCTGTAGACTAGCGGTATTCATGATATAGGCCATGTTAATTTAACATGGTTGATGAGGCTTATTTTGTTTGAACTTTGGCTATTTGCCAATAACCGCTTACTACCTAGGATGGATGACATTAACTGGACCAGTAAAATGTGGTTATAGACCCCATTGCGTACCATGTCCCAGTCCACCCCCAAGTGGATCTCCGTGAGGGATCCATGATGCATCAGCAGTGTTTTAGAGAGAGATCTGTGAGCGTTTGTTCGAAACCCTCACATATACATCGAGACAACTTTCAATGTCTATTATTGGAATATGAGTGAGGCTAATATACTGGGCCATTGTAATAGGCCGTATAGACTTGACAGCATTCGGGAGATATTTCACCTCCAATGTTGATATACCAGAGAGACTCTTCAACGCCTACCCTTTGACTTAAATATCATCGGATAACATTCTATACCTCGGGCCTTGAGGGGTACTGATACCGGACAATGTGATAGTCACTAAACAACGCCTTATCACTTCCCTTTGTAGAAACGATGGTCCTCGATGAAACTGGTTGTATTTGACTAAACTTGACGTCGTTGTTATACTAGCAGAAGAATGAGAAGGAAAACAGTCAAAGAGACGATAGGAGGGCGGTGACCGGGGCGGTCTACTTTATGCTTGACAGTACCTTGGGAGGTCCAGATGGGAGGCCGAGGTGACAGGTGGGAATTGACTGCGGTTATGACCCTAGATCATTATACAATGTTGAACGAAATTTTCCATGCACTCCTGCTTAAGAACCGGATATCGTGATATGTTGTCCTTACTACCTTTACTGAAAACAACTTGCCTATTACAGCGATCCGCTCCGGAGACAGTCAATGTTCAACTTTTACCAGGTGCACTTAAGAGAATCTTCACAGATGCCAAGCCGATATGACAAATAATAACTTTAACCAAGACGGACATAACAGTAAACCCGGACGAGAGCAACAACATCGGATGAATGTGCTCGTATAAAGTCTCCGAAGATTAATAATTAACTATCGTTAAACGATACAAAGCCAATGTATAACATGCATGTATAGTGCCTTTCAAGAAAGAACCACTCTGCTCACGCTGCGCATGCATACCGCTAAATGTCGGCCATCAAAAGAATACTTGTCCTGGGGGCTGGAGAGCTAGGAACTCGGGTACTGCTCTCCCTCGCCCAACATACTCACTTGGGAGACATCGCCCTCGCCGTTCTTCTGCGACCGTCGACGATCTCATCCACACTGCCAGAGAAGCTTCGTGAGCTCTCGTTGCTACGCGATCACGGAATTCAAACAGTCCCTGGTGACCTCGTCAAAGATTCGCAGGACTCCCTCGCCCAGATCTTCCGCAACTACGATACGATCATCGGCTGTACGGGTTTCGTCGCAGGACGCGGCACGCAAATCAAACTAACGCGAGCTGTACTCGCTGCGGAAGTTCCGCGGTACATCCCGTGGCAGTTTGGTGTCGACTATGACATTATTGGACGTGGGTCAGCGCAGGATCTCTTCGATGAGCAGTTAGATGTGCGTGATCTTCTTCGTTCCCAGAACAGCACTCGGTGGACGATTATTTCTACCGGAATGTTCATTAGCTTTCTTTTCTCGCCTTCGTTTGGTGTGCTGGACTTGGAAGGCAATTCGGTATGCGCGTTGGGTAGTTGGGACACTAGAGTCACTGTGACAGCCCCTGAAGATATTGGGAGGCTTACAGCCGAGATTGTGCTCAGTTTGAATCAGAATACTGCCTTTGACAACCGACCAATTTATGTCGCTGGGGACACCCTTAGCTATGCGGAGTTAGCACAGATCGTGGAGGAGGTTACGGGAAAGTCGTTCTCGAAGAGTGTACGGACGGTTGCGGCCGCGAAGGCTGATCTCGCACGCGAGCCAGAGAATTCGTTGTATAAGTATCAGGTGGTGTTTGGTGAGGGCCACGGTGTGGCATGGGATTTATCGACGACGTGGAATTATAAGGCTGGAATAAAAGCGCTATCAGTGGAGGACTATGCGAGACGGAAGCTAGTTTAGTTTTATCCCACCGAGTTGAAGCACCTCTTTGTGAAATATTGCGTAGATATCTAATTCTATGTTTATACAGCATTCGCTATAAATTGAAGCGACATTCATGGTGCTATATAAGCTACCAATGCGATTGATCTTGGCTGGTATAGAATTGGAGAGGACTTGGGCAACCGTGACAGGGTTGGATGGAGCTTGAGCATTCGGGTTGGCGTTGGAGGGAGGTGGTGTACGAGGAGCAGGGAGGGGGCGAGCTCCTGGTATCAAGGTCAGAATTGGAGGAAACAGTACCAACAAGGGCAACTGCCAAAGGCAGGGGGAAGATGCAGAGTGCGACGGTTATCTTCCTGTTGCATGTAGGTACCGCACAATATCTGGGGAAACGACCACTTCTGGCATAAGAATAAAGACCAAGCTAATGCACAACGAGAGAGACAGGAAGAGGATATACTTAATGCGAGGGAAGAAATCCCACCTGGGCTAAACCTTGGTTTTACAATCAAGCCTCATGAAAGTGGGTGGGGTGGTTTTTGCTGAACTAACGGCTCGCATACTCCCCAGAGGTCTAGTGGTAACTATTCATACATGGAAGCCTGTAGAACGTTGGGCACGAGTTCCGAGCATACCCGGGTATGGTGTCAAGGCTTCTAAATTATCTAAAGCTAATGTTTCGTCCTACATATACCCTGCATCATTCCATTTAGGGTATCGAGTATGTTCGTCTTGGTCCCGCGATAAACAAACCCGGCGAAAAACCAAGGGAAAACACAGCAGGGCGAAGTTGGGACGGTGCAATTTTTTTCGAGTTAGAGACGAGGATTCGCACGAGAAGCCAGGAACAAAACCCAAATTAGAAAACTTAGTCGATCTGTCTCAAACACACGCTCTGTGAATGGACATCTAGATTCCGGGTCATAAACCGTACGCAGATTCGGTAATCCCGAAGATTATCAACGTTGGCTGGTCAATGAATCGTATATGAACTAGTCGAACGCCCAGGACTCTTGGCCTTCCAAGCTCTATCAATGGTGCTGAGCACAGCAGATTATTCAAGAACCCGCGGATGAAAAACTGCCCCTATGGCTGACTCACTATAGAAGATAGAATGAAAGGACTGCCTCTTGCTACAACGAGGCCTTGCCAGGCATTTGCTGAAAAAAAGATATATCAACTCGAAATTCAAGGGACCAAAGAGGACGGTGATATACTTAGGCGACTAGTCGATCGCCCCAGGAGCGTTTGGTAGCGCTTAAGTCGGCAACCAATCGAGACGACCGAGGCAATCTGCCCGAGGACCATAAATATTTTAACAAGATATCGACATACGTGCAAGGTAGTATCTATAGATTGCATGGCTCATTATACCTCTTTCACCCGTTGCAGTATATCTCATCTCTCAACTGTTCCTTTGCACCTTCACTCTATTTAATAACCAGTTATGCAGCATTATTCGCACATGTCCAGCTGGATGTCTTGGAATTCTTATGGATCGACTTTCCCGACACATAAAGCCCAAGCCCACACTAGCGCAATCAGTCACAGCTCGTGATCGTTGGCGGGGAGGGAAGACTTACAATCGCACATGCCATAGCTAGGATAGCAAGATTAATTATAGTCAAGGCTGCAGTCCTAGGAGACCCAAAGAAGTTGCCTTTATTCATAAAGAGCCAAAATATAGCAGGAAAGCCATCTAGTTCCATTAGCCTATACGTATGCGCCACAAGTACCGCGGTATATACTCACAACTGAAAGAACTTCCGAAGAGAGCACTCTGTAATCAACTATTAGTATGTACATCGTAAGAGGCATTAAGGACGTACCATAAAGCCCAGTATGTCGTTGAAAACCGGGATAGACTCAGCAATGATCCATGCAATTGTCCATAGCCCCAGCGCAATTCCCACCCATGCCCCGACGGAGAGAAGGCCGTTGTTATGCATATGTGGTGAGCCCCGGAATAGACGAACGTAGATGTACTTGCATGCGACATGTCCGACGATTACTCCAGCAAAGACAACCTGGTCCATTAGATATCGTAGCACATCGAGACTGTGCGGACTTACTGTTGGGATGGCAAGGCCATACGCGACCTTTTTCATCACAGGCCCTGCAGAGCTCAGAGCCGGGGATGAGACCCCGGGTCCAACAGAGCAGTAAATCACCACCGCGCTGACCACGTACATAGAGGTATCGACTACCTGTAGCATAACCAATGATTTTGGAAAGTCCCGGGGATTTTCCATCTCGGATATGAAACCAAAAAAGGTCGCATGTGCAACTGGCTTCTAGTCAACACGAGAGATAAAGGATGGGAGAGTGTGCAATGCAGTGGGCTTACCATAAGCGATGATAATATCGGTAACTGCAAGAAATGCTTTGTCGAACGTGGTATCGGTTATAATCTCGATGTGAGCCCGTGCAGGGCGTTGGACACCAGTTGCGATCATCGTCACCAGAGTAGCGATGAAAATGCTAGCAAAGGCTAAGCCGGTCAGTGAATATATGCCTTCCGAGAAGACATGGACATCCTACATGTGAGTGAGATCCAAAACACCTTGTCCATAGTGCGCGGCAGAGCCCCAAGAAAGCTCAGAACAAGCCCTACCACAGTGAATGCAATCGTGCAGATAGCATGGTCGGTCAACTCATTCATCAATAACGAAAACGTCAGAAGATGACTGGCCATAGAGAAGACACAAGATAATAGTTGGCCAAGACCTAGCAGTTCCCTGCCAAATCGACCCATGATGATCGCCCCGGCATCACCCATGCTATGTGTTTGGGGGTAGCGCAGCTTGAATTGGCCAATGATGAACCCTGTATACCAGGAAATAACAGAGAAGCCGAGGAGGATAAGAACAGCTCTTCATAGAAGCGGGATAGTTAGTGCGTAGTTTCGCGGGACAGGGGAACGCTTACGGGACTACGCCCAGGGTCGCGACGGCGGATGGCAGGGATAAAATCCCCAGGGAGATATTGTCTGCTATCATCACTGGGTAGATTTAGTATCCACTCCACCAATTTGTCCCGATACGACATACACATTCCACACTGCCTACGAGGGCTGTTAGTTAGGAGCGAGGATGATCGGACGTTACCCCAGCGGACATACCACCACTTCATGACACGATACTTGACCTCTGTGCCTTGCTCATCTCCAAATGGCTCGATATCCACTGGAGGCAGCTCTTCTTTTTTGTCGTCAGCGAAGGAGTCGTAGGCATTGGCCGCGTGCATCGTGGCGGGTTTGATTTCCATGGCGGCCCCGAGTCATAGGAGACCGAAGCGAGGGGCTATTGGAAGCACCGTGCACAATATGCCGTCACTTATGCTCTGGTATTTATAGTCGACGGGTAGCAGATATTGTTTAACCATAATTTACCTCTGCATTCCAGTTGTAGGCGTCATCTGAGATGGCGGGAGCCAATCGCATTGCTGGATGCTGCCAAGATCGCCGGATGCAACAACAGACAACCCTGAATGGCAATGATCTGATTCAATCCGGCAGACTTAAATCTTCCTATCACGCCTGGAATCAGATCAGATGAAATTCCCCTTCTCCCGCGTGGCTCCACTCGGATGGTTCCTGAAAAACTTGGGGTTAATGCCCCTCCCTCACCGACCCTCTGATCTTTCCTCCCGACCGGTATAGCGTAGTCCCAATTTTGTAGCTCTACTTCCGGCGAGTCATTTCCAAATCTCACATATTGATACTCGTCTAGCCATCTCACTTCATTCGCACAGGGTTGCATTTATTCTGACCGCCTATGGTAATGCGAGTTACGTGCTCTGGACCAATGTTCCGTGAACCGGATACATATCAATCCGCTAGGTCCTATAACTAGATCTTTGTCAACCTGGGAACCAGTATTCTACGCGTTCGCCTACTTCGGCAAAGACGGGGAACAGAGTTTTTACCAATGCGCAACGTGCATGGAGAGAGCATGAGACCACGACAATCACTTACGTGTCCGACTGGAACCTAATGTATCAAACGCTCAGGTCGCCAGGCGAGGTTTTGATCGCGTAACCGATCGAGTATTGCTGTCGGATTTTGATTCGTGAGACATCAAATTATCATTGAGTAAATAGGGCTCGTTTGTACTCTATTTAGAAGTTACGCAAGACATAAAGATATGTAGGCAATTCTGCCCACAAATGCCCTACACCGTGAATGCTTATTTCTTCGCGCTGTGCAATGTCGGTCTATCCAGCTGCTCACCGATATTCTGCGAGAATCCTTGAACACGCTCCTCAATTCCTAATTATGCGCCAATTCAAGCAACGCGCGGCCAATTGTCAGGTCAATCATGCCCCATCCCTTCAGCACCACGTTGCCTTCCGGATACTGTGTTCTCCATTGCAAAATGCTCCCGGATCTCTATCAGTTGCTCCCCTATTACGTGTGCATCCGGTAGCTCCCCAGAATCTTCCAGGCATCCCTCTCTAAAATAGACGTGTATCAAACCGCCTCCGGGTAATAGAGTACCTGCATCTAAGTCCCTCCTATGCGGCTTATACGATCCTATAGGCGAGATAAAGCGCCGTTTTGGCGAGCTCTCGAGTAATGAGTGCGTGTATAATGGCTCAGTGGAGGGAGTGCAACAGAATATAACATCAGGCGAGGAGATGCACAATCGAGGCGCATATTCATAATCCGATTTATCTTCAACGACGAGCTCAAAGCTGAGTTTGGCATATACCGGTCGCAGAAGATTAATGACGTGCTTTTCCAACTGATTGAGTTGTTCACTACCTCCATCCAACATTGGCCCTGTGGACGTCCGCCGCTAGGATTAAGGCGAGCCGGATGTGCCACTCCACGTGCGACCCTGAGTCGAAAACCACGATATGATTCTCGGTGATGTCGGAGATCTGCGCGGAAAGACATAGGGCAATAGTCTTGATACCGGTGTTGGTTGTAACCGAGCGACTTGGTCACGGCGAACTAACAATTCGGTCGATATGAGAGTCTAGAGATGCCAATACAGTTGCACAGGTACATTCGTCAGACTGCACTTACATTCCAAATATCCACGGTATATTATATCTTAGTCCTAAGGGTTGTCTTCCAGCCCTTGGAAGGCAGTTCCGCGGAACCTATTTCCGAAGAGATAATCCAAGACCCGCTTCGACACTACTACAGTATCCACAGTTGTCTAAATAATTACTGTTCTTCTCGGTTATTGCCACTGAGGTGTACTCCGTACCTGGCTTTCTTCAAGTGCACTGGGACAAAAGAACTTATTGGTAAAGGCCAAAGTATGCTCACCATGACGGATAACTCCTAACGAAGAGTACACTATCAGGCGAGGAGGCATGGACCCTACATTCACATATTGCTATATTCGAATTCAAACTTGGTACCCTACACGCTCTCTTGCAGAAACTTCAACTGTTCCGCCACTTTTAAGATCTGTGTATTGTTAATACCCATACCACCATCATGTATGTTCCATCCAGCTAAATTTCCACGAACTGAGATATCTTTTCCCATGCCACTCTGCACCAAAGTATCACAATTGGCATGTTTGGGCTCCCGTCCCTCGACACTTACAATAAATAGCTTCTACCATCCGCTGCAGGAGGTCGAACTTCTTGCCTCCTAGTTTCGTGACCCTATGTCCGTTCGCGATTACATCGTTTGACATACACGAGATACTTGAAATATAGCTTCCATATCTGGTACTAATGAGGGCTCGATGAAGGAAGCGAGAAGGACTATGAAAGCGGAAGAAAATATGTGATCGTAGTCGAACGGCATAAATAAATTCTGTCAGTAGTACGTTCGAGAATGGCTTTCCTTTTCGCAAAATAGGAAGTTTCGTTCACAAAATGAAGATTGTTCTTGGTTCTTGAGTTAGTAAGGCTGCATTTTGCAAGGACAATAATTAGTAGAAACTGAATGAACCAAAGAGGCGAACACTTCGCTTTCTTAAGCCCCTTTTGGGAAAGCTCATTGGAATGCGGTATGAATTCGTCCTCGTCAAATATGAACATCATTTGGTAGGAATTGAATTTGACAATGCTGAAGAGATAGAGCGAGTCATTGAGCGTTGGGAGCCCTTCCATACTGAAACAAGTCCAAACTTGTTCGCATCCAGTTCAACTTCCGTGTAGCTCTGTCGATGTGAAAAGGCACGTCAGAGGCAGGGAACTTTAGAAGCGCTTTTTTAAAAGAAGAAATACGTGTTGAGAGAATGACCATGTGGACGATGGGCCACAAAATCCTTTTATAATTAGTATAGATGTTATCATCAACAACTGATGCCAAAGCAGTTTAACTCACGGTATTGTCTACGGGTATCTTTAAGGTGAAAGGTGAAATAAAGTGGCGGATGCCAAGGGGTTCGTGACGGGCCTCGCCTTCTCTCGTAAGAGCTACGGTAGACATCCCTTCTATAACTCAGTTAGCACTTTCTCTCCGTCCCCCCTGCCTTGATTGCTGACCATGCCCGGGAGACATTATAGCACCGGACTCCAGTACTGATCTCTCTTCTGAGCTCACTCGGAGCGCGAAATGTCCCTCCTGCCTCTTGATGTAGGCATCTTGCAACTTGCACAGATAACCGAAAATCGTTCTTTAGTATGTGCTGGAGAAAAGCCTTTGGTCTGGGCAAATACCATTCGGACACAATCACTCTCTTTTCTGCTTGTTTGAAAAGGCATTTGCGCGTCGCGAGTTATGCAAGTCTCACAAGGACACTTTCACGAGCCCTTGACCTTCCTCTTCTTGCACTGCTTCCATCTGGCAATCTAACAGTTAGCCCATTTTGTACTTCTCGTAGTAAAAGATCAAGTACCGGGTGTAGCTACGCATTCACTACCTTGTCCAATTGCCTCCTCCGAAGAGCTCTAGAAGCAATATTGACTGACTCTACTTAACGCTTCAGCGTACTTGAAGGGCGATCTTACCTCTAGTTTAGCAGAGAGAAGAAACATCCTTCACCGCAGTGTGTTGACGGTATTGCATGCAGATGAGATGTCAGCATTTATTAAAGGGACGTTCCGATGCAGATCCATAATGATGTTCGATGAAAGAGATACTCGGAGAAATAAATAACCTTCCGCACTTCTATTTGAATGATAATTGTTCATGGCCGTGCTCTTTAGTTCCTTTCGGTCCACTGCATATTGCAAATTATATACCCTACATAGTAGATATAGCAGCATTTTTATGATAACAACTCCGGTGTAGCCTCCCTGAGTCAACAGAATGCTGAATTCTACCATAAACGATTGCAGCAACGCCAGGTTAAATAGATGGGACACGAGTTAGTAGATATGAGTTAATAAATGGAATATACAGAAAACTAGTCTAGATGTTTCTGTTCTAGCCCGTTTATCATTGTTCGTCGATTCCAGAGTACTTCTAGTATTACCCCGTTGAGATTAGCGTGGATTCGTTGAAGGCTCGGCCGGGCTTCGGCATACGCTCGCTCCTGTTCCAGAAAAACCTTTTTGGTGACTATCCGAGATAATTATCTAAATTAAAATCTGTAGTTGGCTCTGGTAAATGCAGTGCTGATATATACAAGCTAAACTGAATCGCAAACCTGCGGAACCAGCATCAAGTTCGGACCTGTGCACACTTGTAGAGGCCATTGCCGCTGGATATATTGAGGTACAAGGTTGGTAGATATATGGCAGATATTGCAGGCTTACCCAGAAGCCATGAGGAATTGTATGCCCTTCTCTGTATCCTTCAACTTGGTAGGGTGGTAGCAGGGAGACGACCTTATTCATATGGGAAAGCTAGCTTACAATGCTCAGTCCGAACAAAGGTAAGTGTGGTTATATCCATTAATAACCTCAAAGGTTCCGCACTGTTTTAGGCTTGTCGAACCTCTCTTGTTCTGCTATTTTAAGAGTCATTTCAAGTATAAGTGGCCCCATAATACCTCAAGTATTTCCCGGACATTGCTTCCAAGAAAACACCGCCCGCTCCATATTATAATTATTCAACCATCATGAATGCCTCGCACGATAATCCAGACACCCAGCGCAAGAGCCTAGCGAAGACGGTGTAACCCTTCCTGCCAATTCTAGTTTCTGGCGGGACCCTTCGTTAGATCAACCGATGTGGAGGGAAAGCTATGAACCGTGCTAGGGCATTACGATCTCATCAGATCAGCAGTCCTGCAGCCACTGGCGCTAAGCCGTACAACGCAGTATTGACACTGAAGAGGCTGGCCGCCTGGCTTGCGATCTTCGGGTATTTGTTCGGGTCATTGGTATCGCACTCGCCCCACGGGTTGGTTGTGCTAAGAGTGCAGTTGGCATGGTCACCGTTTTGGCTCTTGAATTGCAGATCCCCTGTTTCCCAGTTGACAGTGACCGAGGAGCCGTCGCAGATCTTCTTGGTCTCGGTACCCTTGTTCCTTCCACACTTCTTCTTGAAGGGCTTGGAGCTACCCTTGCATCCGTAGAGTTCGTCGTCGATGATCACCGTACAGTGCGTCACGTACTTGTTGGCCGGAGGCTGTGTTGATTTGATATAAATGTGAGCTCCTGTGATTGTCTGCGCCAGGGCCATGACGGTACTGAGCTTGAGGAGCCAGGAAGGCATGGTAAACGTTACGGAACGGTCAGATGTCAGCGGCGGGCTCTCCGAAGGGTGGGAGGTATGAATGGCACGAGATGGGAGCGATGTGCTATTCAGACGGAGACACGGATTGCTACTTATAATACACTACGGATACGGAGTACGCTGTAGTCGATTCGGTCCCCGTTTACCACTTCTCGGTAAACCCGGATCATGGGCACGCGAGAAATATCTTGCGGAACCGACACTTCAATGACTAAAATAAGGGCTATCACCGTGCTCCCGGGAATCATCCTTTACACCTCTACTAGAAGCAGTATCTACAGCATTTTTAGAGTAACTGACTTTGTTTCTTTAAATCCCGACTTTATTCTTGCTTAGGTAACTATTCAGTCAAGTATCCCTCTATCTCCAGATAGTAAGCCAAGCAGTTAAGGCAGTTCAGCACCTAATATACCTTATACAGTCAAACAATTGAAAAGACCAGAATACATGTTTAAAAAAGTGTTTAAAAATTGATCTTAAATTTCTCATTCGCATACTGTTAGTTAAGTAACGTAAAGGATAATTCCGGGTGCTCAGTGATTCTGGCACTTTACGGGACTGAGTCGGGACCCTTTCTATGATATCATGACTGCTGCAATGTAACCTTACTATTCATGGACAATAAAGTGCCGAACCCCCAGCGTATCCTAGGACGGTGGGCAAGGGTTAGCTTTGTATCAATTCTACTGCTTGTTCATAGTGATTCTGACCTAATTGGCAGACGTTCTGCCCTGTACAAGCAGAACGTTCAGAGTTAAAGACGCTGAGCAAACTCTATATAATAATATTATTTTAAAATATTAAATCGAACAATATCAGGCTGCTTATAAAAAATAGCTTAAAGAGCAAAAGCTCTCTATAAACAGCTTTATTTAAAGTCAGCTATATCAGTACAGGAAGCCAGGGCTCTTTTAGAAAGCAGAAAATATGAAGATAAGGCTATACAGTCAGATAAAGTCTTAGGCGCTGAACCGGTTTCTAATTCGCCGCCCCTCAGACGTTCTGGCTGTAATATTCCGGGCTATAGAATTACGAACTGCTCGAATCGGTAGAACCACTTATTTTTTTTATAGTAATATAAATTGATGCTGTTCTCAGTAACTATTTTTAAAAGGGCAGCCGGATAATCGGCTGGCGGGTGATTGGCTCGCTCGGGTAATACGTTGTTATATGGCCAACAAACACCGGTCAACGAATGTCGCAGGGAACAAGCCCAGGATATTCGTATCAGAGCCCCCAACGGACCCTGTTATTGCCGATCTAGCCGGTTTATCCTGCTGGCGATGGGTCAATCCCGTGCAGGTAACCTTTGAACAACTGCCCATAAGGATAGGTCTGGAAGTGGGCCAATCTCGTAATGGAATCGCTTTCGGCAGTTCTGGGCGATGTGTTGGGGGGTTCATTAGCAGCATATATTATACATAAACCCGGCAACATGCTCCTCGTAGGCAAAGGTACCTTCCTAAATATGTAACCACGGAGTTTGCCGTACTCCTGACCGTCACACCTAAGCACAGCACCAGTGTTGCATGCAAAGTCAATGAAGGGCGTGTAGTCCGTAGTGAGACATCTGAGGCACTATCCTAGCCTTGCATAAGAATAGCAGCCAAAAGGATGATCAACACGGTGCAGTCAAGCCCTTGGGAAATGAAAATTCGGTAGAGCATAAATATGCCATCGAGGTTTAATATCTCTTCATGGTTCAGAAAATGACTAAACATGCAAAGTCGACTGGGTAGGCATTGACGCTTCCTTCATGATTGAATTTGGTACTTCAAAGTAGCATACTGTGTTTTAGCAAAACTAGCTGATCAGAACCTACATTTTTTTTTTCACTCTCTGGGGGCCTTGAATCCCGTTGTTATTATTACCCTCGATTCATAGTCAAAGGAGACACCCTTTGGTTGTTGAACAATTAATTACTGGAGTCTTGGAATATATGAAAGGCTCATCGTCGTGTCTATTAAGTTTGTGAGCAAGCACAATACTCAACCGCTCGGTTACCTTTCGGTGCCAAATAATAGGGAGATCATAAGTGTTGCTCCAACTGGTTCTTCTGCTTGTGTAGTATGCATAAACTAGACGAGCATATGTAGGCCCCAAGGGATTCGATTTATTAAAGCGCAGGATTTGGTCCCAGCCCAACTCAATCCCCATCTATAATAGCAGACACATGTTCAATTAGCGTCCGAATCAGTTTCTAATAAAAGCAGAATTATTTAGCATTCTGTATACATTCCCGAGTACCTTTGAATCCGTCCAGTAGTATTCACCAAACAAAAACTGGGTCCTGGCTGGTCTCCTTATACAACTCACGAATCAGCTCCACTAAGCGCTGTACCTCATGCCTATACCACGGCATGGCATGATGGTAGTCAACTTCATAAAGCTTTGCTGTATTCGAATCATAATATGTAGCATACTGCCGCTGTCCCAATGCCAGGAAGACATCTTTCAACCCGTGAACATGTATCGTCGGTATATGAATTTTTTCTGAGGATCCCGTATCGGCCATCTCTACAACGATGTTAGTAAGTATAAACACGCAACGGTTCATTTAATCTGATATTGCAAGGGGATAGTCAACGTACGATGACCGATCTCCGACACCATGGGCGCTCCACCACCCATACAACACACCCCAAATTTCAGCTTTGGATGAGACCCCGTCTCTCCCGACGCTGTCCTCCGTTGTTGATCCAACAATAGTCCGCCCGTGATTCGCGTGCCCTGACTGAATCCCATAACGCCCACCCATTCCCCACCGGGTCCCGCCGCTTCCATCAATTTCCAGACCCGCTCCACACCGTCCCGCCCCGAGATGTCGTACCCACTTCCATCGCTCAGCTCGACTTCGGTCCCGTTTTGCTTGAACCAGGAGCGGTAGGGCTTGTATTCACGAAAGGCGGGGAGAACGCCGGGTCCCGGGCCGCTTTCGAAGGGTCCATCGAAGAAAACGAATTCGAAGTCATCCTTGAGCAATCCGGCTAGTTGCGAGCATTGGACGTTGTAAATAGAGGCGTTGGAGCCGCCGCCGTGGAAGCAAGCGATGCGGGGTAAGCGACTGGGCATGTTCGCTATAGTAAGAGATATTCTATCTATAACAGTTTGCGCGGTAGATCAATCAGCTGGACGGTGGTCCATGATAAATGCGGGAGAAAAGAGGACCGAGTCGGTGAAGGGGCTGGGCAAGGTCATGTGAATCGTGTTCATGCATGATTAGTAAATCTAGGCCTATGGGTTAAATTAATTTTACAGTAGTGTATTTTTTGCGTTGCTTTCGCATTGTCGATAGTTTACAGACTACTATCTATCAGGGTTCTACAAGCCTCATGTCCCTGAACTTTAATCACAGTGCACGTTATCAATCAACCTCTCTGAAACCTGCCACTATGGATTCTCATCCACTCTTGATCAAGGTCCTAGACAATTCGAATAGTCTAGAATTCTCTGGGCAATGAATCCAAATCGACTACCCATTACAATCAACGAACGTATTGCAATCCCGGAATCACCACAGTGCCAAGTAGTACCAATACCACCGCGATAAGAACCATCATGACCAAGGGCACGTACAACAAGGTCCAGTTCTGCCTAGACTGAAGCTCTGACCATGCCGGTCCTGCGCGCTCAGGTGAGGGAATAAAGTCCAGCATAATTGCACCTGCAACCTCGTTAGAGAACCATTCCGCAACAATGTGGCCATTCTTTGCTAAATAGTATCGCGCGATCAACCTATCGAGAAGACTCGCGAACATGAAGTGGCGTAGTGCCCGTTTTGCAGTACGATAGATGGGGGTTATGCGTTGGACACGGCTTTCTGTAAACCGAGCAAGTACCTTTTCCATCTCTTCTGTGGAAGGCTTTTTGGTTCTCCCCTGGAGGCATTCATACAAGGAGTTCGTCAATTCAGCGGCATCCTCGATCGAACAAGAGACACTTTGACCTGTATGGGGCGCAATCTATCTTCATTGTCAATTTCTTAATTGTATATGAACAGAGATGAAGGGAATACCTTGTGCATGCTTCCACCAATGCAAACCATGTGCCTCCAATGCCATCTTTGTCGCAAGCCCTCTTCTATTGCCATCATGCCGAAGGTCTTCTGCCGGTCCCACACATTCCGCCAGATCAGGTCTGCCCAGACCGATGTGTCTCTTAGTTGATCACTCTCACAACGTTTCTGTACCTCTTTTGCCGAGAATTCTGGGGCCCGGTCATGGGGATATTGGCGGTCCAATTTGAGGCACACACTCCATGATATGTCCCCATCCTTACCAACCAAACAGGTTATATTCCGCCCACGATCATTGCTCGTCAGGATAGTACCCCGGGTCAGCTCTGGGTAGTCTGGATGACGAGTCGAAATTCCCGATATACAAGCGTACTCGACCATCATATCTATACGCAAAGATTAGTCGTAAGTCCTGTACTATACAAGCGTGGAGATATCGGCTACCTTTGTTGACATCCATTGCTAGCTCCGGCAAATTAGAAAGTCGAGACATCTCAGCCCGTACCTTGCTATGAACACCATCCGCGCCGACAACCAGATCTCCTTCGTAGCTGTACCCATCCCACGTCACTACCCGGACACATTTCGCCCCCTCCTCAATACGAACAATGGCTTTGTTCAATTTAACCTTGTCATTCCGTGGAAGAGCAGCGTATAACATTCCTAACACCTTCCGTTTCCTCAAGAACAATGGCGGATATCCGAACCTACGAGTAGCATTAGAGACCCAGCTCATTATTGACCGAGACATAGAGGACAACATACCGTTCACGCAACACCTTAGGAAAGTCCATTTCATACGAACCCACACCAGGAATTGTCATGTACGCAGTATGCATCGGCTCTAAAAGCTCCTTCATATCGTCTAATACTCCTAGTTGATCCCAGATCCGAGATCCATTCGGCATGATCATCAGCGGCTCATCTCGAGTAGGGGCATGCTCCTTTCGCTTTTCGAGGATCACATAGTCGATGCCCGCTCTATGCAGACAGTGAGCTAGGGTGAGTCCTTCGATGGACGCTCCAATGATGAGGACCTTGAGGTGGGGTTGGGGCATGTTGTCCGGGGTTGTATCTGCTCTGATCGGCTTTGGTGTTTTTTGTGTGAATTAGCTGATAGCTACACGGGTCGTAGTCCGACTGAGGAACAGAGGTGGCATTTTGGGGTTCACGGCTCGGGTTTATGGCTTCGACGTGGTCCGTTTCAACTTGTACGACATTCACTCTTCTGTGTCACCTGGACAATGGATTGTTTTGGGGTGGTGAATGTCACACAGGTTTGTTAGGTTAGTAACTACGCTTACGTTATGTGGCTTCTTAAGTGAAACTTAACTGTTGCTATATAGGGTCATGCGCGGTGTTGAGGGGTTGTAGGTGGCATTGGAGCTATTTGTGTCCCGCGGTATAGGTATTATGTGCAATGGATTTAATGAACTGAACAATAGATTGTAAATTAATATAAAAAAGATCGAGTACTAAAGGAGAAGAGCGAAAGAAAGGCCTGTATGCTGGAAAAGAATGTGGTGTGAATACGTTGGTGTGTTATTGTAGATCTATCGGTACAAGGAAATAGAAGATATTCAGAGGAAGCTATTCTCGCTGAAAGTATATATATGGTATGCCAGAGACTAAGTATAAATATGCCTACTCTTTCCACAGAGCAATTATTGGCTATGCCCAATCAAGCCCAAGACGAAGATATTAGGCACTATGCAATGAAGCACCGAAGAGCCCTTCTGCCCAACCATCCAATACCATCCTCTAACCCAATCTCACCCGAGTCAACCACTCTGTGAGAACCACGGATCTAAGGGTCCGTATAGTATGAGGGGCCAGTGTATACCATACACGAAGCCCTCATCGCAGACTTGGCTGTGAAAATAGAAAGAACGAGACTATGTCAATTATGAGCTGTGGTTGGCACAGAAGGAGATCCTACGATAGCATGGATATTGGTAATTCTTAGTAGGGGCGCAGATCAACATTTCTTTCCATTCATTGGACGGTGATTAAAGTCTCCATGTCGCGTTGTTGTTAGTAAACATTAGCACCCAGGCTAGAGTTATAAACAGCCCGACGATAATCCAAGGCTTAGCTACATTTAGCACAACATGAAACTCGGGCGGTGCATGAAATGTTGGCATATGTTTCTCAGTTTCCTGGAGGGCAAGAGCACTAGGGAAGTGGTTTACATCCTTGTCGAGCATGAGGTTGTGCTTGAGTGCAACAGGTCATTTCTCGCCGATGCTAAAGCCGAAGAAAATGGATCAGATCGAACACCACATGAACTGCTCGGCCATGACAGTTGGGATCCACCAGAACTACTCCAAACAGAGTATAGACACGTACCGTTACTGCACCGCAGATCCAAATTAAGAACATCTGACCGTTTGTACCCAATAAGTAAGGCCCGATGCGCATCCATTGTGCCAAGTCGCATGCCACGTAGTTTGGCACAAGAACCAACGGGATCGCGTTACAAATCTGATAATTCAGTCTGCCTTACCCGGGTTGGAAATGGTGGCACGATTCAAAGCAATCGGAGAAAATAAAAAAAATGGGACATGGTGAGGTGGCTGGTGAGCTGACCGCTACTTGATATCGATGGACCCATTCAACACGACGCTAAAGGGTGCCCACATCTCGGCTGGTTATTACAGAGTCCTTCACGACGACAGGGAACCATTTGGGATCCCACCACTCTTCCCGGCCATGATGCCCTTCATACCCATTTTGCTTGTGCTCGCCGGGCTGAGCTTTTTGTTTCGGCGACGGCGATACCAAGCCATCGAGCAAAAGGAGACTCCCCGGGTGGTTGTTAAAGGGCATACATATTCGGATACTGTGGAAGAGATAGAATTACCGCAGTTGCGAAGTGAAAGGGTCGAGAATGTTCGGAAAGCGTGTATGATAGGCGCGGGATATGTGGGTATGTATCATAGCTCGTGGCCCTGAGGTTTGGTCGCCGCTAATTTGTTTTTACTAGGTGGGTTGACAGCGCTGGTCCTTGCGTCGCAAAATCCACATATCCAGTTCTATGTCGTCGACAGTGATGCTCGACTCATTGCCGCATGGAATTCAGATCGCCCTCCCGTCTTTGAACCTGGGCTGGAAGATCTCCTATATGAACCTGATGATCCACCGCAACTGCCATCCCCGTCACCCTCTCCAAAGCCAGCGTTCTCACAACATGAGCACGATCTAGAAAGTTCAAGTAATAATATAAGCCATGGGGAGCTTGTTAAAGTCGTACCGCGGCGGAGAAAGCTCGCAAATGTGAGCTTCTCGACTAATATGCACGAGGCTGTGGCGGCGGCAGACATGGTCTTCCTGTGCGTCGACGCGCCATCCAGTATAACGGACGAAGACAAAACCAATTTAGACCTTTCACGCTTGGAAATAGCCATCCAGGCGATCGCACAGGTTTCGACTGGGCACAAGATCATAGTCCAGAAGTGTACCGCCCCGTGCGGCATCGTGCCCCGGCTAAAGAAACTCGTAAGTCCCATAGATTCGTAATGTGAATGATTTCTGACAGTCGTAGTTAAAAGAAACGGCCTCCCCGTCGGCATCCTTCGATGTACTCTCCAATCCCGACTTCCTCGTTCCCGGCGCAGCAATCAGAGATCTCCTATATCCACCCCGTGTGATCATCGGACACATTTTCTCGGAAGACATGTCGCCCGAAGCTCTAACAGCTTTAAAGCGATTATATTCCCCCTGGGTCCCGGATGATCGCATTGTGACCATGGACGCCTGGTCTTCGGAACTAGGCAAGATAGCGGCCAACGCCTTGCTCGCCCAACAGATAAGCAGTCTCAATTCACTCAGTGTTCTGTGCGAGTCAACGAACGCCAATATCAACTATGTCACGGAGACACTCGGGTTAAGTCAGCGATCGGGATTAGGATTTGGTGGATCGAATCTGCAATCGGACGTGCTGTGTTTGGTGTATCTGGCGAGGGAATTGGGATTACAGGAGGTGTTCGACTACTGGATGGCGGTGCTTCGGATGAATGAATACCAGCGACATCGCGTTGTCAAACGCTTAATTACCCGTCTGGGTGATGTGAAGGAGAAGCGAGTCGCGGTACTTGGGTTTGTGTCCAAAGGAAATGTGATGGATACGCGGACCACAACGGCATTGGGCTTGGTCCGAACATTGACGAGCAATGGAGTGCGAGTCAACATATACGATCCACACGTCCAGGCCGACCGCAGCGAGAGTACCTTACGACTTTACGATTGTCATCCGGAAATGGTAACCGTGACCGAATCCATCGAAACAGCGTGTTTTGGATGCAGCGCGCTGGTGCTACATACGGATTGGGAGGAGTTTCGTCAGGATGCGGTGCGCTGGCAACGCATTGCCGGCCATATGGCGAGTCCCAGGGTACTCTTAGACCCACACGGCGTCTTTGATGGGTTCAAGATGCAGCAATGGGGATTTGAGGTGTTGCAGGTTGGCATCCGCAGTGCGAAGGTGGTGTGAGCTGGTATAATATTTCTTGTATTGTATCCTGTATGCATTATGACGGCGATGTTTAGCGATTTGATTGATTTAATAGGATGACAATATTAATGCATATCCATAGCGACGGAGATATCTGATATGGTTGGACCAATTGAGCATTCATTCGTCATGTTCACTTCCTAGTTTAGGATCGCCTCTAGTAGCAGATCGATGCTCCGAACCACCCAGGCTACACGTACAGGGGTCTATCAATATAGCTATATTTTCTTACCTGCATTGTTTCTGTCAGAAGCCGCAATGTGATCAGGGACAACGAGCCAAGTTATATGAGCAGTTTTGACTTTCTCCGTCTCAATCCTAGCTCCCTTTGCTCATGCTTTCTCAATCATCATCTCCTGCAAAACTAGGGAATCGATCGATCCTCCTCACACAACAAATATGCAACAGGGAGATATCCACATAAGCATCTGCGGTCGCCGGCGAGTTCTTCGTCGCCCACGCATGCGGACGCAGCCTTGTCACCCACTCAGTGCTATCCGGTACATCATGGAAGAACAAAGTGAATTGTTTATCCGCCATGACGGTGCCATTACCCACCCATTGGATATACTGTTAGTCTCGTCCTGTTCATTTAGAGGGAAGTTGCAAGATGCAGAACTTGCATCTTGGATGTACCAATCTGGCGGTACACCCCCAAAAGCACCAATCAAAATATGGCCTATATCCGGTAAAAAGGCCGAGATGAAGATCAGTTTCGTCCCGCCGCCTTCCTTGTTTTGTTCTGTCCCTGTCTCTCTGCTTGGCCTAGTCCCTCAAGCGTGCTGTTTACGGGAAGACCAGACCAACTATGCGAGATGACGATGACATCTTGGCCGGCATTTACAGCTGGCTCGACCAATCCGCGTACGGCATTGATATCGGCGATTAGACCCTTGACTTCCGCGGATTTTTGAACAGAAGGGAATGCGACTGTTTTGCAGATGTAGCCGTGTGAAGTCAGTTTGGCAATCAGTGGGTCCAAGGCTGTTGGTGGGTACCAGGCTCCCGGGGCGACTATAAGGGTTGGCTTTGACATTCTGGATCTGGACAAGGATAGAGAGTCGTAGAGTACGTACTGGAAGTAATCCAAAAGTCCTTGAACAGGATACGAGATACCATACCCTGGGATGGGTCTGTTGAGGCTGAGCTTAAATACTTCTTTGCCGAAGAAGTCGTGAATCTGGTCATTCAGCCCCCAAGGATATCACCCAATCAGCCATGCTTTAGGGAGGTTAGCCCAGCGTTAGCTGCAATAGTGAATGGCTGTGAAGGCTATCACTTGCTATGCTGAAGGTTGGTATGCCTGCACAATATATTTGTCCCATTGGCAATGCATCTTCCATTTATTAGGTAAGACCTTGATTCAGATTGTAGCTCTCTGATAATAATATCTATTTGTAAGACTATCATCATAAGAAAATAAAATGTTCCTCCATGAACAAGTGTGTAAACATTCACAATTTGGGCTCCCTCGATAATTCCCCAATATGCTCCCTCCACATATCATCAAGGGTGATCTTATCACGGCGCAGTATGGCCTGCCACCGCTGAAGATACTTCTGTTGCTGGAGTTCCTATCTGGAAAGCTCAGCGTCGCTAAATTCAGTAACAGCATTGGCACAGTCCGTAACACGTTCCATCAGAATGAGATGCCCCGTTGGCAGTGTGATCCCTTTCACCCGTTACCGACTAACCCCACTGTTCCTACCAACTCCAGTCCCCGTAGCATCCATCTTGGCCTGACGGGCGGTGGGTGACGATAATTTAGAGTTTTCTCCGAACACATACAAAACGCTGGGCTTCATCTCGCCCAAGCGGCGGAAGGCTTGTGCTGGTTCGGGTCGGTAGAACGGATACCCCTCCTCTAAATCGCCCGGGTGCATCTCATTCTGCGATTCATCCTGTTCCAGATCGACTCGCCCACCTTGATAGTTTGGTCAGAGAAAAGTGAATACCCCTTAGGCTTTGGGGGTAGTTAATTTTTAAATTATATCGAAACTGATCGAGGACGACTGGATTCGAGCCTACCTCATACACCCCACGCAGACTCATCGTGAAGAGCCAGGTGATGTCGGCTACACAGAGCAGTGGGAGCAGATCCGGACCACCGTCGGCAAGCTTGTACCAACGCTGAAAGATCAATCACGCTGGACAGACATTCCATACAAATCATGGGATAATACCGATGAGAATCTCGATAATCCATCCGGAACCGCAGGGAAGAATCTTTTTAAATACGACCCAGCTCATAAGATCGGGAATGCCAGACGCAGCATTACGCGGCGCTATAGGTTGAGAACGAGAAGACGCCGTACCATAGTGACCAGTGGTAAGCGTTGGGTGGGCCGTGTAATAACTGTGGACTATAATTTACCGAATACATTAAGGTCGCGTTGTCTCTAAGAGGCTCGGAGACAACCAACCACGAGTACTACCCTGCATAAGCCCACTAAGCAGGTCGATTGACATGTTAATTGGTCCAATACTGTAATTATACATTTTATGTTTTTTTCACAATGCGTAATTTGCAGCCGCCCTCATTTTATAGCGGCGGGCTCAGTAAAATAATCGCACTAAGTCCTTGGCATTGGGGCTAGGACATAATCATCATATGTATGTATGCTGGTCAGATTTATTCCAGTTCTTTCAAGACTCAATATACTTCTACGTTAAGATGCTTATGATAGACTATACCGCATATTATTCTTTATATTAGTAGTGGTAGGGTCCGTACTGAGTTTGATATTTTTTAAAAGAAATGACTCCTGCATACATAAGTTCCGACACTAACTAGAATTCTCTGAGGCAGTAACATCCGTTAGGGAATGAATCCCGTAGGCCAGGCTGCAGGTGGCTGTCGCCTTCTCTTCTAGGTGGAAATTTCAATTCGGCTGGTTCTTGATTTCCTGGTTAGAGCCAGTAAAATATCTGAAACCCTGGGACGTAATTTCCTTTATGTCACCTCGCTGGTTATCTACTAAGTGAAGCTATTGACGGCTAGCCAAGACATCAAAGCTTCAAATGATGTTCGCCCCACCTACAGACTAAGTTAAACGGAAGTGCTATTTGGACGAGACGCTAAACTAGAATAGGTTAAGAAGGTGACAGCGCAGTCCCTATACTACGGGTCGGAAATTCGGCTGTGCGAAGCTATCGCCCCCACACCTCCCGACGTAACCTTATACCAGGAGGTGTGGGGTCATGGTTCCTTGGAAAGTTCTTTCGGTCTTAGCTACTTGCTTGGGGGCTGAAAGTCCCTTCAATTGCACGATATTTACTCCGTACTACTAAGCTGAGCATTGATACACGAGATTCGCGGACGTTTTAATTTCCTCGGGTGTTTATACGCTTTGGTCCTAGGGCTTGTGCGAACCAGAAAGGATGACTCTAGTAGGCAAGATGTGTATACAAGTTGCGCAAGCCTTTCGATCCCTGCTTGTGTTACTGTCACCGGTTCCCCGTTTTTGAATGGCTCCTTGGCCCTCAGTCAGCTGCCTATGTACGCTTTGTGTGCTTGGAAATATGGAGCTTCGCATTTCACTGGAGCTAAGGAGCGTACGGAGCCTCGCCTCTTTTCCCTGTTTATTTAAAAAGAAGAGTCGATCGACCCGGGGTCTTGCCAGGGTACCTACTATATAATCGATACACTCCTCCCAGTAGATTGAGTTCTGTGACTCCTTTTAGCGGACCAACAGTGGCCAGTCTACTTTCCTTTGGACATGGCGCCCCGACGCTCTTTCCTCTCTCTCTTATTCTCCATTTCTCTCTACTGACTCAGCCACACTTAGCAAATGGGAATAATAATTACTTTATCGTGGGCGACCTTAGCCAGTATATCACGGATGGAGTGCGTGCCGGTTACTGCCTGTCTTCTCATTTCTGCAAAGTTAGTTCTATCACAGCATCTAACGCCGATCTAGGTCCCTACACCTCCCCTTACGGGGTCTACGATTGAAGTTACTGCGGTGGGTGACCCAGCAGAAAATGGGCTCTTAGTATACCTATCTCCGGATATGGAGACCAGCCTGAAGTCTACCATGGATAGCAACTGCACGACAAAAGTTAATACAGGGTGCTACCAAGCTGTCATGGACGTCCTTGAGGGCGCCAATAAAGTTCTTCAATCCCGCAATCTGGAGCAACGCGGGCTAGAGGAGTTGGTGATACGGGCCGGTGGTATGTTGATTTCGGGCTTATTATTTCCCGCTCATATACGAGGGAGAACACGTGGTCCTGGTGCCCATCAAACTTCCCCCGAAGCAACTCGAAGACTCTATTCCAATCGAAACCGCTACCGCCATCGTCGTCGTAACTGACAACATCACGCCGCAGACGACCGTTACGGTTCCTCCAGAGCAGGATAAGGTGACTGGGTAAGCAAACAAACCTCCACTCCTCTTAGCAACTACCTCGTTCTGTGTCAGAGCAATTTGGCTGACTGCCCTTCATTAAGCTCTCCTGCCATGATTAGGACCTTTGCGAGTTCCGGAAATGGCGCCAGCGCGGGAGACGTAGGAATCGAGCTAGACCCGGCGGTGGCAGCGCACCTTCAAGCGCTGTTAGCTGGCTCGAACACTAGCAACTGCGATTTGAGCGACGAGTTCTTCAACCCGATCCGTATTCGCCAGCTAGACTTATCCAACATCATCTGTGGCGTTGAGACCATCCTCGCCGATGGGATCGGCCAGGGCGGGTATCCCGACTGGCTCCTCATGAACCCGGCAAGGCTGCCGTGGACCGAACCGGAAGTAGTGGCAGCGGTGAACACCGTGGTGCGATGGGCGCTCAACCAGGCTGCCTCACTGAACCCGACGATCACCGAAACTCAGCTCCACGGCTTGGCGTTCGGTGCCTTCGCTATCTCGTGGGTCTACTTCAACAACGGGGCTATCATGGCAAACAACGCGGTCCCCTCGGCGTCGCTACGCGGTGGTCCTAGTGCCACCGCGTGCGCACAGCAGACGGCGTTACAATGCGGTGCGGAGTGTGGCGTGTTCGCGTGGGGCGCCTCAATTCGACTGCACTACGGCCTGCACGGCCGTCACAAGCTGCGACACCCAGCCAGCGCTCACCACGACCGTCACGACCACCAAGACCGCCTCCGGCCCCTCACCGACGGGGGATTCTTCAGGTGGCAAAGGGCAGCAGATCGCGGTGGCGTCGTACATGAATCCGCTCGCAGACCCAGCGGCCTGGGATCGGCTGATCGTGTATCCTGTGGAGAAGATGCCCATATCACCCGGATAAACCCCTCTGTTGCCATTATCTTGCAAACTTTATAACCTCTGTCTGCAGGTTCTTTAACTGCAAAATCATCTCTTGAATTCTCCATTATCCATAAGATATGGCGGGGGGGACCAAACAAGAAAACGGCAATTATAAGCCTTTATGCAAGGCCGCGCTTTTCAAGCGCTTGTATATGTAAGGGACTCAGCTAAATCAATAGTTTATTGGGTAATCTATGACCAAGAGTCTAAGCTAAAGTGAGGAAAAGAAAAGAAAACATGAAGCTATTGTGCTGTGTTGCCCTTATAAGCAAAGGGTCATGTGATTATAACTCATTCACTGACTGCTTAAATCTCTATCCGTGACAGTATATTATAGAGCTCTTTAGCTAACTAATAGATATATGTGTCTACCAGGATTTATATCAAAGAGCTGTTGCCTATATTGATATATGCCTCTCTTGAAGTATATTTGGCGTGGTTTACACTTTGAGAACCATTGTTGGCGGCAAGTATGTGACAAAAGAATGTTTAGTACATGTTAATCTAATTTAAATCTCTTATCCTTTTTGGTAAGCTTAAGGGATATTGGAACATTATCAGGATACAATTTGGTTTCTGAAGGCATCCTGTTAATGAAGTCTTATTGCCTTAAAGCAGTATTTGAGCTCTGGTTAAGCTAGTCTCCCGGAAATGCGAATAATTTATACTTGGGAACTTCTCCAAAAGTGGGTCTGTTGTCTGAAAATGGGGTCACAGCTGCCAAATATTGTACAACATCATGTTCATCTCCAAAGCTTGTTCTTGTTAAGTACAGAGATAGATATCTGAGAAATCTAAATATCTGGGAAATATGACATTTATCTTGCTATGTTTCTGGTCTAATGATTTAATAAATATAGGAAAACATTTTATCTATAACTTCTATTTCAAAAGAGACAGTATGTGTTCAGCTTCCATGTCCCACTCTCAAAATTGGTTTACTTCTAGGTTAGTATAAACATATAACCGTATCAAAAGCTCTTACTTTTGAGCCTGAACAGTACAGTTACACCTCGCAGTAAGTAAATATATGAATATGGCCAAGAAAGTATGGCGTATTTCTACCTTGGCACCCTTGGAAATCAGGTACTCCTGCATTCTCTGAGTATCCCTAGTGCCTGCATAGTTACCTAAGCGAGTGGTGTTGTTCACTCTTTGTCTTTGGCATTGATATTTATACCATATTCAATAAGCAGCTTCACAGCTAGAAGTGTGCCATACTCAGCTATCAAATGTCAACAGCGGTTTTCTCTAGCTCTACTTGTTCCTCTTGTAACAGAGATCAGGGCTAGTCCCATTCTCAAGTTACCTTTGAATATCACAGAAAAGGCCTTTTTAATAGCCAATTGTAGCCCTCCTAAAATTTTTGGTTAATTGCACATTGTAGCTATAGTAGGGGAAGGAAATGAAGGACAGTATAGGACAGAGAAATATGACTAACAGAGGTGTCAAGTATCTATATCTATCATTCGTTTTGAAGACCTGGACAGTAGACAAAATTGCCTGCCGGCACTAAACAGGCTCGCAGTGTATATTATAGATATATATTACAGATTACATGGGGATACTGGTAAGCCACTATATAGTCTAGCACATTGATGCTCAATTAAATACTAGGACAGTACTACTGGGCCAAATACTAGGTACTCGCCTATTTAAGATATGTAGAGTAAATCTTCCTAACTTGTCTATATATTCTTGTCCACTTGTTTATATCAAATCCTGGTCACTGGGAATACAAGAACTGCTGCACAAGATAAACCCTAGGAATATAGAACAGAGATAACGGTCTTACAAGTTTTTCAATGACTATTACACTGACATCGACACATATATGCGAGATATATATGTTTAATCCAACTGCTTATTTGCACTCCAGGTATATGCGCGAGCTTTCTACCATGCCGGTTATTTGGGAGTACTCTATCTCGATTAGAAGATCCTGAAGATTATAAAAATGGTTTCCGTCGTGAGTGTAATGGAGATGTACAGTATATCACCATGATATAGCATCTCTCTAGAGAGCTAACCCGGAAACTAGAGTCTTTTATTCTCCCGCCTTAGCCTGTATGGCTTGCACTGGGTACTATCGATGGAAAAACGACGTATAATACGCAGACGACTTGAGATAATAGGCTCAGTATATGGTGATTGTCTGAGCTCCTTTTACTTCCCTTGCTGCGTTTTGGTTCAACAGGAGAGAGACCCGAAAAACGTCAAGATGGGATGCGTTGTAAAGGTTATCAGCTAAATGAGCATATGTACTACCGTTAGTTATGGGTTGATTGGTTAGAATGGGGTTTTCCTACGGTTAGACTCAACCCAAGTGAACCACATAATATGCACATGAGGGTCTCTGGCTGTGTTAGTCTATAGACGCGTGGCGCAGTTACCTCCTTATTGTCACACTGTGGCAGCCACAAAGATTGTACTAATATAACCCACTGCATGAAACTCTACTGTCTAATACAAGGATTTTTTAATACCTGGGAGAGCTAGCCTCCTCATTACTAGGTAAAGTTGATCTTCAAAATGAAAAAATATATTCACCCGTGATTCCGTAAGCTTAGCTAGACAGTTATGTGTTGTGAATTGAGGCTTGACCAGGTAAGCTATAGAGGTTATAGAGGTTCTTATACGGAATTTATTCCGAATAAGGATCAAATTGATTTCCAAACAATCTAATGTTTAACTTATATATAAACCCTCAGGTTTACGGAAGTAATGAGACATAATCAATCTTCCTTTGAATTACAACGGAAGCACATATCTTGCTGCACCTTATTGGGTGAATAAAGCACTGCATTACCATCCTCAGGAGTCTGTAATTGAAACTGTAGAGGTTTTCCACGCTGGCTCTTCTTCTTATGCAGGAGGACTCTTTCGATAGCGGAGTTTAAGAAAGGTACTCTCGGTTGAGAGATATATCGTAGAATATAATTTTAATTATAAATATCAGTGACAACCTACTTTAGAAGCCTTTTGATCCTATTCCAGTCTTCTGCACGTAGTACTGAATGGGAGGACTCGCTGGAAGAGGGCCTGCTATCTCCTTTTTGGTGAAAGCGCTTCAAAACAATTTCTAGGTTCTATAGCCATGAACCAACTGATTTCCATACACTTTCAATATTTTTTTTGATATAAGGCTCTTTCCCAAGTCTGCCAGGACAGCCTAAAAAAATTTCCGCTTCGTGAGATGGTTCAGGCCCTGGCAATCGTGAAAAAAAATTCTCTTCAACAGAAGGGACAAAACAGCTTGGCCTTGCATAATAGTAAGTTTCAACGACAGTCAGGTCCGAGCAAACGTGACACCTAGTTAGGTGAAATAAGCAACTTCCTCAAATCTGTAGTCCCTACGTCGATCCTAATATCCGTAGAAACCAACAATTCTCCATCCACTGGGTGCCCGGAATTCCACTTGACTGGTGTAAGATGATGTATTCCCACAGGTCAGCGTTGTGCTAACGTTCGAGGAGAAAAGCTCCATACCAGCCACAACCTGGATAGTTGCGCCTGAAGTGGCATTCGGGTAATAAGAAAAGGATGTATAGTGAATATGGACAGCAGTAACATATTCACCAGGTTTATAGGGGCGACTCTTCTCAAATTTAACATTACCAGCAGTTAGGTTGAAATTGATTCGAGAGTTGGCAAAGACCATGCTCATGTAAGGCGCGAGCCAATAACATTGTCTAGGCCTAGAGCGACACTGGATAAATGACTAGATGGATCTGGCGTGAGCGCAAGGGTATTCATGTATGTTGTAGTTGTCTCTTTTCCAGATATGCCGCTGAGGATGATCGTGCAGGAAGCTGGCAGCCTATAAGGATTGTCGGAAAGGTAATAGGCAAATATATATAGAGACGAGCAAAGCTTATCCAGAGGGGATTGGATATTTTTGAAGCCACTCCTGAATATCATCTGAATATGCCGTAATCAACTTTGCATCATTATAGGCATCGTGTTTTAAAACCTGATTGGTACGTTCCGGCGCAGCGTTATATAATACATAATACTTGAAGGTAGAGACATCAATACATGTCGGTAAGGTCTTGTTCCCCTTCAAAATAAACATATTATCACTCAGAATCCTGGAGAACTCATCAAAGGACATGCAGCTGTTAGTAGCGGTATAGAAGGCCTTTGGGGCCTCAGTTCGCCATGTCTTGCCCAGAGCTTTATCTTTGACCGCATCTTGAAACTTATCCCAGGGTTTTGTTTCAAGTTCCGTGTGGCTCCGCAACCACCATTCATACAAGATTGCAGTATCTGCTGATTGTAGGATAGCATTTCCTGTTTAGTGGATCTTGTCTTTGTCTTCTATGGATGACTTAGTCTCCTGGAAGTGTCAGTTGCAGCGGGCGAGCCAGTCTGTGGTTTGAGCAGTCCACTAAAGGTGCCAACATGCTCCATATCCCCAGGATAACTCATGTTGAAAAAAGAAAAATACAGGGTAAGGCAAGCCGGAAAGACACTCAACGATTATTAGATTTTATGGCGGTAATTATGTCTACTTAGAGAGCTGAGCTTTTATAAATAGAGTCAATTAAACTTAATGTTAGTCCTTTCGCCCGGTCTGTAATCTGTAGCTGAAATATAGATATTATTACTTTTCTTTATTGGTACTTGGGCGGGAAGCTGAGCTGAAAGGGAAATCGCAGTATATCCATCCACAAGCATAAATTTAGTGTGTACAGATTGTAGTGACCGACAAACTACAGGCCTATAATGAATCTTGTGCTGTTTCTCTGGCTGTGATCCGAACAGTTTTGGTCGTCGAGCTCGTGTAGTTTCTGGTTCCGCTTCTCTTGTGGGTTTGCGTTTTTGGCGCCCAAAGCCAATGATAACCAATGAATACGTACTGCTATATTATTCTAGCATGTTTTTAAGCCACGTGCATACAAGCTCCGGGTTCCTGCAAAAGAGGATATAACAGACGACGGGCTGTTAGTGGTTGCGCTGTCATAGTGCTTGCTGACCTAGCTGAGGCCAGGTGGGTCAATGAACCTAAGACAAGTCTAACGTTATCCTGATTGGTTCCTTTACACTGCCGACGAATTATAGCATTCGGCCGCCTAATGCACGCCCGTGCAATATCAGCCCGCCATGGATCTTTAGACAGTACGAAATTGGTGACTAGGCGTCCCGGGCTGCCGCTGCCACTGCCAGGCCAAAACTACCCATGCCACTACATGAGCAGTGACTTAATTCGTTCCCGGTGCACGACGTCTAAAAAGTCATTTTGCCGGATTGCACGGCCGAGGCCAAAACCGCTGTTGGTAAGGAAATACTGAGGTGTCATACGGTGATAGCCGATATGAAGGAACTATTGGAGGAACAATGTGGGGCGGGAAAATCCACTTTAAATGATAAAGTGGTCAGGCTGGAAAGGGAAAAAGAAGCACTAGTACAGAAGCACAATGGCTTGCAGAAAGACTATAATGGCTCTCAGGATACAATAGTGTATCTTGAGAAGAAGGTAGATACTCTGGCGAATCAGCCGATCTCCTGTCGTGATGGTGGCGGTGACAAAGACCGCGACCGTGGAAAGCGATCAGTACGGCTGTCCGACTGCTGATGGTAACAGGGTCACTGTTGGATCTTCGATATATGCCGTTTCTTGCAGCCGGTCTTATTTCTCCAGTCGGGACCAGAGTAAGCTCGTGCTCAAGGTCCCTTCCTGGGTTTGAGGATAGTGTTTCCCTCTGCTCCGAAGAGACATTATACCAAGCGATTACTTACGATAAACAATACGATAAACAACCAGTGTAGGAAACCTGTCTAGAGGAGATCTCTAGTAACGTGGTGGCTAGACGTCTGAACTAGGGTGTTGACCAGCAGTTCCTTTTCATATTAGAGTAGCACTGGGCTTTGACAGGCTGGAATGAGGGTGGCTGGTTTGATGTCAAATGCTAATGTCGTTGAGTGTAGTATATTGAGGCTTGTGCGTCGCCCCAAGCCGGATACTATTCAGGAATTGGCGTTTGCTGCGGGGGTCTAGACCCTTGACTTGATTTTTAGCTGGATAGAAGTAGCTACTGCAACCCCGTCACTCCAGCCCACAATGACCAAAATAGTCCTAAACTGCGCTAGGGATGGTTGACTATACGGTTAAGGATGGGATCTCTGAAACCACCACGCCTCATGTGTCCACGACCAGTCTGTGGCTAGCTGACTGACAACACCCAACTTATCGCGGACATGTCTCCCTTGCCGACTACTCGGGTAAGGATCCCTTTCTTAGTGAGTACGATATCAGCTGGATAGGAATTGCGGCGCCCCCGATGCCGCAGCTCCGAGAATAGATTGTATTAACAGACAGCGCGGGGGCATCACCATACTATCTTCTTTCCATCCAGTGGCACTTATAACTGACCGGCTACAAGTCGTCACGATTTCCGCAACCTACTTCGATGATTACCTGCCTTGATTCCCGGACTTCCTGTATCGTCTCTATATACATTCAAACTAAGCCATCCTGAAACATGGAGCCTGTCGTTACCTTCAGTGGTCCGCTCAAGCCACTCAACATCACAGATTGGCTTGCCCGCTGCAACCGACACTTCGAGGAGGCTGACCAGTCTATACAAGACAAACGAAAGATCCATCTAACAGGAAATGCTATCTTACAATCAGCGGACACAGCAATCTTGTATGAATGGTGGTCGCGGAACCACACAGAACTTGAAAAGAAAACCTGGAATGAGTTTCAAGATGCGGTCAAAGATAAAGCCTTGGGCAAGACATGGCGAACTGAGGCCCTGAAGGCCTTCTATACTGCTACCCACGGCTCTGAAACGGTGGACGAATATTCCAAGATCTTAGAGGATAACAAGTATATTTTGGAGGAGAGCAAGACTTTTTCAATGAATATTGACAATTCGGTCTATAAATATCATCTCTTGTTCAACGCCTTTCCGGAACGTACAGCGAAGGTTTTGAAGCATGACGCCTACAACGATACAAGGCTGATCACAGCGGATCTGGACGATGTCAAGGTGTGGCTTCGGAATTATGACGACCAGCCTCATTTACCAGGTCTTCCAGGGTGAGCTTTATCTCGTTATACATTTGTCTTGTCCACTTCTCATAATCACGCTAGGCCGGCAGATTCGAGTGTCATCTACAGTGGCCTTTCCGGATACTATGCATCTCCGTCTACAATGACTAGCCTAGCGTTCCCGCCAGGTCCAACCAATGCACTAGGCCATTTGTCCTCTGTCACTCTAGGGGTGAGCTCCAATGTTATAGGCACGCGCCTTACAGGCTTGCAGTTGGTCTTGGCCAACCCTTCGTCTGACTTCAGGACCAACATTGATACAATTGCTGCATTCGGGGATACTCGCAATTATGAAATTGGTGAATACATTACCTCGGTCAAAATTTACTACGCGTCTTTTACTTATTATGTGAATGCCTCTTCGGGGACAACTATCCAAGCTGTGGCCGGAATGGAGCTTTCTTCCTCGAACTCCAACAAGACGCTTATCAGGGGAAATACAACATCATACAACAATCAAGCTGAATTCAAGGCACCCAGCGGATGGAGAATTGTCGGCTTTTATGGGCGTTGGGACCGACCTGCTGACTACAGAGCTGGTTCTTTAGAAGTCGCTTTCTTCACCCAACTAGGAGTCATATTCGCTCGGATCTGACAGAGCTTCAAATTTGTTACGTAAGACCAAACTGCTTTGCTTCCACTTGTCCGCTATTTATTCGAATCTTCTTTTCTGTTTCATTCCAGAGTCACATTTCTGAAAGTCGGGGTCAAATAATGTACTGAGTTCTTGTCCCTTTATTATCAGCAGTCCTTCCATCTCTGCCTCTGCTACACTACTTTCCCCTCGGCGTGATAGACGAGGGTTAGGGAGAGGTCGTTGGTATAGGATTTAACCCCTGAAACTACCTTCATTTCTAAGAGCGTAGATACAGATGCGCGCCGGTTCTCGTTGCACAAATTCAACCAATGCCCTACACTATAGATACATAATAGAATAGCAAATTAGCCCGTTCAAATGAGATAGGTCTAGCGACCGTGGTCGTGAGACGATAAAAGAAAGCTGTCAGCCGGCTCTCCACGTCTGCACGACTTGCGCTCCTCCTTCTCTGCGAAGACCTTGGGATAGACCTCATCGTTTTTGGCCAATGACCGACTTGGTACAAACCGCCAGATCCAGGCCAGTACATCTGGGATTGTCATACTTACCACATGCTCAGCATGTCCAATTGTCATTTGGTGGGGCGTTAAAGGTAGAGAGACTGGATCGCTTGCAGTTTTCCACGCTATAACAACTGATAGAGCCAGCACACGGCCACTGAAATCTGGTTATCAATTATTCTACAATTTTTGTATGGATTATAGGAGGCGTTTAAATTTAATGGCTCGCAGCGGATGGGGTGGCACGAGATTCCTCAATAGACAGGGAGGTAGGTATTCTCATCCTATCCTTGTCAATCACCCCTCATAAGTGGTTAATTTTTATTATTAACTAAAGATACTCACTGTCTTTATGTATTATTCTTAAATTCATTATGTCTCCAGCTGTGTAGTGGGGATATAACTCTAAGACATGTATGTCTACTGCATGTAACTGCTGTGAATGGCCATATCTTTGTTAATTAAGTCTAGACCATCTGGCAGTTCATAACTAAATGTACATCGCATGTTTTTCTTCTCTTTTGAGACTTTCTTGGAAAGGTTTTCTAAGGCAATGAATGATAATATGTATTCCCCTGAATGATCTAATCACTTAAGACCAACAACGTTGTCTATAATTACTCTTGCCATTGCGCCTGCGTAAGTTATAATCGGTTGGTGTGAGAATAGAGGTATGTACTGAAATCAATTCGAAATCTTGTTTAATTTCTATGTTTCCCACAACACTTCCGATGTGGTTAATAAAATAGACCTCCAATGAGGAAACCATGAGAAATATAACATAGGAAAAAGAATTGTGGTGTCTGACGAGGCTATATAACAGGGCTCCATTTAATTAACTAAACTATGTACGTTAGTCGTAGTCTTGACCAGCAACGACAGGGGGCCATAACGGCGGCCACGTACAGGGGCCTATATATCTCAGTATATACGAGAAAAACCGACCCTATAATCTGACATTAGACCAGCTTCCCTCATCCAGCCTGTCAAAACCCTAGTGCTACTACAACATGAAAGAACCTGCGAGCTAACGCCCTAGTCCAATCGTCTTGCCACCACATTGCTGGTGATCTCCTCCACACCAATCTCATAGTGGACCCAACACCACTGCTGCCCTGGCCGTTCATCATAGGTGATGCCTTGGCAAGATGTCTCATCCGAGCAGAGGGAAACACAATCCTCAAAAGAAGCCACTTTAGGCACGAGCCTCTTCTTGTCCTGACCAGAAACGTAAGACCGACTGCAGGTAATGGTGTATGTTGAAGATCCAACAGTGACCTTCTTTCCATCTGCAGTCGGACAGCCCGATCGCTTTGCCAGGCCGCCTTCTTTGCCGCCGTCACCGGCGCGACAGGCGATCAGTTGATTCGTCAGAGTATCCACACTTTCCTCAAGGTGCAACACCGTATTCTGGCAGTCATCTCTGACTCTTAGACATTCTTTGAGAGCGTTTTCCACTTCTGGGGAGCCTGAACTGACTTTCTCCAGCAGCACCCACAGCCGCGACAGCTTCGTCTGGCCGGTCATTTTGTTTGTCAGAAAGCACCGGCTGAACTGGTAATCCCATGTCCCCGCCTTACAGTCAGTGGTCTCTGCACAGAGCGCTGCACAGTCCTGCATACTGCCAACCTTATGCGGCACTTCATTACCGGCTGGATCCGGAGAAACCCCGCACTGGTATCTGAATTGGACACCACCAGCGTATCCCGTGCCACTCTGGAACTTGCTATTTGTAGCTGAGCCTGGGCAGCAGGCGTCATAATTTGTCTTTGGGGAGGCATTATTGGAAGCAAAACATGTGTTGCCTGGGTCAGATATCTCGTTTGCAAAGGCCGCAGTCACTAGGAGACAGAGCGAGAGCCAACGAATTAGATTTAGGGCCATAATATCCAGTGCAGATCGAGTAGAGACTTGGTAGAGAGAATAAATGCGAGAATCGACAGATGCTAAAATATTGTTCAACAAATGGAGGTCCGTGTTAATAATATGTCAAGCTATCAAGCCAGCTTGCGCTAATATATATTTTACTATTACCCTTTAGTTCGGGATACATATGCACAGCTTCAACTGCGACCAAAATTTTCTAGACTACACTTCTTGGTATGTCATGACATTCAGTAACGGGCAGCCGGGGTCACCGCCGAGCCTATGATTCGTCTTACCTATTACACTAGAGACGCCACATTGTATCAGCCAGCCAGCCAGCTCCTATAGCACAACTTGGGTTCAGCTAACTCCCACACCTGGAATAGACTTAAATAGAAAGGAAATACTAATCAAGAGTCACAATATGTGACGAATTCACTGGTGTTTGCGCTGTTTGTACATAGCTGGCTATTTCCCCTCACACGTCTCGCGCCCCCAACAACACTTCCTTCTCTTTCCCTTCATGCTTGATATTCTAGATAAGATAGCACCAATATTATCATATTGATCGGCCGTCACACAATAGGCGCATGACGCTGGATTAAATACAAACTCTCTCCACTTTGCACCGTGCCATTAGTTAGGGATATCAATTTTCCATCAATCACGCGGTTGTCAAAAGGGGCAATGGGTTGGATTTAGTCATTGCTCGTGTGGCAGCGCAGGGAAATTGAGAACTATAGCACCAGCGGCAGCCCTGGGCACTTAGCCTCCCACTTGTACTGTCTAGAGGTGTGTGGCTAGCTGATGTTGCAAGACGCATATAATAGGGCAGGGTTTATGTTACAATTTGTCAGAGATAGTCATGTGGGACATGAACCATTACCTCGGACCAACCCGCCACTATCCTCTTTCGATAAGGATCAGCTCCTGGTGTTAACCGGATTCAGAGTAGTTAGGGCATCTCCTGGTTCCTACCCACTTTAATTATATCTATAATTCTAATCTAGATTACTAGTTAATTATTAAGCTAGCTGAATAAATTTATATAATACAGCTCCTCCTGAGTAGTTATATAAGCTTATATTGGAGCTTATCTTAAGCAGGTGGCATCTTCAATAAGGTTAGTGCAGTCAATCATTTATACAAGGACTTACTGAAACAAGCTAATGTTAACAGGGTTTTAGCAGTTTGTATTCATCACTTATGCAGCTGTTATTCTAGCATTAGCTAGAGCTAACCGCTTTCCTAGTTGCCTAGTTTACTAAGCACTGCCTGTGATGATCCTGTACACCTTGTAATATGTAGTAATATGTATGAATCATATCTAAAGTGGCAATCTAACGAAACATCAAACGTAGAGAAGGAAGAGAGTAAGAAGGAAAGAATTCTATCATATAAGAACTGTGGGATCTTGTGTTGTAGGATCAGATTAACAGTGAATAGAGTAGACCTGGTGCCTCAGGTAGGGTTCGGCCTAGGCCCTGACACTACCTAGCAAGGCATGATGTTGTGACTCTAAGAGGGGATGTGTGTGGTGTTTGAATACAACTCATGAATTAGAGGATTTATATACTATAGATAGAGCTTCACTGCTTATGGAGCACTATATTAGAATGATATAGATACATTCCCTCCGACCTTTGTTCCATACTGTGGTAGAATTTATCTGCAAGCCCATGTTGGTACGGCAGGTACATTTAGTATGTTCGTACATAATACCGTGGTGAACCACGGTGAAATTCCCAGGCTGACCCATCACGATATTCTGTACTTGACGCAGCTATATATGGATAGACGGATTCAGTTTTACTATGAGTAGATATCCAACGCTTTCCCATAACTAGAAGGGTGTGTAGTAATAGAGAGACATTGCCTACGATTCCTATAAGTTAGAAAAAGAAGGTCGACAAAAGCAAGACATCGAGGAGAAACTTCCAATGATGCCTATAACTATGGGCACATCAAATGTTCGTTAATTGGTAACCTCCATCTTTCAGCCGCTCTTGATATTTGTAATCTTCTCAACCTTTCTGGACCAAAACGCACCGGGGAAAGCAAACGGACTCGAGACAACCTCCATAGACTGAGCCTACTTGCACGTAGAAACATTCCGTGCCATGCCTTGGTTCAATAAAACACAGCGCAATAGGAAAATCAAAGAATCACTTGGACATTGATTCTGACGATTAGACTGGTGAGCTGATGTACAAAAGAGGGTAAACAGTTGGGTGCATAGATGGCCAGAAAAATCTTTATCATCAGACAAGGCTCATTCCAGGTTGCGGCAGCGGCAAACAAATCAACCAGGGTTTATCTAATTGGCAGACTAAGAGCCCAGCGGACGGTAAGCCAAAAGCATCTTCCCCCATGCTTGATCCTCTCTGCACCAATTTGTACCGCTGATGAAATGGCCCATTATTTTATTTCGGGGAGACAGGAACTGCGCCGATACACCTATACCCACCTGAGCCTGTGGGCGGGTTCTCGTAGATGTCGGCCATGCTACAAACAGGCTTGTCGCCGTAATACCAATAATTGACGCCCTTGCATGTGGCATCTGCGGAACAAACGGAAAGGCATTGGTGGAACCCGATGTCTCCGACTCCACCACCATGATTACCATTAAAACCAGCTTCCGACACGCCCCTACCGCAGTATATTTTGTACCTGATGCCACCCATTGTCAGTTCCTCCCCGTCCGGGCATGGCAGTGTCTTCTGAAATTGGGTTTGCAGGGTCGCATATGCCGTCCGGAGTTGAGTCTCTTGCGCTTGACAGGTGCCATAATTTGTTAGCGCCGTGTTTCTCTCCTGCTGGAGTTGTGCGTTGGTCTTCTCTGCGGCATCCAACTTCGTCGTTAAATCATTGTTCTCCTTGGTCAAAGCATCCTTCTGGCGCTGGAGCTCAACCTGCTGCCGCAGGCACTCTGCGTGGTTAGACTCGCACTCTTTCCTTGCAGACTGGCAGGTGTCTTCGGCCATCTTGCATTGCCGGAGAGCCGCCTCCACTTTCTGGCAATCCGACTTAGTGCTTTTCTCCAGCAGCACCCAGAGAGGCGACGGCTTTGTACCGGACATATTCGTCGTCAGATAACACCGGCCGTACTGGTAATCCCATGTCCCCGCCTTACAGTCAGTGTTCTCCGCACAGAGAGTCGCACAGTCATGTATACTGCCGACCTTATGAGGCACTTCTTCGCCGGCTGGATCCGGAGTTAACCCACACTGGTATCTGAATTGAATATTATCGACATAGCCTGTGCCGCTCTGGGATTTGCTTGGGCAGCAGGCGTCATAACTCGTCTTTGGGGAGACATTGCTCGAAGCTAAACATGTACTGTCCGAGATGAGAGACGCCTGATTTGCAAGAGCTGCAGTCAGCAGAAGACAAAGCCAGAGCCAAAAAATTCGTTTTAGTGCCATAGTGTCCGATGTAAATCTAGTAGAGGCTTGATCAAGAGAATAAATAAGACGATTGGCAAATACTAGAATAATTAGGTATCAAAGAAATAGATATCTGTGGTAATAATAAGTCAATTTACCTAGCTAGCGCGTGCCGTTATATATTTAACTAGAGGCTTTGATCAGGAATACACATACTCAGCACTGTATATGACTACAAAATAGTGGACTACTCCGAACGGCATGCCCGGCATGTCATGATAGTAGAGCCATCTAGAATTACTGTTGACCCTATAATTTGTCTTACCTATTACACTAGAGCCGCCACATTGTATTAGCCAGCCAGCCAGCTCTTATAGCATATCTTAGGTTCAGGTGGTCCCAACAGCAGAAATAGTCCTAAAGAGGAAGTATACCAATTAAGAGGCACAACAGGCGCATGGTGCTGGATCAAATACGAACTTTCCCCACCTTGCGCCGTGCCTATAGGTAGGGAAATTAAAATTTTCCATCAATCATGCGGCCATCAATAGGGACAATAGGGATTAGACTGGGTCACTATTTATATGGTGGCGCAGGCAGATTGGGACCTAGTAGTAGCAGCAGCAGCCCCGGGCGCTTGGTCTCCTATTTTTACAGTCTAAAGATGTGTGGTTAGCTGATGTTGCAAGGGGTGTATATTAGGGCGGGTTTTACGTTACAATTTGTCAATGACCGTGTGGAACATGAACCACACACCTCGGACCAACCCGCCACTATCCTCTCTTGATAAGGATCAGCTCCTGGCGTTGACCGGATTCAGAGTAGTTAGGGTATCTCCTGGTTCCTACCTACTTTAATTGTCTCTATAATTCTAACCTAGATAACTAGTTAATTATCAAGCTAGCTGAATAAGTTTATACAATACAGTTAGCATATAAGCTCACATTGGGGCTCATATTAAGCAGGTGGTATCTTCAATGAGGTTAGTGCAGTCAATCATTTGTACAAGGACTTACTGAAACAAGCTAATGTTGACAGGGTTTTAGCAGTTTGTATTCATCACTTATGCAGCTGCTACTTTAGCATGAACTAGAGCTAACCGTTTTAATAATTGCCTAGTTTAATAAATAAACACTACCTAGCAAGACTCGATGTTGTGGCTCCACATGCAAGTGCATTCAAATCACGGCATTACAAGTTGAAACAGCAGGAATGAAATTGAAAAGTGGATTACGCTTAAAAGAATTAAGGATAAAAAGGTAGCATACGCTAAACATCACTAAGCCTCAGTGTCTAAATACCATGAACTAGCCTAGGCCTCGCCATAACCCACAAACGGGTTGGAGTTGCCAACCCGTTACCCTAACCCGCAGATTTGCGTCACCCGGCCCTCAAACCCCCACGGGTAACCCGCGGGTTACCCTACCCGCATATAATCCGTTTTTGCATAAATCTCCCGCACCTTTCCTAAAATAGGATGGATAACTCGGTGAGTCAGTAGCATAATATTATACTGTCACTAAATACACCTTTGATTTAGCTATTTTTCTTAGGTATCCCCTTGTTAAATATAAGATATATAGTGTAGATATACTGTGTAGCATATATATTATAAATAAAAGAAGATAAGTCAGTATTGGGGATTTTGTCTGTAATTATATATTTTGTAGTTAAACGTATATATTTTAATACTTGAGAGCAATACTGTTAGGTGTGGTATGCGTCACCTAACCAGTGCGATACTATATAAGGCGCTTAGGGAAGTTTGAACCCTGATGGGTTCAAACATAGTGGTCTTTTTGACTAGTGGAAAGTTCAGACCCTAAGCTGAGCCTAACAAGTACCATTTTTGATACCGTAAAAGAATTTTAATAAAAAATTTTAAGACCTCATTTTTTATTAGTTTAATAAACTTAATAGATTAATAGCTATATTTTCTTTCTATATAAATAGATAGATACTAAAAATACATAGAGAAAAGGACTTTTACAGAGATAAAACATAGTGTAAATTTCATAATTTATTTTTATGTTTGATAACCCGCGGGTAGCCCGCAAAACCCTCACAGGTTACCCGCGATCACCTACAACCCGCCGGCGGGTTACTGATCCCAACCCGGAACCCTCAAATTTGCGGGTTTTGGGTAACCCGCAACGGGTAACCCGCGGGTTATGGCGAGGCCTATTGCTTTTCAGGTACCCATCAGCTACTCCAACAACTCGCTAAGACGTAAAGTTACATATACTATGGGATTGCCTATGAAATACAGTAGAATCACCATGAGAACCTGTGTAAAATTAGCATATAATACCGTCATTTATTTTCTTTGCGGGTTTAGAGTTTGGGTTGAAAACCTAAGTGTTCACATTTCTATGACAATTCTATTGATTATAGCTACCTACTTTGCTGCGTATATATCTCTGCAAGACCATCTCTGCATTTTGCGGTTGAAATGCCGAGTGGTTATCTAGTCGCCTAAAAGTGGTTTATCTTAGAATCCCGGATAGGTAGTATTGATGCTGTCGTACTGCACCTCAGAAGTTTGGTGACGCAGGGGGCAGAGTATAACACAGCCCCATCCTATCTTAGCAGGGAGGCAGGGAGTGAGAGGCTACTCGCAGGCCCCGGTATTTTTATTGTAGGTGAAGCCAGTTGCACATTCACTGCATGTCTGGTGTTCAGCACATTTGGCGCCGTCCCAGTACTGAGCTGGCGGGCAAGGTTTCACGCAGCGTCCTGTAGCTTCATCGTAGGTGAAACCATCTACACATTGGCTGCACGTCTGGTGTTCAACGCATTGGGTGCCGTCCCAGTACTGAGCAGGTGGGCAACGCGGGATTTTCGGCACGCAGGTCCTCATGGCTGCATTGTAGGTGTAGTTGTCTGGGCATGGGTATACCGGATCAGTACACTTGGTGCCGTCCCAGTACTGAGGAGGTAGACAACGAGTTTCGCAGCGTCCTGTGGCTGTGTTGTATATGTAGCCGGATTCACACGGGGGCAGCAGGACTGTAACACACTTTGCGCCGTTTGAATACTGAGGAGGTGGGCAATGTTTCTCGCAGCGCTTTGTTACCTCATTGTAGGTAAAGCCTAGTAGTGCACACGGGGTTCCCGGGTCAGCACACTTGTTGCCGTCCCAAACCTGACCAGACAGACATGCCGGAGGTATGCAGCCCCTTGTGGCTGCATCGTACGTGAAGCCATGTGCGCACGGGGGCAGCGGGTAATCAACACACTTGGTGCCGTGCCAGTATTGGCCAGGCGGGCAAGGGGCAGGCATGCAGTCTTTTCCATCAAAGATTGAACCTTTCGGGCAACATTTGATTTGCCCTGCTGTATCTTTTGCTGGATAGATTTCGTTCAGACTGTATCTACCCTGGAACAAGACATTTTCTTTGTTTTCTGTGCCCAGCAATACCTGCTGTGTCTGTCCTGTCTCTTCTTGCCCCTGACCTAGTGTTAAAAGCATGGAGATGCAGAGGAATCTGAACTGTCGCATTTTGGCGTTATTGTGCGTTCAAAAATAACGAAAATGGACACAGTGATAAAAAATAGGATAAGCTGTTTTGAGTTCCATAGGGCCTTTTAGCTTCTTTATATGTCTAGACCACGCTAGTGTCTACTGATGTTTAGTTTGATTCAGTAAGATTCCATGTTAGTCCCTTCGCCCGGTCTGGGACCTCTAGCTAAACCATGGACATCATTACTTTTCTTGGGTGGCGCTTGGGCGGGACCTGAAGTGAAAGGGCAATCGCAGTATATCCACTAGTCTGGACTAGTGTGTTGAGTCCAGAGCGGCCCACGAACTATAGGCATACGGGAACCCTGTTCTAAATCCCGGCCGGTGCTCTGAACTGTTTTGGTGGCTGAGCAGGCGTAGTTGCTGGTTCTGCCCCTCTCGCGGGTTGACTTCTTGGCGCCCAGAACCAATGCAATGATAACTAAGGAGACCATACCACTATATTATTCTGCCATGTTTTCGAAGCACTATATATAGGCTCCGAGTTCCTACAAATGAGGATAGAATAGACGACGGACTGTCAGTGGTTGCGCTGTCTTAGTGTTCACTGACCTAGCTGATAGCCGATGAATCTAAGACAAGACTAACGCTATCCAGATTGGTTCATTTAATCTCATATACAGTCCGATGGCTCCACAGCGTTATTACAGACGCATTGTGACATTAAACCCGCCCCAATGCATGCCTGAGTAACATCAGCCAGCCATAGACCTTTTGACGGTACGGAACAGGAGGATACGCACCCGGGGCTGCCGCTGCTACTGCAAGGTCTCAATCTACCCGCGCCACCGCAGGAACAGTGACCCAATCCAATCCCTGTTGCCCCTTTGATGACCACCTGATTGATGGAAAATCGATGTCCAAGTACACCAAAAAGTAGAGAGAGGTCAAATTTAATCCAGCAACATGCAGCGAGTCTGCATTTTACTTAGTATTTCGTTCTATTTCTGACTATTTTGTAAGGGACTTAGCTGAATCAATAGTTGATTAGGTAGTCTATCACCAAGAGACTAAGCTAAAGAGAGGAGAAGAAAAGAAAACATGAAGCTATTGTGTTGTGTTGCCCTTATGGGCCAAGGGTCACGTAACTATCACTCATTCATTATTGCCTAAACCTCTATCCGTGATATATTTCTGCTTTCGAGGCCAGCTGAACACCAGATGAGCTGCAGAGAGCTGACTGGCTGGTACCCTGTGGCGAACCTAGCCTAATAGATGAGGCAGGCTATATGTTTGTTTACCGCTCAGCTGCCTATGGTTGCCATGACCTGCCAGGTGGTGCAGTCCACTTGTCTTGTGGTCACAGACAGAGCCGGAAATCCCTCCATGGTGAATCATCTATGTCACCCCTCTTAACTAATAAAATGAAACCCCCAGCCAAAATATAGAGTGCAAAGAGTCAGCTTGTTAGCTCAGTCTACTATTACCACGGGCCCATTCCCCTTCATTAATCTTATCCCAGCACATGTAGATGCTGCCTTATCAGCGACTCCAAGCAGGCTTTTCTCACATCCAGCCACTACAAAAAGGCTTGATGATATCTAAGAGAAGACATTGATTCATTATATTCGTTAGTTAGATCCTCCATATACTCCGCCTATACTAAAATCATTGAGCAGAATATAATTTAGATAGTTCTCTGAAATATAGAAAAGGAACTATCACATAATCTTGACATAGCTCCATTCAAGTATCTAAGTTTCATCGTGATCAGCGATATCAGATACTGCTTGCATATTATTAGGACGGTATTGTTCTTTCGAATGTCTTTCAGAGCTCGACCGATGTCTCTGTCTTTGCGGATTTTATCAAGGAAAGTCTCCAGCATCGCAGAAAATGGCCTGAACCGAAGACTCAGAATCTTCTCCTGGGATCTGCCCGTAGAAAGGTCAGGTCCTTTGCTGGTCAGGGAGTGCCAGTCCTCACTGACCCCGCCAACTGTTCTACACCTTCAACTGCACTAGCAGTTCTCCTGCTTCCTTATATCTTCTATCACTGTACGGTACATCCAAAAATGTTTGCTTTATTTCCTTATGTCTCGTTTCATTCCGGGTTTGCAATTTCTTGAACGACTCATGAAACCGCAAACCAGAGGACCCGCATACTGTAACAGAAATTAAACTAGCAAGGTCAGCACAGGGCCCCAAGGGAGTCCAAAGTCCGCAAGCTTACATGAAACGGTACATTGCAAGTACATACAATACGTACACGTATAGCTATAGGAATAATCTACATGTCACCAAGATGCGAAGAGCCTGCGTATGACCACAGACGCGCACACACATATACCCCCCGGCGCGCGGGATACCCAGAGTTACTGGAACTGAACCTTTCTTATCTGAAATTGCAATTATCTCTTTCCCCACCAGCATGCATGTTTCCAATTTTCGCCCAGTTTACGTCCCAGAGTGTTTACAGAGGAACAGCAGCTATGACATTCGGGTAAGTCGCGGTGACAACAGGGGGGTTCTGGTACTCAGAAAATAACCAACACGACTTGTCCGCATAGCCGTATACAAGGCCGCGACACTCCGGCCGAGCAGAGCAAGCCGTTGAACAGTCATAAAAGCTACTAGAGCTGAACGAGTAGAAATTATGCCGACTAAATGTTTTCTGACGAAAGAGTGCGTATATGGTCGGGCCAACTCGGATAGAGCTCGTGAGTGGATTAAGTACTGCTGTTTCTACCTGGGAAACATGTGCTTGACAGTTGTTGTAATTGGTCACTGCTGTATCTCTCTCCTGCTGCAACCGTGCCTTTGCGCTCTCGCAGGTATGGTAATTTTCCAGCGCAGTGTTATAATTACTCACTGCAGTATTTTTCTCCACCAGAAGGTCTGAGTTTGTTTTCTCGCATGTATTGAGGTTGCTCACAGCGGTGTCTCTCTCTTGCTGAATCTGCGTGCTTGTAGTCTGACAAGTGTTGTAATGTTCCACCGCTGTGTCCCTTTCCAGTTGTAGCTGCGAATTCAAGCTCTGGCAGGTGTCTTCGGCCATCTTGCATTGCCGGAGAGCCGCCTCCACTTTCTGGCAATCCGACTTAGCGCTTTTCTCCAGCAGCACCCAGAGAGGCGACGGCTTTGTCCCGGACATATTCGTCGTCAGATAACATCGGCCGTACTGGTAATCCCATGTCCCCGCCTTACAGTCAGTGTTCTCCGCACAGAGAGTCGCACAGTCAAGTATACTGCCGACCTTATGAGGCACTTCTTCGCCGGCTGGATCCGGAGTTAACCCACACTGGTATCTGAATTGGAAATCACCGACGTAGCCCGTGCCGCTCTGGGACTTGCTTGGGCAGCAGGCATCATAATTTTCCCTCGGCAAGGCTTTGTTGGAGGCAAAGCATATGTCTGAGTTAGGAGGTGCTTGATTTGCTAGGGCTGCGGCCACCAGGAGGTAGAGCCAGAGCAAAAGGTCTGATTTTGGGGCCATAATATCCGGTATATCCAGTAAAGACCTAGTAAAGACCTAGCAAAGACCTGAGAGAGGAAAGAAATAGACAAAGTCCACGGGAGCTGAGATAAGATTCCTGAAGAGAAAATTGGTCCGTGGTGGTAGTAAACCAAGATAGCAAGTTGTTCTTTCAATTATATATTTCGGCCACGGGATCGCCGAGGGCAACACTATCCAGCATGCCATGACAATTACGGCCAGAGCCACCATAATCTGCCTCGCCCATTGGCCTAGAACCGCCACATAGTCTCAGCCAGCTATCCGGCTTTCTACAGCACAGCATGGGCTCAGCTGACCACAGAAACAGAAATAATGCGAAATTGTAGAGAACCACGGGAAAGAGCCGAAAAACGCTGCGTGTTGCTGGGTCTTTTATGGTCTCCCTTCGCTTCTAGTCCGCGTTTATAGACAAAATTTTAATTTTTCTAGCAAGAGGAGACTACTGGGCTCGGATTTGTTCACTACTTTTGTAATGGGGAAGGTAGGTTGACACCTGGCAGCACCAGCGGCAGCTCCGGGCGACAAGATTCCCATTTTATCCTGTCGGAAGATCCATGGCTGGCTGATGTTGCACAGGCGTGCATTTAGGCAGGATTAATGGTACCTTTCGTCAGCAATGGAGCTGTAGGCCTGCACCACACCTCGGACTGACCTTCCGGAGGCGGGCTCTAGTTTAAAGGTTGTCCTAACCAAACCGAAACTTTGCAGGTGCATTCAACTAGGTATACCGTAACGTACTTTACCGCCTACCGCCCGATTTCCCAACACCAACACCGCGTTAAAAATGAAGCTTTAGAGCCACATACAATTAGAACTATACCGAGATCTTCTAAGGTAATAAGATTAAACTCCTAATACGCCTATATAGCGATTATTTAGTTCCGAAAGCGCTGTGGTAGGCGGATCTGCCTTCGTCGACGATTTATGGTGGGAGGGGCCTCAAGAACTTCAGGCGCTGGGGTAGTAATAATCTCTTGAATATCTAATTTAAAGGATGTTGAGAACTTTTCCTTATCTACTCTGGCTATTTTAAAGTCATTTTAAAGCTATATAGATGCTTCCTTAGCCAGGCGCTCTCTCTCCTTTTACCACTTCTTTTACTTTACCTCTTGGAGGCGAGCTTCTCGTGTAGAGACCCCTCATATCTTTCTCTCCTTACCTATAGTTTTATTATTTCTCGTCTTTTATCTGTTACCAGCATAGCTTCTTTTTCGTTTATGGCTTTGGCAAGCTATATAGAGCCTTCTCCTGGTTAACCTGCCGAACCCGATAGATCTTGTTTGGAGAGTAAAAGTCTACACCACTATTCTTAGAGGTTTAGGCTTTAATATATAGAGATTTCTCACGCTGACGGAGCAGCTTCTTATTCCCAAATATTTTTTTTCTAAAGCCTATATTCTCTATAAAGAGATAGTGTATAGTCCGGCTTCACGTCTTAGTATTTTTATCTTTAATATCAGTTAAAATCTCTCTAATAAGCCGTTTGATCTTTCTCCAGTCTTCTGCATGTAAAACAAATCTAGAAGAGCTACTAGAAGAGAATCATTGGTCCTCTATCTTTTTAAAACGGATCAATACAATATTCAAGATTAAAAGGCTATAATCTAACCGATCTCTATGTACTTTCGATATTTCTTGCAGATAAGGCTTTTATCCATCCTGGCTAAAATAGCCTGAAGAAGTCCCGCCTAGTAATAGAGCTTAGGCCCTGGTGTTCTTTCAAATAAGCTTCTAAACTGTTGCTGTTGCGATGAATGGGGCACATCATTGGTGTTTTTGCACTGTTTGAACATTGCTTGCCTCAAGGCCTATTTTCCCGCACACGTCTCGCGCCCCCGCAACACTTCCTTCTCTTTCCCCTCACGTTTGAAATTCTGCTTGAGATAACACCTATATCATCATACTGCTCGGCTGTCATAGCTGTAAGCGGTTGCAAGCGGCCTAGAGATACTGGTATCTAGCGGTTGCAAGGAATGGAGCAGAATGAGGCAGATAATGTAAGGGACTCAGCTGAATCAATAGTTGATTAGGTAGTCTATCACGAAGAGACTAAGCTAAAGAGAGGAAAAGAAAGAAAACATGAAGCTATTGTGATGTGTTGCCCTTATAGACCAGGGGTCATGTGACTACCGCTCATTCACTGATTGCTTAAACCTCTACCCGTGACAGATAAGTGGACGCAAGGATTCTATTGGCTTCACAATAGTTCAAGAACATCATGGTGACATGAGAAACTTGGCCTTCTAAGATTAGAGCCCCCAACGCCTGCCTGCTTTGGCCTTGATCTCCCGGTCAAATACCTGCTTTAACTATCCAAATCCGAGGTCATCATTGGTCCAACCGGACACAGAGAAGGCAAAGAAATATTGGTGTTCTGCAGGAAAATTAGTCGTCTGTAAACTAATACGCTTTCTCCAGTATAACAGCTAACTTATATATGTACGAATTTTTAGGTATCTAAGCTCCTCTTCGCGGAGCTTTTCGGGTTCAGCCGCACTAATTGGCGAAGCAACATCTGCAAGTCATTGTGTATCCCGAGTATCATGATATCACACCGTGGAGTGGTGCTGAAACTGCGGATATTATATATCACGATATCGACTCGGTTCATACGAACACCATGATTAGCGTAGGGCACCTGCCCCACGCACAGTGGTATGGTGCTCGCCCTACATACTATATAGAGATTAATACTACTACTGGAGAACTCGAAAGTCCTTTCTTCATGAGAAAGGGCCAGTACAGGCGCGTACGTTACTCTTACTACACTCCTGATTCTCATCCGTCTTTTAATAATACCGATGCTGATAAAGCACGTATAGATGCGGAGAATGCAGAGTGCATCTAGCAATGGAATGGCGGACCACTCCATGTGATTTTCAGGGTATATATGACTTAGGTAGAGACACGTATAAGGGTGCAGGAATATGTTGATATGGAGAGCCTACGGCTACAGAGTAGTCTGGTTTTTGCAGCGAAGACATACAGCAATGTCCCAATCAGACGTGTTTAGCAATATACAGAGGGATAGGCCGTCGTATATTGTATGCAAAATAATGGCGAGTGTCGCCGTTAAAACAATATAAAATAGACACAATGACCAGAACCAAAAACAAACCACTCAATTTTCTAAGTATTTGGAATTGATTCTCCAGTCCCGACAATACACAACTCAATCCAGTAAAATAATTTTATAGGAAATATCAGAGCCTACATGGCGCCTAAGGCAGCAACCACGTGACCTAACCACAACACCAAGGAATACCTCTGTAAAGTAGATTTAGACCTTAAGACAATCAATCCCACACACTTGAGCTACACCAGCTCTATCAAGAAATAAAAAACATACAATAGCCGGGATTCGCTGGTGGTCACCCACCCAACTACTACCCGGCCGGCGTGTGGCTTAAGTGCGGCCAGAAGTCGGGTGGCTGCCTCCCGGGTGAGCTAGCGGGTGAGCCGCTTTACAGTCGCGCGACTTAGGGTGAGCTTGGGTGAGTGCACAATAGATGGGGTGAGCAGCTGGCTGGCACTCACCCGAGCGTGCGCGACCTGGCAAAAACTTACCTAAAAGTGAACCTTACTACCCACTTCGCTTACAAGCTATACTACTCGGTCCGGATCATCCTTGTTCCGTTAGTGTCACGTATCCTCCAGTGATTCTCTGGATCATTGGCTGCTAGCTTTCGCTTCTGTGACACCAATATAACACACTAAAAACACTTGTTATTTATTCAGGATAGTATTATCCAGTCCTGAATGATACCAGCCCCGGTTTACAGCTGATGGAGGAGGGTACGCATTCTGCGATTGATCAAATTTTGCCCGTTTATAAATAACCTCCCAGCTCTGGCGCAAATTATGCTCCGCTGTCGGGTCATCCTTAGGACTACCTCTTGGTATCAAGCGAGCATGAAAGGTAGTAAAAGCTCCCGTAAGTGCAACGCGGACTGAACCCTTAAAACCATACAGGTAGGTTGGCAGCTTTGTAGCGTCATGGAAGGCGTCCGCGGCAAGAACATAGCCTCTTGCAGGGAGGGGACAATGATCGAGAGAGGATTGGATAGCAGCGGCATCAACATAGAAAAAGGTATCCTGCCGGAGTCCTGGTTCTATCTTACCTTCATCACGAAATTTCCGGAAATAGCTAGATATATTAGACATTATAAGATATAGAGCTAGACCTAGACCTACCCGCAGATATCCTCAAGTACCGCATTCTCGTTCACTGGATCCTCAGCCCACTGGATCTTCCATCGCTGCTTTAAACTATCTGGAGTCCAAAATTTGTCCTTATGATTTTGAACAAAAGTCAGACCTAGATCAATAGCCTCCCGAAATTGATATTGGAAATGGCGCCAGGCGGAATCATCATGAAATGAGGTTCGAATACAGACAAAGCCCCAATGCTGTTGGAGCTGGTTACCCCCACGAGTCATCCAGGGAATATTGTTGGATATTCGGATATTGTTGAGATCATCCAGGGAGATTCTATCCCGGGCCACTCGGTCCAACTCCTTATGCCGATCATAGGATTTGTTTGCATTTGCCCGGGCTTTCTTCTCAATATCGGTCAAAATAGCTTCCTTCACGGCAATGTACGTGTCTCGTACATTTACCGGCCAACGAATCACATCTCTTGCCTCTATTGCATCAGGGTCACTGTTGTCCATCAGATAAGATGGGCCCCAGAGGATAATATTCGTTTCAAGACGGCTTAAATTATCTGTTCTTGCAGCTTTTTGAACAAGTTCTTCGATTGTTAATCCAGTATGTGCCTTGCAGAAGTCTTCGCATCTTCCGTACGGGTACCGTTTTAGAATCTGTTGGCGCTCATCGAAAGTGAGGCAGGTAGGGTTGGTAGCCCCCTGCTCCCATCGCCCTACAATTTTCTGAGAGGGAATCTTTGGTGGAGGTCTCTGGTAGGGGGTTAACCATGGTGCAAGAAATCCAACTCTACTGAAAGTTGGGGAAAAGAGAAGGTTAATGATGCGAATGAACAGACAAATCCGGTGGACGCACATGTAATCCTTAAAGTTGTCGGAACACGGACGGGACTTCCCCCATAACGTAACTAACTGGTAAACGAGCGGGCCATGCCAGTCGAGCGGGCCATGTTGTATTCCATATAAAATGGCACTTTCATAATCCAGGTATCTCAACAACCAGAGATGGTAGTAATATAATATTTGATACCGATATAAATATAGGGTATTTAAATAGAAATTATATTTTAATATATTTTTAATATATTTTTCTCACATTTCAAATACAATTATAGATAAATTACCAAAAATACAACCTAATTTATGTTACCTGATATATTATTAGATCTAGAGCTTTCTCTTTTTAATATCTATATCTGCAGTATTGAATTAGTATATATACTAAGATTCAGATCACTACTAGCCTTGGTTGTTGAGGTACTTGGTTTCTAAAAGTACTCTTTTGTATGGAATAAAGGTGGCCCGTTCGACTGGCATGGCCCGCTCGTTTACCAGTTACGTTAAGTTAACTATGTAATGACCAGGTTACAGGTCAGCTGGCACTGTTCTAGAGTTGGGATGCCGCGCTAGTCAATCACCTGACTTATAGTTCTTAGTAAAAAGTTTGAATAATTGCGCTAAGCACCTGGTCGCGTCAACCAACGCGTCAAAAAACCTCATGTTCTCAAACACCCACCATGATACCTAGAAGGGTCCCTTTGAGCCCTTTAAGTGCTAGTATTGAGCGCAATCGACAGCTGAATCCACCCGAACGAGCTTATATACAGGGACTTTATGAAGGTGGTAAAAAACCCACTAAAATTGCAAGGCTTTTGAATTGACCCCTCCAAACCATTTATACTACGCTGAACTGAGCATCTTTAAGACAGGATTTTGAAGCCCAACCACGTCCTGGTTGTCCAAAATCATATACAGATAGAGATAAACACTTGCTGATTCACAATTAAAGAAAATCCCTTTATTACCTACCAAGAGGTTCAAAATACGCTTTATTTAGCAATTTGCCGTTCCATATTATACAATATATTTCAAGAGACTGGGTGTGGCAAATGGCATGCTCAAAAGTGTCCAAAATTAATACCAGAAGTAGCAAGACTACGGTATAATTAGGCTTTAAAATATAAGGATTATACAGACTGTGATTAGGACAATATTATATAGTCAGATAAGTACTCGGTTAAACTTGGATCTAGCCAGTACCATAAATGTGTTTCGCCTTAATCTACACGGAGAAAAGTGGAAAAGAGAATATATTCAGCCATATAAAAAGAGTAAGGCTATCCGGGTAATAATCTGGACAGCTATTTAGGACTAAAATTACAGTAATCTTGTATGTTTGGAGCGTTATTTTAAAGCCAAAAAGCAGGGCTATATAGCAAAGTCTTATATAGCCTTGTTGGATAAAATGCTGCCTACCATTTGGGAACCTGGTCTTATTTTTATGCACGACAATGCTCCCATTCATTCAGCTAAAAAGATTACCAGTTAGTTGTAAGATAATGCGATTCCTTGTATGGAATGCTACTATATTCGCCTGATCTGAATCCCATTGAACACATGTGGTTTCCACTTAAAGGTGTCTGTGATGATCCTATACACATTAGAAAGATGTATTATTCATATCTAACGTAGCGATCTAACGAAACATCAAATGTAGAGAAGAAAAAAGAAAGAAAGAAAGGATTCTATTATACAGGAACTGTGGGATATCAATGTTGTGAGATCTGATCAACAGTGAATAAAGCAGTCTTGGTGCCTCAGGCAGAGTTCAACCTAAGGCCCTGACAGTGTCTATGACTTGAACCCGGACATTAAAAGCTGCAAGGGATCGAATAATAAGAAGATAGAGGTTTTATAGGAGGCTTTAGAGCAATTATAGACATTGATCAGTCAAGATATTCAAAGTGTAATAATAAAGAGTATGAAAGATTATGTTAAGGCAGTTTTGGAGGCAAAAGGGTGGTATACAAAATATCAGGCGATTTTTCTGATTTTTCTGATTTTTCTGAATTTTTTGCATATTTTTATGGCTTTTTACCATTTATTTTGCATATAATATATTCAAATCAATATGATCCCTTTCATGTTGCAAGATATATAGGTTGGAATACCCTGGGGGGCGCCACAAAAATGTGTATATCTCAATATACGCATCTACGCGTTGAGACAGTGTACGCGTTTCTATCTATTACTACTTATTATTGAAACTATCCCTCTTTTTAAAAGATTTAAAGCAATAGGTAGTCTTGAGGGGGCTGATTACTTTGTCCGTGTTAATAATATAACTAATTATTATGGCTTGAAAATGACCATATCCTTCTTCAGCTCGCCCATGTCGTGGTCTTGCTGCCTCTGGTAGATCTGTGTCTTCGCATATGGCCGCTGTAACGGAGCGTCATGTGGCTACAGCAAGGCAGCTCTCTTCATACGGCGAAGAGGCGTTAAATCTATCTTAAATTAACCGCCCTGAGAATACTTCAAAAGTCTATAATCTAAAGCAGAAAGAATGGATAGTGGGCCAAATGAATCGGATTTCCAGATGGCGAGCTAGTTATGGAACATACGCTTGTCTAGTTTCTTAAAGAGGAAGTGCTCTGCCGTGAAGTCCGTTTCTGTCGCTATAAAAAGTCGCGTACAACTGAAGAAGGGGAGCTGATTACCCGTATCCTAGGGAAGAGCGCTGTACAGAGCTATGTATCCGCTATTATAGATCTCTGGTTATACCAAAAGAGCAGTAGAGTTAACCCAAATCTAAATCCTCGGGGTGTGGCCGTCACCGCACTTTTAGATGACCACGCGCGCCAGGAATATATATGAAAACGGGATCAATATCTTGATCGAGCAGCAGGCACCATGCTGGATGGCTATGATGAGAAAAGGATAGAGGCTTTTGTTTAATACTGCTGGAATAGCTGGGCGCAAAATGTGCCAGGAAACTCAGCGCAGAAAGCTGCAGGGCATTGAATCTCACCTTTGTACGGTTGTAGATTTCCTTTTCTCGCACTATATGACTACACGGGGCTAGTCACGCCGGAGTTTGCAGTTTGCAGATCTTTTTACTATTTCTTTAAAAAATGAGGGCCCTACACCATGTTTTTTAATGGTTATGATTATGGATAACGGCAAAACAAAACTTTTATATCGTCATCTATATCCATCTCATCCTCACTCGGAAAGCCTGTGGTATCAATCAGGAACACATTGTCTTCCTTCAGCTGCGTTTGGTTTTCCTCAATGGCTGCCAATATCTCCCCTCCATTTGGATGCCCATTGTCCCTAGCCTCTGTCCAGACCTTTGCCATCCCTTCTAGACGGCGTGTTACCCAGGACTCCACACGCTCCATTCTTGCAATAACAACGCGGTAGAAAAACTCAAGGTGACGCTCTTCAAGCTCGGGAAGGTCTGTCCCGGGAAAATTATGGTTTACTCGGGAGCTATAATGGTTCATTTCATCTCTGATTACGTGAAGGCTGTCCGCCACAATCTGCTGGATGTTTCTGTTCATATACTGGAAGGAGTAGAAAGCCTGGAAAGTCAGCCAATGAAACCCGTAGGGAGGCAGGAGCTTACCTGGTTAATAACAGACATTGCCTTATCTGCCCGATCGACACTATCCGGAAGCCTCCAGTTGTCATATCCGTGATCCCGCCATTTGGTGTCGGTCATGAGGGCCTTTCCCGCCTAAACACGCTCCTTGTATCCGTTCAACCCCTGCTCTGTGTTGACATTCCGTTGTGGATTATTAACTGACCCAAAAGCTTCCCACAAGCGGTCTACCGGCCGGCCGGTTCGGGGGCTTGTTGGATCCCAGGTTGAATAGTCTTGCTGGAACGGGCTATTTTCATCAAACCATACGCCATCCATAGGACTAGTACCTGTCCAATCTGCAGTATACGTTGTCCCGTCTGGGTCAATGTTCACGCCAGTCATGAGAAACTCTAGCATATGCGGGAAGTATTGAAGCTCCATACCATGCTCTGTGACGAAATTCAAAGACGAATCTGCGGCATCATCCGTAGTATCCAGATTGTTGCAATCATAGGGGTCCTCCGCTGCATGCATTCCCGCGTTCGGGTTTTCCGCAAGAAGCGCTTGGCCATTATTGCCAAAAAAAAATATGCTAAGGACCAAATAGTAAACCATGGCCTGTTCAGCCAGTTAACGCCAAAAGGACGACGACCATCCCTGACACACTCCTCAAGATTACGCTTAATTACATATGTTTGGCTGTACTGATCTGAATACGGCGCGCTGGTGTCAGGATCAACCAACAGGTCAGGATCAACGCGAGCAAGTTCTGATCCACTGAGACACCTCAGTGAGGAGTTTCCTACAGAGCATGTTACAACCCCACTGTCATCAAAGAGGGGAACAGCAGGTAGATCTGGAATATCGCGTGTCTCTGATAGCGCATTGCCTCCACCTGGGTGTAACACATTCACGTGGCCTACTTGCCCGATGTGAGCTGCGCTGATTCTCTCCCAACCAGGAAGATCTCTGGTAATCTCTACCTAATATCCTGCATAGGAATTGCAGAACACTACTGATCTATCATTCTTTATATGAATGTCACTTAATATATTCTTCTAAGCTTGCATGCGCATTAAGTAGCGTGGATCTCCATCCATAAAAGTATAGCTTCATGGACATCTTGAGATTTAATCCAATCACGAGTACTATATTATTTGTGGATCTCTTCTTAATAGACAATGCAGATAATGGCATAAAATCTGTCACCACGTTCCCTGTGAATGTATTTTTAGACATAACATCGGTAACTCCACCAGTTGGATTGCCCAACTTCAGAGATTAATTTAAACGGGTTAACTGGGTTAGATTATTCCTGGCAATAAAGTTGGCAGTGAAGTCAGTATTAATCTCATGTCCTGCTCCTGCTAGACAAGCACCAATATTTAGTTCTGGCCAGAAAGAGCAGATCCCCGGATGGCTGAATCTAAATAACAATATTGGACTATTCCATAGGCTTCTTTTATCAAGGCTATTATTAATATTGAGGTTTCCCTTAGCATTAACCTTTACAAAGCCGTTATATAAGATACAAGTATCAAAACGTCTGTAGGCTTTCTCAAAATGAAATATCAGTAAAATAGTATTTATAAATAAGAAGCTAAAGCACATCTCCTCTTGAATAATTCTCTAATATCAATCTTGAGAACGCTTGGCTGGTGGCAAGAATTAGAGCCCTTTAATATAATTAGTAAGCTACTGAACTTGTCCTTATTCAATAAGAATATACCTTTAATAGTAATTACTATTTTACAGAGTATTAAGTTTGTTTTTTAGATATCCTTATTTCAGCTCTAGAAGCGACTTTCCAAACCTTGTTTCTGAACAGAATCAGCCTGTACAATATTATTCTAAAATTCCGGGGTGTTTAAGTAATCAATACAGATATAGATGTCCCCTAAGTCACGCTTTACATGGGTGAAGTTATAGTTGATCTCAAGATCATATATAACTGTAGATTCACCTATCAACCGTTTCACATATGAGGGTACATACTGGTTGTCAGAGACCCTCAGAGTATGTAAGGTAGCATAGGTGCCAGGGCCACAGCCATCAGGCATATGTAAGAGTGTTCTATATACTACACCGTTACTGATCGATCTGACAGTCAGTAGCTTCTCCCTCGGAGCAAACCATATATACAGTACTGTATCCCGTCTAGCTAATAGCATCACAATCTAATACCTCAAATCCTATGCTATTCTGATATCTAAGCTTGGTAATAGCTCCTAGAGATCCATCAATAATTACTATCCTAAGTATCTGCTGGTTCGGCTCGCTTACCACTGGCTTGGAGTCCCCTCCTAGATTTTGTAGATCATAATTCGGGTAATCATTTTTTGGCAGCAATATAGGGAAGACCTTATCTAGTTCCATAGACAGAAAAGGATTAATAATTCTTAGCGCGTTGTAATATAGTACCTTCTGCTGACCATTAAGCCCAGCAGTATATTGTGAGATAGTATCGCTATACTTATCCAACATAAACTCCACATCAGTATTACTGCACTCATTATCATCACAAGTGCTCTTCCCCACCCAGTGACAATTCTCAAAAGCACTCTCACTTAGGCAGCAGTATATGCCGCTGCCTAGCATTGTTGGCTGATATCTCAGCAATTTTTATGTATCCAGTTTTACATTTCTGCTTCCCTTTCCCCCCAAAGATGTTGGAGCCAATATAGCACGCATTAAGCAGCTTCCTGTAGCTAGAAGCCTTGCAACACGCTGCCTGGAAGTCTAGACAGTAATAGTTAGTGGTCACATGGCGTGAGTGGAACAGTGTTATCTCCCCTTTATGGCATTGCCCGTGACAGGATCAACTGCTCTTGCCACCTCTCCAGACACATGATTGAGACATAGTGTCAACTGGGCAGCATATTATACAACTCTCATGGCCCTTACAGTTATTCTTGAATGCTTCCACCCCGGTGAACGGCGCTAGCTCATACCCAGCCGGACATGAAGGGACAAGAGAGCAATCTATCTCACTGCATTTTTAGCCACTACTAGAAGCCCAATGCTCAGTGTCTGGAATTACCAATCGAGTCATCATGCTCTTATAGTCTCCTACACTATGCCCTAGAAGACCTTCTAGGGCAGAGAATTGATTGTCATCCTGGCCAATAGACCAGATCATGACACCACCAAGGCCAACATCATTCGCCCAGTTAATCTTTTGCTTGAATGTCTCTTTATCATCAAAGTCCACCCACTGGTCACCTTTAAAGAACAAGTAATTCACAGCAGCTACCTTATCATGGATAACCTTGGGTTTTTTAGTAGTGAGAATATCCTGTATCTCAAAATACGCTAGGGTTCCCGCATTGTCTGTTCATGACCCCTTCTCAGCTGCCGCAGTAAAAGAACAGGCAGGATGTGTACAACTTCTGTCCTTCAACTGGAAAGATCGGCCATAGAATCCAAGGCCCAGAACAACTTTGCCTGGAGGTACATCGTTGCGCCAAAGCAGCTCAGCAGATTGTTTGATCTCTGTCAGATTTATGTGCGCTGTATGTACAGTTTAGTTATTAAAACAATTTAATCAGTATTAAGATGAAGCGGGATGAAGAAACATACCCAATACTATACTTCCAATAGGGTTGTCTTGGTCCCAGACTCCATACAGGTCATATAGCTCATCAGGTTAACCCTGTTCAGATTAGTTGGGCCTTTGCTTATATACGGAGAGGACCTACCAATCGGCATATTCAAGCATAGAGGGAATGTCGAACCACTGAAGATACCAGTATGTTAATGGTATTGTAAAGGTAAGGCCATAGGTGCCCCTTTCTGGATTGTTGACAGTATTTCATAACGTTAAGCTTCACGAAGTTCTGTGTATCCTCCTTCTTTCCCCACGGTCCCCCGTCCCAGGGTATTTCCAGTCGAAGTCAACACCATCAAAACCATAATGCTGCATAAAGTCGACCAAATTGTCTGCGAACTTTTGGCGATTAATCTCCACTGAGAGATATTGGATTAGTAACCTGTATGCAAAACGGGGCCATAATGAGACTAAGGCATGCTGTTAAAGCGGATGGGCAGAAATAGTGAGCGCACAAACTAGAAGCGATATTGCCAAACACCGGCTGTGTAGCGGTGTTATTGTCTGAAAATGTCCATCCACCAAGGGTAGTTAAGCCTTTCACTCAGTTCCTTCATTTCAGGGCATTAGTCTCTTAATACTTAATATTAATATTATAGCTGACTGATATTGTCCTTGGATTTTGATCAAAGTAGGCTTCTCTACTACAAGGAAGCGCGATGCAAAGATCAAACAGCATGTGGAAAACATGCAGGTCCTCATGGAATCACAGAGTGCACGGCTGAGGAAGAGCGTTGTGGAGCATTTGTAAACTGTTCCATTATGCTGAGTGTTGCATCACGTGGTTGACTACGTTAGTTAAGACAGCTCAACAGACTCTGTGAGGTTACATGATGCAGCCTTAGACTGCGTATAGCAAGATGATTAAAATTTAAAAAAAAAAAAAAATTAAATAAATTGTTGTGATCTCAGGGGAAAGATGGGCAGGATGATGCTGTATCAGCTACACGTACGTAGCCTACTGAGGACCGGATGCCATTCCGATAGATCTCAATTCTACGGACGACTATATCAACTATCTTGACTGCTTCTTCTTCTCTATCTCCTAATGGGTAAAGCCTTCAGGGGCAGAAGAGTTGGTGATCCGGCCAAGCCACTAGAGCGATCACGTGTCTCGTATAGATTCATATCATAAATAAACATTAATAAATGCCACTAAAACATAACATGGTACAAACCCTATGTTCACTATGTCGGCTGAAAAGAGTCAGAATAGAACGTAATCATGTTTGGCGCAGGATATGTAAGGACGCTTATTCATGTACTACTGAGTTGGGTTATTTGCTATTGATACTACTGTTATTGCGTAGTTACCCCTGGATTACCAGCTTGACTCGTTCGTGCCATTCTAACTGCTGAGGTATAGTATATAATTAGTAGACTCAGCAATCAGCCCTGAGTTGTTTTGTATCTTCAACTACCCTCGGATCTGTGTGGTCATCAGCTCGTGAATACACACCGTATGGACACCAGTGGAACCCGGTCCCCAGGTTTGTACACGACCTACCCCGGATAGCTAGCTGTTAGCAGAACTCTTGGAAGAAGCCCTGGGTGTAACATATTCAAAGTAAACCAAATGCTCTTGCATTTAAATTTTAACGCACATATGTGATATCGCATCACTAGGAGGCTATGAGATGTCCCGATAAGCTGCAGCGTACCAGGCTAGCTGGGAACGGGAGCTTGGGGAATGTTATGGCATGACGGAAGAACATCGGACCAGTAGAAGATTGCTAGCTTCTACATGTACTGTATGTAAAGGATGCAGCGACCCCCCAGCTAGAGTGTGTCGGCAACCCTCTACCTTCCGTAGCCTACCTGACACATGGAATCTCAAGTTGGATCGAAAAGCCGCTCAACGCTAGCACTAGTGACTAGAGCTTATAGAACATCACGAGCGAGGCTTGCAAGCACTGGATATTCATAATGATGCGCTCTGCGAAACACCAAGATTCCTAACTCTGAGGACGGTAGATCTAGTATCAATGTAGGTAACTGACGATCACGTAATAAATTTGGGCGGCTCAAGATTGTCACTACGAACAGACTGTGCTATGAATAAATAACTTGTCCGGATGCTAAAATTGTACTCACCTACTATCTCGCGTACCTTATGTTATTGTGTACTGGAGACAGCCATGAAGTTTTTGATGGCGGTTTCCAGCCAGGAATACCGGGAATATCTCGACTTACTATCTATGTCCAGGTCGATGGCGACATAGTTCGAGGTGAGAAAATATCAACATCAGTTCGACGTCTTAAGAAAGCAAAATGGTTTGGCACGGAGCACGCAGCATCGTGCACAGTCGGGTCCTGAAGTTGTTGAGCATCTTGAAAGATGATATTCCGCGGTACACTGCTGTCGGAATCTCGGCACTAGCGGAGCAGAAAGAAGGAGATGGGTGTGAAACAGCTTTTGTGGAGCATATTATGCACCCTGCGCATTTGTTTTTACTGTCTTACGCCTAATAGAATCCACTGGTCATTAGCATGTTAGTGCAGGGCTCTCAATTTGGACCAGTTGGTGCCGCACTAGGTTTTGGTCTATTCGCCTAAGACACTAAACCTGGGACAGGGCGGCATACGGCTTATACACCTACAACCGTGAGCTGGGGTCGGAGAGCAAGGCGGATAGATCGGCACACATTGAGAGTTCCCCTACTGGAAATACAACGCTATGCTAGATAGCATATCTTCGTTTAAATAGCTAGCACTCTCTCGTCGGTTACTGCCTACTTTCGAATAGTATACACTCCATCATAAATATCAATTATGGGAGAGACTAATAAAAAGATCGAGCCCACCGATTCGGACATATTAAGCGATCCCTCCAAGACGTGTCATGATAACCCCAGGTTATTTAGCAAAGAAGACCGACTGTCGTTGACTGGAAACGATCTGGAGCTCGACACCTTCCAGTCCCGCTCCTTCGAAGTCGACCTTGAACATCAAGCAGTATTAGCTGTCGACATTGAAAATGGAGCCAACGGCAGTAATACAGCACACCAGCAACACGCATTCAATGCCGATGAGAATGTCAAGCCTCTATCACCAAAAACCTCTTTGCCCCCATTCGGTAGGGGTAGGCCTTATCCACCACAGATAACTAACCCCGATGATTATCTGGTCGATTTCGAGGGCCCTGATGATCCCTGGTTTCCCCAGAACTGGTCTTCGTGGCAAAAGTAGGTTATGCTCCCTTGCCATGCTGTATGCTCTTTGATGTGGTCTCTAACAACGTATCTTTTTTTTGATTCTCATTCTAGGTTCTTCATCGGCGCTATTCTAGCTTTCACCTGCCTGAGCTCCACCTTTGACTCCGCTGTCTTTAGCGCCTCAGCGAGTAGCATCGCAAAGCATTTCAGAGTCAGTTTAGAGGTTGCTACACTTTCTAGTTCTCTTTACATCGCCGGCTACGCACTCGGGCCCTTGATTTGGGGCCCTCTTTCAGAACTCTATGGTCGTCGTCTTCCGATTATTCTTGGCATGTTTGGATTCTCTATCTTCAGTACAGCGGTGGCAGTATCTAAGGATCTTCAGACTCTAATGATCTGCCGTTTCTTTTCCGGAGTGTTCGGTAGTAGTCCGCTGATTATAGTCGCTGCGGCTTTCTCAGATTTGTATGACAATCGAACCCGTGGTATTGCTATCGCTATCTTCGCCCAAATGGTCTTTCTTGGACCATTGATTGCACCATTTATTGGAGGATTTATTGTTCGATCCTATCTCGGCTGGCGCTGGACCGCGTATATCCCAGCAATTATGGGCTATACAGCAACTCTCCTGACTATTTTTTTCCTCAATGAATCCTACCCACCAGTTATCTTAGCTACCAAAGCGAAAGAGCTGCGACATGAGCTTAGCAACTGGGCAATTCATGCTAAGCTAGAAGAGGCCGATGTTGGTATTCGCGAGCTGATAGTCAATAACTTCTCACGGCCACTTCAAATGTTGATTAAAGAACCTCTTATCCTGGCTGTGACTGTCTATTTGAGTTTCATATACGGCCTGCTCTACTGCTTTCTATCGGAATATTCAAGCATTTTTCAGGGTGTTTACGGTATGGCACCTGGCCTAGGAGGTCTTCCTTTGTTCGGAATTGTGGTAGGACTTGTGATAGCCGCCTCATATATGGTGTACACCAACGGAGCTTACAACACTAGATTGGACGCGAACAACGGCATCCCTATACCTGAGTGGCGTTTGCCACCAGTGGTCGTTGGAGGAGTTCTGTTTTCCGCAGGTTTATTCTGGCTGGGATGGACGGGTTTCACCAGCAGTATCCACTGGATTGTGCCCACGTTAAGTGGCTTGTTTACAGGCGCTGGTCTATTGATTATCTTTATCCAGCTGTTCAACTATTTAATTGACACTTATCTGATGTAGTGAGTTTCTCTCTCACTTGACTTTGCGTCTGCCATAAAAGGGCAATCGACCTAGAATCTAATATATCTACAACAGCGCTGCGTCCGCACTAGCAGCAAACACCATTTGTCGCTCCCTTGTGGCGGCCAGCTTCCCCCTTTTCTCACGCCAGATGTTCGCCAACATGGGTATCCAATGGGCTAGCACGCTGCTAGGCTGCGTCTCTGCGGTTTTGGTTCCCATTCCGGTGCTATTCCTCATGTACGGCAAACACTTACGAAAGAAAAGCCACTTTGCGCCAGTGCGCGATGGGTCTTAGGATGTAAGCGCTGGCTAAGGCGGAGGGGTGGGAGTGCAAGTGAGCCTTGCGGCCCTCAGGCCATTCAGAAAGTAGACAAGTTCAGGGAGAATGTAGGAGTCCCTATAAGTCTATCTGCAGGGCTAATTTTGCAGTGGTCCTGTTGGAGGAGTTGTGCGTAGGTAAAGATCAGCATCACTTGGTTTTCGGGACAATCTCTAGACTAGGAAGCTTCTGTGTTGGGTGTAGATCTCTTTTCATGTATAGACAAATTATTAATTGATACATAGAAATAACCTATTGCTCTTTCACATGAATCTGGTCAATCAAATCTCCTCTCCGGGATTATAACTGTTGTGCCTCTGACATTCGAGGCCTATATACTCCCCTGGCTGCCCTCCTGTGGGCTCCACGCCGTAAACCCCCGCGTGTAAAGGCTAATCTCGATTTCAACATCCAAGGTATGACTCCGAGTTTGTGTTCCAAGTGCCGGTTACCCGATCAAGAGGAGCGACGAGTACGTCCTAGACACAGATGCTCCCCCAAATTGCAATACAACAGAGTGTTCACACTCGCTAGGTCACCGAGAGTAGGCCAGGATTAGGCAATCTGGCCCTAGAAGTGTCTGGGCTCCACTGAATGAACACCAATTAGCTCTCAACATTAGCGTCGGTGCCGTAAGAGCAAGTCGATCAATGCGGCCCTGGGCAAGTTAGGAAGGAGGTTTGATTAGACCCACGATGAGCTCATCCAAGACTCAAATCACCGAAAACAGAGGTTTTTGTAAGAATTCTGTCTCGGCGGATACCAATACAAGTGGATCCTTCTCCGGATGCTTCTAGGTTCCGGGTCCCCATTTCACGCGGCTCCTCTGTACCCACTGATGTTTACTCCAGAACGTGAGGATAATGGATAGCAGCACTAGATTTATATCATTCATTAACGTGCGCCAGACGGCCAAGCGGATTGCCGAAAAGGATTAAACAAGGCAAGAAATATCGCGTTCCTTGAGGTTGGAAACTGTGAGGCAGAGAACACCTTCGGTGACCAACACCACCTTTGTTCCTACTTTCATCATGAGTTAGTCGAATACCATTCGTTACCTATCACATTATAAAACGTGTATACACTTAGTCAATTTCAGGAAAGGGGCCTGTTTCAGTGGGTATGATGGCGCGTAGCGTCACACCGTGCATGCCAAGCCGGTCAGTATATAAGGTCGAATTCCACGAGTGGCGATGGTTGGCTGCTCGTCATCAGTGAAAGCCCATGTTTCGAGCCACCGATTTCCACCAGTGGGAGCCAATCACAAGCCGTGCAAGGGAATGTCGTGGTGCTCCACTCTTTGCTCGAAAAGGTTCCAAATGCCCCAAGAGTTTCAGTCTACGCTGCGGTATGATTTTAGCAACAGCTTCGAACCTAAAGCTTCGTATACTTAGCTCTGTACATTAGCCCTGTCAATGCTCATACTCTCTTCTAAGCCGCCTGATTAGGCTTAGTTCATGGAATGGGAAAGGGTAACAATCAACATAGCCAGCTGGAGGACAAGTTGATCGTTTATCACACTTTATGCTATGTACAACCCCTCGGATGATATCCATGCGTATGATGATATGATATCTTGCCATCACATAGGTTGCGGACTGTACGGGAAAGACATGCCTGAGCCCATAGCTAGATGGATGTTTGTCATGAACACGCGGCAATCAACCACTACTCAATACTCAACCCAGTCCTCTTTGAATTTGGTAAGTGGTAGCAGGCTTTGCCAGTACAGGATCCATAGAACTATGGTACTGCAGTTTGCGCTTATTAGGCATGAAGAGTGCCCAGCCACATTCTTACTACACGCAGATCTTGGCAGCATCGGAGACAAGGGCCAAAGCCTCCCAACAGCTGTTAACGACTTTATATCAATTTTATCGGGAATGTGTAAATCTTTCCTAGTTTATTACATGAACAATAGTCGAATGACTACCTTCTAAGGGGGTAAAGACAGGTCTTCTTTACACAGGCGATCACTCTTCTACCTGTTTGTCACTGCATACTAGGGGCTTTCCTATCCAACTCTTTCGGAGTTCGGTTGCTGCCCTGCTGAGCGGAAGCCTGAGCCTGCTTTTAGTCTCTTCTGTAACTCAGGGTACTGTGCGGGCCGAATCTGGACCTCTACCATCGCCTAAGGCTCATTAGGCAGAGTTGGGTGGGGAGTAGGCCGTCCAACGTAATACGTTCTTCCTGGGTTAGTTTAGTCTATGGAGGGATTCCCCCGCCCAGGACTAAATGATTCTGGTTCGGAATCAGACAGATGTGGATATTGATACTGGCTGTTAGTGAGACATTCGGCAAGATAGAAGAGATCTAGATGTTTTATGATACTTATCATGAGTCAATCAGCGGGCAGAGATCGACCGCCAAGACAAGAAGATGACATTGGCATGACACTTGATGGATCGAGACTCCGAATTTTACACCGAGTATGTTTAGCCCCTCTGATTAGAGATGCGCGATGTCTTAGGGTTCGTATAAAAGCAGGCACGATGACCGTGTTGAAGGTCTTCCTAAAATCAGGCCGCTTTGTCACACTGCAAGATCCTCTTTATCCTCTCTTCTACGAGCAACATGATGGTTAACCGTTATTCCAATCCTCTTCCCAAGGTTGCGCTTGTCACGGGCGCAAATGGTATCACCGGATATGCTATCATCGAGTACCTTATTCGGAGACCAGAGACAGAATGGTGAGTAGCTCTAAGGCTTCCTCTCGCAGAGACCATTTAACTGACAAGCATGATGTAGGTCGAAGATCATTGTTACATCACGCAGGCCGCTGGCGAACTACTGGATTGACCCTCGCGTCGAGTTTATTGCACTTGACTTTCTGGACGCGAAGGAAACCCTTGTGCAAAAGATGAGAACTATTTGCAGCGAGGTCACACACGCCTACTTCACCTCCTATATCCATAACAACGATTTCAATAAACTTGCTGAGAAGAATTGCCCTCTGTTCCGAAACTTCTTAGAAGTCATTGACACAGTGTGTCCCAGACTGGAGCGTGTTTGTCTTCAGACCGGAGGAAAGGTAAGCAACGTTACTAGGCTGGACATGAAGTGAATGGCAATGCAGCTGACACAATTCTTATCATAGCACTATGCACTGCAATTTCAAGAGACCTCCACACTCCTTTACGAGGACTTCCCACGATATGACGGTCCCGGCTCTAAGTCTATCTTCTACTATCAGCAAGAGGATGACCTATTTGAGGTGCAGAAACGCAGAAACACCTGGCACTATAACATTATCCGCCCTCTGGGTATAATTGGATTTACCCCTCAATGTAAGTCCAGATCTCTAATTAAATTTACGTCCCTCAATGAGGAGATGGGACCAGCTAACCCGGGTAATTTAGTCTCTGGTATGAACGGGGCAGTTCCAATCGCTCAGTACTTCCTGATCTGTCGCGAGCTTGGCGAAGAGCCAAGATGGCCGGGAAATCTTAGAAATTACCACCGAGCTGAAGCTCAGTCCTACTCTCCAAGCATCGCTGATCTGACTATCTTTGCTACTACACACGATAGCTGCAAAGACGAGGCTTTCAACCACATTAATGGTGATGTTATCGTATTTAAGTTTCTCTGGGCTCGGCTTGGAGAGTACTTCAATATGCAAGTTCCCAGTTATTCCTCCTTACCCGACGAAGAGAAATCTCAGATTGACCTGAAGGAGTGGGCCATGGATAAAGCCCCGGTATGGGAACGTATTGTTGCCAAGTACGGTGGAAGTATGGACTCATTTCAGATCGACGCATTTGAGTTGATGAACTGGTTCGTCAACCCCGGTGATAATGTTACAGCCCCCTACATGTCCACTGTAAACAAGGCGCGGAAGGCTGGCTGGGATCGTGTTGATGATTCCTACGATGCTTGGACCCGAACTTTGCAGTCTTATGAGAACGCTGGAGTCTTACCCAACCATCGGCACTTCCATGAGAAATGACATACATGACAGTTCTCACGAATTGGTATTGGCCTAGAGACTGTCTACATGGCGGCTCTAAAAGTTGAGTTGTACCTGCTGCCGATAGCTATAATTGGTGTTTTGGATGTTGTGCTTTCTCCCTACGCCATTAAGTGATGTACGCGCAAAAAGCGACTGACCTTCTTAGCGCGCTTTGGTCTAAGGCTCTGCTATCTCAAGATACTACTTTTTACTAGGTATATAAGAATGAAAATCAACATGTATTGTTACATTAATGTCATTTTGAGAACTTTACAAAAGATTTATTGAGGCATAAGTGGCTGAAATTGCAAAGTTCTGGTGTAAAATGCCGCTGGGGCAATACTTTAAGCTCAGGAGGGAAGGTTTTAATAGTCCACCATCACCTAGCTTATAGCAAAGATGATTTTAGAATGTATAGCTGCGTTCTGCAATCGTTATCGGCAGAGATGACTTGGAGCCTTTCCTTTGATATACAATATCTATAGCGTATAGAAAACCTTTGTGAAAAGATATGGAACCCACCTACGACTACATGCAATGATAGAGTTATTGTGACAGTATCCCCGTCGCATGCTAGGTCACGCTGAGCATGCTTTAGAGCTCTCAACTACAAACCCGCTCATACCTCCCTTAATCTTGTCCGGCTTACAGGGGAAATTCAACAATAGCAATCCAAAAGACCTCTTCAGTGTCACCACAATCGCACTACCATGGGGGGAAATGGTATTCAAAAAAATTAGAGGCTAGGCAGGGATGAGTATTTCTCTCCACGTCAATCGTGCTCGAGTATTGAACCATAAATTCATAGCGGAAGGAGACCACACTATCAGGAACTATACCAATTTCAGCTCGCAGCCGTAGCACATTGCTCAAATGCGTTAGCAACAGCCTTATCTGCAGCCGTTCGAAACGTAGAGCAATAGTCTATGAGACCTTGTACACTATGATCGGCCTGAGCTGGAGTCCGCGTACGGAGATGTCTCTCAATACTACCCAGCAGTTCAAGATCTGACGCTGCTGTTGCTCTACGCGGCTCCTTTACAATAATTGACGACAAAATTATCAAGGCAAATACCGGGAAATAGATGAACATACTTCTTGTAATTCAGTTTCTGATTGTTTTGGTTTAGAAGGTAGGGTATCGCGGGCACTCACTTGGAACATATGATATTATCTACTGGTAGATGCTGAACCAGCCGTATTGACGCTCGCGCAGCCTGTTCACATATATTTGTCGGCGCAACAACTCTCGGATCAGGTGCGGAAATGTCCAGCCTTGCCCTGGGAATATGGTTCTCCGAGTCACGTTTTATCCATGGGGCTCGACCAACCGTTTGTCGATGAAGAACCAAAAGAGAGTGGTAGTAAACAAAGTGAAGATACATTAGGTAGAAGCCAGTACGTTTCTTTAATGCTGTATACGTCCCCGAGCTTTGTGGCCTATATTCGTATGGAAGGCGTGCCAGCCATTGCTGGAGCATTTGACCTAGATCACTGACGATTTTCATCACCGCTGTCTCATTCAGGTCTTTAGCAGTAGTAGAGTATAGTTTAGCGTATATCAAACGTTTAATCATTGTGAGCTCACGGATGGACCTGAATATTTTATATTTTATTCTTCCTTCCTTGTCGATGTCTCTTCGGATGGAGGCGCAGTCAATATCGTCCATAGGTAGTGGTATGTCCCACCCGTAGACACAGTAATTAGGAGGGATACCGAAACGAAGTGCGATGCTATTGTCAACCCAAGACATGTTAGTTGAAACTACATCAAAACGGGAAATCAGTCGTACTCAATGTCAAGGCCGTGACTGATAGCAATTAATCGATTATATAATTCGCATGATGAAGACTCTCCGTTGGGACCCAGGTTATGCAAAAGCCGAATAGATAGGGATAGCAAATTGCTTGCCGGATGGGGCATCAGCGTACCCATAAGAAACAACGCCTAGTTCTAGTATAAGCTTTTTCTACCGGATAAGATGATTTCAGCGAAGTAAAAAGAAATTTTGCGCACCATGGCTAGCAATGCCTGAACAGAACGGAAGGAAGGTGGTAAGATGATTATAGAGCTGAGTGATGACAAGGCACTTTTGAAATGCAGTCCCGCAGCATGTTGCATAATTGGCTTGAGGGTACAAGCTAACGCAAGGATAGCATGCATGCTTGTCCAGATTTCACCAGGGAGATCCGGATCTGTTGGATCGAATAATTGCTGCACGTCTGCAGTTACAACATCTTCGTCGAACACGGGACAAATGGAGTGCATTTTCGCAAAGTATAGCTGCAGGAGTTCGACAGTAACATTCTTTGGGGGAAATGGCAGAAACCCGCGATTTGGGAATGTGGTACACCGATTCATGGCTGCAGAGCTAGATGAGAGAGATCCACTAGGGTAAATTCCGGCGCGATCATGGAGCCATTGTTTGCCTTCTGGGCTGAGAAGAGATAAGGACCTCTTCGTACCAGCGTGAGGATTATCTGTCAAATAGTTCCAGATCTGGAAACATGGAAGTGCGTACGGCGAGAGCTCCTCGCTATTAGCTGTGGACAGGAATACACTACTGCTTCCCGGGTCGTCAGCACCGTCAACGCTTTCCCCCATGGGCCTTTCGCGTAGTAAGCACTCGTTCTTTCGCATCTCGCATGCGAGACATTTATTCTTGCCCGTCGACCAGTCACATTTGACTTTCCGTTGGTGACATGGTACACAAGCATACTTGCTTTTATCAGCACTCCTGCCCGAAGAGAGATCATAGCAGTGTTGCAATACCTGCGATGCGCGTCCTCGCTTCCGCCCGTCTCGGCCGCTCATTATTCTGGTTTCACAAAAATCGAACTGACTAGTTGTTCGTTGCCGCTTCAGCAAAGGTGGCGGGAATCCATCGGTTACCCCATGGATCTGCGGGGCTCTCTTGGCGGACTTCATTCTGACCGTAGTCCACGGAATCCATCACCGCGTAAAGCCTGTAAAGTCTGTGTTTCGGTCGAAACATTACACGGCGGGTCCGGCCTCGGGAATGCTGGCAGCCCGGGGAGATGTGGACTCTTGGTGGACGCTAGGGCTCGCTCATCAATTTCCTGATTGGGGGGCAGCAAAGGGAAGGGTAAAAAAATATAAAAAATAAAAAATAAAAAATAAAAAAAAGGAAAAGGAAAAGGAAAAGGGAATCGCCCTGAACAAGTCCCTGGCGAAGCTTGCTGCTGGGCATAAGAAACCCAAGCAGCAGACTGTGGTCCGTAACTGTGGGATACGTACGTCGGTTCTGGCCAAGTACAAGTTCACGAAGATCCGCGGCCTTGGAGAAGACTTGGGGCTGAAAGTAATTCACGCCTTTCAGACAGACGGAGTGTCCCATTTGCTACTTGTATCATTAGCACGGATGCAATCGGTGCTAGGACCGGAAGACGGGTTATGGACATACAATATCATTCGTGGCGTGGATTTCAGCAAGGTCGCCTGCCCGACTCGCATCCAGTCAATGTTGTCAGCTAAAACGTTCGTTCGTAAGATTACTGTAGATCGCGCCAAGAAGTGACCCCTAATATTTGTCGCAGATCTAATATGTCGGATTGAGGAACTCTTGACTGAGGACCATCACGTTCGTCCGATGACCATAAAGCTGACCCACCACGTGGGCGGCTGTTCCGGCCGAATGCGCCCCAAGCAGACCACTATTCCGCGTGAATCTTGCGCTGTCAACTACCACACCCTTCTAATTAATGCTGAAACCCTTCTTCACGGATGCCTATACAAGATGCTCAATGGTGGCCGTATAGGAGCTTATCCCTACGCCTTTCGGCATTTCAGGTAATTCGAGAACTTAATAAGCCCATTTATTTCTAATTTGACACCAAAGATGATACCGTTGATTCGAAAATACGCTCCGGAAGTGAATCGCCTCTTACCGGGGTAGTACTGATGATTGACGGCTACGTATGCCCTCATTGCAACGAGCCCATCCCCGCGGGTACGGTCCTGGAGCACCTCGATTGGCACGTCGCTGTTAACTTGTCTGCGGCACAGACCTAATTCCTCCGCCCCAGGTATCTTTAGTTCACCAGTACCGTGATTTTGCACGTAGCAGTATTACCTCCCTTTACCTCAAACAATACACAGTCTCTAGCCAAGCGAAGACAAGTACTACTCTATACTATATCACTTTTTTTCTCTGCCAGCACAGGGTGAGGAACCTGACAGAACGTCGGCCAGTGAGACATGAAAACTGTTGGTATACCCCAAGAGATAGGGCTTCCTATGATAAGCCCATAAAATAACTTGATAAGAGGGACTTGGTTAGCAGAAGTAACCAAATAAAGTAGTCAACTTCAGTGCTACTGCTTACGATAAGACAATACTGTACACATACATTTGCTATATAATTCTTGATAGTAAATCGAATAACAAGACTCAACCCGTCAGAAACCTTCGGTTGAGACATCCCCAAGCCCACAGACCCTAATGGGGCCCAAGTTTTACGGTTGCCAATAGATCAGCGCCGTTGCTTAGGAGCTTGCGGCCGAAAACATTATGAAACACTACTCTTCCTCTCACAGAGCATACTAGCCATGACTCCCCCCGCCTGGAGCAGAATTCATCAGTGTTACAACATAAGCTCCGTTTTTACAGAGCAATAGTATCATGGTTACTAACGCACGAGAAACATTTTTATATGGGGAAACTTCGGAGTGGGTCCCTTCTAGCAGCGCGCCAGAAACAGCGGCTGAACTTCCCACGCGCGTAACTCATGTATGCACGGTGAGTCTAGACCATTATCTGGTCTTGGCTTGCTCGCTCCATTATGCGAAGAGCACAACGATTCCCACTTTCGATCACCAGTGGCATCTTTGATATAATGGTCGCTTGCCCTTGATAGCGTCTTTATATATCTTCGGGTCGTGGTAGCTGCTATGGGATTTGTTGTCCCGGTGTTCAAGTACAGATGCATTGAAGATTTGCTATAGATTTGCTAGAACCATTTATGACGCGGGAACTTCCACGCAATTCAAGCTGAACGCAGGGTGGTTCTAATTTGTACTGTAAGCGTCAATTCAAAAAGGTTTTAACAACAAACTAGTTATCTAGAACTCATAGATACATCTGTGTACATCCCCATACCTGTGCTAGCAGCAGGCGTAGCATACTATCCAAGTAGAGGATGACTTGAGATAGTAAAGGGGTCACATAAGCTCCACCTCAGTTATCACCCGACTTGACTCGGAGTTTGACTGCGACAAGCTTAGCGGGCTCCATTACCTTCCCCATTACCGGGGTGAATTGCGCACCGCAAGTTGCCACATAAAGAATAGAATGATCTCGGCTGAAGGCCACAGAAGTTAATCCTCCAAGGCTGATCTTAAACTGGTTTCCTGCGACAAGATGGACCCATCCCTCCGGCGAAATTTCCACCAGCTCGTTCTGAGGATTTGTTGTCATATATGCTGTTCCGCTGGCCGTCAACACAAGGTCGTCGAACGTCAGTCCACTCATAATGACCTCGACCGGGCCGGTGGCTGATGCGTTCTGGTCAACCGGAATACGAGCATACACCTCTTGACTCGTGCTTGTATAGTAGATATAGTTGCGAAAGACCTTCAGGCCATTAACTCCAACCTTCACTGGCTGGCCCTCGGCAGGCAGCATAGTTGAATGGGAGAGGGCCACCGAGTATTCCCCGCTGGTGGTGTTCAACCGCCAGATCACTCCCTTGCCGGCATCCGTGATAAGAAGTAAGTCATCGCGGAAGCGAGCCACTCCGTCTAAGAATTCACCGGCAGGCATGGGTGCCAGGACTTTTGCGCGGGGCTCCTGCTCTTTAAGGTCAAACATCCAGACTACGAACGATCCTGGAGTTGGGACAATGCTAGGCAGGGAGATATTGCCTGCAATCACGGCGTACACGTCACGCTCCATCTCCGCGATACCTAGGACACTGGTGGCGTTCGGGAACCGGTAGAGTAAGGAACCATACCCCTGGCTGAAACCATCGGGGCCTGGAGTGATGGACCAGATCTCAGGAACATCGAAACGCGAGACAATGATATTTCCATTCCGTCGAACGTGAAGATTTTCGAACCAGGTGCCGTTTTGCTCCAGTTGGAAAACAGTTGAGACTGATGTCGTATAATTTGCTCTTCCAAAAGGGAGTGCTGCAAAAGTTGTTCCCAGATAGGGGAACAACCAGGCAGCACAGTGTGCCACAACTGAGAACGCTCGCATAGTCAACGTAAGCAAGCAAGAAGAGCAACTAGAGAGCAAAAAGTACTATGAGAGAAACAAATAGAATACAAGAGCCTTCGCGAAGTCAGGTATCCCTTGCGTAGTATGAATAAGTCCAGACCAGATGTGGTGGACTTTTTAACTCTTTTATGTAGTCTTGTACGACCGAGTCCCGTTTCTCCAAATATTAAATGTGCTAACTTGTTCTGTCAAGGACTAAAATTATTGGCCTGTTCTGGTGAGCAATCCCGTTTCTTGCGCATAGCTCTATTCTCGGCGATCCTTCTACGGTCGTTAGCCATGTACCCGTCCATGGATGCTGCCGGGTACAATACGTATTATTGACAGTAACAAGGTCTCGGGATAGGCGGCTAAACAGGAGTATGATGTGGAAAATGGCCAAGAATTTGTGCGGAAAGGGATATTATGACCCAGACGATGAGGCCGGTAGTGGTCCACTTTTGGAGCCATTGGAGCCTCCGACCACTGAGAGCGTGTTGCACCGTAGGTCAAAGTAATCTGTGCCCATCACGACCCGCTTCAGCACCTTGAACGCATAAAAGACAAAATCAGAACATATATTGAGTGTTGTTAGGGCTAGTGGTGCTCCTGAAGTCGCTCTAGCCAATCACCAAGTAGAGAAATCGGACCCGACTCCGAACTGTTTGACGCATTATGGCTCGGACAGCCCAGAGCATTTCTCAACAATCGCATGAATGTGCCTGAGAAAGCTAAGATCTGCCAGCAATACCTGAGATCCGTTATCCCTATAATGAGGACTCAACCGAACCTAACTGCCGTGAGGATATGGCCATGAAGACCGTCTACGTCGAACTATCTATTACAGCGGATCTAGATTTAAAAATTGGCTACTGTGACAGTCATAATGTCTAGTTACTCATAGTATTTAACCATACTTCTTCAACAAAAGCCTCCACAGCTGTTACCCATTATTCTTGGCGAAGTCTCACTGCAGTTCGTCGTCAACCTCATTGTCCGACAGGGCTGCTGGCATCGAGCCAACATTCAGGAAGCAGCAATGCTGCTATGTGGGAGCGCATGGCCTCGTACCTAACAGCAAGACAAGTGTAGCCTGTTATGTCGGGAGAATGAACCTGTCCCCGGTCTCAGTTTAGATATTACATAGCGGCCAAAGGAAGGTCAGTAATGAGAATCGTGGTATTATTGCAGGATAGTATAAAAGATTGTGGGAGATTATAGATGTAGTAGCGATCTACCAGAGAAGTAGTATTCAGAACACACAATTAGGTAAAGATACTATGAAGTAATACAGAGTTGTATGAGGAGCATTTGGCAAATTGAATGGAGACTGTTTCTTGTTCTTTCTTTTCTATAATCAGTAGGTTTATTATAGCTAAAGACTGCTATTATAACGCTAAAGGTTCGATATAGAGAAGTGGTCTATATCATCGGATCTCGTGGAATCGAATGCACAGTGGACAGGATATTGCATGCAAGTGTGACCCCCTGGCCGCCCCGCCCTGATTTGGAGGCGCCTTAAGATTCTCAAACAAGTCCATGTGAAATAATGGCTAGTGTTAGTACTTATGCAATAGAGAGCAGCAGGAGCGGCAGCGACCTTGGTGGGCCGGTATGATTGCTTATATCATGTCATGCGTGGTATTCCATAGTCCACTTTGCACGAATTGCATACACAAAACCTTTCTAAACAACGGCAACAAACGCAATAACGATATTTCAGAGGTAGACAGGAGCTAGCTGCCATAAATTCAGCTCATTTATCTGTTAGTACACGCATCTCTTTTTCCTGCCCTAGCAGCATCTGCTTAGGCCGCCATATGCCTGAGAACTCTAACTATGTTTAGATAACAAGTTAATATATTAGATCTATCAGTACTCCACGTAGTGGCTAACAATAGTAAAGAACTAGGGATGGCTTGGGAATAGATTAATGCAATCGAAGTTGCCATAGCTGATGGACGAGAGCGTCTCGGCGACTCCGAACATAATACTGATCTATGCTCGGCTGCGAAGGGTGCTGGCCCAGGTACTGGCCATTGTTATTCTTGGCCATTATTACCTGGTGTATTAACTCATTTCTACACCAACTAAAAGTTTCCTGCGAGTTCTACGATACCTCATAAACAACTAGATTCATCCTCTTACTCTAACTACGCAATCGCTGGACTCATTCAAAGGGTCAGGAATGTCAAGAGAGCCGCAGCCATCACATTATGTTAGGTAAGATCCCTTCAACTCGCATAGGACACAAAAGGCATCTCACGAAGCTTACAGCTGATCCTGCAACACGCGGCATCGATTTTGGTCTGATTAGTTTGACCGCCTATTTTCATTGCATTCGCTGACCGAAAAAGCTTCAACACCGAGTCCGGTCTCTACATAGGGAGAGTCCCGACAGACACGATGCTTTGACAACGAGCATGTTATCCGAGGTCATCAAACTTATAGTATCTGTGCTTCTGATTACAAAGAAAAACACGTGTTCTCTTCAATTGTCTACTGTGAGTTCATATTCGCGGTCGTCGAGCTGGGGGTTTCTTTCAAATGGCCATTATGATACTGTGATCCCCAGCAGGTCTATATACGCTCGCGACATTTCTACAAAGTGTGAGAGTCTACAATCTTGGCCTTCTACCATACCTTATATTCTCGCAAGCAAAGCTCATCGTCACCGCCATGTTTGGCGCGTTTATTCTAAATCAGAAATTCACTCGTGGACACTGGAAGCGTTAGTGAATGGTAACAACACTGATGAGCAAGAGGTTATATGTCTATGAACATAGCCATCTCGACCTCCTAGATAGCCTGTTTCTAAGAAGTAATTCAGAACAGGTTTTTGCCTAATTCTTCAGGTTAGAACGTAGCTTTTCCACAAAAAGCTAATAGTAGGCGAAGGTGGAACCCACACAATGACGACTAGGCTAGATAAATTCAGCAATTTAGACTATCTATCTAGTACAGTTTTTCACTGTGGTGTCTTGGTTGGCCACCTAAAACACCTCCCCCAATCTCGACTACTAGTGGCGAAAGACTGCGTGAACCTTACGCCCAAGGCTCGCCATTCTGTCCAGCAACATATCCCGGCCACGGATCACTTCCTCATCCCTCATTATTTGGCTACCATGTAACGCCGAGATAGCCTCTGCTTGTATATGCTTCCAGCTATGTGCGTATTCGATTCTGTTCTGAATTCCATTATAGTCTAGCCCAGACATGGCCAAACGAGCAGAGAGAAACACTTAGCTGGCTTAGACCAAAAATGGCCCTCGACCGGTCTGTCTACTATCGTTTTGGTAACCAGCAACCGCCATGCAAAAGAGTCGAGCTTGTCTTCCTCTTTTGATCTTTTCCAACACTCACGTTTAAACGAATACGCGTTGAAGGCTTCATTAGTAACACCCCTGACCTTGGCAAGTTCATCAGCTCGGGCAAGCGCATCGAGTCGGTATCTTAGCGTTTCATAAAGATCATCAATCTCCTCGTCGCTGAATTTCTGCCTGCCTTTCAGCAAGCGTATCAGTTTGCCATGGAGTGCAATATTTGGCGCGTCATTATCCGGACCATATTGGGCGGCATATTTCAATTTACTGCGTTTTCTAACTGTTCTGAGAAGATCAGTACGCGTAACATGCTCGGCTGAATCTCTAAAACCATAATCCCCTGTTGGCACAGAGCGCAGTGGCTCCCAGCACAACTTCAATTGAGACAGCGGTATACCACTGTGACATTTAAAGTGAAGCGCCCACTGATCATCTTGAGCAGAGAAATGGATTCTGTGATAGTCAGCTAGCTGATCAAACCTTTTATACGAATCGTATATAGAGCGTGTAAATGAGATATAGGTGGGATCTAGCTGAATTTCAAGTGTTTCCTTTGAGTCCTCAATTGCGATACCGGCTTGTAAGATTGCACTCGCGATTATACTTAGGGCTTCTCACTAGTCATCCAGATCTGAGATATTGTTGGCCCATGGAGATTAGAAAAGAGATAATGAAACAGATAAAAGTCTGAGAAGAACTAACTGTCCTTCTTTGGACTAGCTTTGCCTTTGTCATCTGTAATGCCACAAACTGCAATGAGGCGGGTTCTTGGGCCAACATCAGGTGGGTAGGCTGTCGGAAATGAGAGACCCTTCAAGTCTTCTGTAGTTCCAGTGGTACGCCCAACAGTGTAGAAGACTGGAATAGACTCAGGGGTAATAGTAGACATGATGAGATAACCTGTAGCTGTCCATAGAATAAGATCCTCTTTTCTATCCAGCTGTAGTGATTCCTTAACCAACTCGGCTTTCGAGGTTCTGAAGCTCGTCAGAGCGGTACAGTAAAGGAATATTTATGTCCAAATCTCATGGCTGCCTATCGATTAGCTTGGAAAAGACTCCTCTGCCCCTGAATTCACAAGGTACCAACTTGAGTGATGGAGGTCTTCTTGAGGCACAAGTCTCAACAAAGTCGGTGTTGAAAGAGATAGATTGTATGCCTACCTAGCTAGTGGAAGATGCCATGATACTAAAGCATTCCATCCACCATGAAAGTATTACTTTCGAAAGTATAACACCTCTTGCGGCACTGCTTGTCTCAAAAATCTGGATAACCTCTGATACAGCTCGCTTCGAGGCTGCCAATTTTCTTTTGAGCTGTGGTGTAGGTGCGAATGCAGATATCATTGACAACAATTCAGATCGAAAATACAGGCAGGCATGTCCCCACCACTGTGCCCTGATATGAGAACGCAACAATGGCCCGATAATTTCTCTGGCACAAAGCCAACCCAAACCCAACTACCAAAGGCAGCTTCAACATGACACCATTAATGTATGCTGCGACGCGGAATGGTGAATCCGTGAACAGCGCGTTCAAGGGGGCCGCTTTCGAGCCTATTCTTCCTTCGCTGGTAGGATTATCTTATTCCTCGAGAACAAGTACGAGCTTGCCGTGGCTAGTATTTTCCATCCTGGACTGTGGGTGCGATTTCCGGTAGGCGTATAAGCTATACAGAGAGGTAGGAGCGTCGGGAGTCGTGTTTTCAGAAGTGACGAAGGAGAACGAGTTCAGATATTCGGGCATTTGGTAGCGGATTCAATGGGCTTTATATCGGTGGAGGGGCCACTAGAACCATTATCTGCCCTTCTTGGGTCATCTGAAGATCTGTCCACCCCTTCCGACGGTGACGACTGGCTTCTGGCTCGGAATAAGCTACCTCCTTATGTCCATTCTAAGGCTCGACTACCTTGCTGGCCCCTATGAGCGGAACCCCGAGCGTTGTGCGATCAACTGCTAGTATGATTGGGTTTATTAGTAGAATTCTTTTACCTATCTTGATAGGTTTCATAATTCATAATCATTACGGAGGACCTTGGTGAGACTACGGCTCTGGGTGCGGCGATTATTTTGTTCACTTTCTATGTTCCTTTTTTTTTTCCTTTTCTCCTTTCCCTCTCTCTTTCTCGGCATATGAGCCCGTGAGGGAGATAATTAACAATATCTCTAGGTTGAAGAATACTGTAGGAGCATCTTCCTCTACTAGTAAAACCAGTGAAGCTAATGGTACGTGTAACTGGACGAAGAACAAGGTAATATTATAATTGAACAATTACAATAGATTGGGAGTTTCATAAAGCTGCGAACAGATTCTATAGACAAGGTCATTCTATGCCACCTCCTGGTGAGATGCATCAGCCGCCTTCTCTTCTGAGACACTCTGCTGTCGTTTCGCAACCTCTTCCCCAAACTTATCCTGGAGCTTGTTCGATTGCCATGCCTTCACGTTCGACTCGAACATCACATCGATTTCTTCAAGTGACCGACGCGCCGTCTCTGGGTACATGAAGAACACGTGGAAGGTCATCACCGTGCAGAACACGCCGAAGATGATGTACGTCTTCCACTTGATGTTGGTGAAGGCTGGGGCCACGAAGTACGCGAGCGCGAAGTTGAAGATCCAGTTGCCCGCCGCAGAGAGCCCGACACCCTTGGCACGGTACTTCAGAGGGAAAACTTCAGAAGCATAGATCCAGGCGGCGGGAGCCTTTGCTCATGTCAGTAAATATGCCTCGATATAAAAGCAAGAAGGTAAGAACATACCCAGGTGAGACCGTAGACACCGACGAAGATGTACGACAGAGAAATGACGGCCTTGCCCGGTGCCCCCTTGATTTCCCATCGCAGGTTCTCGTTGCCATCGATCGAGTTGACCGGGTTTCCATAGCTCGCCATCACTCCAGCAATGGCAAAATGAAGTACCATACAGACCACCGCACCCGAGAGAAGTAGGAATCGTCGGCCGATACGGTCGATGAATGGGAGTACAACACCAGTTGTCACGAGGAAGATCACGTACTGAATCGCGGACGAATACAAAGTAGCGTTGTTGTCCTAAATAATTCCATTAACCGGGAAACATTCTTCTGCTTCTCGAACGACATGTGACTTACCATGCCGGCCATACTAAAGATGTAAACGACGTAGTACATCGCGACGTTGCCTCCCAGGAGCTGCTGCCACACCTGTACGCTGACACCGCACATGGTGCGCATCCAAACCTTGGGTCCGAACAGGGCCAGAAACGAGACATCCTTGGCCTCATGGGCGATACGCACGGCCTCCTGCACTTCTTCCCATTCAACCTGCACAACTGGGTCATTGGGATCACCCCGGCCGTGTAGCAATGCCAGCGTATCCAGACTCTCTTCCCATCTTTCCTTACTGGCCAGCCAACGAGGCGACTCCGGGAAAAATGGAAGGGCTAAAAGTAATATCAGACCGGGCACGGCTTGGATACCCCAAGCCACCCGGAACGAGGATGGGCCATCGATGCCCTTTCCACAACCGTAGGAAATCAGGTACATGATCAAGATACCCCATTCAATAGCCCATTGCTGAATACCGACGATCCGACCACGGATGCGAGCGGGGGCCAATTCTGCAAGATACACACAAACTTGCGAGGATGTGACACCAACTATCAAGGTTGGTTAGTTTGAAAGGACGCTAAGGAATGGTCCAAGGCGTACCGACCGGAAAGACCGCTGATGACTCGTCCGACAACCAAATGCGCGATATTCTGTGCGCTACACTGAAGGACAGCCCCGACAATCCAGATCACACTCGCAATCATCAGAGACATCCGACGGCCGACTAAATCGGAGAGGAAACCAGCTCCTATAGCACCGGCAAAGGAACCGGCGGACATGGACGCGGTGATCTATGCGAAAAGTAGTCAGTATCTATGACTAAGTGATCGGTCCGACGGGATAGTGTACATACACCTCCTTGTAGGTTGGAATCCGGGTGGTTAAAGAAGTCGAGGTATTGTTTTGTGCCTATCCAGGCACTCATCGAACTGTTGCACGTAGTCAGCATCCGTTTAGGTACATATCAAAAGGCGGCGCGTCCATACCTAACATCGAAGCCGAAAAGCGCACCGCCGATGGTGCCGAATGCGGCAAGCACTGTGGAGGTCAGTTATTTTCTTGCAGTTGGCAATACCAAGACATACCGTATATGTTTGAGATCCGATACATCTTGACCAGTAACTCAACCCCAGAAATGGCCACGTTGGGTTCATCCGGGAGAGCTTGGCCCGGAGAACCCTGGTGAAGCCTTATATACTGCCGACGGCTTAGGATCCGATGCCTTCAGCGGGCGAGACATGGCCAGTGCTGGACCGGCGGGCGACCCATAATGAGAAGGGATCGGCCGTCGAGGGAATGTGGAGGTCCGGGGGAGACACAACGGAGTAAGATGGAGAAAACGGGGAACGGACAAATCAAGGGCTCTGGGACCGGCTTCCCGTGCGTCATGGTGTGGGGAGTCCTGAAGGGGCTCATCCACTCGGTTCATTTCATACGGAGATTTTCCCTCTTCGTGAGAAGCGACTTCGGATGAATAGACTATTAACCGAGCCACGACCATGCATCCTGAATCCCCAATGCATTCATTGATTTGACCGGATGGGTTCTCCATTGGGGCTTGATCTTCTTCCTGCGTCACTCCCAATCAATCCGTCTCACAGTTGGGTAGAGAACCGACGCCAGAACTTGCTTTCATGTCAGAATCTTGAATTATTACCGGACACGAACCGCATAATTAAAGCCGGTCGGCCAATGTTCAGGATGCTCAGCAGGCCCGATGGAAACTCGGCAGTTCGGGTTCAACCCGTCGGGTAGCAGAACGCGGAGGATTCTGACAGAAATGAGGCATTATGTGTCACTGTTCGATTTATTTTAGTATCTTTCACATGGATGGAATGTCGTTTCGCAATATAGAGAGAGTCATCTTATCTCGTTTTCATTCAACCGACGGTGCTAGGGCCCGTGTGGTATTTGATCCATGGGGAAAGTACGGAGTAGATGGAGGAACAACGGCACTGGACTCTGGCGAACTCCACTTCACGTGGACTGCAACAATGGGCCCATACCTTACTAATAACCAGCTGACCCGCAATCACTTCTTATATAACCTTGCCCACTTGCCAGGTACCAAAATACCTTCTCCATTCCAGTATTGAGATACCTTGTCGTGACAATAACTGGCGAATAAGATGAGGCTCGAGTTCTACATCCGATCAGATGAATTGAAAAACTTACGACAGGCACTTAACATGCGACTCGAGAGTCCTTTGTTTAATGTGTCCCTAGGATCCAGTGGATGCTCAGTCCTACCGAACTGTGCTATTGGTACTCGCTGATATTATAGGCTCTATTCAACTCGCACTTCACAGCCTGCAGCTTTGCGTGCTTAGTTCTATGTGCTGACGGCCACTCAGCGATTTTCTGCTGGCAATATAGACAAATCAGGGTTTACATTATACGATCCATGCGGCATGAACAGCTTTCCACCCGCACAACATGATTCTCGTGATACCCTCAAACCGGCCGTGAAGTAATAGCCGCAGACTGTTGAGGAACTCTTGTATTCTACACCAGCTATGCATTAGCTTCCAGCCAGAGAAACGATGTACTCTGCCTTCGCAACAACGGAAACTTGAATCCGTACAGGCCGTACCTTGTTACGATGTATCCCACCCAATCGCTTTGAAGGTAGTTTGATGTGCGCGTTGTAGAGTCGGGGTAGTGGCCGCAACCAAATGCTGTGCCCAAGGGAATTGCGCCGATCCGAGAGTCGCTGTATAAAGAGACTCTGAATAGGAAGTTCCCGTTATACTTTTCAGCTTCGAAGATCTTCAGCGTTGACGCGGTGCTGTATATATACTCTCTCGTGATGGATTTCTCGCTGGCTAGCCCATTGGTTCTCTTCCGCTTATCCTCGTTTCTGTCCTCCACGTCGATCCACCGTATGTCGTCGTTCCATGTGCTCCGTGTGGTACGCGTCATCAGAGGTCGTATGCTTCGGAGCTATTTAAGTTATCCCTTAACAGCCGGCTCTGCTTAATCGCCAAAGACATAGACAATAGTGCTCATGGATGCTGTAGCCAATTTAACGAGCCACCCACGGGCGGTTCTTAGTTCTGCGCGCGATCAGAATGGCTATAGGGTCGATAGACGTACGCAGAAGATGGATGCTGGGAGCGCAGATACCCTCTGTGAAGGAACTGATAATAATTGATTGATTGATTGATCCAACGGAGAGATGCCTGAGGGATCAAGTCTTCCTTCCCCCTTGCGTTGGGCACGTGGGCGGCATCCCCCGATCCGGTTAGATCCACTTGTTGAGTCCAGTGACTCTTCCATCTTACTTCTGTAAGTAAGTTATTGCTTCTCTTTTTCATCTGCGACTACTCCAGCAAAGTTTGACCATTCGCAATCTCAAAACCGTCCGGATAAGCTTCTTCTCCAATTGGTATGGAGGAAAGCTCGCGGCTTCGTCCCATCACTCTATCTCGCGGGCGAATCAGATGCAGTGATAACGCGTCGTTCCTCTCCGTTGACACCCGAAATCACGCTAATGGGGGATTGCACCATCTGACGATCGATTGAACATTCAATAGATGTATACTGCGATAAGCGCGGTCGATTACCAACCCTCACATGATCCAGAGGCTTGTCCCGAATGCCTTATCTGGGGTAAGCTCAATATCGTGATGTCACCATTGGCTCTCGATCCGTTCCGCTCCTGGTGTCTCGACGGATCTGGCAGTTCCCATGGTTCCCCTCTTGGTTCACACATACCTTATGTGGATTCTATTTCCGCTTGCAGATCGATTCCACGATTCCCCGCGATGTGACTAACTTTAACGCACGCGAATCGGAATGTGTGAACCATGGAGATCGTTTTGGCAGCAGACAACGTGGCTGAACTGACGCAAGGGATACAAAAGGGGTCATACGGCCCATGGCTGCACTGAACGCCATTGCGGCTTATTTCCCCCATTCTTCGCATCTAGGCCGGCATCGGACACAGTGCTGTAGAATGTAACCTTGATCTGGAGTCCTCGCCACATCGCCCGATGCTACAGCCCCGTCGGCTATTCAATAATTTTCACTATTGGCAATTTCTAGCTAATTCCATTCTATCTGGACGTGGATGGTTAGCATATTCCATTGATATCAGCTCCCATATTAGGGGCACTGATAAGACTTCACGCAGCGAGACCATTGGCGGAAGGGAGACTTATCAACCAGCCTAAGGGCCGTCAACAGAAGACCTGATCCCACAATGATACACATTCCAGGATCCCTCGAACCTAATTTGCCTCCCTTATGCAGGATCCATGCGGCCGCAGTAGTACATTGACGAGGGAAAGCTATCTCTGGGTGGCCCGTACCACACACCACAGCAAAAGATAAACCTGAAAGCCTTATCTGCGCCAGCGATGGAAAGGGTACGGTAGCATTGGCCACTTATTTATTGTGGCCGTCGCTCCTTGTCCTATAATAATAACCCCCGCGCTTCCGGTCCTTGTAAGTAATTCAATTCTTTTCACCCCGAACTTCCACTCGTCCTCTCCCTTTACCATGACTGAATCCGCCGCCCCTCCATACGGGCCGTCCGGCAACATGGAAAAGGCAATTGAGCCTGCGACCGAGTGGGCGTCTGATGTTGATCATGGCGCTGAGACCGACCTCCATCGGAGCCTATCCACCCGTCACATCACCATGATTGCCCTAGGGTCGTCAATCGGCATGGGATTATGGTTAGGAAGTGGAACATCACTGGCAAACGGCGGCCCAGCGGCCATTTTTATTGGATACCTGTTAAGTGGTACCATGATCTGGTCGGTCAGCCATTCGATCGGCGAGATGGCGGTGATGTACCCCCTGCCCTCGGCATTCATTCAGTGGACATCTATCTTCGTTGACCCGGCCGCCTCGTTTGCCCTGGGGTGGGCGTACTGGTTCTCCTACTGGATCACCATTGCCAATGAGCTGCAGGTGCGTTGCCCTCGGATGACTTTCTTTAGGGCCTAGAGCCTGACTTGCTACAGGGTGTGGTGACCGTCCTCAGCTTCTGGACCGACAAGGTCCCGACCGCTGCATGGATTACCATCTTCTGGGTAGTAATAATTTTGATAAACGTATGCGCTGTCAGATTCTTCGGTGAGGTAGAGGTTGTGTCATCTTCCATCAAATTCGGGTGGATTATCGTGGTCATCATCTCCCTGATCGGTGTGACACCCTTGGAACATCCTTGCTTTCTCTTATGGTACTAACATGCCACAGTCGTATCTGCGGGAGGGGCCCCTGCTGAGGGCCCTATTGGTTTCCGGTACTGGAACTCCTACGCCTTTACTAACGGGTTCAAAGGGTTCCTCTCTGTCATGCCTACTTGCATCTTTGCCATGTCTGGATCCGAGAACTGCGCTCTAGTGGCAGCGGAGACCTCCAATCCCCGGAAATCTGTCCCTAAAGCCGTGGGATCAATCTGGTTGCGCCTCTCCTTGTTCTATATCCTAGGCTCCTTGATGGTCACCATCACGGTCGACCCCCATGACCAGAATCTCTTCGGCGCCTCAGGTGTCAACGCCTCCCCATTTGTCATTGCTTATCGCAATGCGGGTCTGGAGCCTTTGGCCCACATCATGAATGCAGTGGTCTTTATCTCTGTCCTGTCCACGGGAAGTATCTCTGGTTACGCGGGAGCCCGCTCCCTTATGGGACTGGCTCATGCGGAAAAGGCACCCAAGGTTCGTGATGCGAACCCCAGAGTCTGATCGTACAAAGCGAACTGACACAAAGGCTTCCATTTTCACGCTGTAGATCTTCGGAAAAGCTGATAGGGCGGGGCGTCCACTTGCCGGTCTCTTCATTACTCTCCTCATCGGAGGTGGCCTAGCCTACCTCAATGTCAGCAACAGCGGTGCGGAGGTCTTCACCTGGTTCTCCAATCTGACATCCCTTTTCACTCTCTTCGGCTGGGCGATGATCTGCCTATCGCACCTGCGTATGCGGTACGCCTGGAAAGTTCAAGGCCGCGACGCATCCGACCTTCCGTGGAAAAGCTGGACGTTCCCCTACGGCGCGATCTGGGGGTTGTTCTGGTGTTTCTTGTTGATTATCGCAGAGTTCTATTTGAGTCTTTGGCCTCTCAAGGGACAGACCACTGCCAAGAACTTCTTCGCGAACTATGTTAGTGTGGTTGCCATCGTGGTCATATATATCGGGGCCAAGATTTACTACCGCGGACCTTTCTGGGTGGACGCCCGGACGATTGATCTCGACGGTCCCCGGCGGTTCTACGCCAAAACAGCCGATGAGGAGACTGCGGGAGACAAGAAGGGTGCCCTAAGGTATGTCTCCAAAGCTGCCAACTTCGTGTTCAATTAAGGCGGCTTTTTCTCTTGCGTGCTTTTTCTTGAGGTGTACATGGCTGTAGTGTAATGTAGCATTTAGTATGTATATATTCTTACCCAGTTATGTGTTAAGCTACTGTTGTATATCATTTTTGCGCAAAACACTGCGACTTTCTATTTCTAGCACTGTCTATGTTTATCCCACTATTAAGCCCGCAGAGGTGTACATACTCAATATTTGCATATCTTCCGTGAGTTGAACGGGATCGGTCCAGGGCGGTGTTAGAGGGGTCTGCAGCTATTCCTAAATACTAGCCGTACTTTCACAAGATAGACCAATATATGTAGAACCTTTCACCCGGACAATATAAAAGAAGCAAGAAGAATTTTATATTTACACTCTAACTCTAATTCGTAAATAGTCTATAATTATCACAGTGCCAGCCCAGCTAGTTTATAGGGTAGAGCAACCGCGCCTCCATCCCCCACCCGTGTATCATCGTAATAAATTCTAGAGAAGGGATAAGGCAGAGCCAACTTGAATCCCATTATGCCACTGCGCCCCGCGTCGGGCTTGAGATGCTGAGACTCGGTGAGATGGTCGGATACCCCTAGACCAAGTCGTTTACAAATCATTGAAAATTTTTAGCGTGCATTTTCACATTCCAAACAAATCAAAGGCTCGTCCAGCTAAGCCGAAGTGTCGGCGCCAATAGTTCGCCGAGACACCTGCACATCAGGAGAGAGGCGTTGCAGCGCAGAAGCAAGCTCATCAGCAGCCTGGGTAAGCGCCTCATCTGAAAGCGGTGCCAACGCATCCAGAATGAACAATACACGGGTAGTCTCATCTGTCAATGCCGTCCGGGGGCCCTGTCGCCAATTCCAGCGACGGCAGGTGATGCCCGTGTTATCACACCAGATCGGCTCTCCGGGCGCGGCGAGCTCCGTTTGGGGTTCTCCGCCGGAGAACGTTTGGAAGGGTTCCTGGCCGGTGGCGCGGACTAGGAATGGTGATCCATCGTATTTGTCTAAATCTTCGCCGCCGAGGGGGATCTGGTGCTTGACTGAAATTCCGTTGTAGGTATCTGTCAGGCGGTTGACGCGGGGGAGACCTCTCTCTGCGCGGCGGCTTAGGGCTTCCAGGCTGTTGCGGGTTTTCTGGGGCTTGGCTCCGAAGCCCTTATAAGCTTCGCGCCAGGCGGCGATGTGGGGGAATTCAGTCACCGGGTGTTTGGAGAGCAGGTCTTTGACGTTTGCTTCGGCTTCTTGGAGGAGGGCTTCGCTGGCACTGTCGCTAGGGCCTGTTGGAATACCCTCCACTACCATCAAAAGTGCACGGTAATCTGGACGCAGCTTGAAGATTTCGGGGTCTACCCTTGCCGCTTGGAGTATATGTTGAGCATTCATGGTTGATGATGGCGTGAATATCTGGAGAATGTAGAAAGTACTACGAAGCGCAGCTAAACGCCAGAACAAAGTGAGGAAAGCAAGAAGGAGGTAGACGTGATGAAGGAAGATTGAAGCGGGGCATAGGATTGAAGATATGGCAGTTGTACTTATACTCGAGATAGGGTTGATGTGGGTCCCGGCCTCAGGCTTACCACTCTTCCCAATACGGAAGTTGTGTAGAGAGAAAGTGGCGACGGGAAAAATTCACGATCGAGCATCTGGTCTGGGCTCCGAAGAACTTTAACCAATTCAGGGAGTTGCGGGGAGGGGAGAACCCGTTCCACTATTTCCCAGCATCATTTGGCTTCTCTGTGGTACCACTCCCATCAACTTCCCAGATAAATCCATCCATTCTATCCAACTGGTCAGTGACGGGTCTTATCACAGGAGTAGGCGGGCCAAGTAGTTTTGAAGCGTTTATCCCCCGATGATACCCTAGGAATAATGGGGCAGATAATATAGTTAATGGACGAGAATCCACATATATAATGACAGGGGCAAGTGACAGCATGACAATTGCCACGCGTATAAACGGCGGACGGAGGGCAATCTAGGAATGCCTAGTAAGTAATAAACACCGAGGAGGGCATAGCCCAAAGGCTCTGGCGCAGATAGGCAACTCGGGCGAGGTAAAGGACTAGAATTAGCACACAAATGATAGAGGGGCCGATAGAGCCCCTAGGGACTATCTAGAGGCAGTGGCCTAGGTCACCGCCTAGGCACATGTGTCTGTCATAGACAATGGCTCGATATGGACGTTAAACTTGATTAATAATAATAATAATGATAAACGGCGGGCAGCTCACTTGACATACAGCTACTATATATCCAGCATCTCTCCATACCTTGAATCACCCCTTTGTTCCGAATATTGTCTATCAAGGGGCTACGTCCTACGTCCAACCGATAAAATGGCCTCTGCAAAGTCAGGTATCCCGTTGAATCCTACATGGGATGACCATGTTGCGCCTTTATTCAGCCGGCCATTCTGGACAGCTATGGACTATAACCCGGAGGAGGTTGGGGCACACTGGGTTTCACAGATGCGTGATTACAGCCCTCCGTGTCCCCGGCATGTGCATCTTGATCTTTCTTCCCTGGAGTTGGTCCAGGCCAACGTCGTCATCATCTATCAACATCTGCGCTCACGGTCCATGCCAATCATGAAGAACCCAATCCCTTTTGGCAGAACGAAGCGTTGGAGACACCTCGTTTATAGGCAAATCAAGGCTTTCGACGATCGTCCACGGATCCACGGACTCAATTCAACCTTCTGAATGAGGTGATCCCCGAATCGATCGACCAAGGAATGGATCTTAGAATTAGGAAAGATGTGTGCAGCTTGACACCATCGGAAGTCTATAAGTACCGAGATTGTATGATACCCTTCACGTGGGGCAGTTGAACAGCAAATGGCAGGAGCTCGGGTTGTTGCGTACGTCTTTACGGAAGATCTTATCATCCTGAGAAAAGCTGACATGAATTGAAGATGCGGAGTGGTGCCTCCATTACCAAGTGGCCTTCGATTTCTGGCACCGCGGCTATCTCAAATATGTAGAGGAACTCATACACTTTCTCGTACCCTATTGGACCAGTTTCGCGGCTGAATCGAGCGACCCGTCCTCCCCCTACGCCGGCATCCCATCCATATTCTTAGATGAAACGTATATTCACTCCAGTGGGGAGACACGGAAGAATCCGTTGAAATATGCACTCACCTTGAACGGGGAGAACAAGTCAGGTGCCTCTCAATACGTAGAAGCGTTATTCAGAGCTGGTGGGCGGCCGTAACAATCCAGTGTGGGAGAAAAAGGTATCCTTATTTGCCCTATTTCACCGACAAATCGCCACAGCATTCAGTCAAGAGGAGTTTTTCTCTTCGAGAAGGTCACGGTTATCCACGGGGCAATATACCCGAATTTTCAGAGAACTAGCCCGATAGCCTGTATCCCCAAGGCTGCCCAGCAATATATTGATGGTCTCTTTGAACAGGTCAATGATAACTATCACAGTTAGATAGGTCCAGGCATGGTACGTGGCATTAACCCCCCACCCAAAAACCCAGCTACGATGCTGAACACTGACCATTCACACCAGGCGGATATCTCCTATACCGCCTTCGATCCGATCTTCCTCAGCTATCATGCGAATATGGACCGGATTTCAGAAATGTCCATTCGGACAGGTCGTGCGCGCCAGTTCTCGTCGAACTTCCCCCTTCGTCAGTTCGTGGACAGCGCGGCGGCTGTTTTCTACGATGACCCCCGCGAATACCGGTATACGACGTTGGGGGACATGGCAAAGCCCATTCAGGCCATGCAATACGTATATGCCCGGCAGCGCCCGACTTCTTGCCCATCACTCAGATAGAGAAGAAGAGCGCGGCTGTACCGTCCGGTGGAACCGCAGTGTTTGTGCCCTCCCCGGATCAGATAGCTCGGCTTAACTCTACGATGACGCAAGATGATGTGGGATCAGCAAGAGGATACAACATATATCATTTTTTGGGGGGTATCATGCCTCCAGAAAACCCATTATATCGACGTTTTCTTCCTCAGAGCCGCATCGTTGGGCCCCGATGTCGCGAGGAATCCGGCTTACATTGGATGAGTTACGAGGCTCGGGATGGGAAAGGGAAGAGGCAAGAAGACTGGAATTTGTAATCCTCAACAGTGCCAAAAGAAACCCGTCACGAGGATCCTGGTCGCTACGCATGCTGCGAAAAGGTTGCGAAGCGAAGGGAGGATCCAACAGGTTGTTACGGAAGTCAGAACGGGGAAGCTTCCTGACGAAAGTCTGTGGAGTAAGATACCTGGTTTCAAAGGCCAACTTACAGAAAATGTAGTCCAGTATGTTTGACCTTCTTGGTATTGTCATAACTGAGACAATCTTTGAAGCATTTGGGGATGTGGTTTAGTGGTATAATGTTCGCTTAGCATGTGAAAGGTCCGGGGTTCAATTCCCCGCATCTCCATTCTTTTTTTCCTTTTTCTCTACAAGCTGTGTCAAATTGACAGGCTTCTTCTGAATATCCTTAAAACTTGAAAGAAAAGCTAATTTTACACATTTTGATCCAGTCAATTCGATTATCCTTTTCAAGATCAAAGACTTGTCTCCACAATCCTAATTTTGTAACTCAGACGCAGAGATATATATTTTTAGCGTCGGGTGCTATTTGTTATATATTAGTATTGACTCATGTCAATTACTCCCAGTGATACGAAATCATCTAGGACCATTTGTAGAATAAGTTGTATACCCAGAAGACTTTATATATCCTAGGCCTCCTTACCATTATTACTTTATATACCGCATGGGAACCATTGGATCCTTTCGACGATGCTTCAGGTGGTTCCCTTGTCTCCATAGACCGCCTACCCAAAGCCTTAGCTCTGCCGAAACAAACGAAGAATGATTGATGCAGTAGGCGGTGTATGGAAAATACAGCAACAGAGCGCGTCACTCAACAGACAAGTTGAAATGTACTGTACAGTCGAACCCACTGACAAAACGAGCAAACCCAAGGAGAATTGTTCCAAGCCCATTTGATCCCTATCGGTTTTACCGCCATCTATAATTGTACCATTCTTTCGCTACCTAGTTCGCCCTTTGAGCGTTGACGGGTCGGGCCGTGCGTGGAGATTTGTTTCGCTTGTAATCAATGCGAAAGCAGGAGCTCATCGGTAGTCTGCGACCATACTTTGTACGCCTGCTTGCAGCCCCGGATCGAATATGGACGGGGTAACACAACCCCTCCCCGACGCGATGACGATGGAATTTTGGAATGTCTTCTCTCATTCTACGATAGTAATCGTGTTCAAGCTTAGATCCACAAGTGTCCATCTCGGACAGTGTTTTCTTCACCACCCAAAGAGTGCTCTCTCAGCTTAGGCCGGGCCAAGTCGTTGGATATTAAGATATAGGGTACCATTGCAAGTAAAACCCGTGGTGGGAAGCCTGCTAGGTGTGGTATTTGTTCGGACAGTTATCAGTAAGTCTTCCATTCGACGCTCAATTTGCGTTTCGTTTCTCTTCTTCGGGTGCGCGGATCAGATCCAGAGTACACTCGGATCCGCTCGAGGACTGTCTCAGCTGACCCATTATCATGGTAGACTCGCCGGTTTCCGCCAGTAGGACCTTAGCTCTGTAGCTGTTTAACATACAAAATAGCATTGAACATCAGATGCATAGTCGACCTCGGTCGCTTCAGGTCAATTCTGAGAACTGCTAACTCCTCGAGAAACAGGCAACCGGGATTTCTTTGCTGAATCCTATGGAAAGCCTTTCGCGGCTTTCTCGCCTGGGCAATCTACTGCATCACTGATTCGTTGGAACACTTTCTACACACTCTTAGCATTTCCTGGCCTGTACCGGATGCACCTGTGGAATAAAGTTTAGCGCCCTTATCCTGCTGGAGGATGTCACCCGATTAGCTTAGAGCAATACACGTCGAGGGAACGTCATTGAACATGCTTTGAAAGGATTCCTCTGTATTTGGATCCTGTCGCCGGACGTACTGTACAGAGCTCAGTTGAGGCATGGATCCCGAGATCTGCGATCGGGAGAATGCTGGCAGCGATACCGCCGCCCTCTGGGTTGGACATAGCCTGCTATCCACTGTCGAATCCATCCGTTAGGTGGTGAGTTGGGTGGCCTTTGATTTGATAGATTTGGAGTTGAGGCTGTGCGTGTTGCCTCGTGATCGACACGCAATGATTGGTGCAATTGGTTAGAAATGTGCGGCCAATCATGGCACCCGAACCGTGGATCATTATTTTAGAAAGAACGTGCTGACAACAAACCTTATGAGATGCGAACGGTGCAGCGGACACATCTATGAGTGATTACTTGATGGGGATTATTTAGGGAAAGCGCGGCTTGATTTAGTTCTCGATATTGGTCGCTCGTAATGGAGGTCAGCATGGAAGTTCCAGAGGCTCAAGGCCAGATGGATCCGTTATGGAGCACATCCTATTAGTATCGCGAGAACTATTGACACCAGCATGCTCTCGCACTTTGGTCTAATGACGAAGAAATGGAACGGCGGCAAGAGATGCTCATGCCACTACTCATTGGGAGGCGGTTATCTATCAACTCCTTGGAAAGTACTGCGACTGTCACAAAGCTGCCCAAATGGCCCCTAGGGTTAAAGGATGATGAGCTGTTAAGTTGCTCCGACTTGAGATCGGGAAGAGGAAAAGAATAGAACAGTCTCCGGCGGACACTTCCCGGAGCAAAAGCACTATGCATGGTGATATTATCTAAGGTGTAGTAGCCTGAAGTGATGACTGTATGGTATTTCCCTTTTCCTTGGCTAGAATCGATTGATGTCGTAAAGGGTCTACCGGCCGAGTATGTATCCTGGTGTAAGAGAAGGAAGAATCACCCAACAGACGGCCCGAAATTTCCCCAGCGGCCCGAGGGGCGATATATCGCCTTAGAAGTTCGATACCCCTCTTTCAGTCGTAAAGCACAACGAAAGAGGGGGAATGAGGCGACGTGTATTGTCCGTCCGTGGTGATGCGGCGACCAATATGCCCAAAGACTATGGCATCGTTGTCATTAGGACCGATAGAAGTTCCGGATGTCGGGAGAGTCATCCTTAGCCGATTCAAAATTTCTTCGAGAGGGGAAAAATCAGGGAAAAGAAAATAAAAGAAATCGGCGGAGCCATGAATGCTGGTCAGCAATGCAGGTGAATGGTGGGCTTCTGTGAGTCACACGCCTTGTTTCCTTAATGGGGTCATGTCCATAATAAAGGAAATAGATTTTCTGCAGATGGTAACAACACAGACCAACTAAACTGCATCAGTACCCCTGAGAAGGAGGGGTTGTGGTGGATCATGTTGGCAGTTGCATTGTATATTCCGGGAGGAGTATAGTTGGTATAGTTGGTGGGGTCGTAGCGTCAAGTCCCAAAAAGACCTAAACCGCCGAGTAAAAGGCAAATGAGTCACTGACATTGACCTCTAGGCATCCTATTGGAGGATAGAGAAAAATCCCTACCTAACCAGCCACTTCCTTTCGTTTGTTGTTTGTTGTTCAAGAGATGACGTCCAAAAAATGATTCTAGAAATTCTGTGAGTGGTCACGGACTCGACCTGACTAAGCCAGAACGATGTGGTGGCCGTTGATTGGCCGCATGGCACCTGACTGTAGTCTATACTATTTTGGGCCACCATGGATTGTCCTTCCATTCAATCACAGTCTTTCACTAATGCCTGATGGATGGACAACGCCTAAAGAGGTATGCCTCCTTTATGCACTGTATCTAGGGTTTTGCTCCCGGCTAATGCGGTCATAGGTCAATCGCTGGAGAAGAACCAACGCCCTAGGGGAAAAGCCCCAATAAGAAAGCTTTCAGGGCAATGTTTCAGCATGGTTTCAGGAGTTTTCTTCACTGAATCCTGCCCTAAAACAGCCTGACATCTCGAACCCCGGACAACTCAGACGCTTTGACGCGATAGGCGAAGCATTACTGGGCTGGAGTGCTTCATGTGAAAAGGGATCCACCCTGTTTAGATCTCCACTCCTTCTGAGATCGTTTAGTGTGAGGCGTGGTGCTGTCAAAGAGCGGTGAAATCGCTTGGTCTCTGATCTGTCATTCCATCATAGGTCTATTGGCACTATCTCTCGTTCGCCTGCCTTTCATGCCTTACCGGGCCTGGTATTCTCGTGGCCGCATGGCAGGCTATCGTGGATCAACCGGAGATTTTCTTCCCAAAGACGATGGGCACAAAAGATGTGTCTGATAAAAAGGTCGCCAGGAGCCGGCGACTACGAGGGGGAATCAGAACCTCAACTTGTCTACTACTCTATGATCTTCTCTATCTCCAACGAAGCTTGAATGACATCAACACTTCGCAAAGTCTTTATCTTCACGATCAATCCTGTATACTACTTTATGCTGTCGTCGTTGCGATCGTTTCTATCACAGTTGTGTCCGTGCCGCAAGATGGAGTGCAGGCAAAACACCTCCCGTTTCCCCTCGCTCTTATCGAGCTTATGGGGCCCTCGACGGTCGCAACAGTCCGTCTCCGTTTCCACATCGACACAAACCCAAATACAACACCCGGCGCCGGCGCCGGCTCCCGCCCCCAAGATTGATATCGCCTCCACACTAAAGAAGAAACGGTCAGCTGAGCAAGATCGACTGAGTCGAGAGGCCGCTCAAAAGGAGTTGGTGGACGAGATCGAGAACCTCGTGGGACTGGAGAATGTCAAGCGCCAACTCCTCGGGGTGCAGAACTGGGTGCAGATCTGTCGTCGACACGGACGGGAACCCCGCAATGAATGGTATAACATTGTGCTCCAAGGAAATCCAGGCACCGGTGAGTTGAAATCTCTTGGTCCCGATCAGCGAACTCCAATACTAATTAAAATGGCCACATAGGAAAATCCACGATCGCCCGGATCTACGCCAAGATGCTCTACGCAATTGGCATTTCTGATTCCAATACCGTCAAAGAGACCTCTGGCCGAGAGCTTGCCATCAAGGGCCCTGAGGGGGCCCAGCAATTGATCAAAGAAATAGTTGACGCCGAGTCCCCTTGCGCACCAACAGCTGGCGTCTTGATTGTCGACAACCCTCACACCCTGATGCCATCTAAACTCGAATCACATAAGGAGACCCTTGACTGTCTCCTTCAGGCAATGGAACGGAAGACCGGAAGAATCATCGTCGTCTTTATCGGTCAAGGACCCGATATGGGGAATTTCCTCTCCGAGAACCCCAAAGTGCAGCGCCGGACGTGTAGCACCGTGAACTTCGCGGACTTTGACCGGACCGAACTTCTTCGATTGTTGGGTCGCCGTATCACTGACGAATATAACGGAAAAATGCAGGTCGAAGGCGGACTTGATGGCCAATATATGCATGCAGCTGCTCGTCGACTCGCCCGCAGTCGTGGTGAAGGGTTCACCAACATATATGCCGTTCGGCAGCTTGTCGAAACGATCGCACATCGACAGGCAGAGTGCCTGATGGAGCAGCAGGATATCGGAATGGAGGATGTGGACTACTTCTTCTTTTCCAAGGACGATCTTCTGGGACCTAACCCGTCTGACATTCGAGCCCAAAGCGCCGCATGGACTTCTCTCCAGTCGTTTGTGGGACAGGAGCCCGTCAAGGCCTCAGTTCGCGAGGTGTTCGGCACAGTCGAGGAGAACTACTGGCGTGAGGTGAAAAACCAGAAGCGGTTACTGGTACGAGTCAATCGCGTCTTTGCCGGCCCACCGGGCACCGGGAAGACCACCGCAGCCAAGCTGTACGCACAAATCCTGGCAGATCTCGGTCTTCTCAGCAGCAGTGAAGGTTAGTAATTTTGAGCCCTCTTTAGTCATTTTCTGAAACTAACTCTATCTCAGTGGTTGTTAAGCCACTGTCGGTGTTCAGCAGCCTGTCCGACACGGACGGCATTCTCTCCTCGACCGTCGGTAAAGCTCTGATTATCGATATGGATACCCCCGAGGCCGATAGCGACAACGATTCCCAGATTTCCGATAGCGTGCTAGACATGCTCATTAAGGAGCTGTCTGCAAATGGGGAGAATCGTTGCACAATCCTGGTCGGTTCCGACCATTCCATTGACACACTCCTGCCGGAGCTCAAGGAGGCGTCAAGGATGCTCGAACACCAAGTCGTTCGATTCCAGCCGCTCACCCGAGAGCAGATGGAGGAGCTCTTCCAGGCTAAGCTTCAGGAACAAGACGTGGATGCCACTCCAGAAGCCTTCCAAGCAGCAATGGATATTCTCGAGAGCGCTCGCATGCGCAAAGACTTCGACAACGCACGCGGTATTGAGCGTCTTCTAACGGCTGCCAACCGCAATTTTGACCAGCGGCGATCCCGCGGTCCCGAAGGGCCTTTGTCACAACGTGTGCTCGAACCCGAGTACTTCAATGCCGACCTGGTGGGTGGCAAAGCGGCTCTCGCATTCCGGGAGGAGCTGCGTCACTCGATTGTCCCCGACGACATCATCTCCGTCCTGAAGCGGTATCATAATGAGATGAAGATTGCCTGGTTCCAGGGCCATGATCCCAGAGCACGAGTCCCGTGCACACTAGTTTTCAAGGGTGCTAGTGGTAAGTGAACCCTTCTGTCTTGGTTGGGCGACAATAGCTAATCTATGGTCACAGGAACTGGAAAGAAGACGGTCGCACGTCATCTTAGCGCCTTGTACTACAAGATGGGGGTCTTGAAGACCGCTGTTATGGTAGAATGCTCGGTGACCGACCTCGTTACGTCGAGCATCAGCCACACCTCCATCCGGACTCGGTCGCAGCTGGAACGTGGACGCGGCAAGCTGCTATATGTCGAGGATGCCCATCGATTGGGAGAGAACGAGTACACCATGCAGGCGATGGACGAGCTCATCTATCTGTTGCCCAAGCTTTCCAAAGAGATGGTCGTCGTTTTGGCGGGACCGGCCCAGGAGATGGACCACCTACTCGCCAATCGACCCCGTCTGGCGAGCCTCTTCCAGGAAGAGATTCCCTTCCGAAACCCCACTCCTCGTGAATGTCTCCGGTTGTTGGACCGAAGACTCGAGGAAGAAGGTGTCCGGGGTCCTCGTCTGTTCTTGACCGACCCTCGCGAGACAAACCACCGGGAGTTCACCCGGGCTGTTCAGATCCTGTCCATGTTCCCCTGCTGGGGTAACGCTCGGGACATTGAGCTCCTCGCTAGGTGGATGGTATCTGTCTCTGTTAAGGATCTGCCACTGGATGGCACAAACCTTCCAGAAGTTCGCCTGACCGACGAGCAGGCCATGGCCTGTATGATCAAATTGTTCAACCTGAAGCGTGATCGCCTTCGTTTCAACCAAGATCCCAAAGCAAGGACTCTTCCTCGCATCCTCTCTCAGCCACGGAGCACAGAACGTGGCGGTGTTCGATTTCCCGTTTGACATAGCTGAGGGTTTGTTTTCTGACATGACTGTTTCTGTTTTCTCGTTGTCCGTCTTCCTACTACTGATGCTCATATAAGATGTATCAATATCCGTTTGTGATCCAGCCACAACAGACTGACTATAGCATTGGCTTTGAGTTTTATAAATCATGACCGGCGTTGGGAATAAGTTTGAGCGATGGTCTTTCTGTATCCTTTCCTTTGTATCATTTCCTCATCTCGGTTGATCTGTTGGTCTACTTGATATTCTACGAATGCCGTCCGCACCCACCTAGCACTTTACATTATCTGTTTGATTGCTATGAAAACATATGTATTACTTTAAGTCTGTGACTTGTACTCCCAATATAATATATCTATACGAGGTCTCCCCCACCCTGTCGGCCTTTCTACCCTGTTTGCCTTTTCACTATTCCTCATGCACTGTATAAATTCGCACTATTTCAAGGAAGACTCCAAACTAATATCAATGCTATTATATAATGTACTAATTTGGTAAACTTCGGCATCGGACACAACCTTATTCAAGCTTTAGGAAGATCTACAGTATCGGGAGAAGCTTATCGTCGTTCAGGACGATCACAACATCCAGGAATCCGTGTCCAGTTTCTACTCATCACAGTGTGTTCGATGGACTTAGCTATTCTCACAGCGATCAAGTAGGCCCGTAACGATATCTTTAGCCACAGGACACATGGGTTTGTCCGTGAGGATAAACTCGAGCAGGAGGAGCCCTTGGTGTTTTACTTTATATTATCAAGAATAACTCTTCATATGCAAGGCTGTAGATGCAATATTACATGCCAGTTCACCTTTTCGTTCTCTTTTATTTCTTGAGGGGTGGTGTTGGGCTCGTGGGTCTGTATGGACGAACTTGTTCGCTTGGCTAAGCGGGGTCTATCGGATTGATTGGGGCTTCTATTAGTGAGCTGGTATGAGTTGGTCGAACGGGGAAACTCACTTTCGAGGGGATAATCCATTCGTTATACTTGATGAATTTGTGTGCCAACCACGGGAGCCGAGTCGTCACTCCACGCATGAGGTGGAGGACTTTGCTGATCACGGCGTTCTATATATCTCTATTAGTGCAGGTAAGACAAAGCTCCCGGAAAGCATTGTGCTTACCAGGTATGGAAGTCGCCCGAGCTGACTTAGAAGGCTTTTCTCTTCAGTGGGCTGGATTGGGACGATTGAGAGCTCCTGACGTACTCGCTGTAATGCCCTTTTGTCCTGCAGCATGTAGAATGTGATCATGGTGAGAGGGTCGTTACAGCCGTTTCGCTCCCGGTAGCGACGATTATTTGAGCTTGATCCTGCAAGCGGTCAGCTTTCTTCTCCTCGCTATCTAACAGTCCCTGGAGCATTTTCCTGCCTGCCTTACCTGCTGTATTGTTGGTAATATTGTAGCTAATCGAGCAGTAATGCCACTTTAGGGGTCGACATGCTGTTGGATTAAAGCACTACTGCGGGACCAGGAGATGATGGCCTCTTTCTATTCTAACTTAAAATCGTCTTCGGCAAGACAGCCATGGCTGTTATCGTAAGAGTACTTAGTAATGTTATCCATCGTCAGCGCCCCGTATGCGGCATCGAGTCGCGGAATCGCCCTTCTCGGCATGCCGCAGCGGATCGATTACGTAACCGTTCGGCATGGCTCTACATCAGTTGTTCAGCATTGGTAGCTGCGTGCTTCGAGAAGAAAGGATTAATGACCGACCGTCTAAGACGGTGATGACTGGGAAACCGTTGTAAACATCGATGCCGGAGCTCCTGGGGTGATAGTCCAGCCACCATATTCGTCGTGCTTCTTGAAAGCTAGGGCATATGTCGCATCGCATCGTAGAAATCAGAATCTCCGGTATGGAGCTCCTTGCGTGTGATTCGTACAATCGGGCCTAGTTGTGTGGTACATAAGCTAGAGGGTTTGAGCGCTGTGTAACTGGCAAATGTCCGAAAGGATAAGAAGTAGCGCACAATAGTAAAGATTTGGAAATCAATATTGACTGACACATTGCCCATTTTTGGGTGCTAGTACATATCTCTCAAGCAAGTATTTGAGCTTCCAAAGGACCTGCCTGGGTTTGATCACATCGCAAAGGAATCCATACCAGTGCGTAAGAGCAGGTATCCTTGGACCAGATAATCGTGCTAATGGATGGTAGTACACGCGTTAGAAGGCGCCAGCCACAGAGTAGAGCGCAAGCACAGTATTGGCACCATTTAATATTCCTTTGTCTCCTTTGTCTGCTGGGCACTGCCTCCCGGAGTCCGTCAACTAACACGGTGTATGGGCTTGTCAATCTCCTCTTTTCACAACCCCCACAAGGCTAACCGGCTAATATCCGAATTGGAAGTGAGCACAGGAATTTCCCTTGAAAGTCTAAGGGGGCTTTTAGAACCCAACTGGGCTGTGTGTTCTTTCTGGCTTCTCACAGCATTAGATCAGCCACAGTGTCGTGCTAGTCGGAACCGCCTCTGTCCGATTGACTAGTACCCCTGCTCCGACGGTCACACTAGTACCCATAGTGCTAAACTGGGAGCCACTTTCCGTTACGGTATGCTGCATTGATTGCCCTTAACTGTTAAAAAGGTGGGTGCGAGTAAACGCTCTTCCGGAGTGTTTACTGCATCAGGCAACACCTCTTTCCGTCCAAATGCGAGTTTAGGGAGAAGAACTCTTCAAGTATCTGGTAAAATCTCTGGTTCAGCTGGACAGATGGTGGACGACCAGGAGTGCTACCATTCTTGAAGGCCATTAAACATGGCCGAAAGCGAGACCACTCCTCGTCGCGTGGCCTTCGAGGTTGACGTAAGAGCAAGAGAATGTGAACACCATCTCAATCATAGCTAACAGTATATGCTTCCACTAGTCAGACAGCGAAGACCTGGAGAGCGTTGAAAGCGATATGACCTCGCTTACGTCGTCGATATACAACTACGTGTATGAAAATGGCCGCACATACCACTCCTATCGACCCGGTGCCTATGTAGGCGTAAATGTCCTTTCCATATACCCATACGATTGACCCTGTATCTAGATTCTGCCAAACGACGAGAGAGAACAGGAGCGACTCGACCTCCTTCATCACGTGTTTCGACTATGCCTTGACGGACGCCTCTGTCGAACAGAGTTAACAAATCCGCAAAAGATATTGGATGTAGGCACTGGGACGGGTATCTGGGCTATTGAGGGTCTGCATCTGCTTGGATACGTGGACATTGGGAGTCTCCCGCCGTGAACTAACGCTGTGCGCAGTTGCGGATGACTACCCATCGGCGGAGGTCGTCGGGGTGGATCTCTCGCCAATCCAGCCTGGATGGTCCGTATTCACTTTGCAACACAGCTTTTGGTTGGAATTCATCTAATAAAACATGTTATTATGCAGGGTGGCTCCGAATTTACGATTTTTCATCGACGATGTCAGCCAAGAGTGGACATTTCCGTCAAATTCCTTTGATTTCATCCACGTCCGTTGTCTCTCAGGCAGTTTGACGGATTGGCCTACTTTCTTGAAACATTGCTATAGGTAGGCAACAAATTCTGTCCCGACCAGAGATGATTATTCATTGACGCGTTTAATGCACAGGCATCTTAAGCCTGGCGGAAAGATCGAACTTGCGGAATGTCGAACACAAATGAACTGTGATGACGAGACGTACCCTGAGGGCTGTCATACGTATAAATGGGTTGTGAGACTTTCTGGTAGACGATGGGGTCTAAAGAGGTGTCTGACTTCCATGATAGGCAGAATTTAACCGTATCTCTCATGCAAACGGTCGGGTTTTCGACTTGTTTCCCCAGTTCAAGGGACTCCTCGGGGATGCAGCGTTCACGAACATTCAGGTCCACCAAGAGGTCTGTCCAATTGGTACATGGCCGAAAGATTCCCGTCTCAAGGAGATCGGCAGATACTTCAGAGCTCAGTTTCTGTGGGGTGGTGTTGAGGCTTACTCTATGGCCCTGTTCACGAGGTTTGGTGGCTGGTCTCCGGAGGAAGTTGAAGTATTGTTAGCGGAAGTTCGACGTGAGGTGAACGGAAACAAGATGCACATTTATACTCACTGGTAAGATGTCGAAATCTTCAAGGAAGAATAACTAGCTGATTGTCGTCAGCTCTTTCACAACTGCAGAGAAACCCCGCAACTGATGCTGGCTGACGACGCGGCATCCGGAGTGTCGGATCAAAACGATCTATATGTTACATTAGTGTATGCATCCGCTTAAAGAGTATATATAATGTTCTCATGAGCAAATGCTATGCTTTTTGGACACACGAAGGATTTAGTGCGGATTGTTTTATTTTGTCAATGGAGCGTCAACTATCATGTTGTTCTGCACAAGGTATCTTCGTCCGTGAAGAAGGATTGTCACCTTGTATATGGTGTTGAATTGTTAGCGTGATATAGTGTTTGTATTACTCCAAGGCTGGAAGCCAGTGATTTATGATCCTATTCAGCTAAGGGACAGAAACTGGGACCATCAGAATCAAATGGCAAGGGATGGATTTCTCATAGGACGCGAGTCTGCATGAAAGAAATAAACGTAGATGCCTCATGTGGATCCAACCATCTCTGGATAATGTAGCTAGCAACAGAATGGGCGCCCTGAAACGACTTACCGCCATACCTCACCACCGGGTAATAGAATGGCCCTTGCAACATTTGGCTTGAATACACACATTCAGCCGCCTTTCCTATCAAGTCACATTGGACAGAAGTCGAGTGGACTGATGTGACAATCACGCCTTCTTCAATTCCATGAAAGAGTCTGCACTGCCATCCGGCTGCACGCAACGCACCATTTCCAGCGGGGGGTCGACGGACAGGAACAATGCTCTCCAATCCTCGTAGGTCCTCTCCTTACTGCCAAACTGGATCATCATCTGCATATCTAGGGCCCTCATGACTCGCTCCCGCTGCCATGACACAGCTCCGGGGCTCTGGAGGATTTGCTCCGCCACGAGGATGGATGCTCCTGGCTTCATGCTAGCAACCAGTGTTCGAAGAATGGCTCGACAGTCTTTGTCGTTCCAGTCATGCAAGATATGTCGCAAGAGAAACACGTCGGTCGCCCGACCCAATGCCGATTGTGGTTTAAAGAATGAATGGGGCAAATATAAAACCCTGGACTTCAAATGGCTGGGAATGTTCGCCTCTGCGCTATCCTTCAGTTTGAGGTTGTCTTCCACAATGACGGTCATGTCGGGGTATGACTCTGCGAGATTAATTGCAACGAATCCATCTGCACCGCCAACCTGTGGACCATTATTAGATCTGCAGGAGATACCAATGGGATATTTCGACACTTACATCCATGACGATCCCGGCCCCAATTTCCTCCCAGGCAAAGCCTTTTAGAACGTAACTCACATCGTGGGCCCCGCCGCTCGTAATCAACGCCATATACTTTCCGTAATTCTCAATCAGCTCCGGCTTCTTGGATGCGGACGACCACCATGTGTCTGTGGTGTTGTGGGCTATCTGATATGCGGACTTTTGATCTCTGTCAACATCCTTGAGCCAGTCCAAAAGCCGCACCATAGAAGGCAGACAAACGTCAAGTTGGTAAGTAAGCAGCGGCTCTAGTCGAAGTATCTCCTGCGAAAGGCCTGTATGTGCAATATAACCCGGCTCCAACTCGCAGAACACACCATAGGTCATAGCCTGGCGCAAGATTCGGCTTAGAATGTCTGTAGGTAGACCACACTTATCAGCCACTTCGGATATGGCAATCGTTCCTTTGAGGGGGATGATGGATGCAATCTGGTAATGGTTGATGACCTGCAAGGAAGCGAGGTTCTGCCTGTCCTGTATTCAGTCCGTCAGCCAATAATTATGGTGGGAGACGGGTGTCATACAATCAGTACCATCCCTTTGAGAATCTCTTCAGGAGATGTGACTAGAGCCAGGATCATTTGGCAGGCCTCGATCACGTTTCCACGGATGTCAAGAGCATGGTTAGAGGTCTTATCTTCTAGAATGGGGACTGCTTGGGAGATGATGTTTGCCAGCTCTTTGAGGCTCGAGGAAGACAGAGTGACGGTTTTCATGATGCTATCTTCTTCCTCTCGGGAGTGTGGTGTGGTGTGGATGTGAAGATGGGATTGAGAATGAAGAGGGAGGTATATGAAGAAGGGAAAAGGAGGAGTAGAAGAAGGAGGGGAAGGAAGAAGAAGAGAAAGTGAAGGAGAAGATGAAAGATTGACGTGAATGATCGGATTGTGTTTGCTTGCTTTGACACAGATCACGTTGTCTCCATGGCCCTTCGAGGATTGTCAAGATCTACGGTTTACTTCGTCATATACTAGATCAACAACGTCGTGTCATACTGTTCATGATTCATGTTGAGTACTATAAGGGGGAAATCGCGAATACTAGCTGTCCTATCTATAAGGTGCAAATATATTGCGTCACTCGACAGAGTCTCGAGGCCAGAACGGTGATATCACTCTCATCCATCGTTTGGCCTTTGAGAACTGAGAAGAGTCCACTCCTGTCTGTTTGTATTCTTTCTCCTAGGATTCCTTCGGTAGTCCTACGACCAGATCGATTTTCCGTTAGAATGTGTCCTTAGCAGTGTATCGCGGCAGATATTTGGCATATACCGATTCCGTTTGCCTTTAGTAACTATCAGCATTGGTATTAATTGCTGCCTAGGGCGACTGAGTTTATGGATAGCAAACATGCTCCATGATTCCAAGGGCAGGTCCCCGATTGCCAACGGTAACGATGGTCTGGCGACATCCGTCACCTATGGCTCTTCACTTCAAAGCTCGGGAGCACAACGTGACGAGGCCGACGATATCTTTTTAATCGCATCTTTGTCTGCTTCATATCGCGTATCATCGTCTAATGGAAGAAAAGCTAATAGGCTCCTAGCTTCTTCGCAGTTAGGAGCCGCGCTTTTATGCACAAAGACCACCTTCGGTGACGCTGTTGCCAGCTGAGACTTCACAAGAGTAGGGCTTGACAAGCGTCGGGTAGACGCTAATCGCGCGAGAGAAGGGGGGTTGAGAGACATCATCCGAAATGAGCCCACACTGGAAGGCCTATGATCCAAGCTTTCTCGACGAGGTCTTTTTTGTGGATCGGTTGAGCCATGAGGGGATCTGAATGCCCCCGCTTTCGTTGGACCGTCTTTTGGTAGTCTTCAAAGCAGGGATGCCCCGCCCGATCGGCATTGGAGCTCGTCTTACTGGACTGTAGCTCTGTCGATACATCGTCGATGCATCGCTCAATTGTATCTTTAGCGGCGTTATCGAGAAAGTCGGGGTCTTAATCTGTACCGAATCATCGAAGATTTCCTTCCCAGCAAGGCCATCTGCGAGGGCTGACAGAGGATGAAGGTCCGCAGTTGGTTGCCATTCATGTTCCCCAGTTCGCGGTCGAGGTTGCATGGAGGGAAGAAAGGCCCAAAGCCAAAGGCTGATGATTGTAGCATCAGGCAGTAGTAGCAAGGATGATAGATACTAAATTCAATGTACAGTGGAGAGCGAAGACCCCGCAGTGATAGTGTGATAATAGGAAGGGATTGCCAACCCCGTTTGGAGGAGAAGTTAAGCCTTCGGCCATTGACCTGGAGAGGAAGCATGGAAGTATGTAACCGGTACGAGGAGGATGATTTGTCAAATTAAGTGCCATGACGTGCTCTCGTATATTTCTGGAGGGAGCTAGGATTACTATGGCTGGATTATTGGACGCAAGGGAGATGCACCTCTTTTACGTCTTCAATGCCGATCTGTTGCCCTCATAAACATTCTGTGCTTAGCGATTCTACAAAAAAGAATATTGTATATCGAGCAAATAATGTCGCTAGCTGTCCTCTTGAATACTCTTTTAAAAAGTGCGGTCCTCCTGTTTTGGGGCTATTTTCTCGCGAATGAATATGTTCGTTGGAAAAGACGAATCCCAGGCCTTAAGGGACCCCGTGGTCTTCCAGTCATTGGAAATTTGCTACCTGTATGTTCTAAATGGATGCTGAATGTTTCGTTAGACTCATACTTCAGATAGGTCACGAAAACTTTCTCCGCTGAACAATACCGGCGGTGGTCATTAAGATATGGACCGGTCTACCAGGTCCAATTGGGAAACACACCGATCGTGGTCGTGAACTCGACGGAGTCTGCGAAAACACTTTTTCTCAATCAGGGTGGCGCTCTGATATCGCGCCCTCTATTTTATGTCTTACATAAAGTGGTGAGCAAGAACGTTGCAAGTATCGGTACCAGTCCGTGGGATGAGAGTTGTAGGCTTCGAAGAAAGGTGGCGGCTGGGGCTCTGAACCGCCCAAAGGTTCAATCGTATGAACCGGTAGGTTTCCATGGACTCGCTCGGGAGCGGAATACTGAGTATGGTGTACAGTTCATTTTGCGCGAGACAAGAGATTTTATTGAGGAGCTCACCCGAGAATCGCGTAACGGAAAAACTGAGGTTGGCTTCAAGTCTATCGTGCATCGCCTAGCTTTGAACCTGGTGTTGAGGTTGAATTACGGCACACGGTCAGCACAAAGCCCAGCTGAAACCACTTTTCTCTGGTAGACTAACTGAGAGGAAGAACAGAGTCGCAAATACAAAAGATCTCAAAGAAGACGCACTGTACTCTGAGATAATTGAGGTAGAGGATGAGATCTCCCGATTTAGATCGCCTTCTAAGAACCTCACCAACTACATTCCTCTGCTTCGAGTTCTTGAGCCGTTGGTCTGGAAAAAGTCCGCGGCTCACTCTGCTGACATTGGGCGTCGTCGAATTGCGTACAACAACATATTATTTGGCCAGTTACTAAAAGCGATCGACGAAAACACTGATGTGCCCTGCATCCAAGGAAATGTGCTGCGAGATCCCGAAGCAGCAGGACTGTCAAGCAATGAGCAGCTTAGTATTAGTCTGAGTATGATTGCTGTATGCCAGCCCCTTATCTCGCTTCGAGCAGAGTGACCTGCTAAAAAGAGATCTTGTACAGGGCGCAGACAGTACGCAACCGACAATCGCCTGGGCAATCTTATTCCTCGGCCATCGCCAGGATATCCAGCAGCGTGCCTTTGCAGAAATACAAACCCACCTGGGTAGTGCGTATCAACCAACAGCAACCCTAGAGGTGGAATATATTCATGCTCTAGTTAAAGAGTTCATGCGGTTCTACACCGTGCTTCCATTGGCCATGCCCAGAGAAACTACCGCACCTGTTCAGGTTAATGGACAAGTGATTCCTGCAGGAACGATGGTCTTTCTCAATGCATGGGCTTGTAATAGAGGTAATCAACATTAATATGACTAATATTTCATCCTGCCCCTTCGAAACCATACTGACTATACAATTCAGATCCGTTAACGTTTGAGGACCCGTGGACCTTCAAGCCAGAGAGGTGGCTCGATGACACAGAAAAACTCACCCATCAGTTTGCCTTTGGTTATGGATCACGCATGTGCCCTGCGTCACACTTGGCCTCACGTTTGGTCTACTCGGTCCTATTCCATTTGATTGCGAGTTTCGAAATTCAACCTGCTGAGGGCGAGGGAGACGAGATCTTTGACCCCATACAGGGGTTGAAAGATCCCACATCTCTGGCTGCCATACCTAAGGGTTCCAGAGCTAGATTTGTGCCTAGGGCTGACAATGCTCCAACGGATTTGACGTAGGCAGATGACAATATACAGTGTCTATCACAGCTGGTGAACGACGGTATCGTTCCGAGCAGAGTGGATATATACCGTCCGAGCCATACGTAATAGAGGCCGCCCTGGTCTTAGAAGTTAAATAGAACGAGGGGAAGAAGATGAAATGCGGGAGATCGCTCCCCACCTTGCAATACAAACGGAAGTCCCGCTCCGTAAACGGAGATGGCCCGCGAATGGAACAGATTATTAAATATAGAATGCTCGCCGCGAACATTACCTAGTGTCTCTTCTTTTTGTGTTCTATAAATTATCCCAGTAATCTTCCCTGTCATTGATTGACGCAGAAATGCTGACGCTGGATGGAAAAATTGCGCTCATCACAGGGCTGGGGCAAACCTCCGAAGAAGGATGGGGCATTGGGGCAGCAATTGCAACGCGACTTGCTCAGCAGGGAGCGGTGATACTAGGCGGCAATCGCACATTGGCTTCAGCTGAAAGAACTAAAGCTCGGATTGAACGCGAAGGAGGCGTCTGTGACGTCCAGGAAACGGATGTTACCGATTCGGCATCGGTAAAGGCTTTGGTGGATAGCTGTATGAAACGACACGGTCGCATTGATATCCTGATCAACAATGTGGGCAAGTCGGAACCGGGATGTCCTGCTGAGATGGGCGAGGAAATCTGGGATCAACAAGTTGACCTGAATTTGAAAAGCATATTTCTGACCTGCCACTATGTCCTACCCATCATGGCGAAACAAGAGACGGGCGGCTCGGTTGTGAACGTGTCTAGCATTGCGGGACTACGGTATATTGGCAAACCCCAAGTCGCCTACTCTACCACAAAGGCCGCGATAATGCAATTTACCAAGGCTACGGCCGTTATCTATGCGCCTAAGAATGTCCGACTGAACACGGTGGTCCCCGGATTGATCTACACACCATACACCCGCACCCTCGCCAAACGTTACGCACCAGGTGGCAATGAAGAGGAGTATATGAAAATGCGCGATGGGCAGGTGCCTATGGGAAGGATGGGTGACGCCTGGGATGTGGCCAACGCGGCGGTATTTCTTGCCTCTGATGAGGCACGGTATATAACCGGACAGAAGCTCGTGGTGGATGGTGGAATCACATCATCTACCGGGCGAACATGAATCCTAGGAGGCTTCTAGTGGTATTGAATTTGAGGGGAGTGGGATTGCCTTGCTAGTTGAGTCCTCTGGGGTCTATAGATACTCCCCATCTGAATGAAGTAGCGGAATCCCCTGCCCTTGGCGAGGCTATTGCCTGAGAATGCAATGTCCCTTGGATTATCCTATATATACCACCATCTACCGCGAGAGACAGTCATGTGTCGAGTACATACAATGGGGAGCGGAGGGAAGCAAAACGGAATGGCCGACCTTGTTGCTGAAGATATACGGATGTCATCCGCGCGGACTTTATCCGTCAGCGTATACCCGAGGCTGTTGGTCGGGATCCTTATTTATAACAACCCGCATATTTACACATACCAAGTAATTATTGCTACCTTGCTTAAAGTCAAAGAAAACAAACCGATCCTGTCTGAAATACAATGACTCTCTTACATATTGGTAAGCTGATCACCACGGTACCATATCCTGGATACCTAACACACCTCCCACAGTTCTCTTCAAATTCCGCTCCAATGTCAGCGAGGAGCACAAGAATACATTTGTCACGGAACTGAAGAAGTTAAAGCACCTTCCCTGTGTTAAAGCAGGACGTCTACTTGTCGGAGGTCCGAGCGTCACAGACCCTATTGAACGCAGCAAGGGGTTCCAGATCGCCCTAGTCAGCTATCACGAAAACCGGGAGGCACTGGCAGAATATCAGGCGAGCGATGAACATCATCGGTAGGTATTGATGGCATATGTCATTGCAATGATTGACCTCGAATACTGACACTGGCTGCAGGGTAACCTCTACGTACATGTTTCCTTACAAGGATGACCTGGTCCGTTTTGATTTCGAGGTGGATGAAGATGACGAATATATGTGTCAATTTCCGTTGAGTAGCCTACAAATATAAGAAGAAATATAGAGAATTGCTTCTATTTTTTGATCTCCGATGTATACTTAATGCTACGTAAGAGACGGAGAGAGTGAGGCTAACTAGGTATCAAACGTCCGCTGCATTCCAGTTCAGACTTTTTGCGCCTCTAGGCTCTTGCATTCCTTATTTGGTGCAGCACCAGGCCATAGAAATTCTCCCAAGCCCGGACGATTTACACATTCAAGGATCCCCATCTCGGACCTCTTCCGCTTCAGCGACGGGGAGTATCCGAGCATAGCGGTTCAAGCCGTCGGCCCGAACTAGTTGATAAATGTCGCCATCGAGACTGTGGTCCAACACGAGAATTACTCAAATTGAGGCATTATCCTCACAAAAAGCAAAGCTATCATGGCGACAAATGACCCAACGAATCAAGATTATAATCTGCAGGAGCCAATTGGGTCAACTACGGGTTTACGACAGGGACTGACCTCCTATGGAGACACTCATTTCTCTTTGTTCTTGCGCAAGGTCTTCATAAAGGCGCTAGGATATTCGGAAGATGCACTTTATCGTCCAATTATTGGGCTTATCAATACAGGATCGGGCTTCAATCCTTGTCATGGCAATACACCACAGTTAATCGAAGCCGCCAAGAGAGGCATTCATCTAAATGGTGGCATAGCTATTGATTTCCCAACAATTAGTCTGCACGAGTCATTTTCACACCCTACTAGCATGTTTCTGAGAAACCTCATGAGCATGGACACTGAAGAGATGATTCGTGCGCAGCCCGTAGATGCCTGCATTATGATCGGAGGTATGGACGAACTATTTGTGCCCGCTCTTCAGACACACCGCGAAGCTGACAAGCAGATAGGGTGTGATAAGACGGTTCCTGCCCAAATTATGGGAGGTATATCTGCCAACAAGCCCGTGCTGCCTCTTCTCACTGGGCCTATGATGCCAGGGAGTCACGACGGAAAGCGAATCGGTGCTTGTACGGATTGTAGAAACAATTGGGCATTATATCGTGCCGGAAATATCGACATGGAGGAGATTGCGTCTATCAATGAGGAGCTAGCATCGACGGTGGGTCTTTGGTAAAATGAAATTTTCGATGTACGGCACTGATCTTCTGTGTTGGTAGATTGGCACCTGTGGCGTGATGGGCACTGCGAGTACGATGGCGTGCATCACGGCCGCGTTAGGCCTCATTCCCCTGCAGGGTGCTTCTGCACCGGCTGTTTCTGCAGCAAGGCTTCGTGTCGCGGAGCAAACGGGTACCAATTCTGTCATTGCAGCAGCGAATCAACGATCGCCACAGACAATACTATCGGCCGATTCATTTCATAACGCTGCGGTGGTCCTCCAGGCCATTGGAGGTTCGACAAACGCTATGGTCCATTTGATGGCTATCATCAACCGTCATCCCGAGATTAGCGGCTCAATTACGCTGAGAACATTGGATGACATTGGCCGTACCACTCCCCTTCTAGTGGATCTGAAACCTAGCGGTAACAACTACATGACTGACTTTCACAACGCTGGCGGCATGTTGTGCCTCCTGCATCGTCTTCGGCCGCTTCTACACCTTTCGGCAAAATCTATCACCGGAGATACCCTGGGAGAACTATTGGATCGCAGCCCTTTCCGAGATTTCGACTATTCTAGGAGCATTATTCGGACTTTGTCTAACCCCCTGCATCCATGTTCCTCCTTGGTAGTCGTTGAGGGCAACATAGCACCCCACGGAGCCGTAATTAAGGCATCCGCGTCCAAAGACAAGCGGCTGCTCTGTCACAGAGGACCTGCAGTGGTTTTCGAAAGCCCCCATGATCTTGCGTTGCGACTTGATGATCCTGACCTTGACGTAACTGCGGATTCTATATTGGTGCTGAAAGGTATAGGTCCTATTGGGAACCCGGGCATGCCAGAGGCCGGGATGATCCCGATCCCCCGGAAGTTGGCCACCCAGGGTGTCACGGATATGCTCCGAATCTCGGATGGACGTATGTCGGGCACGGCCGGCGGAACAATTATTCTGCAGGTCTCACCGGAGTCCGCCGTTCCAGACTCGCCCTTTGGGGTTATTGATACCGGTGATACTATCGTGTGTGACGTTGAAAATCGCCTTGTCCGCTTGGAAATCAGTGACGAAGAACTGCAAAAGAGGATCGAAGAACGTCGGCGAGCGATTATTGAAAGGGAGTCTTCACCTTGGAATGAAAGACGCACCAGAAGAGGATATCGGGGTCTCTACGAGCGAGAGGTGAATCAGGCACATGAAGGCGCGGATTTCAACTTTCTCACGGCAAAGGGGCCTGATTCTCTGCAGTAGCCATCACGTCAGTTTCTCAGTTGAAACAAGCACCTTTACCTAGGAACTCTACACGGTTTTATATTAGTCTGTTAACTATTCTCTATATACGGAACTTGTGACTCTCATAAGTCATATCATAGTACAAAGCCTAGTCAATCTGTTACTACTGCTTCGCGTATATTAACTGTTTGTGAAAGAGCAGGCCTAGTATCTGTGCACTTCATTCTACTCAAGTCTTTCGCAAACCCCGATAAATGGCGATGTCACCCCTCCCAGGAATAATCGACCCGAGATTGGATCATGTATAGCTGTCGTTGTGGTGGGCAGGACCCTTCCCTCGGCATCTTCGATGATTTTAATAACCTCGTATTCCTCACCTGGTAAGCTTTGCTCGCCGTCTTTCTTTCGTATCATTAGCACCGCGGACGGTGCTGTTTTATGATAAGGATCATTGAATGCCTTGTGTAATTGGATGCTACTTGGGAACGCCCCAACGAAAACGTTTCCCTCGGGGTCGATTGACAGATTGTCGACCACAATGGACAGCGGAATCTCTTCGTTCTGAACGAGCCTGTTGTCTTCCGTGAGGTGATAAACTGAGACAGCGCCTTTGGAAGAATGTGCGACATAGACACGGCCCGATGACGGATCTCTCGTGATGCCGTTAGGAAGGAAGCAATTATCTGTGGTGGCAAGATGGCATTCTCCGGTATTAGTACTGCAGTAGGCGATGCTACCGTCACCGAGGAAAGCTTTCAAGTCGCGCAAGGGACCGGCCTTCGTGCCATGATCATTGGTGACCAGAAAGCCTCCCCTCTCGTCATCTACTACTACGAGGTTGTTGGGCGAAATGATCGCATCGCTAACGATTGTCTTGACGTGCTCCAGTCGGTTACTCTCTTCGGAATGGCGGAGGTCAAGGTCGTATACCTCAATGGTGGAATTGGCTCCTATCTTGGTCGCATCGAGCAGCCTCTTTCCCGTCACTGTATCTACGGGCAGCCGGTGGTTGACCAGCCAGAAGCGCAGCCGGCGGCCGTTGTCGATTGGGCGGACGTCGAACCCATGCAGGTATAACCGCTGGTTGTTTGCTCCTCCCCCATGAAAGTCCAGTGTACGAAGCCCGTACAGTCCGTCCGCACCGGGCTGGTCTATGTCCAGCACGCTGATGTGATCCCACCCGCTGGTTGCATCCAGCGCGGCCAGGTCGTACATACTTCCGCCGGGACTCCATGCCTTGCGAGCGGCCGGGTTGGAGCAGGCAGCATAGAGCTTTCGGTTGGCGTTATCGAGCCAGAGGTCCTCACAGCTCTCTAAGAGTGGATGTCTGACGCGTTCGCAGCGATATTTCGGGAAATCCTCAAGGGGTTGGACGACCCGACCAATTCCCGCTATGATCACGATCGCATCATGAAGATAGGCCTTGTAAAAGCCCAAAGCGATCGCAAATATGAGAGCTAGGAAGGCTCGAGTCAAAAGGGCCATGGTTGCGATCGTTTGACACTACATCTGACTCTCATGGGGGCCGAGTTCTATTATATCTCGTCACATTTCCCCCCACTTCTCCACTTGCGCGTCTGGCAGACGATCCAACCAATTGAACATGGAAGGAATACGGAGGATTTATGGCCTTGCAGATTGTAGAAAAAGGCGGTCAAGTAATCTTCCCCTATATTGTCACATGATCAGGTTTTCTGCTCCACATGTATTTACTAAGTCTTACCGACCTTCCTTCTTACGGATACACACATGATACTGAGAATCCTTACGTATATCTCTGAGAATCAAGGAGGTTGTCCTTCGACTCCAGTGGCTTCGCAATGCGCTTCTAACCCCAATGGACCCGAAGCAAAATGCCTCATGGCCCTGCATTCAACATGGAAGCTGGCGATGATTGACCCAATGTGGAGCCTGTGGAACAGGAGCGAAGAAACATTTATATGAATTTAGACCTTGTCAACGCGTCTTCTACATCCTTTCCAAGCATTCCAAAGGCATAAAGTGGAATGGAATTGAACCTACAGGATTGAAGCGAATTATAATGGGACAGCTGTATTCTAGATCTCGACTTAATTAGGGAGTCGCTATGTTCTTCCCCTTTGCGGCTCGCCTCTTAATTGTCTCGCTGCTGCTCAAGCAATAGAAATCGAAAACCACTTTTCGAGGGCCATCCTTCGGTCAGCCTCCGTGTTGAGTGACTCTATCACCTTGGTCCTTCCGCCCATGTTCAACTTCAGCTCGTTGTTGATCAGCATCAACTTGCCCACAATACACACCTCGTCACTATCTGGTTGGCCTTGGATCATTCCATTCTGTACCTGAGCGACATTTCCTTCCTCACCATTTCTTATGAATTTCACAGCAACAAAAGTCCCTCGTTCAAGGAACTCCCACGCGGCAAAACGATTGATCACCTCGAAATCATCCTGGAAAAACTCGATCTCGGGAAAACAGTAGAACGAATTCCATTCCTTGTCCATGCCATTCCGGTATTGGTAGATCCAAAGTTTTTGCGTCGTCTGCGACTGTTTGGGGATGTTGTCGTACAGCAATCGGACCTCTTGCGATCCCAGGTTCTTGATTGCCTCACCCGAGACGAGAGGAACGGGGCTGGTTGGGCCGTCGCCACCAAACCCAACATCTAGATGATACCTAGCGCCTGAAGGAAGACGGACGATATTGACCATGTGTACCCTATTGAGTATTAGTCGACTCGGTGCCTCTTTTGGTCTGCCTGTCTTTCCTGTTCGTGCTTACCATCCTTGATAGTCTCCTTGGGGGATCCCATTTACCCTGCCACGGTTTCTTGCCCCCGTCGTGTACGCATCGAATCCTAGACCGCGGAGCATGTGGTTGAAGAATATGTTGACCTCCAGACAATACCCGCCTCGGCCGGTCGGGCTTGCCTCCCCAGCTCCCATCATCTTTGGGTAGAGGACATCAGGATGGATGTCCGGTTGGCGGGTCACGGAGTAATGTACGGATAGGTTTTCAAAGGGGAAGCGTGTAATATGACACCGGAACAAAGCTCTGAGCGATGCATCTGTCTTGGGGAAGAGGTGCGGTGTTTCTACGTAAGAATGGTATTGGGACGGTAGTGAGAGGTATGTTAAGTACTTCTGTACCTGCGTCGTGGAGTAGGCTGAGTTCATCATGGGGATCCTTTGAGGCGATAGATGTTTAGATCGTACGAAATGATGTAGACATCTCCGGATCTATGTTCCTGTTTATATAGTGCACCTTTATCGCAGGAGAGTTTCATCTATGAGTCACCCGAGGAATGGAAACTGTGCAGATCAGAATCCTGGCGCATCCATAGTGAGGTTTCGTGCCTTCGTTCTGGGTAATAACTGACTATCTTCTTCAATGCCATTATATGGAGAGTAACACCTGTCCATGTGACCGCGCGAACCCTCTATCTTGGTGTATCGGCGGAATTTCTTACAGCATACGTAGTAGGATATGTTTGCCCAACAAATATCTGATTACAATTTTCCATGACCCGGTCGCCGACATTTCAAAAAATGATTTCCTTGATCACATTATTATTGAGAAAATAATTCCATGGTATGTAGAGATGTATCGTAGCTCGTAGCCAATTGAACTAAATGTATGGTATGAGGGAAAAGAAGAACCAGCAACATGCAGAAGCGATTTTATACACGGCTTCGTTATACACAGAAAAGAACATTACCAATAGCTAGATATACAATACCTCTATACTGCTTCAAATACCTCCGCAACAAACTCGAGAGCCTTGTCATAGGCCTCCACAACCCCCTTCGCTGGACCCGGTGGAAATCCAGAATTAAAGTCCACCAAGCCGTGCGGTCCATCCTCCACCAGTAACAGCTCTGTTTTAACCCCAAGCTGCTGGAGCTGCTGGTAATGATGCTGGCTCTCTTGATCGGGGACAACTTCATCGGCTGTCCCATGCACAAACACCGACGGAGGGTAGTTTTCCGTCACAAACAACTGCAGGAACGCCGGTTTCAGGTCATCAGGAATCGCTGCAGCCCGCTGCGCGTAGTCCACTCTATCAAGCTCGGCGCCTAAGCCTGGCCGACCAAGGCAGCCGTCAAGAAACGTCCCGTCGAGCTCCCACCGGACCGTCAATGCGAAACGGTTGGTTACCCTGCCTACCGAATCATCACTCACAACCGTCTTGTCCGCCAGTATCCGAGGCACGTCGTTGAGATTTACGAACCGAGCGATGGATGTCGGTGGACGAGCCCTGGTCCAGTGATCCAGAAGCCAGTCGCCGCCGGTGCCATAGCTCGACAACAGGACCGCTGGCTTGGGCGTGGCGTACACGCATGCTGCGCGGGCGGAATACGCGCCAGCGGAGAAGCCAGCCACGGCGATCCGGGCTGTGTCGAGAGTGAAAGATTCTGGTAACGTCGTTTGGAAATCATCCCCTTCTAGAAAGCGAAAGAGAGCCTTTGCATCCTCGATCTGATCCAAGGCGGTGCTCGGATGGCACAGTCGGTAATCGGCAGAGACGAAGATGTAACCCTTTTCTTGGCAATGATCTGTCCAGCCTTACGTTAGTCTTCCATGATTTCAATCCTTATGTGGATCAGATCGGCTTACCATACAACCAAAGAGGGAACCCCATTCCCCGCCGCGAGCCGGCCACCATTCCTCCCCCGTGATAGTAGATTATGGCTGGGAGATTCCCTCCCTCCACGGGGGGTAAGTAGTAATCTAGCCTAATGTCATGTCCGTCAACGGTGGAATAGACTAGTGTTCTGTGGCCTGGGGGGATCGGCCACATGATGCCAGTGGACTTTGAGAAATAATGGCAATGGTTAGTCTAGCGAAAGTTTAGGTATATAATAAAGGATATTATGGGCGTTTGTTTGGGCAAGAGCTATTATAACTGCAATGTGGCCCATTCAAGTCCGGTGGATCTCGGGGAGAAAAGGTTACATCGGGTAGGGTAGATCGGGCAGCCAGAGAGAAGTTATGGCGTTTCTCCCCACTGGTTCCTCATTTGTGATATTCTTTCTTGACAGCTCTTGCAGCCATGCACCTGGACTTGTCCGAGGTCTACTGCGGACTAAGTCACCACGTAAGTGAGCACTATTCAAGGAAGTGTTAAACTGCATCCTACTGAATGTGTGCACATACATATGCAGCCCAAATCGTGACAGTCCGAGCTTTAAGCTCTTATTGGGCATGGTGATAGACCTGAGCCCACCGGGTGGTGCAATAATTCGAGACTTCGTGAATGCTTGGTGTCAATAGGGTAGGGATCGGCGTCTAATTATTCTCGATTTTATGTATTCTGTCTACATGGTCCGTGAGAGACCCTCTCTGTCAATTCTAGATCTCAACGATACTGACTATCTGAAAACGCACTACACAGTGGAGAAAGATTACGCTGACCAATCGGACTTCATCCATGTGGATAAAACGATGGATAAGTGCTCCTCCGTATGGACCCACGATGTTGAACAGTGTCTTTGACTGTAAATCGGGTGGACCAGTGAAGTGGAACAGCTGATCAACTTGTTGGTCTACTCTCTATCAAGAATCAACAGTTTCTCCACAGAGTCAGAGCCTCTCTCAACTCGGCGCGGATGCAATGATGACTCAGCGTTAAGCATCCCAAGAGTCAACACACACGCACACATAAGCCCTAAAGGGCGCACTGCCTCACACAGTTATACCTGCGCTGTCTGGACAGCGCGACACGGCAAGTTAGTTCCTGGCCGAAGATTATGTATTTTTGTATATATATTTGGCCAATAATTGAGCCAAAACTGGAAAGGTTCTTGATACGCTTAGCAGTATAGCGAACACGACAATATGGATTGGCCACTGGTTCATCCGTGTCGGAAGATTCTACTAATTATGACAACCGGAGGCTTCACACATGCTAGTGCGTGCTGAAGGAATGGTTAAAGGTTGGAAAGTTTCCAAACAATTAAAAGCGACCACGGGTAGCTTTAGGGATTGGCGGAACGCTTGCTGAACGCGGCCACACCATTGACTTTGCGACATTAGGCGGCCAAGGATGTTGAATATTAGGTGGCGAATATAAATTTGTCATTAGAGTGCATCCGTTGGGTCCCGGTCCAACAGATGATCAATTGGATGGCTATTATCAGCATATACAAGCATAGGGTATCTCCAAAGGACTGGGACAAGCGATGGTGTCAAAGTACCTCTTTGATTTCTTCTGGTCACAGATTTATTGTCGCTTGAAGGAGATTATGAATGACCTAACGACTCGTGTAGGCATGATCACTGCAGACTTCTTCGTTGCAGCGGTCGTTAACATCTGCGTAGAATACAATGTGCCGGTTGCAGTGGCGTGTCTCCCGCCATCTCGCCAACTGCCAGTTTTGTATATCCCCGGTAGATCAGGATCCAAACTCCCAGGAACTACAACATTGGAACATCTACAAGGCTAATAATTAGGATCCGTATGTGGTCTGTACTCTTGGACCGTCCAACCTTCCTATCTCGACGGCGTTAGCGGGATATGCTATGTGGATGCTTCGGGTTCCGGTTGTGAATCGCGTTCGAGCGTTTCTAGTTTCGTACATGTCTTGAAGTGAGCCCTTGACGAGAAACAATGCGGTTTTCCTTATACGATTTGTCAAGGTGATTGCGTCGGGAAGCGGCGAGACGCACTGGACGTGAATGTATAGTACCGACTTGACACTTTAGGTTGTTGGCGCTCAATCCACAAAGGAATATACAAATGTACGTAGGAGCCCCCCACTAGGCAAATCATGAAGTCAAAAACCACGCGAGTCTTGAAGTAGGCCAATGCAGCGCCCTTAGGATCCACCCAGCATGGCAATGTGTACCTGCATGATAGGCTGCCACGAGGCTCGCTGAACGCTGACCACGTGGATGAGATGAGAATGTCTAAATTGGCAGTGAAAAATGTCGATTTGGCAGAAACGGCGAATATACTAATTTTATTGGATAATTGTCCATGACGAGGTGGCATAATTGTCCTAGAATAAGCGTACCCTGAGTAAAGCCGAGTGGTCTGCCTTACGGCAGCCAGCTCGTATACTTTATATTTGATTGGCACCCGACAATACAACCCACGGTATAAATACCGTATGATGGGGCTTTGCCTTCTTCGTACCAAGTAATTTTCAGCGTAAGATCAGACCAGAGGCGGAACGGGTTCACAAGTAGCGTCACATTAGCCTGAACCTTCCTTTATCAAGAACCCTAAGATAATTTACTGGATGAATCTCGTATAGTAAGTGAGGAGCTAAAGCGATCCGGCAACACTGAGGTACAAAGCTACTTAGATATGGTGGGTTGTTCAGAATGTTCGTATGTTGTCGCTGTCTTTTCGCTACATGCTAATAATAAGGATCGCGAGAAGAAAACTGAAGAAAAGAAAAAAAAAAAAAAAAAAAAAAAGAATATAGGTACATTGACGGATTGACTCGAAGAAACGGTTCCTAAGAATAAACTGTCTCCCGCCACTAGGATTCCTTATCCTGTTGAAGAGACTGCAAGACATGCTTTCGCGACGCTTGCAGCGTGCTAATATAAGTCCCTAGGACGAGCTCATCTGACCGGTGGGCCATGTTTTGGGCATATTGGGCTAAGGTATCCAGAACTTGGCCAATCTTCTCCACTTCTGACCAAAGTACCTGAATAATAATCTTGGAACGCAGGTCGTGATCCAGAAGGTATCGGCCAATGGCCAATGGGGTGTCAAAAGCAGACAAGCTATTGGCCAAGGGAGATTGCTCTGGTGGTGCTCCATGCTGCTGCATTAGAAGAGTCTGGTATGATTCCATAACTTGCTGGACGATCAGAACCAGCAAAAGCGCTACCTGTATACTCTGAGCACAAGGGCAGTCCAGAATCTCTCTCACGGTGTCCATAGCCGTACGACTGTCGTCGAGGGTTGCGTCCAATGCCTGCATCGGGCTCGGCGATGGCGTTTCTGACCGCAGGCAAGATGTTCGTGGGTCATTCACGAGCTGTAGTGCTGTGGTAGCTCGCTTGATACAGTCCCCAGTATCCCCGATGCCCATAGTCGGCCCGTGCAGCATCGCGTCCCACGATGGGCTTCTCGGTAGGTTTAATGGGCACCCCTCTCTCATATCGCTCGTCTCCGCCTCGGCTGTTCGAGGCAAATTTGACGAAGCCATATCCGCTGAACCATGACTAAGAAAGACTGGTACAACCGCTTCCTCGGCATTGGGGTGAGATTCATTATGCGCTGTCGTATATACAGATGGCGTAGTGATCTCTGGAACTGCGTAGGGAGGGCTATGGAAAAAGCCCAGTGGCATTGAATAATCCGACTGCTGGTAAGCATAATTGCGAGGCTTTTCACTGTCTGAGGTGCTGCGGGCCCGACTATGTCGGTGGTCTGTTCCTCTGCGCAGCGGTGGTTGTGATATCAGCTGATGCTTTGGCAATGGTGTGCCTTGCACGACAGGACTATTAGACCTGGAGGAGCAGAGCTGCCATGCCTTGCCAATGCGCCGGGATTCACTATAATTACAGCAAATGCCACTCTTGATGCACCTTAGGCACTGCGGCTGGCCGCGGTCGCATCTCACTTTGGACAGAGCACAGAAATCGCAGCTCGCCCTCAGCTTGATCGGCCTAGACGACCGCTGGGTAGAAGGACTTCCTGAGCTCATTTCCTAGACAGTATTTGAAGCAATTTTAGGTGTGTGAGCGTTTGTGAAAGACGTAAATGATTGAGAGCAAGTCTAAAGCTCAACGCTGGGATGTAGAAACGAAGAATGAATAACCTGAGGTGCCGAGAATCAGCCACTTATTGCTGCATCACCTTACTTCATGCCGCAACCGTGACTGAATTATACCATTGGGTAGATTGTTAACTCAGGGTCTAGGCGGAATCGTGCCGGAAGGGTTCCAAGCCAGCGTCAACCATGGATGGCCTCGTGTCTTGATTTGGACCCCCACTCTTCTGGGTAACTTCGAATCCAAATATATCCGTTCTTGATGCTGCATCAATGATTGGACAGAAATCAAATAAGGCCCCCTCCTTGGACGTAGAAGTACAACGTATGGATCGAGGCAGTGTTCCTGGATTAGTACTGTAATGATCCCTGGTAAGGCTGAAGGTACAGCCTCATTGCCCCTGGAGTATCCCCGCTTTCATGGTGTCCGACAGCATTCTTAACATTGATGTTCTTGATCTTCATTAAGGAGATTCAAATCCGCATGTGGTGGTGCTGGAAAACCCTGCATCCAGACATGTTATGCGCTCCGTTTGTACGGTACTCCTGATGCCGGTGATGACTACCCCAAAGGGTTCGACATTGCGCGTCACCACCACGCTTAGTGTGATCAGCTGCATATCTAAGAGGACCTTTGGTGCTGGGGTCTACGTACGCCTCTAGAATTGTTAAAACTGTGCTTATCAAGTTGTAAGATGTGTCGTTCCCCACACCGTTGAACTGCGGCGTTCTAGTCGCTCCGTTGGTCATGTAGACCATTTTTAGATAGCAAGAGTTCATGTTCTGACCCGGTGGACATGGTGTATTGCTATGTTTCCTTCGCATTAAGTCTAGGGCGTAGGTGCCGCATTCTTTTTAGCGTTCTTACTATACAAGTCCATGCATGGACATGAGGCTGAAAAGTGCCATGAAGCCAAGACTGAACCTAAACTGGAGGCTTGCTTATGCTACGTGTTAGTCATATTGTTGAATGACAAAGATTCTATAGGCTATGACACTGAAACATATTTACAACAATCACTCTGACATAATCTTGCGCAATATCTCCGCTAGTCGCGTGGCCGCCGGCATTCGTACAACTGTAAAGTGATTGGCACCAGCTATACGCTCAATGCGGATATTGCTCTCCTCCAATAATACGTCCCATCCATTATAGCCCACGTCTTCCCGGCTTTCCAACAGCCAAGAGATGACCTCCGGGTCTCCTGGTGAATATTCCGGCCGAGGGTTGGTCGGCGATTTGCATACGCCATCCTGGGCCCAGATAAGAGTCGCGGCGGGGGCCGCGCGAGTAGGGCAAAATGGGACTGGGTTATACTGCTCGAGAACATCATTAAAGGCTTGGAAATGCTGTAAAAGCCAGGCTGGAGGCTTCTGTCCGCTGTGGCTTCCGAAGACGCCAGCTTGTTCGAGGAATCGATAGAAGTGTGGCGGGCACTTCTCTAAATTCATAGGATTGGGCGAATCTATTAATATCAGTCGCTCCACTGTCTCACCCTGCTCGACGAGACACTGTGCTGCATCATACGCCGCAATCCCACCTGCGGACCAGCCAGCAAGGTTATACGGCCCGTGTGGCTGACGCCGCCGGATTTCAGATACGTATAGAGGCGTAAGATCCTGGAGTGCGCACTTCATCTCTTTCGGTCGCTTCAAATACGGACAGTCCATCGCGTAGACACATACATCTTGGGAGATAGTGGGAATCATTGCGTACGATGTGGAGGAGCCCGAGCCATCAGGGAACAAGAAGAGAAGCTGTGAGCAGGAATCGTTTCCTTGGAGGAGGACTGATGTTGCGGAGGGGTGAATGGTGGCTGGGGTGAGTAGGACATCGTCGTTCGGGGAACCAAGTATTGCACGCAATGCTGCCGTAATGGATGAAACGGTGGTATGTTGTAGGAAGAAGCCCTGCGGCAGATCCAGACCCATCTCGCGCGCTCTTCCTAATGTTGTGAGCGCTAATAATGAATCTAACCCAAGCTCAGTCAAGTCATCTTCCTTGGACAGCTCCTGGGGAGTTAACCCCATCTCCTCAGCTAGAAGAGACAATACCAATTGCACAGTAGTGTTGGCGATATCTACCGCAGAATCCCGAGAGGAGCTTGTGTGCTTCGCAATGGGTGATGTACTAGCTGTCATGACAGACTCACTTGGGGTTGGATACCAGCTGGTCCCAATGCTGCTGGGATCAGATAGGGAAGGAATTTCGAGATAATGGCGGAGAGACTGAACAGACGGACACTCCTCAAAAAGATGTGAAGGCAAGTCTAGACTGAGAGTCTCTCGAAGAATACCCAAAATAGTCAAAGACATTAACGAATCGACGCCCATGTCAGCGAAGTGCACTTCTTCAGTAAGCTGGCTGGATTGGAGCCCAACCTCCTGAGCAATCACTCCCAGCACTTCTTGCCAGACATTTACAGCTGGCTGACGCTTACCTGGTTCTGTGGCTTCTAGCATAGGACCCGGTCGTGCAGCAACCACGCTCTTATGTTTCAAAGCTGAAGTACTGCCTTTCGATATTGTAGCTGGCAACAGCATTCCCAGGACCCGCCGGGAGACTCTCTGAAATGTGACTGCTCCAAATTGTGCAATTATACGATTCTCCCGGAGAACATAAACATCCCCTGTGTACAAAGAGTTGCTGCCCGAAGTAGGCTGCATTTTGACATGAGTTTGGTAAATCGTGTCAGGGGAGAAACGCTCGGCGCAGCGCATGAAGCCCCATCCGTGATTGACGTACAAGTGCTCTGTCAAGTCCAAAGAATCATTGCAGTTCATGACGAAGCCGGTGAGATGCCCGAAGCTGTCTAACCAGAAGGGATTTAGAGCATATTGACCTTTGGTTGACTGTAGGCGTACCCGGGCTGTGGCTTCTAGGCCAGCGCTGTCGAACATGACATCCTCTATGCCCTGGTATGATCGCCCGTACTCCATAACAGATGAGAAAAGCTTGTACACGAGACCACGGTGCATCTTGTGCGTCAAACGCTCCTCAATGCCTTTCGTCAGCTGTGCGATGCTGCGCTGGATAAGGTACAATTGGCGGTCCCAGTTGTCATGCCAGTCCTTGGTGCGGTGCAACTGTACAACGCACTGTGCATGATCAGCTGTGGGCTGTCCGGAGTTATCAACACTGTACACCTTCATTATGCCGCGGGCCTTATCCCAGTCCATGTCAAGCGACGCACGAAGCAGTTGAGACTCCGCCCCTGTGACAATGAGGGCCTTATTCACAGTCATATTACAAACATCAATTTGATGTCCTGTAAAATCTTGCTTTCCCTTCAGCAAATAATCCCCCAATGTCTGGGCAATATCCGCATATAGCGACTATTCCAGTGCTTGTTAGCACATATACAATCTCATAGAAGGGGCACGTACCGATGGGCACAGTATTAGACCGTTTACTTTGTGTTCGAGCGCTACTGGTAGTAGTTCAGGGTCGTTCAGGTCCGATTCAATGACGACAATTACGTGTGTGTCTTTGACTTGCTCTTCCACAATCCTCTGAACAGAGGGGCTCAATCTTGTAGAAGCTAATGGAACCGCCTGGCCCTTCCCTGACTGTACAAGGCACCCCTTGGTTAGACAAAAGTTATTCTCGTACTGGATCCAGTAATTCTGGTAGTCCCAGCTATAACCGGGAAGCGTAACAACCTGGTGGCTGCCCTTGAAGTCCCGATGATACTCGCCCCAGTTCAGCGGCACTCCTGCACAGTGCAAGACTGACAATGAGTTGGCGAGGGTCTTAAAGGTATCATCACGTTGAGATAAGGTTGGGCATACTGTCACATCCTTCAGTAAGCGCGCTAGGATAGGGTGGCCACCGATCTCCACTGCCAAAGCACCGGAGTCAATAATGCCCGCACGCCGAGCTGCCCGTAAGGCGCCGAGGAAGTCCACAGGCTCACGACAGTGTCGGCGAACATAGCCGGCGCGAATGACTCCCTCCTCTGTGATAATGCGACAGAGCAAGGGCGAAACAATGGGAATCTTTGGGGCTTGGAATGTCACTCGGCTGGCGATGTGTTCGAGTTCTTCCAGTATCGGGTCAACTTGCGACGAGTGAAAGGCGAACGGTAAAGTGAGCTTCTTGAATATAACTCTTTGTTCCGATAGCTTGCTGGATGTACGATCAATCTCGAAGTTAGAGCCACTCAAAACTGTATCATCGCGACCATTTATACACGCCACTTCTACCCGCACATCCTTCAGTACTCCTTCTAGGTCAGCCAACGAAGCCTTGACAGCTAACATGCCATGAGAGCCAGCGGTGCATCTTTTCTCTAGTAAGGCAGCGCGCGATCCAGCTAAGTAGATTGTATCACTGATGCTGAGAACACCTGCCAGGTGGAGCGCCGCATATTCACCAAGACTGTGGCCTAGCACGTAGCCTGGAATCACACCCCAGTTTTGCCACAGTCGTGCCATCGCTATCTGGATTACCACTGTTCCGAGCTGGATTATTATTGGGGACAGCTCAGCGATGTCGACTGCACCTGTTATCAGGGGAAGGATAGAAGAGAATCCGTACCCGCGACCAACGGCATCAAAATTTGCTATATCGTCACGGAAGGATGTAAAGTTCTCATAAAGCTCCCGTGCCATTGCTGTCTGCTGTGCACCCTGGCCTGTGAATAGAAATCCCAGATCAGGACATTTAGTAGGACACGGCTCGACATCTGGTGAAGCAGCGGTATCCAACAACTGCCGTTTGACGTCTTGCAACGTATTCCCTGTCACGGAAGCTCGGTATGAGTGGTGCATACGCCTGGCTGTTGTCGTGTACGCGATGCGGGCAAGCAAATCTGGACATGTATCGCTTCCAATAAACTCTGCTAGTGCCTCCATATTCCTTGAGAGAGCTTTCAAGGATCGAGCAGACACAGCCACAGTATGGTATCGTCGTGGATCTGCCAAATTTTCTATGTTGGATGATGGGGCATCTTCAAGCAACAACGCGGTATTACCTCCAGCTGCAGAGAAATTGTTCACGAACGAACGGCGTTTCCCACCCACCGGGCGTATCCATTCGGTTTCCGTCAGCGCGATATGGACATTGCGTTGTGTTAGATCAGTAGGGAAGCGAGAATTGATCTTCCCCTTGATGCCACAGTGAGGTGGAATGCGACTTTTCTGCATCATCAGTAGGACCTTAATCAACGCCGTCACCCCTGATGCTGATTCTCCATGACCAACATTGGCCTTCACTGATCCTAGATGCAAAGGTCTATCGGGGCCACGACGATTATCCCAGGCGAAACTCTGAAGCACTGATTTCATCTCAACTGCATCGCCTGCCTGCGTCCCTGTCCCGTGCATCTCAATATAGCTAATATCGTGGGGATGAATGCCAGACGCAGTCAGCAGTTGCCTGAACAAACTTGCCTGCGCATCAGCTAATGGACGCGTGATAGAAACAGCTTCTGCCGAGTGAGATGTTTGCGCGCCAACAACCACGCCAAATATAGGGTCACTGTCCGCTATAGCATCGGATAGGCGCTTAAGGATGACGGTGCCCACACCATCTGCACGGCAATATCCATCAGCGTCGTCGTCGAATGTCTTACAGTTTCCAGTGGATGAGAGGAAATGGCCCCGGTCAAGACCAGCAAAGTTGTCTGGGTTTGTCAGGATATTTGTTCCCCCAGCTAAAGCAGTGTCACAGTCACGGTTCAATAGCGCAGTACAGGCAACATTAATAGCAGCCAAGCTAGACGAACACGCAGTGTCGACTGAAACACTCGGTCCACTAAATTTAAAGAAGTAGTTGAGGCGGCCAGGAACGAACGCCCTAATCCCACCAGGAATATAGTATGTATCGATGTCTTGGCTACTGTTGACCTCGCGCCAGTCATCGCTCGTCATGCCATAATACACACCAACACGGTCTCGTCGGCCAGAGGGGGTTCGATCTGGGACAAACCCGGCCATTTCCATGGCTTCGTACGCAGTGAGAAGTGCCAGGCGCTGGGCAGGGTCCGACTGGTGTGCTTCACGTGGCGACATTTGGAAAAACCGTGCGTCAAACAAGCCGGGGTTGCGGATCCAGCAACCATGTCGGATGCGACTCGTGTTCTTCCGTCCGAGAGAGGCATCATAATGGGCCTCGCGGTCAAATCTGTCGGCAGGGATGGGCTTATGGACATCCAATCCTTCCTGTAAGAGGGCCCAGAACTCGGCCAGCCCGTCGGCTTCTGGGAAGCGACCACTGAAACCAGTGATAGCGATTTTAGACGCATCATCACTGGGAGGCTGTCGCTGAGTCACTGCAAACTGGTCTTGTGGTCTTCGACTTGTAAGACATTTTACTTCCACCCCAATCTCACTCAATGATGTTGTCAATCTAGAGGCAATGTGTGTGTGCAGAGGGATTAGTTGGGCGGGGGTGCGTTCAATCTGCCGAACGATGCTTTCGTCAACCTTGTCAAATCGGATCTGGCAGGTCAATATCTCTGTGACCAACGCGCGGAGAATGTCACTGAATACAGTCTCCTCCAGGAACCTTCCAGTAGCACATGAAATCAGGGGCGTCTTGAGGGTCTGCTGCTGAACGAAGTTGGTCATATATCTGAACTGGAGGATGCTGTCGACATCCGCCTCACAGAATATGTGTCCTGCATGATATGGTGCATATATAGGCACGGGAAAGGCCTTCCTGTCAGCAAAGTGTGAGGAGTCGCTTAATGCCTGAAGAACCTTGGGACTCCCGCTGATTGTAACTGTATTGTTTCCAACGGCGCTGATGTATGGTCTCATAAGTACCGGTAGATCCTATGATAATGAGCCTGATACCAAGACACCGTGTGTTCATGACATACCTTCTCATTAATAAAGATCTGAAGTAGACCTTCCACTTGTGATTCCGATTTATCCGCTACGATGACTGTCCAAGATTCTAAGTGTGTGGGGTTTTCAGCGACAAGTGTATTAGCTCGCCGAGCTACATGCATGCCAACCCGAAATGCAACTACTACAGCCTCGACTCCGAGGGCCTGCAGGTCCGTAGTCGTTCGAGAGCAAGCAACCGCGGCGGCTGCGAGGGATCCCGTGCAAAACCCGACCAGTAAGGAGTTGGTTGGAGGGTGGCAAAGGTCGGTAGTGTCTAAGAGCCTAAGTAGAGATGAGCACACGACTGTCCCCCGACTCGCAGCCAAACTCACCTAATATATTCTCCTATCTCGCATAGGCATACCATAGTACTTTCCAGCGCGACATGGCGTCGTTCCTTCTTGATACCATCCAGCAAAAGGGCAAGGGTATGTGTGTTGGGTAGCGAGGATCGTTCACTTGCCGGGAGGTAGGATATCTCCTGCTGGATAGCTGAGAAGGCTTCATCAAGGAAAGAGCGTAATATCGGGTTGTTCTTTATATGTAGTAGGGTATGAAGGGCTTCATCAGCATGGATAGTTTGGTCACCAAACAGGTAAATGCTAGTCATGATTTGTATACTTTGTTAGAAGGCTGAAGCTTAGCTACAGTACATGTAGACAAAGGCATTCCTTATATAGATCTATACGAAGGTAAGTATTTAGGGCCTAATTGAGGCTATGCGAGCCTGGGCTATGTTCGTAACTTTCGGGTCATCCCTTAGGCCTTCAATTCAGTATACCGAAACCTCCGACGTACCCCGATGGTCCCGTATGCACCAATTTTATGAGGAATACGTCCGAATATTGGCTCTCCCGAAGCTTTCTTTTCCATAGATATGTTCCTAGTAGGAAGACGGGCCCATGAAGTCGATAACAATGCCTAGTGCATTTTGGTATTGTGTGCACATTATAAAACTAGACTTCATAATCTTCACAACTTGAACACCTTTCTTCCACGCAAAGCGGGATATATCACCGAGTCTATGCGTGATCCAAAGTGATTACTGCCTATAATGATTTTGTCCACATCTTCCTTTATACAGTAGATGATCCTGGTATGTCACAGTCAAGACTAAATAACATCGTTGCGAAAGGGACATGTGGCAGCAAGCCCTTACAAGAGGATAGATACAATACGTGGGCGGAATAGAAGGATGCAATGAATAGATATAGTTGTCTATTATGCTTACTATACAGAGTTGTAGAAAAGGTAAGTCTACTTCAAGTTGTGTAAAGACAGTTGTGAAGCAAAAGTGAATATTAATCGTGTACATCCTGTACTTCCGCAATATGGTACTCCGAAGAAAAAAAGCAATGAGTGCCTATACTAAACTCCAGTAATCCCTTATCTAGTCGTCCATACCCAACTCAATCAGTGACATCAACCCTCCAGGTGGCTGGGTGATCTTCACCTTAAGCCGCGCGTCAACCTTGTTGAAAATCTCCATCCAGTCCTCAAGATGCCTTTCCATACTGTTATATACTTGCATCATAATGAGATCCTGAGCGCGTAACAACCGTTCCTTTGACGCTGGCATGACACCCGGTTCTGGTAGCACTATATCCACAATTAGGATACGTGCGCCAGGCTTAAGAGCCTTGACAAGTTGTGATAGTATGCGCACGCAGTCACCATTGGACCAGTTGTGCAATACCATCCGGAGAAAGTACACATCTGCATCTTGTACAGGCTGCGGATGGAAGAAGCTGTGTGCTCGATACTCAATCCGGTGCTTCAGCTCATGTGCATCATCTAGGGAGGCGAGGTATTCAGGGCCATTGGCGACTACATCTGGCAAATCCTCCACAACGAAGTTTAACTCGGGGAACTTTCGGGCCAGTGCAAGTGACGCATGGCCGGTAGAGCCGCCCACCTGTTTTCGTCAACGTAAGCAATATACGACGGTGTACAAAGACACTTACATCCACTACACGAGCACGTCCCAGAGCCACCCAGTTCCATCCATGCGCGAGCTTCTCGACATCCGTTCCTTGACTCCTTGCCATGCTGCGCATAAATCCAGCGAACTGTCGTTGACGGTCTGGCTGTTGAGCTAAATGTTGAAAGAAGGGCAAGCTGCTGTCAACCGCAATGTTGTACGCCGTTTGACTGCCCTCCAGGCTATTCGGCCACCGCTCATGTGCCTCCACCATTGAATATGCTGTCGGGAAGGATAAGTCAGTCATGATGACAGCCCAGTCATGAAAGTCAGCATCGTTGCGGAGCAGGGCAGACGTCGAGGAGTGAGCGAGATGCTGTGGTGGGTTTTCGACAAACAGGCCGTTAGTAATAGCCATACGAACAACACTTCTAAGCTGACGCTCCGGGGCGTTGGCAAGGGCGGCGAGATCAGCATAAGAGATGGAGCCATGCAAGGGCACCAAGTGGTAGATTTGAAAATGGCACAACCAACGGACGCAAGAGGCGTAATGATACTAAATTATTGGTTAATGCTATGAAGCACTCGCATGAAGTCCGTATCTCTTACTCCCGTTTGCAGATTCAATAAGTACTCGCTCGGTCCTGCGGCCAGGCGGAAGAGACGCAGCGCATGGTCAAGGATGCGCTCTCTTGCAGAGTGAGCATCCGGCGAGGCATCCACTGGCAGCACAACTGCAGGCGTATAGCGATCGGAAGATGGGGTCGGATGGCCAGTGGAACGCAGGTGATCATTCAGAGCCTTGACATCCTCCACAAGGGATTGGGTCAATTCCTCCATGGGTGAGGGTGAAGCGAACGCCATGCTGGGATAGTCAATGTTGATTACAATCTATCGCAACTTTTGTATATTGTATGACTTGGTGAAAGTCTTATTTCCAAGATCCTACCTCTCCCTAAATACCATTTTGCATGCAGCCTTCGGGAATCAGGCTCGGTTCTCGGGTTACCACGGAAGGCGACGAGCCCCGAGATGAGATGAGCATGTATGTGCACTGCCTTTCCTCACACGAATGGTAGAGAGAACCAAATAATCTAGTCAGTCTGAAGGAACGACATTGACCACTCATTTCTAATATACATTCCCCCGATCATTCCCAGCCGTGTTTGTTCTGCACCATAGTCTGTGGCTTGGTAATCGCATTTGGCTGATATGTAACTTACTCCAAGATGCGATATGTACTAATCAAATAAATTATCAGCCTTGGGCTTGCTGCTGGCCTGGGTTGGTTCAACATTTGCTCAACCCGAGACTTCATATATATATGGTTCATCTACTCCCTCAGCTTGGGAGCTGAGGGAGCGATTGGAGATTTCGACAGGTATGCTAGCGCCTACAGTCTTCGCACTGTCAATGGGTAGATCACTGATGGGATTTCACCATTTATTTTTTCCTGTCCTCCCAGCTACTCTTTGATATCAGCCCTGAGTCAAGTCAAGATTTATTGAAAAGTATGCTAAAGCCAGATTAGTGCCTGAGATATAAATAGCACACAATCCAGCCAATCGGACCGAGTCCCGCGTCAGCCCGAGTGAGGCTTATCCTTCTCTGCCCTTAAATTGAGAATATGAAAGGGTGTAATACCAATACCTAATATTGTATGTCGCTAAAAGTGAGTAAATGGAACTAGGATATAAGATATAACACGGTCATGTCCTATGGCGCTGGCCTAAATTGATGTTCCATATGGTAGAAGAACTACGCCGTTATTATCACTAGGAGACGCTTGGCAAAGACAAGCTGAATTAGGCTTGGAACTACTATTGTAGGAGATTTTTTATTCGTAGCTAAGATTCGCCTCAAGATAGCAGGATGGACTCTGTTGGTATTCTTGTCCACTAATATGAACCCCCGAGCTCCAGGGGATCCGTCATGTCGGCCGTTCCGATGGCTGCGAGGACAACCCATAAAGCGGCTAAAATATAGAGCATTGTTAGGCACATCAGCGATTGGTACATGCTGTCCAACAATTCATAGATTGAAGACCAGCACTCTTGGCGTTGAAGTTACATCTTTGCTATTGGCAAGGTAGAGGCAGTATAACTTTGATTGATACTTCGTGACGAAAGCTTCGGCAAACCAGCCACCACTAGGTGAGGACATCTAATTGCTACAATAGATACTCTGGTCGGTAGTCCAACACTGGTACCATACTTCTTACCAGTTGATTCAAATATCCACATCAGCACAGTATGAATGCCCGAGGGCAACACGTATTTATAAGAAACTTTTATAAATATTTTTGGGAAGTTCATCAGTAGGATTGTATTCCCCGCGTGAGAAGGCTTCTTGTGAATCAATTGTGTGGCGTGTTGGGTCGAAAAAGAAAACTTCCAAAAACCTCGAATCATAAGAAGAGTAATATAAGCCAGTGAAGTATAACACAAACATCCCTAAGAGCTGGAATAGGATGTTCGAACTTAGATTGCCACTAAGAAGGTGGATCGTCGGTTGCAGCCCACGTTGAACGAGTTCAATCTCAAGTACAAATTTATAGTCCGGGTACACTAGATGATGAATCTGATATATTCCGCTCATTCAGTTGCAGGAGTCTTTGTACGATGATTTTTCTTTGCCCATATACTATACGCGATAGAGACAATTGAGAGGATCCTAGAATTAAATCGTAAGTTAAGGTTAGCTATAGCTGTGCGGAAAGAGAACGGTACCCGTCAATAACACTTAGAGCGATCGTGGCAGATTGAACGCCGTGCCCACCGTTGTCGTTGCGCTTTCTATAGCAATGACCGTGATCATATTGACAGTGCTGATAGTAGTGCTGTTGTGATGCTAGTGTGCCCGCCGTTGCAACCCAGAAGATTGCTGTGACACAGTTCGCTCCGATAAACAGCCAGAGCTTGTAGATACTCTTGGCGATGAAAGATGCGGTAAGGATGTAGATGGCAACTAAAATCGTTGCAATGGCCTAGAGGAGCTGTTAGATCACTGGAACTAGGATTCGTACTGTAGCTCTATATACTCACCGTGAAGATAGCAAGCCCAAAGCCTGTGGTGCGCGAAGCTTCCGTGAGTCCGTAGATCGAGCACCCTAGAATTATCAGCGCTATGACCGACTGAACTATATGAATCCCAAGTTGTACTGGCTCCATGTTTTGGAAAAATGACAACTCTCTGAACCTTCCAATTCCAGGTGGTCGCGCACATCCTTCTTATGTGCGTTCTCAGCGATGCAACTTCATCGTTGAACGACTACATGGCGTACCCACCATATCGAGATTTTACCAGATCCCCGTCGGTTCAAGAGAACCAACGGGCCAATCCTTTTGAGCTCGAGAGTTCTGGTTAGTAAACCTTTAGGTAACGGCTATGGTGGCGCACAGCCTAATATTTCCAGACCCACTGGAACCGGAGACAGGTTTTAGGGCTGCGATGTGGGCCGCAGTTTGCGATGGTTGAGCTGCCAACATATATCACCGACGCGGCCTAGGTTTCAGTTCCTACTATTTCACATTTTGATACGTGATACTCGAGATCGATCGTTTTCTACCTCGATTGCTTTTCAGAAAATCGCCAGAAAGTACAGGTGGACCGAAAGTGCTCGTCCAAGGGCCGCATGGACCATTAGGCGCCCAGATAATTCCAAGCGAGGTGCGGGCCCACCAGCAGGTAATTGTGGCAGTGATGACCCCACGAGAGCAGTTATCTGCAGGGCAATATTTATAGATTCACATAGTCAGACCTATTTAACAGGGCCAATACATCTTGGAAATATCATCATGCCTAATACCGTTATTGGCAAGCCTGAGTTGGCTTGAACGGCATCCTCCGGGTTTACCAGGCTGCACCCTCGGAGACCTCCGGCTACGCTGGAATTCTTACGCCCCATCCCGCGATATAATGAGCGGATTGTCTTTCGTGCAACGCCGACAAGTCTCGAACCACATTGTGGCTGGATTGGCATGACGGTCGAGGGACATCCCGGCGTTCGACCTGGGCTCATTAATATGGAATCAGATCGTACCTATCCTAGTCGCCGCGACCATATTGCTGGAGTAACCCTGCCCCCCTTGGAGTCATTCGGTCCAAGACCCGCCACTTTGAGATCTATGGTCGTGGTAACAAAACCATGTCTTGGACACCTGCCTCTCCGCAAGACTGGCTGACGCTCTCGCCATCCTTGGGAACCATTCAGCCAAAGGGTGGCGTGGCGATAACCGTGTCGAGATAACCATAGATTAGAAGCGTGTGCCTTCGCACTTCCATAACGCGTTGCTTGTCGATCTACACTCCTCTCTCGGTGACTCCGAGCAAATTCAAGTTCGAATGAAGAACCCAGTCCTCCCTATAGGCTCAAGTAGGTTTGTCGAAGCCGACGGTCATGTGTCTATTTACGCCACCTCCTTTACATATTCATCGGGGTCATCGTACTGGACACTACCAGACATTATTCGCACGCAGACTGGTGGCGTTGCTTTGATTTCGGGCACTCCTGCATTGCACTTAGAGTATCTTCAGTACCCTTTTCTCACCATCTCTCCAACAGCTGCGGCAATACTTACGCTTGAGTTCACGCTTACCCTAGGCACCAATCCTAATGCCTATATTGCTTATGATATTAGCATAAACGACAGGGCTGTAAGCACTCATCGATTAGTACCCCAACTATCTAAGCCTGATACACTACCTGATTGATGGTATGAGTCGGTTATGGCCAACTTATGGACTCGCTGCCATCCAGTAGACCTGGGCCGCATAGACTCCATATTCGGCTTCACAGTGAGAACTGTGTGCTAGACAAAACTGTACTCAATCTTCAGGGTGTCCGTGAGAGCTATCTTCGCCCGTCCGAGAGTTTATTCCATTACGACGTGTTGATTGATGAACTAGTGCATGCAACGCATTAAGCCAATAGATGCTTTAGCGCCATACTAATGTGTAGTAGGAAGTACTTAAATAATTATACATGTAGCTACCGAGGTTCGGGATGTAATACGTACTGTCCAAGAGCTCTGCTTTACAGTTGGTCCCAAAACATCCATTCTGCTGCACCATAATTGAGACAACCATTAAAGTACAGATCGACTCCATCCGGACTATCAAACAATGTATCGAGTGAATATCTGTACTCCACGGTTTCTTCATGCTTCGTAATATCATCCGGCTTGCTTGTACGTCCAGGTGCTCTGTTCTTCCGTCGCGACCGCAGCGTGCTGATGAAGCAAGGTTCAGGTGTAGAATTGCTGGGTGGGTTTGCTATCCAGGCCTTAAGTGTTACCTTCCCAGCTGCAACGTGCAGTCTTCCTTTCTCCTCAAGTATCTCTGGGTGGTTTTTGTAGGTAACGGCAATCTTACCCCATATTGCGTCCTGCTCTGGAAGTGAAAGTAGCCCACTCTTGGACAGGCTAGTCAAAACACAGATCATCGCATCCCACACGAAAAATGTCTTAATGTGCCATTGAAACTTCCTTAAATTCGGATTATCGTAAAGCGCATTATCAGTGTCCAGAATCTTCTGCGCAAGAGCACAAAGCTCTCGTCGTTGATTATCGTCAATATCCTGACTCGCCAGAGATGGCATGCGGCTGCGCAGTCGTACCATATTCACAGCAGATCTCACAATCCCAAGTGTGAGGAGGTGTACGGGGTTTATGATATCACAGTACCGAAGGTACCTAGTCTCGATGTCACTTTCAAGTTTATCAATCAGCTTCTCCAACTCGGTGTTGTCGTGTGGTGGACCTTTTGCGCCCACGGTATTCATCTTCACTGCTGTTCTGGTATAAAATTCGGATAGCTTTGCCTTCGTAAGACAGAACATCATTTCCGACGCTCCTTTTTGTTCCTCGGGCCGCTGCCTCATGCCAGGGTATATCTGATCATCGTTCACGTTCAGTGGCTGCTTCGTATCCCAGTCACCAGGAGTGATGGAGATGCCAGTACCCGAAACCTGACCGGCGTAGCCGTCAAGGGGAAGAAGCTGCCAAAAGAGCCGTCTTCGCATTTGGACATCAAATGGGGGTAATCCGAGGCTCTCCCCGTCGCGGTGGAGTCCCATACGCTGCGCGATACGGACAGCAACGCCCGTCCAGATCCAAAATGTATGTGGATCCGTTTGAGGGCGCATCGCTATCAGGAACAGCACAAAAGCCTGTAATACCGGTAACTCGGTCGTCTTTAGCCAAGATGCATTGATCAGCGCTTGCCGAGTGGCATGTTGATACTTGGACATCAACACAGACCGGGGCTCCGCAAATTCACGGAGGCAGTGGTCATCGCTAATTGAATATACCGCGAAATGGTAAATGGCGAAAAGAAGACAGTCTTGGGATCGCGATGCTATATTGGGCTCTTGTGAGACGACTTCAAGCATCGCTGTGGTGGTTGGAATGTGTAAGACCTTGCAGAGAGTCTCGACGTTCTGCACATAGATGGTCCAAAGCTTCATAGCATCCTGGTGGCAAGGATGGTAGCCTATGAGGCTTTGAGAGACTCCCAGCAGGGCCCCAGAAAGCGGATCGCCTAGCCAGAGGTTGGTACCCATGTGAGCAGGTTGGTCATCTCCTTCGTTGTCGGATAGCTCTTGCATGCTTACTTCCGCAACATCGAGCCAGACACGGCTATCGATGTATCGTGATTTGCCCTCCTCAGTAACTAGCTTCCCGGTCTGTGTTATGTCCAGCTGGGACTGACGGAGAGGGCTTGACTTATGTACGCGCTCGGTGTTTTCTTTAGAAGACGGCGACCGTGCCTCAGTTATGGAAAGGAGGCCATTGTCCTGGAGCATGCGCTCGTACCTTGCCAAGCGCTCATGCACATCCTCACTCTCCGGTCGCTTGCGCTTCCGTGGCGGTGGGGGTGCCTTGTAAAAGCAGTCGAACTTGCCTTTTAGACAACTCGAGCATGATGGGATAGACCTGTCGCATTTGATCTTCCGGCGTACACAGGGCTGACAGTTATAAGGCATAGGGCTAGTATGTTCTGGTAAGGTCTGTATTGATGCAGGAGCGATTGCCACAGGCCGAGACTGCATAGTGAGTCTTAAGTCAGTGACGGCTATATTATAACGTGATGTGAATTCCGATTGTCAACTTGTGTTCAGTCCGTAAGCACTAAAAATGATATGAAGGGGTTTCCAGGTCACGGGCCGGAACTGCTGGCCAGTACGGGCCCGAAGCCAATCCGACCATCCTATTGGCTGCACAACCATCCGCTCAGGGCTGTCTCCTTCTACAGGAACATATAAAAATCCCATATGTCCTTCATTCTTGACGAAATCGTGCAGCGGTTATTCCGTCCTTACATATATCATATACCACGCCAAGATGGTCACCCAACTACCAAAAGAGCAAGATCTAGAAGCCGCCAGGTCCCAGTCAGAGAACGAAACCGAGTCGACCGACCCCAACCTTGTTACATGGGATGGACTGGAAGATGCAGAGAACCCAAAAAACTGGCCCCAGAAGACCAAATGGCGGAACACCATTGCCGTCTCTATATTCACCTTCATCTCGCCGGTTTCATCTTCCATGGTCGCGCCGGCGCTGTCCCAGTTAGGTGTAGACCTCCATATGCAAAGCGACATCGAGGTCGAATTGGCTTTATCAATCTTCATTCTTGCTTATGCAATCGGGCCGCTGTTTTTCGGTCCAGTTTCGGAGATTTATGGGCGTGTGCACGTCTTGCAGGTTAGCAATCTATGGTACTTCGCATGGAATCTGGGTTGTGGTTTTGCGCAGGATCCCGCTCAGCTGTTTGTATTTCGGTTTCTTGCAGGCATTGGGGGAAGTGCCCCGGTTGCACTAGGAGGGGGAGCTATAAGGTAAACCCGACGCATATACCCTTTCCTTCCTCTGCTGATGGGCCGTCACTTAGCGATATTTGGCCCCCCGAGGAGCGTGGAAAGGCCATGGGGATCTATACTTTAGCACCCATCCTTGGTCCGGTCGTCGGTCCCATTGTCGGAGGATTCATTGCCCAGTACACGACATGGCGTTGGGTGTTCTGGTCGTCTAGTGCTGTTGCTGTTGCCATTCAAGTCGTTGGCTTGATCTGGTTGCGTGAGTCACATCCCGCTACTGTCTTGAACCGCAAGAGGGATCGTCTGGCCAAACAAACCGGAAACGACAAGCTGCACACTGGCATGGGTACAGTAAGCCTTTCAAGCAAGCTTGGTCGCGCTCTAGTGCGACCGATGCGTCTATTCGCCACCCAGCCAATTGTGATGGTGATCGCTGTATATATGGGGTATCTCTTTGGGACAATGTATCTGTTGCTGGCCACATTTCCCACCATCTGGGGTGCTCAATACGGTGAAACCCAAGGCATCGCCGGTCTCAACTACATCTCGATCGCGATCGGCTCCTTTGTTGGCCTCTTCCTTAACTTTTTCTTAATCGATCGCATCTACCGAAGCTTGAAGGAAAAGAACTCCGGCGTTGGAACCCCCGAGTTCCGCGTGCCGACCATGTTCATCGGGTCAGGGATGATCACTATCGGCCTCTTCTGGTATGGTTGGAGTGTACAGAGCCACATGCACTGGATAATGCCTAATATTGGCGTCGCCATCTTCTCTGCCGGAACCATGGGATGTCTGCAGGGGATGCAAACCTATATCGTGGATAGCTATGCGACCTACGCCGCCAGTGCCATGGCGGCCTGTGCTCTTCTTCGTAGCTTGGCTGGGTTCGCGTTCCCACTCTTCGCTCCGTATCTGTACAAAGCTCTGGGCTATGGTTGGGGCACCAGTGTACTGGCCTTCATCAGCATAGGGGCTGGGTTCTCCGCGCCTTTAGTTTTTTGGTTTTTAGGCGCCAAGCTGCGTGCTGTGTCAAGGTACGCATCTGGCTGAAACTCAGCATTCCGTATGAATACAATAGGAGAGTAATCCATGGACGATATATATTGTTGCTTTTTATAGACGGAGTACAGTAAATCCCCCACGTGGAATGGATAACCGTACTTCAACTCGACTAAATGTTAACAACCCTATCAAAGCATACTTTAGACACTCACAAGTCATGTTTTTGTCCCTCTTAACCTGGCCTGGCGTTATTCCAACTGATTTGATCTAAGCGCGGAATTCTTCAGAAAAGGCCGATTGGTTATCAGAAAGGCCTATGGGTCTCGGCAGAGGAACGAAACAAGCCTCGACCCACCATGATAGGCTGCGTTGGTCCGTGGCTCCCTGCTTTGCTTGTCGCTAGAGATTTAGCCTGACGCCGATCGCGACTTCGCCCCCAAAGGTCATCACCAACCCTGATGAGGCTGACACTGATTGGGCCAACACGAGCCTCGCGGTCGCTTTTCTTCCATCTCACTGGAAAAGGATGATTTGGTTTCCCCTCTGCTGGTCTTTCCTCCCTGTCATACAGTACTCTCCGTACGACTGGAGAATTCAGGATGAGTGATAGCGAGGATGGTTCCGAGCAAGATACATCCTCCACGGTACACGCAATGGACATTGACCTGCAATCACAGCTTCCGGATGCTATTAAGCGGGGATCGGTCGAAGAGGTGAAACGCTTACTGGGGTACGATAATGCGGTCAGCATCCGCTTCGACTATCATTTCGAACAAGAAAAGGATATTAGTACCGGCGTGTCTCCCATCGCTCTTGCTGGCGGATTGGGCCAAAATGCGATCGTGCGACTCCTCCTAGATCACGGAGCCAAGCTCGAGACGGCAAATATAGGCAATGGCTCGACGGCACTACACCTTGCCGCTAAACATGGTCAGCTGGAGACGGTTGAGCTATTGCTGGACAATGGGGCTTGGGTCAATGATGTGAACGATTTCAAATATACCCCCTTTCACTATGCTTGCTGGGAGGGTCACCTTGACGTGGCGAAACTGCTTGTGAGTAGAGGGGCAGAGATCGAGACTGTTGACAAAGACGGCTGGAACGCCCTTATCTTCGCCTGCAATAAAGGACATAGACATGTCATTCGGTGGTTGCTAGATCTTGAGGTCCAGTCTGAACGCAATGGTCCCGTCAAGCGCGTCAACCGAAACCAGCAGTGCAACAAAGGCTGGACACCTATCTGTCGAGCTATTATCGGAAACTACTTCGACTGCGCCCAGGAACTGCTGCACGACCCCGAAGTTGATCTGACAATCCGAGATGAAGAAGGTGATTCGGCCCTTTCGGATGCCGCACGAAAGAATTCCGCTCTGCTTATGCTGGATATCATGGCGATGGCGACGTACTTCCCTGATGACCCAATCAGCATGACAACGTGCATCGCTACGCCATATGAGTTTGAATATATCGAGAAGGGGTTTCTCAACAACTTTGCCCAAGTGATCCGCCACCCGGAAGGTCTGGAGCTGGCGATGTACTGGGGAGTGACGAATGGCAGTGTACCGCTGGCGCAACAGTGTCTCTATTATAAGCCAGACTTAGCGACTTGGTCCCGGGCGGGCGCAACCTGGCTCCATGTAGCAGCCAAATATGGACATCATGAATTGCTTCGGGCACTTGCTGCGCGACACATTGACCTCAGTGCGAAGGCCGATCGCGGCATGACTGCCTTGCACCTGGCGGCTGCTGGTGGTCATTCGGGTGCTGTGAAATACATCCTGGAAATCCTGCGAAGCAGAAAGAATGGAAGGATGCACCAGACAGGCTTTCCGGGATCCAGTGCTCTGGCCTCGCCTCCTGGGCTCGAACTGGCTCGATGCGTGATGGAGGAGAATGATGATCACGAATCGCCCATCAGCCTCGCCGGGAAGTCGAGAAATCGGGAAGTGAAAAAGATTTTGTGGGGAGAGATTGAAACGTTTGTTCTGACTACTCGAGAATTTTTGGAATTCCTTCCAGTAAATCTCGAGCGATTCATGGAACTCGCGGCTCAGTTCGAGCGACCGGGCAATGAACGAATCCTGACGCTTCTATTGCAGCAGACGAGCAATCGGAACCCTGTGTGCAGCTCGAGCCGTTGGACCGCTTTACACTGGGCTGTTTACTGCTCTCGGGCGGTTCTCGTGTGGTGGTTGCTCTCCAATGGAGCCCATTTAAGAAGTGAAGAAATTCAGACTGCCTTGGATATTATCAAGGACAAGCCCGACCGCGGGTATGCTACTTCGCAGGTAGACCTTCTCATCGCTGACCTTCTGAAGAATCCACCTGTGATCATGGCCCCGGCAGTTCATGAAGATGACTATCATATACCAGAGCTTCCGGAGTTTACGGACGACGCCGGGGAGTTCCGTGACCTTGAGGGCGTAATCGCGGATTTCTATTGCGATGAGGAGGCGGTAGATTTCCAAGTTAAAAAGAGAAAACTGAGCGAGATAATTTACGAACGAGGCCCGGCGAGCATTATGGCAAGCACTGATCGGGGTAACTATACTGATCTGGACGGATTCATGGAGCGACTCAAGGATATTCATCGTCAAACAGTTCCCAGGCCAAGCTTCACCACAGGGGAAGCAATGGGTAGCAAGCCTGGAGTGCTGCACGCAGCCTCTACGTTAGGAGCGTCGGAAAAGGCCCCAGATGTGTCTCGTGGAAAGGAATCCAGTGGAAATAAGGGCAAGGCAGGGCCTAGGGTTGAAAGGCAGCGTGGGTTCCGTTGGATACATATTCCTGCCAGTAATGTGAGTGAAGGCTGTCGTACATCATATTTTAAATTGTGCCGTGACATTAACTTACTTGCAGGTCAAAGTAGCAGAGGTTTGTGTGTAACTATGCCCTAGCGTTTAGAGCACCATTCATTGCTAATCGCTCAATATAGGATCTCATCACCCGCATTATAATTGACTCGGGAAAGACCAAACGCCAACACGCCCCTCTCGTTAACCTTCTGAAACAAAGCTGGATTGAGGTCGCTGCCGGTGGCGGGAAGCGATACATTAAGCCGCAATGCAGTGTAGGTGGAGCAAGTCCTTTGTTGAGTCATGAACAAGTCCTAACATCTTGAAAGAGAAGAGCCATTGATCTTGAAGGGATCTCAAGCGGAGACAGACCAGCCATGAATTACAGTACGGGGATGACGCACGACGAAGGGGAAAATGCAGACTCAGGCTCGTCGGCAGATACGTCCAGCGAGGACGAGGACGAGAACCAGGATGAAAAGAAAGATTCTCAGCAAGAGGACCTAAAGGGCTCCGCACTATCACTATCGAAGCATAAGGATATCGTTGCCCTCTATGTATGCACTCCCTCATATGAGCTTTGGTAGACACTATTCTTACAAGAGGCACAGATGCCTTTTTTGACGGTGGCTGAAATTTCAGCAGACACCGGTAGTCAAGGTAGTCAGGATCAACGGCAAACTGTTGTATCACGCACGGTGCAGAGCCACAACTCCGATGAAACCGATCCCGCAATAATCACACACGAGACCATGACCTTGGATCAGTACTACTACTCCACCATTCCTGACAGTACTGAGCGGGACCATGATCAAGTTCTCTCGCGGTATCTTGCCTGGCAGGAAACAAAAGACCAAAAGGATGCCCAGGCCCACTCTAGAGACCGAACGCAAGGAGAAGAAGTTGTCAAGATCCTCTCCGTCGATCAGCTTTGGCTTTGGATTATTGACAGCGGTACGCAAGAGATGCTGCTAGCTCGCATGTCGTCAGACTAACGCTTGATAGCGACCATCATCACCGCCACTACAAGTGACTTTGACGATTTCGTAGACGTTGTTCTAGATACGCTTGTCTTTGGGGAGACCGCAGGATCGTTCCAGCGCCCCAGGTCTGTCGGATCAATGATGGAGTGCATTGTGACCCTCGCCACTGGGCCTCGCCTCCAAAGGGTTTCAGTCAAGGGCCTGAAAAAGCTGAAGGAGCCGTTGGAGATCTTTCGTGAATCCATTAGGCGTGTGGTTAGTGCCAGACCCCAGCGTTACGAGACAAGACTGACCCATTCAAAACGGATAGGCCGACACCGAGAATGAGCTTTCCCGGACTTTCATCGAGTCGGTTGTGGGGAGGTACCACACTCTTCCGAAACGAGATGTCGGTAAGGAGTTCCGTCTTCTGTACGAGATTAAGGATATACGGGATGAGTTGAATATGCTCAAAACCCTGGCCGAAGCCCAAGAGACCGTTTGGAAACAAGCATTCGGTGCTCGAAATTCGGCAGATGGTTTCGAGTTCGAGTATTACCATCCTCACACACCAGTGGATACCAAACTCGAGATTTTAGAAATGACCCGCGAAGCTGAGTCGACGCAAGACGCAGTCAGTGTCTTTCAGTGCCACAATATCCTGTGCCCCTCAGCTGACCCTTTTCAGATAAACACGCTGTTAGATCTAAGGCAGAAGCATGCTGGTAATCAAGACGCAGAGTTTGGACGACAGCAGGCAAACACGACTATGGTCTTCACCATTGTAACCATTGTCTTTGTGAGTTATCTCGCTTGCCCTGGACGGTCCTCGCTCTAGCTAACAAAGCTGGTCAAAAATAGCTTCCTCTCTCGTTCCTGGCTTCACTGTTTGCCCTGAACGTGACGGACTTCCCTCATGAGTCAGGCAATGTTTCTTATAAGAGCTGGTGGATTTTCCCAATCCTCTGTGAGTGGTCCATATTTCGGCGCGGGGCACTTAAGCATTGGTGCTCATTCTTCTATAGTTGGATGCTCCGCAGCGGTCTCGATTCCGTGTATTGTCATCGCCTTCAATGTCAATGAATTCATTATGCAGCCCTACCAAAGTTGGAGACTTTCAAAGCGACCAGCTCAACGTTCTCTAAATCTACATTATCAGCCATCGTTGGTGCGAAGGTTGACCGGGAGAATGGCGAGTCCTACTCAGGGCATCGGTCTTGCGTCGGTTGAACCATTTCCAAAGGAGGTACTGGTCACATACGAAACTGTCTCGCGAACAAGTGCGGATGGAAGGCTCCCTTCATACTATCAGAGGTTTATGAAGGGAGAGCTGTATGGTCATCGACCGTCTCGAGACGACGGCGATTGTGAGAAACAGGGCGCATGAGTAGACCTCTAGAGCAGACGTACTGTATGTCTCAGCATCCTGAATCTAAAAGGCGCTTAGCAAGGTGGTTTTTGAAGTACTAATGGCATGATAAATTCAGTGTATCTTTCTGGTATGGATGAACTCCTGTTCAGGTACTAATCAAGCGTCCATTGCTAGACAACCTAACCGGCAGAATATCGCATTAAAGAATAATATGAAATTTAAATCAATTGCTCATACCGAGTTCTGTCTCTACATGACTCAAGTATTATGTTCCGTCGTTCATTTGATTTTTTTTTCTCTCGTTCAGATCCTTCCGCAAGTGAAGCCAACCCTTCTTTCCAAGCTTGGAGGTGCTTGGAGGTACTTATTTCATCCGTGATGGCCCAACTTCCATATCTAAACCCAAGAGGTCTTCCCGCCTGTGGGGGGACAGATCAGCACCCAGGATATTTGGGCACGTTGATTATAAGCGTTATATGCTGCAAGAATCGGGAACAATCTACAAAGAGTTCCAATGAGTCGACATAGCACAAGGACCATGTATCCTCCCTTACTTTTCAGATGGATTCCTGATGAGTTGCTGAGAGAAGCGACCTGACATCATGATCTAAAAATGTATTCCACTGGTTAAGAACTTGCAGGCCATTCATCAGAGATCCATCATAACCGTTCGCAGAAGAGAACATGACCAAGGAGAGAATAATGGAATTGAGGCGAAGAAGATGGCCTTGCTTGTACCACGCAGGCTTGTCTGCCGGGAGGACCGCTGTAAGCTTATCATCTCCAGCAAGCCAGTGTCTGCTCTCGGTCTAGGTGGCACCCAGGTGTGGTGGATGTACGTATAAATACAAGGATCAGAGAAACTAGGACGTTGAAGAAAGGATAAAAAAAAGGGATGATGCAGGCTTTATCTGACTCTGATCACGAGTGCAGGCACAAATGGGAACTTGAACTCTTTTAGGGTTCCAAGATTGAGGCATGAACTCAGGATTCCGGATCATGTTCGAGCGTACGCCAGAAGCACTCTCGGTAGACACCAATCGGTGCCAATCGGGAAAAGCCAAGAGCGTGGGCTAGAGATATGCACCTAATTAGAGCGCACATGGAGGTGATATGCTCAAGATCAAGCAGCAAGTGTGTGGAGAAACTTGGGGAATCCCGGGAGACGATAGTGGAGCATCGTGGAGTGAAAGGAACCGGGGAAACGGAGAAAAGGAGAAACGTAAACAAGGGCCCATGCACATAAAAAAGGATCCGGATCGACCCCGCGTGATGGCAATACCCGTCCAATTCTTTTTTGCAGAATAAATATAAGCGAGGGAATTGGCGTCAGATATCTGCAATATGCCATTCGTTGAGCCTGTCACCGATGAGACCGCTAGCGGTTTCGATCGCATTGCGACGGCGGATATTGACCAGATTCTACAACAGCTGACTCTAGGCGAAAAAGTTGCAGCGAGGTATTCCCCGCAGTGTCTTCTACAGGAGATCGAGGGACTGGCGCCGTCCATATCCTCCTCTCAGCATTAGCTATCAAGGTTCATGCTGCCAGTATGTACAGGACCACCTTCAGGGGCCAGCCAGGCATACCGTTTCTTGGAGCCCCGTGCTTTCGATGGAGACAGGAAGACACAGGCCAGGCCCAGTCTCTCACACCTCTCACATCGTATCTGAGTCCGATGACACTTGATCTTCCGCCTCCAACAGATATCACAAGCTTGAGTGGAGAGATCCACACCGATTGGGGGGGTTCAATGACACCCTCACCGTGCAATCTCATAATGCTCAACGGGTTATCCCCCGGAATGAATTGAGTGATTGGAGAATCAAAGATCCAAATACATATCAAAGCGATACCCCTGGCGGTCTTGTTAATTCACCGACAGTAATCACCTGATGGGGACCCCCAAACGGTATAGCCCGCCAGCAATTGATAGCCTCAGGCCCCTATTAGTCTAGACCCTATTCATGTATTCCTTGCAACTTGAAGGACTTATAGTATAGTAGCTTATCGATAAACACTGCGTATTTGAACCACTCTAATACAAACGGCTCATGTAGGTGAACTATGAAGATGTCAAATAGCTATTGAACTTGTGTACCGAAACCCTCACTATAGTAGTGGGTCGTGGCCCTGCATATGTCGGAGATTTGTCTGAACCGTTACTATATATTTTTGGGGCTATTTGCGCAATGTAGGCATATAAAAGCTAGAAGAACACACAGATGTCGGGTCCATTACTAGTACTATAAACTACTATAAGTTGTGGATTAAGTGCTCTCGCATCGACTTTAGTTAAAGATCATTTTACGCGACAGCTGTCATACAATCTTTAACTAGCTAGTGGTGATGAACCCGGTCACGTGGATGGGAGCGGATTTCAATCTCGAAGTGGAAGATTTTCAAAAAAATTTGCCCCAACGACGGATGTTGGGAAATGGCGAGATCTGATTACTCAAAGGGGTTTGCGTGCCATGACTGGCTGCCGGGCGACCAACTTCCGATATGCCGAGGTTCCCTTTTCTGCAAGTTCTGGAATCTTTCCTTAACTGTATCATAGATCATCCATATATCTAATTGAATTGATAGACCGATCCTTTGTCCTTTCTGTGTATCTACTAGTTTTCTTTCTTTTTTAATACACTAATTTAGATTAAATCCTCATGGAGGCCATACAATCCTGTCTCTCCTCCCTCTGGCAGTCGGTCGGCTTCTGGAAAGCGGCCGCCATCTTCTTTGCCTTGCTGAACCTGAAGACTCTCCCAATCGTCTGGCACGTACGTGTATCCCCTGCTAATCATGGAGATCAGATCAGTTCACTGACAGTCTCCCCAGATCCGGGTGTACCGCTACTTCTTCAAAAATGGCTACCTTATCACCCCGGCTGTGCAACAACCCCCTCGCCCTTCGAACGAGATCCTGAATCCCGTCAGCATCTTCTCCCGTGCCCCGATCATGGAACTCGATTTCAACATGCACAAGTCCAACTCCACCTACTTCTCCGACCTCGACGTGTCCCGGACCGCTCTGATGTCCAGTCTCGTGGTGAAAGGCGCCGCGCTCTTGGATAAGAACTTGGGGGCGGAAGGTAAGAAGGGTCTGCTGGGTTTCATCCTTGGCAGCGTCTACACCAACTTCAAGAGAGAGATTCCGGCCTACATGAAGTACGAGGTGCAATCGCACATTGCCAGTTTCGATCAGAAGTGGATCTACATCGTCACCTATTTCCTCAAGCCGAGCAAGGGGTCATCAAAGAAGTGTCCGGACGAAAACAACGAGGCTTTGATGAAGAGGTTACTGGCAGTGTCGATCAGCAAATATGTGCTCAAGAAGGGCCGGTACACCGTTCCTCCGAAGGATGCATTCGAAGCTGCGGGCTATACTCCTCTGCTCGACACGAGTGCTGTCAACGGTCACTCGACCGGGGTTGCGAATGGTCATGCGAATGGACACGCCAATGGCGCTGCTGCTCAAAGGAAGGAGACTGCCGATAGCAAGTCCGACGAGTGGGACCGCCTGAAGGCCGAGATTGACCGGGGATTGACCATTGTGCAACCCTTCATTGACCAGGAAGAGAAGCTCATGGAAGACTATGTTCACAAGATGCGTCTCCCTGGATTTTCGTAGAATAGAGTATATAGAGGACACATTGGCTTTTGTATGATAGACCTGTCTTATTCTTCGGGGGACTTCTTTGGTTTTTCGGGGTTTGGTAAGGTATAGATTAATGATGATTTTCCAGGAATTGATTTTACATAGTCGCACCGGTTTCTTCTCTTATACCTTCCTATATTTGAGTAAAATCTAAGAAATGCAGTGGCTGGAAAAGTATATTCGGTCGCTTGGATCCTCGGACCCTCGAAGTTCCTTCCGAAGCCCTAGAGGGACAGAAAGAGAGAAAGAGAGAAGGACATCAAGGTCATTCATTCGCAACTACCGGGCCATGTAGCCTTCTAGCAACCACGATTGCCGCTTTATCCGTGGAGGTGCTGTCGATCGACGCCTATGAAGCGTTTTGGCGACATTGCAGTAGGATGATATTATGCTTCCCCCCTACTATAAGACAGAAAGAGTGCCTCTCTGGACATACAAACTATCCATCAATTTATTTTGCACTACTACATCAGTCCGTTATTATATACTCCATACTTTTCCTACTCTAAGATGTTCTACTAGCCTGGTGTTACCTAGCATGGTCTTCCTCATGACCCCTTCAAGTTACATACAACGATCTCCGGTGATCTGCCGAGCGATCGAATCTATCCACGCTGACATGGACTCTGCTGTAGGCCTGCGTATCCCACGGCCCATTGGGTGGATTTCCACCAAGAATAAGAAAGGGCAATGCAACCTCGCACCGTACTCTCGTTTCAATAATCTGACTTTTGACCCACCATATGTCATGTTTTCTTCCAACCAGACCGCTACCGGCGACCGTAAGGATATGGTGGTAAACGCCGAAGAAATTGGAACTTTTGCCTGGAACCTGGCCACCTGGGACGTCCGGGAAGCGGTTAATATCGCAGGGGAGCAGACACCCGCACGGACAAATTCGAGCTGTGCAACGTCACCAAGGAACGGCCAACTCTCATCGAAGTCCCGATGGTGAGAGAGTCCCCTGTGAAGTTCGAATGCGAGTATCACACCACCGTCCGCTAACCGGGAAATCCACCTAAGGGGACCGTGGATATTGCCATTGGCAAGGTTATCGGGGTCCATATTGGGAATGAAGTGCTCACGAACGGCTCGCTCGATATTAAGAAGACACAGCCAATTACTCGCTGCGGCTACTACCAGTACGCTGTGACTCGGGATACCTTCGAAATGATAGTTCCCAACATGTCGGCGGATGTTTTATATGGTTTGGAGGGCAATGCGACTCGTAACCACAAGAAGAATGAGGAAAATGAGAAAGAAAAAAATGCCAACAAGTAGAGACCTTCGAGGCTCTATTTACTACATACGCTACTTTCTTGCCAACCATCGCTGTCTTGAATTGCACTGAATGTGAATTAGAATAATTTACCGGTCTACCAGGAGGTTAGGTTTGTCCTTCTAGGCTCGGCAAATGTGAATCAAGAGCATGTACCAAGCATAAGGTGGATCCATCCTAAATGTTGCCTTGGCTATAGAGTAGAATCTTTCAGAGAAGGTACTGATTGTTCTTTGCCAGTGCTCGTCTATCCTATCATTAATCTCTGACAATGGTATATGCGCACGAACCTGATCTATTTCAAGTATGATATAAATTAAGCCAAGATAGAAATTAAGTTAACACAGTTAAATACATAACCCCCATGACGGCAGGGACACTATTATTTCTGCCCTGCCATCTTCAACGCACCCACGTCGGGAAGGATATAAGCCCCAGCAAGTGTTTCCATTTACAGGTTACCCTGGCCAGCGCTGGAGGCAGGGCCAGTGCTGGCAGTGTCAGCGGCGGCGACGGTCTCACCCTTGAACTTGGAGAGAACGTCGACAGTGGTGCCGGCAAGATCGCCAGAGCTGGTGAAGGAGTTGGCCTTGCAAGCGCGGCCGATGTAGGAGCTGCAAGTGGCGGAGTCGCTGGAGGCGGAGAAGAGCTCACCCTGGAAGGAAGACTTCTCGACAGCGGCCGTGACATCGGCGAAAGTGTTACCCTCCGCGAGGACGTAGGCACCGGTGCCGATCTCGAAGGCGTGGTTGGAGTTCTCGTTCCAGTAGTTGTTGACAGCGTGGAGGTAGGTGTTGCCCTGGACTTTGGGGGCACGGCCGCTGGTCTTGTAGAGGTAGTTACCCTTCATGGTGACCTTGTCGCTGGAGCCGTCGAGGTAGACATTCCAGTAGTGGTGGCCGTCGCAGGTGGCCGAGTAGTCGGATTCTCCGTTGATGAAGTTGTTGGAGAGGGTGACACGGTTGTCGGCCTCGGTTCCGAGGACGTAGTGCTGACGACCGATGCGAGCAGTCTGTGGGAGATTGGGTCAGTTCTTGGGACTCCCTCTTCCCGATGATCTGAGATCGGGGAAAAGACGTACGGTCACATGGTCAATCCAGACAAGGTCGGCCTGGTTGATAGTGATGGCATCACCACCCCAGACGTACTTAGGGTTGATGTCGGTGACGGCAATGTTCCTAGACAAAACTGATCAATACCTGCTCTTCGTAGGGGGCATGGAGTGTATGGCTCGTCACGTACTGGACAATGACGTTCTTAACACCGTTGACGATACGGAGACCCTTGCCCTTGATCACACCCTTGGTACCCTCACCAACCAGAGACTTGTTGGAGTTGACGGTGATACCGAGAGAACCGGCGTTGTCGCTAGGACGGATTAGAGAAACTCGGGATGTACGCGTGGAACTCACTTACTAGGTGACTGAGGTGGAGGGAGCGCTGGACTCGTAGTTGGTGCACCAGTCGTCCTTGTTGATGGCGACCTGGCACGCGGAGCCAGTACCCCAAGGAGCGCAACCAGTACCAGTGGTGGTACCCTCAGTGTTGGTGAAATCGAAGGTCTTGCTCAGAACAATCACACGGGCCTCGTCATCACCGAGGTAGGAGACCAGCTCGTCGGTGGTGGAAGGGTAGACGGCGGTGGCGCTGCCACCACCAGTTGCGCTGGATGCGAAGCCCTCCGCGGTGCCGGAGACACCAGCGGCCAAGGCCTGGGAGGCGAGGGCGGCAATGGTCGTAAGAACAGCAGCGTACTTCATCCTGGAAGTTTATTTTCGTGAGGGATTGAGATAGTATTAAAGAGCGGCAAGAAAGGCAACAAAGGAAAGCAAAGAATGACAGTAGTGAGAATGCGTGTGTTGAGAGAGAGGGAACAAGAAGCCTCCCAAAACAGCAGACCTCTCATTATTATATCTGATTTCCTCCAGCGCCAGCGCCAGCACCATGGCCGTTTCGGCCTTGTTAGGGAGTGTCATAGTGGGTGGGGAGATATAGAGTAATTTCGAACAGCCTCCACAGCCAGATGAAGAAGGAATGAACGAATCAACATCTGAATGGGCCAGCCACTATACATGGTGAAGCCTTCGCCGATCTTGACGGAGTCTACATTGGATTGGGTAGGTGATCGTCAGCATCTATGAAACAACTCCACTATTTCCAACCGGAAAAATATCGGTTCGGCATTGGCGTACCCGTTGTTTGAGATAGTCGTTTCAAGTAGATGGGCATGTCTTTGGCTCATATTGTGCTCGATTTATTGGTGGAATCCGACGTCCTCCGATAGAAGAAACAGCATGACGCGGCAGCCCCAGCACTGGAATTAGAGAAATTGGCCTTTACCCCGTCTATCCCGACCTTGCCTTCTGTGTTTTTTTTGCCATGTTATTTTTTGTTTCTCTTCTTCTTGTGTAAGAGTGTGTATTGTCATTCTGCCCTGGCAGATGAACATGATTGCCGGGAAACTGTTGCAGAGAGAGTAAGTATGCTTGATGATCATTTTCTCTGCCGTGAGGTCGGGACCCATTAGGGCTGGTCCACACTTGCCCCAACGCCAAACTAAAGAACCATGCAATTTCCGCTGCGGAATCGGATTCAGGATTGACAAGAAGTAAAGCTGATTCGGTTTAATCTTTTAAGCTTAATTTATCTCTTAATCTACGCTGATCCAATTAGAGGGCGTCCCCCTCCCTGTTGTCTGGTTGCGTCTTGTGGTCGCCGCCGTTATGGTTATAAAACGTGGATATTTAATCAACCCATCCACTTTTGTCTATGATGAATGTGTTTCCAAAGGGCACATTTCACTCAGGAGATTAAGGGGATGGTATCTCAATATACTCGATGACGACAGCCTGTCGGGGATTCCTACGTGGGATAGTGTTTGACACTACCCCTGCCCTTTCTGACAGGGTATTGTACGGTTCAGATCACATCAATTATGGATGTATCGTGAGACGAGTTTACTCAGATCTGATCAGGTGAATTTGGCGAGAGACTCCACCAAGGTGGTTCCCTTATCGTAGCGACAGTGTGCCAGACCACCGCTTACCGCACTACGTGTGGCGGATGAAGCTATTCGGCCCGGACACACTTACCCCAAGTATCTTGTCTTCTTGGTTCACAGAATCGACATACTGACTGAATGGTCGTATGACTGTACTTGGTATATAGCAATTCTCCTTTGCAAGCGTACTGTGGCTGTGACTGAACACCGGCCAATGAGGGTTTCGGCCATAGATTACATGCCCACCAAAACATTTGGCAAGGCAAACATTTACGGCAATTAGATGGCGATCCCTTATATCAATGTCTTACATATTCAGTTACAATGGGATGAACTAACGGCATAACTGCTCACTTCTCGACGAAAGAAAATGACTCTATGCTGGTGAACTTCGCATAGATGGCGTGAACTTTCCCTCTAGGTGGTGTCTCCTTACATCAGGGCTGGGAGCTGTCGCACCAAAACCACGTAAGTAAAGCATCGGTTGGATTGTCTAACTGTACGGATGACTGAATACACAGAGGTTCAACACAGGATACTTGCTATTCAATACAAGTGCAGAGTGGTTGACAACGCCTCCCACTCCTTCACGCCAACACCAGCATATTGCCCCTTAGCACCAGAGGCAACTAAAATTGCGCGTATCGCACTAGTATACACCGTCTCGAATGTCACTCTTTCCGGTTTATCAATCACTTCTAGGGGATACAACGAGGTGTTCATGGCCCGTTGCCACGTGTCCGAGTTGTCCTTGTACTCGATATACCATTCCTGAGGAGGAGCAACGCCCACGTCCGCTCCGGCAGGTTGATCGGCGAAAAATACCATGGATGCCCCATTCAGCTGCACCGTCTCATTCCAAATATAAACGAGCGTGCTGATCTCGGGGGAGTTCGCCGCGTCGTAGGAGCACCAGTAATCAGGTGGGAGAGGGTTCTCACGGACCACCCCATCATTCAAGGCCTTTACCCAGTATTGAATAGGAGTCGGATTTATAGAACTTGCTACCGCTTGGGGTGCCACGTTATATGTAGGCGGAGCCGGTGACCTGGGTTCAAGGGTTTGTTGAATCACATCTATCCTAGCAGGGGTTTGACTATCATCCCAGGCGAGCTTGTCAAAGGCAACACTCCGCCGGAAATGGCCTCCTCCCACCGCGTCCGCAGTGTGGTACACCAAATACCATTCACCATTCCACTCGACAGCGCCAGGATGAGAAGTGGTGGAGGATACAATCGGAAGGATTACATCTTGGAATGTCCAAGGGCCCATGGGGGAGGACGCGGTTCCGTACGCTATACACGCGTGGTATGAGGTCGGGGTACAAGGAGAATCCAGTGCAGCATTGTTCGCTGCAAAGAGCATGTAGTAGATACTGTGTCGCTTCATCAACCAGGGTGCCTCAAAGTATCCCGTCAGGCTAGTGACTTGCGTCACATTCGATTTCACCGTGACCATATCGGAGTCAAGTTGATATCCGAGAAGCTGCCCAAAAGTTCCAAAGTAGATATACACTTGCCCGTCGTCATCAACCAGGACGGTGGGATCGATATTCTGAATCGTATTGCCCGGTGGTGGCACAGACTGTGAGAAGATCGGCCCTGAAGGGTGGGCGTCCTGGAAGGGGCCAGTCGGGGCGTCCGAGACGGCAACGCCGATCGCGAAGGTATCTTGGTTAGTGCTCTCGGCTTGAGTAACCGGGGCGTACATGTAGAATCGGCTATCAGGACCCTGCACAACTTGCGCGGCATATGCACTACCGGATTCAGCCCAGGCGAATAGCTCCTGGGGGTCGGCAATGTCGGGATACAAGGTCCACTCGCCCCCTTCGGGCTTCGCGGACGACGAGGCAAACATCCCCCATTGGTTCATCACGAAGGCATATTCATTGGACGGTGCGCTATCACGTCCGGTGATGATATAAAGCGTGCCATTGACGACCAAAGGGGCAGGGTCCCCAGAGTACCACAACCCGTTGGATAAGATCGGGTTGCCCTTAGACCTGAATAAGAAGGGTGAAGAATCACCGACTTGCGCTGCCACAGCAGTGACCTGTAAGGCCAATTCGATTAACAACAGAAGCATCCTTTTCGAAGCGGATGAAGCCGACCATAGTGCCGTTGATCGAGCATCATCCCTAGTAGATTCAATCTTTATACTGGTTCCCATCTACCGATTGTTTTCCACGGAAGGACCCCCGAGGAAGATTCAGCAGAGGGTAAAACACAATTAACCGACTGGACCGAGCTATTAAGCTAGTTCTGCAGCTCCCATTCCTCCTGGCAGGCTGAAAAATGGCGTGTTTTGAGGTTTCGGCTTTTCCCAAACCCACCAATCGAAGCAACTCATTGTCAGTGTAGATAGTAGCGCCTGGAAAGAGATGGTTGAATTTTCTACGCACCTAAAAGATAGTTCCATAATATCATATCATTTTACTCTAGGGTTTGGTTGATGTTGGGATTTTGTTTATGGCGTGAGGGGCAGTGGGCGCTGTCTCTGCCTGAGGCAGCGAGAGGAACATCAACATCCCTTTTGGTCCCTGAGACATGCACACAAGATCACATCGAACGATGACGGGCCGCAAACGTCCCCCTAACCAGCCCCGACCGGAATGTTATTGGGATAAGCTGCTCTCTGCCCGTTTTGGCCATCACTGATCTATCAATTTTCCTTGTAGCGACCGAGGGGGACACGGGTACCGGCTGAAGAACCGGCGAGATCAATCTGCGAGACATAGATGCCGATTGCGATCGTCCGCTCAAGGCCAGATTACGGGGCAATACTATGACTGAGAAGCTATGAGTAGCTATCATTCTGGTTTATGGTACTCCGGCATGGGAGGATGCCGTCGCTTAATATGCTGCGCATGGGATAAGAAATCAACGGCCGAGTTTCAATGTTTGGAGAGGAACTGGGCCCTTGATCATGATTCAGTGAGCAACAGGGCGCTATATATCCTAGACGAGGAAATTCTTTAAACATTAGACTCACCGCAGCTGTCTCTATTTGCAACAGAATACTCCCACCGTGCCACCAGTTGACTGCATACTCGCGCAATCTGTAAATAGGTTCTTCTACGAATTGCATACTTTCGTCTTGATAAACGTGCTAACCCAGAGGTATGTCGCGCACGTGGACATTACTCTGGCTATGCTACAGGACTCGAATCTCGAAATTCAACTAGCAGATGTTGGATATGAGAGTTCTCAAACTATGACCCACGAAAGCCGTGCCAAGTCATCATATAATGCCCACGACCTATTCCTTGGCCACCGTAACAGTAACGGAGCCGTCGGATAATTTAACCCTGACACCTCCTCTGGTCTGTTCCCCTTCGGTGGTAACCGAGTACGTGTCCTTTGTGCCGGGACTTTCAACCCATACGATTGCCGTGGTCGTGTTGGAGACCGAGGAGACGAGCTGTAGTTCCAGAGAACCTGGCTTCGTGGCGGGAAACGAAAACTCTTTGATTTGGCCGGTACTGATTGTGACATAAACGCCTATCGATGCAACGTATACACGCCGTCGGACTGCATCGCGCGGTTGCACAGTGACCGTTTCGCCGTCCACTACCAGGTTGCCGCCGTACGCTATGGTGCCAACATCTGGGTCATCGACAACATACGTGCCGGAGCCGAGGATCATTCCAAGGAAGCTAGGGCCGTAGTCTCCAGAATAATCATCGCCCCGGAGCGTATCGGGGAATGAGTGGAAGGCATTGTACATCGAACCGTCTTTCCGGATATTGCTCAAGGGACCGGTAATGCCGCCGTACCCGACTCGAAGGAGATATGTATCGCTTGGGTTCCGCCGGAACTGAGCGAGAAGGGGCAGTGCGTTGAGGCTGGACCCATAATGATGGATCATGCGTTCAATCCGCTGCAGCTTCCCACCATAGCTGGATATTCTTAGCATCGCAGAGACATACGGGGAACGGAGTGTGATACATGAAGTCCCAGTAGCGCCGGGCGCTTCCATTCCAGCCCCAGTGTGATACCGTTGGCATGAGGCCCAGAATACTATTGATGGTCTTTGTCGACGTCTTGGTAAGATTGAAATAGCTTCGATCTCGTCAGTGTTTCTGCACAAGGAGATTTTGCGACGAACAGTTGAGCGAGGAGGTAGGGGGTTGGTTGACTTACTTGCTCCAGTAGTAAACTCCCTCCTGCCCGGTGCAGTCCCATGCCATCTCGCTACCAAAGGGCTCGGACTGCGAGTCCCATGCATCCGCTCGAAGTTTCATGGCGGTCTCTACTGCATCGGCCTCTTCGGTCCAGCCTTCCCGCTGAAGATCTGCCAGAAGCTCACCGACAACGGTCTCTCCCATAAGACCCAGACGAGAGTAACTAATTAGACCATTCCCGGCGGAATCGGTTGCGAAGCAGGCCACTGTCGTATTGTACGCCTGGCCCAGATACCACTGCCATGGGTGCACTTTGAGGAGAGAAGGATTGTCGCGACCGGCGCGATACAACGACCAGTATGCCCCGATGACGTGGATATAGTCATATGCGCGATCGGTGGAGTACGAGGCTTCCTTATTCCAGGACCACCAGTTTCCCCAGTCGATATTACCGCTGTATGTATAGCCGGGAAGTTGATCCCGGTCGTAGAAGAAGACGCTTTTCCGAACGGTAAAGTCGGGATTCTGGATGCTGCCGAAAAGCACTTTGGATGCAAATGCTTCCAGTTTAGCAACTTCCGCGGCGTTGGGAAGGCCGTGCTCTTTCATGGTGGACGCAAGAAATATGGCGCCACCTTCGTCCATCAGGCCCGCGATCCAAACGCGTGCCTCTTGCAGAACTTGTGCTTGTGTGGCAGCGTCCCAGGTGATGACGGAGGGAGCTCGGCCAAAGGGGTCCTGCCTATCGTCGAACCACATTGCAGTAGTGGAGAAGTTGCCGAGCTTGGAGATTACATCCGGGGCAGCATCTGTGATAAAGTAATGAACGGACTGAGTTTTTCCGTCGGCATATGTGATGGTGACTGTGGTTCGTCCCCAGGCTGACACAGTGGGAGAAAGGGCAATCGAGGTGGGCGAAAGCTGTGTGACCTCGAAGGCTTTGTCGTCGGACACGATCTCGGACACTTTGGCCGAATGAAAGAGGAACAGCTGTGCCGTGAGGTCGCGGGGAACGATGTAGCCCGTTCCGATCGCCAAGGGGGTGTTTGTCCCCTGGACAGCTTTCTGAATCTTGCGCACACCATCCTTCACTACGGAGAACCGAAGACCGACGGTGGTCGTTTCGCCGGGCTTGAGGCTCCGTGCGGTTGGCTTGTTCCACGGAGTCACCGTAGCCCATTCGTTCTCGGCATATGCCTTCGAATGAGTTTGCCACTCGTAGAACCCTTCAAAGGTCTGACTATTGTATCCCGTGTACTGGTCCGGTACCTCATCCAGGTTGCGCCAAGCTTCGAAGGGGGTACTGGTGTTGGCCAAGGGCGTAATGATTAAAGCTGGGCCCTGTCCAGACGTTGGAGTAAATTGTAGGTAGCCGGCATCGAGCCCGATGTAAGGGTCCACGAGGGAGCAGTGCGCGGTCACCTCATCGGCTGTGCGATTTGTAAAGATACTGTTTGCCTCAATTGGGAAGCCTAGACTGCCGATTTCCACGCTGCGATTGCCCGTGTTGGTGAGGGTAAAGCTCATGCCCAAGTCCCCGTCGACGTCTAGCCATTGGCGAACAACCTGTAACGCAGAACCGCTCGGTAGTGTGGGTTTCAGGTCTGCCGTGGCAAGGGCATCGGCATTGAGAGACTTGACAACAGTGCGAGCCTGGGAGGAATCGCCTGTGGTCCATCCCTCACCCCCTGTCTCGCGGTACCGGAAGGTGATGTCGCCGATATGGTATTGACCGTTAGCAGCTCGGTAGGGCAGATAATCGGACGGTAAGAAGTCGAACGATGATCCCGATGGCTTGAGAGATGCCAGAATCTGAGCGTCCGTCACAAGCTGGAGGTCAAAATTGCGCGTCTTTAGATTCGTATAGCCATTTGCTACTCCCAAGTCATCGCTCTGAGCCCAGACCAGGGCCGACGCTGATATCAGCGCCAGGAACATAGAGGAGCGCAGCAGCTCCATGGTGTAGGATCAGCAGGTAGGTCATTTAGGTCTATCATCCCCCCGGGAGAACACCTTGGCTTCAAATATCTTTTCCCCTGGCGATATATACTTGCCGAAATCCTGCAGCAAATGGCCTGACCCTGCATAAAATCCTGCGAATATAATTGGCGGAGGCGAGTTCATCCAGAAGGATAGATTGCTTTCTGAGACATCTCGCTGTAACCCTAATCAAAACCGCTTCATCCGGTTGACTCGATTGATATCAATGTGCGGAGTAAGAGTGGTATGCTCACATTGATTAATTGATACTTCGGTTAACTATTAAATCCCTTTTAACCCTTTTAACCGACGCCAATGCGACGATCATCGCTTTCTCCGCATGATGAGAACGGGTCCATTACTCCCCCTCTTTACACGCTTGTTCGCACCTCTTTGGGTACAGATGACGCCAGCTAGGGCCAACTAACCTTGCCAGAAAGCTATAAGAAGTATCCTTGCTTTTCCAATGCTGTTCACTTCCAACTACTTCGTTTTCTTAGGTCCCCCTTTCACATTCTACACTCACCTCGTCATGACACATCACTCCACCTACTCCAAAAATCGCTGCCTTTTTCCGCCCCTTTCTGGTCAGATATTGCGGCCGTGCCCTATTTTCGTCGCCTCTGCTTGCCAATGCCCTTCCCTGGCAGTTTTGCCAGCTGTTGAACTGATATTTTTTCCCCCACCCTGTCTTGAGATCTTGAGACTCACCTCCGTGAATTGATACAAATTTTCTACTCCCTCAGTTTTAGAATATGTGTTTATTTAGGGCCTTAATTTGCCTGCCGTTCTTCTAAGTACCTCTCCGACCTTCAACCTTTCTCATCACAGAATAGCTAATGCTTCAAGCCCCACGTAAAACAATCGATAAGTTGCCTACGTTCGACAAAAGCCTTAGAGGGATCGAGGGAGATTTGGATCCAACGCATACAATTGATACTAACAACGTAGATTAAACGGAACAAAACATAATCGCTTGAGTATTTCAAGGCCGACAATCCCAGTAGCCCACCGCTTTAGCGTTCCTTTATATGGTTCGCTCCCCCTTTAGTGACCAGTTTTGCGTTAAGAGTTATGATGGTGTCGAAGACGATGGATGTAAGATATTCTTCGGCCTATCTAAAGTCGATGAGTGAAGGAAACGTTGCCTGAAGGCAGTGTAAACCGGCTGTACCGATATACTGGAAATCACCTGGATACAATCACAAGATGAATCAATAGAGGGTTAACCTATTTTAAACAATTGGAGTTGCACGCTCTATCAACATGAAAGACTTGACGACGCTTAGATCTGAGGTATTAATTCCAACAATATCTTAGTCGTTTTCAGAAAACACAACGTGGTAAAGTTTGCCCTTATACTCTAGAGAAGATGTTAAGCAAAATATATACAAGGCAGGTATTACCTGGGCGAGGTTTTTTTGATACCATATTTGTAAAGTCTAGAACATTATATTGTGCCATTTGCCCTGATTGTATCATGCTATAATATTTTGACCACCTGTTTCAAACCTTCTCATATGTTCCACCAGCCGACCACGTTCTCGGAGAAGCTCTAACCCCCTACTTCTTCCCAGCGATAAGGAAGTCGGTCGTGCCACCCTTTGGCCCTGTGTCGATTATAAACTCGGGTGACATTATCAAGTGGCCATCCAATACAGGAAAAAGGCAACAGTAGAACTCCTTCTGGTACTGATCTTCAAGAGGCGATAAATTTGCCCCCACCGCCATGGAACGAGGGGCATTGGCCAGCTGACATGGTTGGAAATGAGTGATCGTATCGATCGCTAGTGGGAGGGGTGTAGTAAAGTCAAGGTTGTTGTCGGGGACAAGCGCAGTGAAAAGGGAGTGGCACAACATTTTATAGAACCGGCACTTATCACCTGTGAATCTGACTTGCAAATACATATTATATATGCCTTCCAGCTAGATATCGTATTCCTTAATTTTTCTGGCCATAAATTTAACATAGGGAATATATTTAAATATAGAGTTAGCTCTTTTATGTATAGAGGCAATCCTAGTTATATAGCAAGTAGTAAACTGTTACGATAACATCATATATAGGTGGTGGTTAGCGTATCGAACAAGAGGTTGGATATTTTGGTCTTTTTAGCTTAGTGGTTTAGCCTAACCCCGCTATGTCTATAACATAAACTAATTATTATATTCCTTTAAAAAACAGCTTGACCAATAGTTTTCTGGCTTCGTGCCTGTAATCTCTTTTATAAAGTTCTGTAGTATCTTATATGTAGGAGGAAGACCCTTTCTAGTAAGAGAATTAATCTATTTTATAAGTTCTTTAACCTGTTGGTTGTTGAGGACTCACTGATTATTGTATTACTCTTCTCAGGAGCGCTGTATACCTTAATAGAGTCATATTGACAAAGATATGGTGTTTTGAAATTACTGCTAAAAAGTCTCGGTGACTGTATATCAAAAAATCGAGCGTCAGGTGATCACCTACGGTACCATAGCCCCAAGGCGCGGCGTGTTTTGGAAGAGTTCACTCACAAAATCGTCAGCCTCACGCAGTCTGGCATGAAAGTTTCTCCCCACAACCCCAATGCCGTTAAATGGTGCGTATTGCTGATACTTAACGGGACAGGCGCCAGGGATGTTGAACATAGTTAGTCTTAGCCTACGGACGGATATCTGTACTCCAAGGGCAAATGTCTCTCAAACAACCATTGGGTTTAGGGGCTCGTCTGTCTCCTCTCGTATCGCCATAAACCAAGTTGAAAGCCAAAATGCTCACGGTTACCCATGTGAATGCTTCAGACGTTGAGAGATTCCATCATTCTTTCGTAATAGTTCAATCGACCCTGTGGCAGATACCTCCAAAATTTCTATCAGCCTAAGGAGAATGGCCGGCCACTGCTTTGAGTGCGTTGTATGTAATCTCTACAACCTGAACCCTCCCCGGCCCATACTGATGGGTCAGCATATATATCAACTAATTGACAGCTACTTGGCAAGGATGGAAAAAGGTTGACAGTGCTACGAGGAGAGTACTAGATCCTCCCAACAGTCTGCTTGTACAGAGTATACGCCCCTTACGGAAAACTTCTGTGGAATTGGCCAACTACACGAAACAGGATGATCTTGTGCCACTGCATGAAACTAGCCCTATTTGTCATATTCCTAGATTCAGCATTCGAATTACTTACACCTACAAACATCTTGATTACTGGTAGACGGGATAAAAAGTAGCTTGCGTCCTGTAGGCCCTATAATCGTTCAATGTACCCAACGATCTCAGTGTAGGGATCCCATCACTGGGAATGCTACAAATATATAGTCCCAGCGGGGTATTATGCTATCAGCCAAGTACAACATGAATAGGTAACGGTGTCTTAAAACTGAACCGTACAAGCATACGCTCGCGCTAATGGCCGCATGGGCTCCAACACCTCACGCTGCTTCTCCCAGCCCCAGTAGCAGGCGGGACTCATTTCCTTGATTGACCCTTAATTCCACCTCTTTAGTGAGCCCCTTGCGGCTTTTGAGAGAGGTGAATACTGCGTTCTAAGTCTAGTCAAGCTTCGGGTTCCTCTACAGACCCATAACTACCTCTGTATTGCCTGTTTCCCTTTTCCCCAATGTTCAGTCTTTGTCAATAAGCCGTTCACTCCTGTCATATTACACCGACCATAGTGCGGTGAGACAGGAACAACCAGCAGAAGCCAAGGCCAAATTCAAACAGGATGGATGGGCGGTCGTTCCAAATATAATCGATGACACGAAGGCAAAGGAGGTCGTCGATCGCCTCTGGAAAGCCAAGGAGGAGAGCGAACGACGAGGTGATCCCACCTATCTGGACTGGCTGGATCCAAACTCTAGCAACGTTCTCATCTTCTATCTGATGGAGCTGGACTCCATCTTCCGCGAGCTGATCGCGCATCCCGTGGCCGTGGAGATGGTCCAATCGGCCCTGGGCCAAACCTTCCTCATCTCTAACTACACGGCCAACATTGCGCTCCCCAGAACTAAGTCTATGGGACTCTACTCCGATCTCTCCCTGCAATGTCCCGATCCCTGGTTGTCAACGTGGAGACTGAATGTAGTCTGGTGTCTGCACGATATGTATCGTTCACGTTAATGAAATAAGCACCATCATCCTACCGTTTTCAAGTTGGATTCCGATGGCATTATATACAAGTATAATGAATAGCACAGGCAACATAATGAAACGTAGGGGTATTCGACATTAGCAGGCTATAACCTTGTAGTGTGCCTATTTACAGAAACCGCCATGTAGAATGGCTTGTTTCGTCAGATCATCTTGTATCCAGCCTTCAATACGGGCTACCGTATCCCCGACAAGCTTGTCATAATATGCACCTTGGGGAAGAAACATTGATTGATGGGCCGTGATCTCGTCCATACCGTCCATGCGCACTGGAATCCAAAGATGTCCTTTGCCGAGGTATACATCCTTGGGGAGGTAGCAGAACTGTCGGCGAGCTTCCATAGACTGACTTGATCTGTCACAGTCGATATCGGAAGGCTGACCTTGGTCCGACGGCAGAGTGCTTTCCTCAACCTTGGTCACCGCATACTCCAAATGTAATGATGGATGCTCGGCGCTGCTGGATTTTGGACGCTTAATTTCCTTCTCCCCTTCGGGGCAGTCGGCGACTCCCACGGAAGAGTGTGGTGCTGATTTTCTCCGATGGTGACCTGGTGTGAGCCTCACTCTGAGCATGTCTGTTGCGCTTACAGAAGTTGGCCGAGCAGGCTCATCCTTGCTCTCTGTCTCGGTTATGTGTTTATCTGGCGACTTATCTAGTCGACCGGGTACTGCTGTGCCCGTACTCTTGGTGAAATAGTTCACGAATCTAACTCGAGCATGACCGGGCCGTTGTCCCTGGGTTAACTCATCAATTGCCTCCAACTTCAATAATCGCTTGTGTCTTTTGAACAGCTCGGGATAGTTATTCATGCACCCGGCATGATCATAGTATGAATACGCATACTGCAAGATGGACCTCGATAAATGATGAGAGTACTTTGACGCAAAATGCCATGCACCATCCCAACCGGTCCATTGCGTTAGCTTTACGTCGTTTTGAAAAGAAGGATTGAACGTCGTAGCGGGACCACTAACGACGCCGTCCAGAGATACGGCAGATTCGTTCGCGTCGCTGGTCTCGTCCGGCTTGTGGCGAAACAGTCTGCCAATTCCAGTGGCCACGACGCGAGGATGGAGGCCGAAGAAAGGAACATCGAAGTTGACCAGACCCAATATTCGATGGTTCAACCCTACGTAGACATGTCCCGGTTGAGATGGCATCAACGCAACCTCTGCCGCGACAATGCCTCCTAGGCTGTGACCTAAGAGAATGACATCCAGGTCTGCGGACTCGTGAGGTGACAGCCTAGTACATACTCAGTCTACTTCCATGGAGATAGAGCAAAATGCTAGACTCTAGTATTCTTACCATCGGCTGAAATTGTCTCGGGCGATGTGCACCGGCCCTCGCGTCTTATAGCGAGGATAGATCTTTGTATAGACCACGTGAGATTTACTTAGCGAGATGGTCAACAGGTCGTGTACGTGCTTAGGAAATTGGTGAAAGCTCTCTTCGGAGCCAATGAATCCGTGGATGTATATCAAGAGGAGTCTGCGTTTCCCTTCGCCCGTACCGCTATCGGAGTGGCTCAGGGCCAGCGAAGACGTGGAACCATGATATCGGCTCTGTCCGATTGCATTATATATTGGAGGCGGCGCGAGCAATCCAGACAGTGTCTCGCTTGATTGAGTCGCCGCTGAGTAACTCGGTGGATTGTCTTCCTCCGGCCATGATGTGCTTGGGTTCCATGGGGGCGACATGGCGTCGCAGTCTACTTCAATAGAAATATCCCGAGCGTGCTGTGCATCCGGTAGAATTTAACATGGATGTGCAAGTGGAACATGCGGTACTCGGATCTCCTTGAATCCTTGCTGATTAAGCTCTATATTGCTTTTCCTGCTCGTACTCGTATTTCTCTCCATCGTCTAAGCCTCCAAACGGGGGTCGACCCCACCGCGAAGGACGAATGGGAAATCCAGTCGTCTTGGCAGCTCAAAAAAGAAACAGGAGATTCACCTTCTTCCTATTCGGGCTTTCCAGCTTCTTCAAATACATGGCTGGGAGGGATCGTTGGACACGTAATTACATCGCTATCCTCCTACCGCAGAGACTCGAGGGTTATATATGGAATCCGGTAGTATGACCTCCTATCCGGCCAATTATATATACACGCCCACAAGACCGATATTCCCGCCAAGAAGTACACTGGATAGTTAACAGCTAGGGCTAGGATCAAGGTGGGCGGATAAAACCGACTCCTTGGCTACAGGTTAGGGCACCTCTTCCCACGTGTTTGCTGTTCTCTTCTTTGCAATGAGGAGTCCTTTTCTTTCTTGATCTATAGATATTTTCCTCTTATGGAACCTCTCCCCGTTCGAATCAAATCTTATTTATTCGACGACGGCAGAGGTATCTGGCGATAATATACAAGACAGTACTATGTATCCTGTCTCTGATTAGTCCAGAGAGGATCGATGAAATACACAAAGCCATGGGCCGCCGCCGCTGCTGCAAGGGGGCCGACCTAGAAATGCATCAACATCAAGTGTCAAAGATAGGCGACAGAACGAAAGCGAAGAAAGAACGTACCCAATGGATCCAATGATAGCTGGGAAGCTCCGAGGCGACGTAAGCACCAAAACAGCGTACTGGATTGAGACCTGGTCGGCAACGTCAGCTATCTCTGTCCACATCACATCAAATACTGTGTGTAGAAGCTTACTCGTTCTACTATAGCCCGGCCGCGTGAAGGCGGTCGCCCAACAGACTACTCCCAGCGCCACCCCGACTAACCCTGGTCCAGTGGCATGTTCGAAGATCTTGGCCTGCCGAGGATCCAAGGCCTCTCCGAATGCGAGGAAAATTTGGATCAAGCAGGAAAAGAACTCGATGACGAGGGCGGCATCTACCGGCACCAACGATGTGTCCACATAGCAACCTCCCACAGTGAAGGCGCGGGATCCGTAGGCTGTGTGGATGCCAAATCCTGCCAGCGCGCCTCGCTGGGTTTGGCTGGCTGTATACAGCACGGCACGGGGAAACGAGATGATGCGAGCGAAAAACGTCGCCAGAGTGATGGTTGGACTCACATGACAGCCACTTGATGGGGTAAAGGTATAGATGAGCAACGGGGTCAGTACCAGATTTGCGATGCCGCCGAACAAGGGCAAAAAGAAGGTGAGGATATGGTAGATCCCGACTTCGGTTTTTGGGGCCTCGACGGCGGCGGGAGCATATAGGGTGACCCCGCCGGAGATAAAGACATTCATCATGCTGGCTGTGGTTGATCATGTTAGCGAGCCCGAGCGATTGGAAGGGGCCGGGAATCACGCTCCGATGCATTCTAGACAGGCAAACTTCCACAAATCGAGTCTCCGAAACCCGCCCGGATCAAAGGTTTCTCCTAGTGTCATCCATGGGGCTGCTTCGGGCACCTTCAGAAAGTCCTTGTCATTGCGCGGATCCCGGCGATCGATCACAAAAACCTGATTGCCTCCCACCCGTCCGGCGAAGGGGGAATCGCAGGCGTCAAGCCATGCTGTGATTCGTGAAGCTCATATTCGGGTAGATATGCCACCACCATACCGCAAGTCATCGAATCGCACACCCTTATTCAATCAGGTGTGATCCAAGATAAGACAAGGGGCTGAAAGTGGGATAAGGGCATATTTTTATACTCAGGGGAGAGTTAGCAGAGGGAGCTTCGTTAGACAACCAATTCAACTCGGTAAAACCATGATGGCCACATTGGGGAGAGCTCCGAGTCGTCTCGGAAATCGACATGACGGCACTCTTAGAGATGGAGAGTTCGGTAATCCGAGCTCGCTGCATCCGAGTGAGCCCGCTTGGCAAGATAAGAATGCATTCCTATTCATACATACAATGCGACACACAATACCCAAGCCCACCTTTCCAATAACTGAAAGATTCGAGCCGCGTTTCCAACTGTTGGAAGCGATGGAGCGATCTAGAGCCTTGGCTTTTGTCTACTCCTTACCGGAGAATTCATTCTTGCCTAGAGAATAAGTAAGGGGACGTCTGCCAACGCCGGAATGAAAGAGCACCGTTGAAAGTAGGTGAATTTAATTTGGCCTGATTGAGTGAATACTTTCTCCAGTTCAAGACGTAGATGAGTAATAAATGTTGCACTCTCACTTAGCAGCGGAGAGAAACTACGCTGTTACACCAGGAAGGGGGGGGGTTTTAATGTCTTCGTCCCATCTGAGCTCTACGCATCTGACACCAAGTATCCCTCTAGTTCTTTGCTTTCTTTCTTCCCTCAGGCTTCATTAGGCTGGTTTAATACTAATGCAGCACCGTTTTTAGGTTACGACAGAGATTTTAACGTCAATATGGACCCAAAGCTGGAGAAAACTGAGACCCGCGAAGACCATGACTTGCACCGGATCATTAGAGACCGTGAGGATCGAATCCAGCAAACAGTGGAAAAGGAACGACAGGCGTCATTGTCTGAAGCCGTGAATCTATACCCCAAAGCGATCGCCTGGTCTATCTTATTGTCCACGGCGGTTGTGATGGAAGGTTACGACTTACTTCTTGTTACGTCCTTTTTTGCCTTCCCTCTATGGACCAAACGCTATGGGCAACTTCAACCTAACGGCAAATATGAGCTGTCCGCGGCCTGGCAGACAGGGCTTTACAACGGCGCAGCTGTTGGGGAAATCGTCGGACTCTTTCTCAATGGCTTGCTAGTCGAACGCGTTGGATATAGGAAAACGATGCTTGGGGCTCTCGGGGCAATCGCGGGATTTATATTCATCCCGTTCTTCGCACCCTCGGTCCAGGTTCTGCAAGTGGGTTGTATCTTGATGGGCATTCCTTGGGGGATCTTCCAGACTCTGCCAGCCACATACGCTTCGGAAGTATGTCCAGTCGCCTTGCGTGGATATTTGACGACGTATATCAATCTGTGCTGGGTCATTGGCCAGCTGATCGCCTCCGGTCTTCTGAGGGCCATGCTACGGCGCTCTGACCAGTGGGCGTATCGTATTCCATACGCTCTCCAGTGGATGTGGCCAGTGCCTTTGATCGTTGGCGTGGCTCTGGCGCCCGAGTCACCGTGGTGGTTTGTTCGGAATGGCAAGCAAGAGGCAGCAAAGGCAGCGCTTCGGCGCCTCGCAGTGCCTACTGCAGATCCTTCCTTCAGTATCGAGGACACGGTGGAGGTAATGACGTACACAAACCAAATCGAACAGGAAGCCACCAAAGGGACATCTATCTGGGACTGTTTCAAAGGGCGCAACCTGCGTCGTACCGAGATCTGCTGTCTCACCTGGGCTGCACAACAGCTGTGTGGAAGCTCGTTCATGAACAATTCTACGTACTTCTTCATTCAGGCTGGATTGGATGAGTCCAACTCCTTTACGCTCTCCATTGGCGAGTACGCTATTGGATTTGTCGGCGTGCTCGGATCCTGGTTCCTTATGGCACATGTAGGTCATCGCCAGCTCTATCTACTTGGACTGGCGGTCCTTGAATTGCTGCTACTGGGGATCGGGTTCGCATCCCTTGCGCCAACAGGAGACAGTGGGGCCCAATGGGCAGCAGGAAGCTTGCTCCTGGTGTTTTCGCTCTGCTACCAACTTACGGTGGGCACGGTCTGCTATTCGATTGTGTCCGAAGTGTCTTCAGTACGGCTCCGCGCGAAGACCGTCAGTTTAGGGAGAAATATCTACAATGTGGGCAGTATCTTTAGTGGGGTCATCGGTCCATATATGCTGAATCCTACTGCGTGGAACTGGAAAGGCAAAGCTGGTTTTTTCTGGGCGGGAATCAATTTCATCTTCTTAACCTGGAGCTTTTTCCGATTGCCCGAGACCAAGGGGCGTACGTATGCGGAGCTGGACATACTTTTTGAGAAAGGCGTCAGTGCCCAACAGTTCGCAAGCACCCCTGTTAATCTGTTTTCGCATTCTGAGGACTTGATAGGAGGGACGAAAGAACGGGATCACTAAGAAAGATGGCACTGTCCCGAATTGCTATACTTGGCTTTCTAAGCTAAGCTATCAACTTTCACTCCAATTGCTGTATGCACTTCCCGAGGAGCTTGAATACATCAATTTAACTATTTGATACCGTGGGCCTCTCACTAGCAGACAATGATTTCCCAGTGTTATCTTCAGTAGGGGTTCTCTTGTCCAGATGTTTGCTCCCAACTCTCCCTTGCCCTGTTCTACTCTTTGCTCACGAGCATGCTCTCTAGACGCGCTTTGCCCTGGAGCCTCGCTTGCCTGCAGCTTCTCACCATGGGGAAGTCACCAGATGTTAAGGGCTCAACAAACACATCGTCTTTCTTCAATGGGAATTGATATCTTATCCTCAGGCTCGGTAAACCGATGAAGGTAGGATCTACTAGATAAAACCTATCATGCGTTCTGTCGTAGCGGAGGAAAATGGGATGCTGTTCCTGTAGGTCGTAGCCCTTGCGGCGCATGAAGCTAAAGCGATGCAGATTAGTAGCAATGTATAAAGGAAGTAACGGTAGTGTCTCACTCTAGTAAACGGGCCAGTTGCTTTTTAACACTTGCAAGCTGGATCATAGAAAGCGCGTCAGAGATCTCATCTAGATCATCTCGAGCGACTGTAGCCATGGGGAGGGACAGCCGACGTAACCGCCTGGAAATGGTAAATTGCTTTCCTGATAGCGCCCCCAGTGATCCTGATACTTGGGCGCATAGCCGGCGTCACCTAGTAGGTTGGTGCTAGTAGTATAGACCGGAGTATATCACTTATGATTGTCTAGAGACCTCCAAATCTTCTAGATACTAGACCGATATAGCGAGCATTTGATGGACGTTATATCCTCATTCCATAGACGAGCTTCTGCGCAATATGAGAATTTGACGCTGTCACATCCTCTGGTCCAAAACCTCCGTCAATGATGGACATTCGTTTCTTTTGAACCCTAAAATGGACGGCAGCCTAGCCATAGCTCTTGAGAGGTGCCATCTAGTTCGGAATGATCGGTGTTGAGGCAGGATGAGGAAAAGATCGTTAGGGGAAAGAGAAGAAGAGGAAGAGAGAGAATTTCACATCATCTTGACCTTATTCCCTGAACTACCATTTCTATCCATCCTTTGAGAGCATCATGAGTAGAGAGTTGAATATGAAAGCGAGAAGCCTGACAATGATGTATATATATATGGAGAGTTGTATAATTGAAGACGATAGCTTTCGACTGCTTGACGGGTGGCTCTTATAGTATTACATGTTGTAGAAGATATCGTAAGATACTCGTATTGTATGATCAGGAAATGATCCATTGATGATGCCAAAGATCTACCAAGAAGGCCTATCTAGGTGGGAATCATGAGTGCTCTTATATGTGGCCTCATTACTAAAGAATTCAATATTGCACTTGAATCCACAAAGCACCTATTCACCAGATATATGTCAGCTGCCCGCGATTCTAGGTAACTTCATGGGCATATTCAATACATGTACTCTTACCTTAGGCCAAGATTCACCTCAATATCCATCGGTAGCCTCAGCTTGCATGCATCAGAAAAAGAAGGGAAGGTCTTCAAGGGGGATAGAATGGTACAATCTTATTCAAGCGGTCGCTCGACGAAGGAGTCTCACTGAGCCATTCTAATTCAACGCATAGAAATCATCAATCCAATTTACTCATAAAAATGCCCTCGTTTTCTTATGGTAACCTGGGCCGCTAGAATTCCCGAGGATTAGGTTCCTGTTTCAACCTCATATTGTCGTAGCCAATATATTTGGTTTCATCAACGAGCGAGCCTCATGCGTCAATGGGAAAGCCTTCACGGTCCCCAAATCAAGGGAAAATGTGTTTTCCCTTGAGGTTACATCGACTTCCGAGTGATGAAACAGCGAATCAGCCTGGAGAGACCCGTGGGCCAAGGCGAGGCTGAGATGGGATCGGCAGGATTACACACAACTTCCCTCCGCCCCTGATTCCTTCAAGACAACCACCTCTTCATGACAATTGATTCCACAAAGCTCCTCGAGGCCGAGGCCGTGGCCGAGGTCGTCGAACTTTCAGAGAACACACCAACACAGAAGCGGCAATCGACATGGACGTCCACCAAAGCCTGGTACTCGCAAACGGTCCTGCGCTCGGGTAAAGGGTACAATCGATTGCCGGCTAAGGTCCAGGAGCCCAATCACCTTCATGGATGGCGAGTCGGGGCGGTGGCTTCTTGTATTCTGGTAGGAATTTGCCTCTGCCTCAATGTCGTGGCGACCATCTACGTTCGACGGAAATACCCGCCAAACAGCAATGACCTGGGGATCATGCAGGAGGGCACTTGCAGCCAGATACGAAGCGTGGACAGCAGATTACACTACGCCCTCAATGTGATCGCGACCGTGCTCGTCGGGGCCAGCAATTACAACATGCAATGTCTGACGGCCCCCACGCGGGCCCAGGTGGATCAAGCGCACGCTAAACACCGATGGTTGGACATTGGCGTCCATTCGATCCGTAACCTGTCGTTTATTGGATGGCCGAAAGCTGGGTTATGGCTGGTCCTCCTGCTCAGCACGCTTCCATTGCACCTGTTGTGGAACTCGGCGGTGGTGATGACCACAACCTTCAATGAATATAGCGGACTCGTCGTCACCAGGGACTTTGTCGACAGTCATAGGGGCATTGGCCTCGATTGTAGTGATCAGGCCATGGAGAAGTACCGGTCCACCGACCTGTCCAGCTATGTCACTTGCTGGCTGTTTGATCAAGCCCAGAACAATCGTAGCAGCCTGGCACAGATGGATCCTAGAGAATGCATCTCCGCCTATGAAGCTGGACTGGAAGGACGGTCATTCAACATGCTCGCCGTGACCAAACAGTCCAAGGGCTTGAATCAATCGCGGATATTCCCACCCCCAGGAAATACAACTCTGCCTGTGCTGGCCTATTTCCATCCCCTCGACTACCCTGATCAGATTGAGCACTGGTGCAGCGGGTTGTGTCACAGCTGGGGCGAAGGGAGTGATAGCGAAAAGTATTGTTGGGATACGGACTGGGATAGTGCATCGGTGCCCTTTGCCTGCCAGTACCATAAGGTCAATGGAACGGGTTGGCGGCCCAACGCGTTGTCGCAAACGTACTCCTGGATGTGCCACCCGGATGCCATCTTATACAATCAATGCAGCGGCTCCGCAGCGGCAAAGAATGCCACGAATTGGACCATCTTACCAGAACACTACGAGATCGACCATTGTCTTGTTGCAGATGCAATCCATACCTGCCAGTTGCTATACAGCCCGGTCATCTTGTACATTGCCATTGCATGTAATGCAATCAAGTTCGGTTCTATTATCTTGTCCTTGCTGATATTGCGCCAGCCAACCCTCGCAACGATCGGCGATGCATTGGATTCATTTTTACGGGCCCCGGACATGGCGTCCAAGGGGAGATGCCTCATGTCCAAGTTAGACGACACGATGTTCTCAATCCCAGACGACACGGACGAATTGCTTACGCAACGCTGGGATCGTCGACATGGCTGGTTAGCGCGATGCTATCAAGGCACTTCTGTGAGGCGTTGGGGAGCATGTATCCTGCTGTAGGTCATATGATTTGCCTTGGTTGCATTAATCCGTTGTATAGTACTGACTCGGACGTGACTAGATGGCTCGCCAGCATTATCGTCGGTCTTGTCTTTCTCTTCAAGGGAATTAACCTCGTCGGGGCACGCAACGCGTTCTCCATGGGATTTGGGGCCCTCAGCTTGAATGCGATCGTCAGCACATCCGCCTATCGTGGTGGGACGGCGGCGTCCATCGTCACCACCTCGATAGTGGCAAACCTGCCCCAGCTTCTGCTGTCGGGATTATACTTCATGTACAACGCCGTGCTGACGGGGATGGCATCTGCCTACGAATGGAGTCGGTTCGCCTACCGGCCCACCACGTTGCGAGTGACCCTTCCCTGGGGAGAACAGAGAGAAACCTACTGGCTTCAGCTACCCTGGAAATATTCGCTCCCCCTGCTCGCGTGCAGTACGGTTTTCCACTGGCTGATCTCGCAATCGATCTTCCTCATCAATGTCAAGATCTATCAGCCCAACAACGAGCTCTTAACGCGCCCCAACACCCACTTCCCGAATGCGAGCGATAGCGGCGTGATTACCGCCTGTGGATACAGTCCCCTGGCCATCATCAGCGCGATCGCGCTCGGGGTTGTGATGTTTGCGGTGCTCACCACTGTCAGTTCTTTCAGGTTGAAGTCGGACATCCCGGTGGTTGGGAGCTGCAGTATTGCCATCAGCGCGGCGTGCCACCCCCCTGAGGTGGATACCGATGTTGCGGGTAAGCCCCTTTCCTGGGGTGCCGTGCGATACCAGGAGGGCGACCAGCCGGGCCATTGCTGCTTGACTTCACAGACAGTGGAAAGGCCACGGCATGGGGAGTTGTATGCGGGATAGATTCGTGACCCTTGTGCGAATTTAACAGCGCTCTTCGGAGGCCCAACTAGGCTTAAGGGGAAAATAATAAACGCGAATGAGATAAAGCATATGGATGAAAGAAGGGAAAGCCTAGGAGAAACACAGAAAGAAAGAGAACAGAACCAAAGACTACCCAGAGAAGATCCCTACATCACCGGCCGCTATGCCATCGTTATTAGTTGTCCTTAATTCCTCAGGGGACCATATGACGGCCAACTAGCAGGACTATTATTGTGGCCTGGTGGTGCCCGGGAGACTCATATACTGACTTGTAGTACCAGTGCGTCTATATCAATGCCGCGATATAGTTGAGGAAGATCGCGGACTTGTCTACAGGGCTCTTCCTTCCGCTCCTCGGCGATTTGGATCGTGGATTATGTTAACACCATTAACGGGCGGATTACTGGAAAGATTCTGAGCCTCGGATATGTGTGGCAGACGCGAAATGTTGCTAAGCAAGTATGACTAGAATTTGTGTATACCTCAGTATATAGTGAATGGTCTAGTGCTAGAGCTACGCCGGAAGAAGCCTCATGTTGAATGAATTTGACTGAAGGAAATGTTGACTTCCTTCGCCACATGGGGATGGCTAATCAAATGGTCTGTCGTAATGGACCCCATAATCGTCGTAATAGACTCTCATGATCGGTGTGACAGGCTTGATATTCGTCGTCATTGGGCTCATATTTGTCTACTCGTAGTTTATCATTCCATGAGGTCACCTATCTCTCGGCCAGTCAGGTCTGTAGAGCACCTTGATATCAGTAGTGTAGTCCTCCAGTCGCCGATGACGATGGTAATCAAACTGCATCAACGTACTGTGGACAACACGACCGCGGATCCGGCCATACCGAAGGCCAAGAACTTCTGGGCAGGGGATGTCTATGCGTCGAGACCGGCAAAGCATCGCTCATACAACTGGGCTACGACAAGGGTCTGATCGATCGCGAAATGTCGGTCAATAAAGAAGACTTGATTAATACGGCGAGTGAGGTAAAAGATCAGTGCAGTCCTTGCCGCCTGGCTTGACAGGAGCCAGGGCGGGCGGTTCACGAAAAGCCGCTGGTCGGGGTGATATATGAACTCATCCCGGTGGGGGTTGATGAACCCTTGTTCCTCCAATGTTGCTTTCAGCTCGGGAAACCACTTGAATCTGCTCTCCGTTGGCAAGATGACGGTCTGCAACGAGCTCCGCGTGATATACAGCGGATTACATTCACGGCAATAGATGGCCCGAACTGGGCCGGATGCACATCGCCGACTAGAAACTTGAAGAGAAAACTCATAATTTCCATAAAGGCCACCAAAAACTTTGGTAACCGTTCCAAACGCGCACTAGATCGTGCTGGGTGGCCGGCCGATCATATCCTCACGGAATTAAATTTACGACCACTTCCCTCTTCTTTTCACCCTGCAGCATGAGGTTTTGAGTAACTGCATACACCTCGCGCTGGATGGCGGACCGCATCGTGTCGAGACCTGCTGAGATCACGGGGAATAAAACGAGTATGTTCAGATATTGACTCTCGTCTCGTTGAATCCAAGGTGGCAACTGAATGAGCGGCGAGGTCTCTCCTCCAGTCACACCCCGAGAAGCCGAAGGCAGAAGAAGAAGGGTGGGAGACAAAGGAGGACCAAACGGATGACGATGATGAGCAAGAACCGATGTACGACGACACTGATTACGATCACGTACGCTTTGGCGCAATATGGCATAAGGATACCTTGTACAGTGGGCTTACCCTGTTGTCTTTCAAGAAGTCCTTGGCCTTCTTCCTCCCCATTAGACGCTCAGCCAACGCTGAAAACGAGTATGTCCCGGGACCTACACCGCGGAGAGTCTGGACAGGGCAAAGAAAAAGATATGCGGGCAGAACCGGTACCGTCATGGACTATACCACTCCCGACGAGCGGGACCGGACATGTCAGAACCCGCGACCACATGGGTGGAGACGTTTGACCGGACGTGGCTCGGCCTATCATTGTCCGATATAGACCTAACTCTGGTATATCACGACGCGGATGTCATTAAAGGAGACATGTCAGTGGATCAATCCAAGGCCCAGGCAGAACCGGTTTGCTAACCCACGTAACACTAAGCAGAAAGCTTTTGTCTCGTACTGGGGTGTGAGAGGTTGAGATATGAACTCAAAACTAACATCTTCATCGAGCTGTCCGTCCACATGAGGGGGTAGAAAGCTAGACTCACGGATTAGTTACTAGTGTATTGTATTGTAGGTAGAATGAGATTTTCCTCCTTCGTATCAATCCCAGGTCAATGTGTTTGTAACTTTTTTCTTCATGTTTGCTTTGTTTAGCGGTTGGCCTCGTGACCCGTACAACTAACCTGTCTGGTACTAGCCCACTGACTAATAGAAACTAGCCTCTGAAAGAGAAGAGCTAATCGACTGAATCCGGCAGGCGGTAAGACACAAGCTCAGGCCTGGAAGCTAAGGCATTCTTCTCACGTTCGCTGGGTGAGTGATATCGTCGATGCCCTTAACCTATGATCGGTTAACACCAGGTATTAAAGCACTGTCACTGAAGAAAGCTGCGATGGTACAGTTAAGCAGTAAATTTATTGGAATGCACCGAATATCTCGTCATACCATGCGGATGCTAATTCCTTGGATCATGTCTTACAAAACAATGGTGGAATGTCGGGAATGTCCAGGTACATCACCCAACGTGGCATCCTCGTTCTCTACTGGATCAGCAATTATTTGATAGGGTTAGGCAAGACTATCAACACTCTATTAGGACCCATAAATCAGTTCATCTGTTTGCACCAAACCGAGAATGCCGTTGCGACTCGCATGTAATGTACATGCGAGTCGCAACATTAATTGCCATGACCCTCTTGAAGGCACAGAAAACCGGGCTTGGGTCAAGGTAAAAAATTACTAGGACTGTCATAAACATAACGCTTGTGAAGCCCTTGAGGATTCGGAATTGATTCCACAGCCTTTGTCGTTCTCCAAAACCAAAACCAAAAGCCCCCCCCATATTTGCGTCACAGTGACACGACTCCCCTTCTGTGAAGATCGAATAGATAGTGTGATAGGCTGGAGTTGGCCGAGATGGCGCGTTGACCGCGCCTATCAGACCATTTACAATGGTTCCACAATCAATATACGCTAGAAGAACTGTTGTCCATCGGGGAGTATTGGGATGGGAGCTTTCTCGCCGTACATCACTGAAGGGTGACCCTCGAATGAGCCCCCTCAAAGGTCTTTTTGTGCTGTCCTGGTATCTCATTCAAGTCGCCCTAGAGAAGCACGTTCAATCAGGACCTGATGACTGTTAGTAGAAGTGGGATGGGCGCCCTTCCACCGCCATTGGTAAGCTCCTGTTGGCATGGGAAATCAACAGCCTATGAACACCGGCTCTCCTCGAAAAGCTCTTGCCATCTGAGCTCGGACTGTGTCCCCAACACTTTTCCCCTGGCCCGACGACCGAAGTTCACTTATCCCGACGCAATTATGAGTCCCTTGCGACCGGGGTAATAGGCAGCTCTCCTGGTCCGAGTCTCAGTTCGGATGTCTACGAAAGCAAACTCCTTCACAGTGGCAAGAACAGCTACATCCAGGCGGGAAAACCTCGCCGATGTGTTCCTGCATGAGTACCGTCGGAATTACCAGCGCTTACGCTGTAGAGGGTTAAGTGAGGACTGAAATTTGGGTGATCAGTGATCGGAAGGATCTGGCTCGCAGATACCGGTTGTAGGGATCGAAGACCGTTCGAAGGCTTATACTAGCTAGGGGATCTGTCTCAGTTTCCCATTTTTTATGCAGGATGGGGTTATGTGGATCATACTCAGTACAGCTACAGTCTGTCCTGCAATCCTTTACGATCCAGCCCCACCGTATGCAATGTCTAGACGGTCGATCCCAGCTCCCAAGCTTTCTAGATCCTTATCAGCCAGGTGAAATTTGCATCGCGGATGTCAAGAGATATACTGGTATTCATATAGTATCCTCAAATTTTACCGGGAGACTACAAGGTATTGGCTCGTTATTAGGTTTATGCCCAAGACATATTTTATTCCTTACATTCACTAGCGAAGATGGTCCCTCAGCCGTGGGAATGTTTGCTCGGTGGCTTTCTAGCGCATAATTTAACAAGGCTGTCGGGCTGAGTCAGAAAAGGTATCCCAGCCACGCAGCCCTAATTTAGTAGTATATCGTGTAGCCTCGCGGGTAATAAGCAATAGAGATGAATGCAATGTAAATAATTGTAATAACGAAAGACCAAAAAACCGAAAAGCAAAGGGTGACGCGAAGTTGGGGGGGAGAAAGAAGGGCAAAAAAAGTAACACACATGAGGTGGGTTTGAAATTCCTCCGGGGGGCAGTGAGGAAGAAACAGTCCAGTGCCCCTCATACCCTCGTATGCACCCTCTGGTCAGCTGCGGGAGTCCTCTTTTAGTTCCTGAACTTAACTTTTTTCGTCCATTCATGCAGGTTTCGGCGGCCATGGGGCGGACTTTGGGGAGCCTGAAGAAATGGGGGTGCCAGTGAGACGGCTTTTTTTTTTTTTTTTTTTTTTTTTTTTTTTGTTTTTTTTTTTTTTTTTTTTTTTTTTTTTTTTTTTTTTTTGCACAAAGCGGAGAGAGATTTTCCAACCTAACCTATTCACGAGAACATATTAATACCTCTCTTATCGCGGATACTATGTATTCACCATGGATTGACTATGGCCCAGGGTTCTTCTTACGGGTTGAATCTCCACGCCCAGCGGGTAGACCGCTAAACAAGGTGGGAGAACGTAAAGACGAACGCCCAGAAAGTATAGTGAAACTCTTAAATGCATTCTTTCCCGTTCGCGTAGCGGCTCTTGGCAAGTCAAATCCATTCATGAACGATGGGGCGCATCGTCCAGATCTACCTGTGGCAATATGCGATGGTCAGCCCGTAGATCCACGGCCGGCAGTGCGAAGAAGCTGATAAATTATCTATGCCCGCTGTACCGATGACGACCGAGTCTACCAAGGCTTTTGCAGTAGAGCCTCTCGGTTGGGGGCTGTCGGCCTGGATTTGGATACAAGGCTGGCCTTATAGGGGTCCTACGCGTTTCGCTGAACACTGCCTACTTGTGGTGTGTGCATCGTGCTTCTCTAGTGCTTGCCTTGGAATAACTCGGATACACTGGCTGTAACGCGAACTTTTTCCCTTTTCTTTTTTTCTTTTCTCGATCTTTTCTTTTGCCTTCCTTTGTGGTGGCTACGTGTTTCGTCCCTGTTTGCGCCATAGCCGCGCGACCAGGGGCTAGGTACCACCCACATGATCAATCCCCATGCAATACTGGATTATATTTGCATGTCTTCTCAGGTCTCGACCTGACAGCATGGCAGGGTAATGGCCCTGATGCAGGATTATAAGCATGGACCTGCCGAGGTTGCCGAGACGCTATCATCCCGTCCATCCCTGCGCCGTTCCACATTCCATGCGAGCTATGACGAGTTTCAACTCTCGAGCTGAAAATAGCATAGAGGTTAAGTTCTCTTTCTCTTCCTGGTTGATACTGCGGTTGACTGGCGTAGGAATGGGAATCGATTGTGGGGGTATTATGTCGACTGCGGCCGAAGGTATGCCTCCCACCTGAGCCAGTAGTCCAGCTCTGATGGCCTCAGTGGATGTTCAGGTGCTCTAGAATCACCCAGGTGGTATGTTCTAATCATGGCTATTATGAGTTGAGGTGGCTTCAATTACCAAATAGTTAAGGTTTCCTGGGTATCCATGGTCAGACTCGTATACCAGGAAAGAAACTCATGTCAGCAAGCCTTTCGTAACTTTAGAAACGTTGACAAGCCAGCGCACTTGGCAGCCAATAAACTGAGCTTAACGTTCTCCCGACGTAGAATGTGCGCCATGTATGTACTCTCGACGTAGCTCCTTCCCTCTCGCCACGATCAATATAGGACCCTTATCATTAGTCTCAGTCGAGTCCCGCCCACTGGGCATGTGGATTATAGCTGGGGCTGATATTAATGTCCCCGCCAAAGTTATCTATACGAGAACCATATCCCGATTCTAATTCGGGAAAGGCATGCTGTTTCATACAAAGAGAGACACGCGATAGAAAAGTAAAGGTCCTTAGAGAACGCCATGGAGCGCTTGCGGTGAAGACAGTAATGTCTATCTGAAATATCGACAGCCCTAAGGGAACATCCTTTTTCCACTAGGACTAGAACCAGAGCCTTGGTAAACGACACATTATTTGACGTGCCAACGGGGTAGAGTAGGCTGGGCCCCCTGCAGGTAAGGATGATTGATGAAAGTATCTTACTCCCACTCACTCACATGTGCGAACAATATCATTCTACATGGGAGAAGGTGGGGGCAGAGAGCCCACGTTTCTCGTACATCTCGTACAGATGGAGCGCCATGGGCCTAATATTGGATGACAATACGACCTGATGGGAGTCAGTCTCAGTCATTGGAGAGTGGCATATGGCAGACGTTTTGTGCCTTCAAGTCTCATTGGCTTGTCTACAAGACCAATGGGGTGAGACAAAGAGTATAGTGTAACTAGAAGGAGTCCCTAGTGCACTTTCGTAGCTCAAAACCTTCCGAATGCACCGCGATTAGAGACCTGACCACCCTCGAATGCCATAGGCCTTTACGTGTAAGGGCATAACCCAGTGAAGATGGGTCATCGGCCCTGTGCCCAAGGGCTCACCCCCAAGGCAGATGATGCTACATGAGTCAGGGTTCGCCCAGGGTTAAAAGGGCAAACATTGCATAGCCTCTGCCTCCAGACTCAGACAGACACTCCCATATATCTACATGGCCTGCACTTAAATAGACCCTAAATTTTGACACGAAATTTACTTTATCCCAAATCCAATTGTCCCTCGAACAATCTATCGACAATGGCCAAGCGGAACCGGCAGGTAGATCTGATGGATCAGGCCAGAGCATCGTCCACCTTTGATCCCACAAAACTGACAGTGATGATATATGACAAGTATTACGACTATCTTATCTACCCCCCATACTTGGAAGCTGACCAGCGCAACAGCGACGAAACAGTCGTTTCCCGACGAGCGGCGTTCCACCGCGTAGAGAGCTCCCTGGGGTTACTCGATAGCATGAAGCTGCCGCACATATACTCAGGCCTCGACCGTGAAGGGCTCTATCTCGAAGGGGTCAGACGGGCGCGCGTCATCACGAGTGACATGATAGCCCACAACCACAGCCACTTCCAGTGGTTGAACGAACGGTACCAGATATGCAACTCATCTCCATTCGGCATGAATTTCCTCATGTTTCGCCGAACAATAGAGTTGCAGGGCACACCGGAACAACAGCGCCACTGGCTACCACAGATCGACCAGATGAGCATCAATGGCGCATATGCTCAAACGGAATTGGGCCACGGGACATTTGTCCGTGGCATCGAGACAACGGCAACCTTCAATGTTGAAACGGATACATTCACGATCCATTCACCTACCCCGACTTCCGTCAAGTACTGGCCAGGTGGGTTGGGCTTCAGCTGCTCCCATGCCCTCGTTGCGGCAAGATTGATCACTCAAGGCAAGGACCATGGAGTGCATATGTTCATGGTTCAGATTCGCTCTCTGGATGATTTCACCCCCGTATACGGGGTAGAGCTCGGCGACCTAGGCATGAAAATAGCCTACAATGGGACGTGTAACGGCTACGCACGGTTCAGATACTTGGTTGTCCCCCGGAGCAGTCTGCTGGCTGGCCATGCGCAGGTTTCCCGCGAGGGCACGTATAGTCAGACACAGACTCAGAAAGATACCCTCCCAATATCTAAGAGGGTTTACTCAACCATGCTTGATACACGGCGAAACATTGTCCGATGCGTTGCCTTTGGACTAGCCCAGGCCGTGACGATCGCCGCGAGGTACTCTACTGTCCGAGAGCAGGGCAGGCTGATGTTTGCCGACGCGGCAGAACAGGAAGAACGAGCAATTGTGGTCTTCCAATCTCAGCACTACCGCCTGCTGGCCCTCATCGCACAATCGTATGCAATTCTATTCGCCGCCAAAGACTTCGACTTGAAGTACGAAAGTCTGATCCGCGAACAGGCTAACGACATCCATACGGGGTTGCCATTCATGCACGCCCTCAGCACAGGCCTGAAAGCATGGGCGACTACCATCGCTAGCACTGGTGCTACCGATGCACGCAAGATGTGCGGAGGCCATGGATTCGTTGCACTGTCCGGCCTCCCAGAGATCGAGGGGACAGTGTCTGCTACCGTCACCTTCGAGGGCGAGAACTATGTCATGTGGCAGCAGCTCATGACATACTTGTTTAAGCAGGTCAAAGCGTCGTGCGCCGGCCATGGCGTTGATGTAGAAGTTAAGGGCTATATGGACGGCGTCCGCGCATACCTCAATAGCGGAATGGCTCCGGCTAGCACGCCAGGTTGCGAGAAGGGCGAGTTTTTAAATGGCCGCACGTTGCTGTCCATCTATCAGGAACGTTCTCAGCGACTACTCGCCGCTGCGTATAGTTCCTACACAGAGATGTGTGGTCGCTGTTCCCCAGCAGAAGCGTGGAACAAGTGCATGATGTCGACCTTGTCAGCCGGGCAGGGATACGTGGAATACATCGTCTTAAAATCCTTCCGAGAGCGGACATATTCTACAAGTACGGGGGATGCGCCACTGTCGCGGGTACTGTCTCAGTTATTCTCTTTGTTTGCGCTCACAACAATCGTCACTCCGGGATTATCCTTTGCGTCGGGTTCCTTCCTTGAATACGGGCTACTCACTCATGGCCAACTCAACGTGGCCCGCCTCCATATTATCGAGCTTCTAGCTGATCTTCTCCCGAATATCATTGCCTTGACAGATGCGTGGGACTTTACGGATAGTAGCCTCTGCAGTGCATTAGGGTGCAAGGACGGGAATATCTATGAGCGCCTACTGAGCTGGACCCAACAACTGCCGGCAAACACAGGGAGTACCGTGGAGAAGGCATGGACGGCGCCTGAGGGGATGCAGGAATTCTTCAAGGCGAGCCGGTTGTAACATATCAAACGATGAAGGGGGGGTTGAATGTTTAGAAAAATAAGCCTCCGTGTACTCAATTGTGCGATGTCTTTCTTCCTTTTCTTGCTTCTTTTTTCTTATTATTTCATGCTGGGCAATATCAAGGCGCAGCTGGTGTTATGAACCAATATTATGTATATACATTTGTTTACCTCTCAATCCAGCAATCTGATGTCAGCTACCGGGGATGTGAAGAGTATTACTGCTATTTTTGATTTACTCATCCTTCTGCTCAGATAAACAAAATAGAATTATGTCGCGCCTAACTCGTATTGATGGCATGAGACGTAGATAGCTTCGTGTTTATGGCGTCGCAGAGAGCGACTCTTTTTCCGTCCCATACACTTGGATCAGATACATATTAACCCTGTAAATGTTCACATTAGACTAGACAGATATATACGATGACAGCCTCAGACCCATTTGTTTTTCTTGAGGAGTCCTGATACATGCGAAAATTACTACGTCTCTGTAGTGAGTATGTACTAAGAGCACAGAAAAAGTCCAACACACACAAAAGGAGACAACCGCGATTAATAAAAAGGAAAATATGCTCTACCAACTCCACTAAGAGCGACGAGACAGCTTCACATCAATACCCTCCTGCCGAACAAAGAAACTGTTATGAGTCTTCCAGTCGCGGTGGGGGTCGGCCAGCTCGATATTGTAGCGTGAGACAAGAGTAGCCATCACCTTGTATACCTCAAGTAGCCCGAGGTGTCTCCCAATGCATATCCGACTTCCCGCACCAAAGGTAAGGTCAGAATTGTTCATCAACCGTAAGCGTGTCTGGTACTCCTCCTCATTTTCATGGGAATCATCACGCAGCCATCGCTCCGGCCGAAATACATCGGCGTCCTCGCCCCAGACGGACTGGTTCCGAGCAATGACATAGGGATTCATACCCACGATACAGCCCTGGGGGATGAATTGCCCATTTGGCAGGCTGAGTCCACCTCGTGGTACATACCGTTCCAGCGTCATGGCGACCCCTGGATGCATCCGCATTGCCTCGCGGATGACGGCGTTGAGGTATGGCAAGGCGTTCGCGATGTTGAATGGGATAATCGAGTCAGAGTCGAATTGGGACGCGAGGACCTCATCCTGAAGGCGTGCCCAAACACGGGGGTTTTTCAATGCGAAATAGATGGCCGCATTGAGTGTGATGGCAGTTGTATCAGCGCCGGCAATCATGTTGATCATCAGGTATGAAATGATCTGGCCATCATCCACAATATCGGGGTACTTCTCCTTAGCCTCAATAAATCGATCGAGGAAGTCGGGCTGCTCCAGGTTGTGGTAGCTGGTGTCCTTGCCTTGGAGTCGGTCCACTAGATGTTGGATCGAGATATTAGTGATATTACCAAACGCCGGAGGGCCCATGCGGTAGACGGGATTTTTATCCAGAAGATGATCCAGGATTGGAAGCTGTCCCACGAGAGAGAAATAGTCCATCGCTTTATCGGAGATGGCAATGGTACGGTCGAAGTCATACCCTTTCTCCAGATACCCGATGGGCTCGCTAAAGGTGGCCTTCCCTACCACGTCCCATGTGTCTATTCGAGTCAGTAATGCTTTGCTGGTCGATGAGATGAAGAGAAAGGTTAAACTCACAGAACAGTAACCACTGATCCAGCTTGCATGTCGTGCCAGCATTGACTCCATCGATGAACTCCTCTTCGAGCCTCTGGCAGAAGTACCGGATGACCTGATCAATATGGGGCTCCAAGGCCAGGACACCAGTCAGGGAGTAGTGTTTGGCGATCGGTCGCTTCTGTCGTGCGTGAATCTCTGGGTCACATTCGCTGAAGAGATTGTAAATGATGCGGCCGTTGTTTTTGGCACTACTACCATGGTAGAACTCAGTCTTTCGATAGTCTCCTTTGGTGTTATAGATGGTTTTGACCAATTCGGGGAGGTCCAAGTCAACCACATTGGGCGCGATACGCACCACCGGTCCGTACTTCTGGTGAAGTTCATGTAGAACGACCTGGGACCTCCCCTGCGTAACATGGTACGCCCGCCAGAGATTGGTCCATCCTACGCCCGGAGGGTCAGCGACGATACTAGCGAATGTATGACGCGGCAGGCCAGCCAGCCAGCCCCCGGTGCGAATAGCTTCCACAACTCACCGGCAAGGAAAGGACCGGGGATCTTGCGTAAAGGGGAAATGAGATAGGTCGCCAGATACCACAAGAACAGGGCTATCCATAGAGTGCCAATTAGTGAGATAACCAGACCTTTCCAGCCAAGGTCAGGCGCTAAGAATAGCAAAATTCCCATTTTCTGCTGGGAATCCAGGATGAAGCTCCTAAAATGAAACAAGTAAAAATCGGAGGGACCAGGGTATGAGTAGTCTCGGTATTTAGAGCGTCCTGAATCTCAGGTCCACTAGATGATCGTCGTGTACAATTGGCCAGTGCACCTGGAGCTGACGCTATGAAACTGGGTCCAGAACCCGAACTAATGTAGATAGCGCGCTCTGAAGACGTCCGTGTCCCCTGCCACAAAACTTCTTGGTCCTCCACCAGCGGTTCCCCCGAATCTAACGTACGTTTTGACAGCTGCATTATTGGTTCTTGCGGAGCTTTCCTCCGGCTGCCGCGAGGAGTTCCTTTACTCGTTTGGGCGAGGCAACTGGCACTCGATGGATGTTAACATTCGACAGGTCCACTTGCCCGGAGCGGCCACCGTTGCGCTTTGTCCACTTGACAGGTAGGCACAGACACTATTAGAAACCCTATTTACGGGTCCAGTCGATCGGTACACGCTCAAATATGATGAGTATCCGGGGAGACTCTTCCCTCGTACTGGGATCCCCTCATCAACTAGGTATAACCATTGCTCTCAAGATGGGTTCGGGATGTTCACATTTTCCCCCTTGAAGAGGCTTAGGAGGTAGCTCAAAGGGGTATCTGAACGACAAGAGTAGTTGATAGTTCACAGTTGCCGGTTGAGGTAAAATGTGCACCAAAAGTACCGTGTATAGTTCACCCGCGTATATCTACTCTTGTAGAGACACTGTCTTCCCTGACCGAATCCCCAAATTTGAATGGAGTTTAATCCCCTGACCAGAACGTCTTGCTCCTCGCTAAACCAAATCAAATCTTCCTCCCCACCGTGATCTCCCTTCTTCAGTCAAGATGCTAGCCGGTCAGGCGCCCAAGGCCATTGCGATCATGTGGGTGATGGTGTTCATTTCCTTCATTTTCGTGCCTCTACGGCTCTACACCCGGATCTTCGTCCTCAAGGCGTTGGGGCTGGACGATCATGTGTTCAACTTGGGTTGGGTAAGTTCTTGCTTCTCGCATATGGAACTGCATGATCGTTAAGCCGACATCTCTGACGCGGAAGACTAGGTGTGTCTCCTGCTGTATACCATTTTCACCACCATTGCCGGGAAGCATGGATTTGGACAGCCCATTACCAACCTGGAGATGGATGAAGCAGTCCAAGCCGTTTACATGGAGATGGTTGGACAGACATTTGCGGTGCTGGGGATGGCCATTGCAAAGCTTTCTTTGGGGATCTTCCTCCTCCGGATCGTCGTGAAAAGATGGCATCGAGTCTCCATTTGGATTTCGATGGTCAGCCTGTCGCTTGTCTCGGTGTTGACCGCGATCATCTTCTGGACCCAGCGCCTTCCATCCAACTCAATTTACGATCCGCGCGTGCCCGGGCGTACTGTCGTCTCCGTGACTCCCTTCTCTGTATTACTCGGCTGTATGTTCCCCAGACGTGACCCCTTCTGACCTCCCTCGTTGATCCTGATGGGTTCCCGATGGTCTAGCATGGTGTGCCGCTGTCGACTTCTACTTCGCCATTCTCCCGTGGATCTTCATTTGGGAGCTGAATATGAAATTCAAGGAGAAGATGACGATCGCGATCAGTTTAAGCCTTGGATTCATGTGAGTCTTCGACGCGTATGGTTTCACTTGGCCACCTGCTGACAACATGGGTCAATAGAGCCGGCATCTGCGGGATTATTCGTACCATTGATTTGGGCGGGTTATCGAGTGCCAACTACACCGGTAAGTGCAGTACCACCAGCAATTTCTTTCCGGTGAGGAAGACCTATCACTAACCGTCGATCGCATAGAGGACACGGTTCCCTTGATCATCTGGTCGGCGGTCGAGCTCGCGGCGACGCTCATCTGCGTAGGCATTCCCACCGTCCGTCCCCTTTACCGTCGCATTGTGCACGGATCCAGTGCGAAAGAATCCCACGAAGGCTACAAACAACAGGATGAAAGGAGCAGTGGCAGTGGTAGTGGTAACCGGGGCAAACCCACCTTTTCGATGCCCATGAGGAATTTCGCTCGGGCCGGTCGTAAGGACGAGTTATTGACCACGATCACCAGTACCGTCGCTATGCCTGAGCCTGAGGAACATCATGGCCAGACCGGGCAACAGGACGAAGAGGCTCTCGTGGCCAGTGCTCAGCAAGAGAATTCGCAATATCTGGATCGTATTCGCATTCAGCAGGAGGTGCATGTCGACAGGAATTAGGGATTAGGCAGCCATGTACACTGGTTTGATATATATTAATTGCTACTCAATTTAATAACTTTTTTTTCGTTCCTTAGTTCTCTGGTTTTATTTTCTTTTTCCTCTTGCCGTAAACTCCTTGGGCAATCTTCTTCAAGAGGACTGAGGTCCGGCGACTCACTTGAGTTCTAGTGTATCACGCCCGACCAGTAGTCTTAGAATCCCGCGTATAGATATATATACCGTGATAAAGAAAAATTCTTAGCTAGGTCCGAATTGGTGTTGTCCTCCGTTTTGCCCTACACGGATCTGACAGACCCGTGAAGTAAGGATATATATATATGTGTCTAGGAATATATCCGGCCGTGTTGACAACAAGGAGTCTTCTTTAGTTTACCCAATCCTGATCATGTCTGTATACGAGTAATCCCTCAGATGGGAATGAATAAATACTAGCAAACCATTGACAAGAACAACCTCTCGTGGTGTATACTGCAGAGTTGACACCATCCTCTCGCGGCCTCGGCATGAAGTGGGTCCCATTTTCGAAATCGTGCAGTATTCCGAATGGAGATCAATGACTTGAGAATCGAAAGACCACTACTCCGTACTCATGTAGGGGTTTTCCAATCTACGAAGATTAAAATTCGGGAAACTCCGTAAAACCTTCTGCTTCACAGTTCAGCTATCTAGAGAGATCACACGGATGGCAGGTGGAGATGGGAACGGATTGGCCCAATGGGAGTTCGGAAAAGATCCCCCTGCCCATTGAACCGCATTAGCTATAATTCGCCCTGGGTCATATGGCCCTTGTGGTGGAGTCCAGAGTGTGGGCAGACTCGCATGTCCAAAATATCAAGGGAGGCGATCGGAAGGGTGGAAAGAGTCTAGAAAATGCATTCGTTCTCCAGGAAGGACTGTGCGCCGTCAATTGCTATATTCTGTACACACTTTGAGATACTATCCTTCCATTGAGGGCCAGCATCTCCGATCAAACGATCAAACGTCTGCTGTTGGAAGATCAAAGTGGCGTTATCGAGCCTCGTATTCTTGAGCATCTTTTTTGCCAAGCCGGCCTTTCCCCACAAAAGCGGGCAAAAAAACGATCTGAGCCATTGCCACTGAAGCTGACGAAGGAGATACTCGTTCGGGCTTAGTTATGACAGGCTGGACGATTAGGGGAGGGGAGCAGATCCCTTCTCTAAGCTTTACGGACGGTACTTTGGCACTGTTGATGGAATATTATGATTGCACGACTATCGAAACATCAAGTCCCCACTTTCGCTGGAACAGGTCTAACTAACAATGAGGAGACCTCCCTGGAAGGTACCGTACCGACTGTATCTATCTATTCTGGAACTGATGTTGTGCCACCAAACAGCCATGGCACCACCGTCGGGATGAAGCCCTAGATGATGGCATGGTGCCTTCCGGGTCGGTTCCGGGCCAGAGTCAATCTCAAATTCTAGAGCAACGAGTAATCAACTCTACCCCGTAAAATATACCTTGTAGTTAGTCCTTCCCTTTCCGAAGAAGAGGGGGGAAGGGAAGTAAACCAGAGGTACGAAGAAAACAAGGTGTCGATCTGCGGGATTCCAGCGGGAGGGGGGGATGGGAATGTCGAATGAAAACACTGTAGAAAAATGCATGACGCGACTATCCTTTCTCAAGAATGAGAAAGAATGGAGACCGAACCCCAGGATTTCTCCGCACGAAAGAAAAGAGGAGGAACCATGGATCGACCGAATTGTCTGACTTCTCAGACACTCCTTGCCGTCATATGACCACCATGACGTCTTACATAAAAGTCACCCCATGAGATGGAAATTAATTCCAAATAAATAGTGAGAATATTCCCCTTCTACATTTCCTCATTTTCCTCACAGATATCCGACCCAATCTAAACCAATTCATTCCACGTACCGTTGCAAATTCCGAGGCTTTTCGCCTAGAACACTTCCTAACCCCAGTACCATCCACACCCCCAATCACGATGGATAAATACAATTCTCAATGGGTCGAGTTCCATATCCGGGATCACCTGGAGGACGGTGAGATCACCGTGCGACACACCGTCATCGAAGGGTATGATCATCCTTCCCGTCAATTCTCCTTGCCATGTATGGATGAGATGCTAATCGGTCCGCAGCGGAGAGTTCCACAACCCCGAGGACCGTAGGAAATCTCTGACCGAGGACGAGATCGACGAGCTCGTCATCCCTGCCGACGGCATCGGCGAGATCTGTGCGAGTGGCCGTAGAGGCAGTGAGGGCCGCTTGGACCTGTTCCATGGCGACTCCAAGATCTGCGAGCTTCATTGGGACAATCGCGAGGGCCGGATGATGAACCTCGTCGAGATGTTGGACAGTAGTGACAAGTATAGGGTCGAGCATGGGGGATGGAGCCCAGAGGCTGGACCTCTGGGCCATGTCTACGTGGACGTTTGGGCGAAGAACAAGAAGTAATGTCTCGCCTGCCGGTGGGTGATGCAGTAGTCCTGGATGGATTCCGTGTCTTCTTTTTTTTTTCCCCTTCTCTCTGTTTTTGTCCCTTTTTCTTTCTTTTCCTTTTCTTCATCCTCTTTTCACCAAATGTTGCATGATTTGATATCACGACGGGGGATTGTATTCCTAAGAAATATATAAATACGCCAAGCATTGGTTCATAATGAATACGCATACAATTGCAGATCTACACAATTGAACAGTACCTGGCGATCGAAAGGGAATGGATTTCAACCAGATCCAAAGTAGACTTTAGAGCGAGACTGATGCACGACTTCTTTTCCCTCCCAATTCGCCTGCCTCCAACGCCATACTTTCAGAGTCAGCCCTACTCGATCGGATGGTCGGTATCTGATATGTTGATACACACAGCTACTGGTTCGTGCATTTGTTTAAACAGTCCTAGGAGGACTAGAGTCACGACATTGATTAGCGGAAGAGCAGAAGAACGAGTGATATCCGTGGGATTTACACCACCGCCGATGATACACGTGTAGCAATTGTTTGTGGGCTACCGGAACTGATCAGTCTGTGGATGTCGAATGAAGATGGAGCTCGCATATACCACTGGCTTGTCCGTCTCACTGGGGGCCGCCGCAGCCCGTCCGAAGAGATGCTTCTGGCAGACTTTATATATTTTGCGCGCTACGTGTAGGCGTAGAGGATGAGCGTCCCAGAGACATTTTCCGTTATGGGCAGGATTTTCTCCCTCATGGAGCGATTTCTACTTGCCGCCCTGAGTCAGGATCCACATTATCTAGGCTATTTCAGTGTCGTCACTACTCCGATTCCGCACCAGCGAGCATGGGCGGACACATTTATGCACTGCGGACGCATAGTTGAATTTATGGAGGTTGTAGACTCGGCCAATAGGTGTACCATAATGCGGTTGGCGACCGGTGGATATACGGGGATTCCTTGCTCTAGTCTATATGGTGAATACCTGTGTCGCCGTTTGGGTAATGTACACAAGGAATTGACGTCTGCGGGTGAGACCTGTGAAGCTTGATGAGGCACTGGACTCGCCCCTTTGGAAGATTTCTCGTGGATATAGTCACTCGGAAAACAAGCAAGGCGTCCACTGTATATGTGAATTGAGGTATGTTCTGGAAATGGAGTCGGTGATCGATCGGCATATGAGCCTGGGCCGACAAATCTCGTCCGGATGGATGGAGAGCGTTACAAGTATTGTAGAAGGATTTCCATCTGGCCGTTGTAAGATGTGCCATACGCAGGGAGGCTCAAAACACAAGAAGGCATACAGGTTTTATTTGGCGTAATCCATACTTCAGCTCGTGGTCATACCGCTGTCCGCCAGATATTTGATCGGCTTTCGACACGACATTTTCCCGTCGATTAAACACATACCCATCCATCTGAATGTATACATCCCCCAACGCCAACGCCACCCTTTTGATCGGGTTCTCACCGTGCGTGTGGTTCGGTGATCGCAGGACTCTGTTCTTCAGGATATCCAGTATGTGACCACAGAGGCCTCCATAACGATAATACATAAGTAATGGTCGCGATCGGAGAGGACGTAGTGGACAGATGAAGCGGGTATAATGGGACGTATTCCCACCCCACTCCTTTTTAAATGGCGGAAGGTCTCTCTGACAAGGAGACTCTACCACCGAAACTCTGTATGAATGGTTTGCTGTTTCAACATGTATACCCTAAGTGCCAAGGATCGTATTCCAGACCGAGGCAAGATGGAGATGGATTCTTGGCAAGTTTAACACTGGAGTCAGACTCTTTCCATCTCGAGGACGCAATGAGACTAATCCTCTTCGCTCTTCCTATTCTGCATGGTCTTTCGGTCGCACTTGATCAGCCTACCATATATCTGAGGTAACGCCTTTCATTCCCATGTTCTTCTTGACCCATTGATTGCGGATGAAATTGCTCATGGCTGATCGTAAATCTCACGCCACTTGACCAGGAACTTGACTGATATTGTAAGGATGGGCGATGGGAATACGACCCAACCTGTTCAGGTTGGGAAGTCCGAGATGCTGTTCACGACGGAGGAGAGGGTTAGTCGAGGGTCTAATGTAAGAGACGTCCAAGCCGCACCAGCAAGGGATGTTTCTGGGTCGACGTCGACGGGATCGGACGATAGCGCGCAAGAAGATGGAGCGCCGGATGATTCTGCATCAAGAGGTCCTCCGCGCGATACGTCGAAAGATTCAAGGCAAGAGGGTTGTTTGTCGCTTGGCGATGCGGCTTCCTATATTCAAAAGATCAAGGTGAGTAATTTGATGCACAATCAATCTTCTGGTTAATTGATGAATGAACTCAGAATCGCTTTGCGGATAACCCCGAGATCTATCAAGAGTTTTTCCTGATGCTCCACGACTACCAACAAGGGTCGCTGCCTCTGCGCGAGCTGTACGAGCAGGTCGGCGAGCTTTTCATCTCCGCGCCCGATCTCGTCGCCGAGTTCCAACGCTTCCTGCCTGAGGCCACGGCATATCGCCAGGTCCCGTGATCACAGTCGAGGTCCTTTAATGTCCGAAATGGGACTAGTTCATTTGGTGCCAACCAACCAGGAAGATCATCGGATTCTCCGTGACCCGTTATCTAGATGTAGATATCCAGTATTCTAGTCCTAGATATACCTGAATAGAAAGGAGTACTCTCCTTCCATTACCTTTTACAATAACCATACCATGACATAACCCCCTGGTAGAATATCCAAACATAGAAAGGTGCGAGGTAAGACTACTACCAACCTAGTACAATTAGTACTGCTTCGGTACTATGCTGTTCTCTTCAACATGTGCTGAGAATGGAAGCAGGATGCTACAACTTCTCCCAGCGCCGGATCTACTCTAATCGCGGAACTCCTATTTGCGAGAAATGTATTAAAAAAGGGTTGGAATATCTCGATCTCGGAAACCGTTATCGCTTCAGCAATGGGATCGCATCTTCGAGGAAAGCTCGCTGGAAAATCGATAGAGACTCAGCGTAATACTGCCTAGAAATCTTTCATGGACTTGTTCGCTATACTAATGTGATAGCTAGTGATACTGTAGAGAGTCGCGAGATTGTGCAGTGTGTGAAGTCACAGTAGTCCTCCGAGACAGCTCCGACAGAGTCATCTGGAGCCCTCCATGACCCAATGTCGCCATCATTGATCCTCAGAGCTAGGGACCTATGCTTGATAGAAAGAGTACACGGTCTATGGCAACGGCAGAGGGCCCTACATGGTGAACAAAGCCTACCATTGGTCTTAGACCATCTCGACATCTGCCTCGAGTTCTCCTGCGATATTGTTCGCACTTCCAGGGGCATAGGGCTGTGTCGCACATGAAGCTGACCAGCAATAGTCTCTGAAAGGGCGGCTCCGGCCATGGCTGCTATTAATATTACCTTCAATGGCCTTCTGTTGCCTCTATGTGAACAGGATGGGATCGTCAGGAACGCCGTCCTAGCCACCCCTGCGCCCCACAGTTCCTTGCGTCGCGCGGAATGGAAAGGCCTCGGGGTTCGCGATCATATGAATGCAATTCGCGGTCCGACCCAATGGGCGAAAGAGGTAGATGTAGAAGGATCTCTCATCCCACCAGTTTTCCCCATCCTAATTTTGAACGGTAGACAAGAGAGCTACTGAAGCTTCGTCCCTTTAAACCCAACTATAACCTCACGATAAGTATATGCTCGATGGCAACCCATCTAATGGGTGTCCAGATCAATTTGAAACATCTAGGTATTTAGCATGCGTCTGTAGGCGAGCTGATAGAGATCGATAAGAAATATCTGAGGCGCGTCACACTACGCAAGAGGATCACAGAAGAGCACCCAGACATTGTGATGACAGGAGAATCGTGCGCCAAGCCGGCGGTGGATGAGTTCTATATCTGGCTGGGGGGAATTACTTACCCACACGATATCCCCGTATGTTTAAGTTGCGACAAGAAGATTGTAAGACAGCAGGGGTCCTCTATAGCATGGTGACGGAGGAAGAATTCTCACTTAGCCCCTCCAAAACACCATGTGAGACACTCGGAAGACTCGGGCGTCTTGTGGAAGATGACCTATTATTCCGCCTACCATCTACAGGAGGCGATGGATGCACGTTGAAAAGCTTTGTTGCATGCTTCCCCAATGGGTTCGATACATCGAAGAAGTTGAACCTCGACCTCCGGGGAATCCACAAACCAGTTCCTGCAATATAAAGAAAAGCTTGTGAAAAGCATGAATCGCTATTTACAGAAGTTGAAGGCGGGAACGCTCATTAGGCGAGCCTATATCAGTATTGAAATCGCGTTCTGAATGTTCCCTGATATTAGGCGAAAGGCAGGATGGCGCTGACCAGCTTTCAGTGGACGATCACCAGCACGACCGGCTGTTCACGTTGCATGGCAACCGCCTTAATTAAGGGGACGTCGTGGACAGAGAAACAATTAAAATTGAAGGCATGCCGCTGGCTCAGCCGACATCTGTCCACATCTAACACATTGCTTGACAGGCCTGTGTGCGCTGTGAAAGACAGGCCCTCCATCGCCTGCCTGAAAGCTGTGCCATACTCTCATTCAAAACATACTTCTATACTTTGCCAGCGACCTAGCAGGAAGGCCTAGGAGACGCACTTGCGGACGCTATTGATGGGCTGCAGCAAGGCAATGCTCCCGGATTCTATTTTTGTTAGGGTCTGCTGCCTGGGGGGAGTCGGCCTAGGCTTATCTCCATAGTTGATACATGTTTTCTCCAAGTCTTCCCAGATTTCTATCTGCAGGATTCTTACGCTTGCCCAAACAGCCCTCAAACATTCTCCACAGCGCGCGCTAGGGCTATGGCGGTGAGTTCCATGTAAGCCTTGCGGTCGTAAATAAATATTGACCTACCCTGGCGTTGAGCGATGGCCCGTTCCCGAACCATTTCACCATGTACACTACACTATTGCGCGTAACTCAACTCGAAACAAAAATATTATACGCTGGCACCCTCCACTAAGCTGTGGCTCAGCACGCTCAAGAATGAGGACACCATGAATACTCGCGAGTTCCACGGCTTCCTGGTCAAAGTCCTCACACACTGCGCGTCCTACACCAATCCGACATCCAACCCCAATCTTCCTCCACGCATGTTTTCTATCAAGACGCCGACAACCCCGCTCAAATGCCTATGATCACGAGATATCCATCCCTGGAAATTAACGACGCTGCAGACACAACCTACGCAAAGAAATTCCTCGCGTATGTTTCAATATGTCGAACATGGATGGTTAAAGCAGTTGGATTTGGATGTGGGCCTGTTGACCCTGGAGTGTGATGATTTGCTTTGCACGGGACCCGAAGATTGGGGTTCGAAGGAGGTAGTCGGGGGGTAGGATGTCAGGCCCCAGACGGAGCAAGGCATGAAGATGCGGGCCAGTGGGAAGCCTGGACATGAGAGGTCGTAGGTGACCATTACGAAGGGTAAGAAGGCTGATTATGGTCCGCTAGAAGAAGGCGAGGGATCTTCCAATTCAAAAAAAAACTGAAAGGAGAATATACGAACGGAATATGTATGACCTATTTATCCTGAATTTACCCGAAATCTTATACTGTACCCATCTTGGATATTGTATGTACTGCAGAACACTTTGACTAGCCAATGCCTGCTATCCTAGAGCTTTGACTGAGGGCTGAGCGTGATGTCATCCACCATCTGTACCTTGTGTAGTGCGTTTACATCGTCGAAGCCCTTCATGAGTTTGTTTTGAGTTTCCTCTCCAGGCTGCGGTTTCCGCCAGCGGAACCTGTGCAGCATGTCCGACTCAATCCCCATCACCTTGTCCGCGACGAACTCTCCAAGCAGGGGGAGAAATTTGAATGCGTGGCCACTCCCACCCGTCGCGACGATGACCCCTTTCTTGCTGGGAATGGCATCGATGACCCAATGATTATCAAAGGAATCCGTATACCAACACAATCTCGTCTGTGAGATTCCGATGCCAGTCGCCTTGAACTCGGGGAGGTACCGATCTAGAAACCTCTGGATCACCAGGGACGAGGTTTCAGGCAACCCCGTAATAGAAGGCGACGTCCACTTGGTAATTGGGAGACTGCGGACCTTGCCCGACTGAACCAGCTGAGGGTTCGTATACTTCGTCCCCCGATACCCAATCTTCATCACGCCATGCTCATCCAGTGGGAACCCATACAAATTGCCGTTCTCGCCGCAGTGCGCATTCCACTGGAAGACGGGGAAGTTCTCTGGCGCGAACCGCTCACGAAGCGGAGACCCGTCGGGAATCTGGATCATGGCGATCGACCCGGCCGTGGCCTCACATAGTCCGTCGATCTCGGGGAGCAGACTAGGGGTCCACCCTCCGCAGGCAATGATGGTTACAGCGGCGAGGTGGCTGTTGCCGTTCGCGGTTTTGATGCCAGTTACTTTGCCGGTTGGATCTTCTAAGAAACCCTCAAAACGACCGGCTTGTCGATCCAGGATGCATTTCACGCCTAGCTGTTGAGCTAGATGGAGAGCGTATCTGCATGCTTTGTCCGCGTAGACAAATCCACCCATCATATCAAGATACCCCTGATACTTGCCGTTCTGGCAGAGCTTGAACGGGTCCACGGCGTGGCCCACCCCATCCGCTTTGGCTCGTTTGGCTTCGCGAGGATCAGAATACAGGAGATATTGCGTGTGGCCTTTTCCGGCTTTGGTGAGGTTATCTACCGACAATTTCTCGAACTCATTGAGACCGTTGGTTTCATCGCTGAAGTGATAATTACCGCTGTTGACGTATATGGGGTCCTTCCTGGACATGCCTGGCGGAAGCACGAGTCCCAAACCTGGATGGCTTTCAAAGTCAAGTCCTGATACCACAACTCACCACCGTAGGCGGCACGGATGATCTTGTTGCAGTCTGGAACCACGCATCAACAGGAAAGTCCTCGCCTGGTGTTATGCAACGGATATACTGACCTGCGGAGGCAGCATCACATCCTCTATCAAAATTGTAGTGTGTCTCATGGTATGGCTGTCGATCGAAGACGGTGACATCCTGGAATCCTCGTTTTGCCAAGTGAATAGCACTACTGAGGCCGAAGACGCCCGCACCCACAATAACAATAGGGAAGTCTTTGTCCATATGATTTGCCATGGGGAGCTAAGTTAGATGAGGTTAGTGATGGTTAGTGATGTAGACCCGGTGGTTAAACGATTAAGGGAGGGAAGATCAGCCGTTATCTCTCCTTATCCTGTCTTCTTACACGGAGAACTCGGCGAGATAACCCCTTGAGCGAACATAGGACGTATCTTCTCGGTCTTTTCTTCCAAGATGAGTATCCCCTGCACTGAATCATAATCCCTCTATCAGTCAACTCCATCGTTAGTTTCGCCGTGCTAGCGGATCCTTGGAGGTAAGATAGGAGATGGTCACTTGCCTGCCCGGTTAATCACCATGCTCACAACTTCCCCACTTTGGGTTCTCGGGCACAAGTCCGACTTTTCGTGTGTAATCAGTGAACAGAAGAGGAGGTTTGACGTGTCGATCTTCCCCTCCAACGCAACGTGCGGGGTGAAATTGATATTTTCGGCAGCGGAATGAACCGACTACGACTTGCCATCTTCGTCTAAACGTAGCCCTAATCGTATCTCTATCCTGGAATGATATCAATTACCCTCTTCAAGTTAGGTATAATTGAAAGCTGTATGGATAAGCTTCGGACTCCAAAGCCAGGTTATGGCTGTCCTTCTATACTTTGGTTGCCGCGTACATATATAGCATTTACCCAAGGGTCTGCATATTTCATAGAGTAGGAGCTATTAAATACAGTATTCTCCATCTTGTTGCTTCCCAAATTAGAACCTGTCCCCTAGATCTGTCACCTGGAAGTTAGCATGGAGGGCCGAACGTCCCAAAAGGAAGACCTGAAGCCCACTGGCTCACTTGTTACCACTAGAGTCCCAGGTCTAGTTGTAGCCGAATGCAATAGAATTGATCGGTCAATAGAAGAAACCGTGCTTCGGAAGTTAGACTTCAAATATATCCATGGCGTGTACTGCAAATCAGGGGGAGCTGTTGCTGATGCAGATGCTAGGCTTCTCCCCGTCCTCTCTTTAGCGTACTTCTATGTGAAAGTCCCCGTGGTCAATGTGCCAATTGATTCACTGACCGCAGCTCGAAGGCCATTCTGGAGTCTGCGTCCACGACTGATAATCTCAGTCGAAACGCGCGAAACAAGGCCCCTTTGCGCCCGCGGCTCCTTGTAATATTGGCGCACAGCAAGACTGCCCTGGACAAAGTCCTACAGGAACTCAGTACACCACCGAGGTGGAGTATTGAAGGTAACCAACCACCCTCTGACAGGAATGCATGATTAGTAGCTGACAGATTCATGGTACTGATAGAGGAGCTCCGGAATCTTCAAGGGAATAACCACATCAATCGCCCTGAGTACGCTCAGACATTGTGCGCCGCTGTTCAGATCGCCTTGGTGAATCTCCTGAAAGGGTGGGGGGTTAGTATGTCTGGCACGATCAGGCACTCCAGTGGCGAGGTCATTGCGGCGTATGGGGCTGGGGCTATCCCAATATATACAGCAATTATCACCGCGCATCTTTGTGGACAATGAGTGGTGGGCGCTTCGGCGCAATGACCGTGGTTGGTCTCGGACAAGTAACCATTACCAGCTTCCTGGCTGAAGGGATACCAATCGCTTGCTAGAATAGCCCTCAGAGCGTGAACATTTCGGGAGACCAGGAGAAGATCATTGCAGTGCTTGATCAGATCAAGGTGGAGTATCCGAGTATATTTATCAGGCAATTACCGGTCTCAGCGGGCATATCACTCTCGTTGGTTCCCCCGTACTCATATCCTATTTTTGATATATTGACAATATAGCAGCTGACATGCGCAGTGTAGGACCATCTTTTGAGTCAACCATCCCCCAATGCATCATGCACAATGATGCCATGGTTCCCATGTTTCCACCATAACCGGAGCACGAATCACAGACCCGGGGAGCTCGATGCGGCATATTGGCGAAAAAAGCTTGAGTCCCCGTTCAATTCAATATGGCAGTGTATGGACTTATAGCTCAATCTCCGGCGAGCAAACTCGCTTTCCTGGAAACTGGACCCCATCATACAGTTTCTGGACCTCTTCAACAGATTCTTACGTAGCAGCAAGATACCCAGAGCACTTCCATCCCGACACTTGGAAAACAAAAGAATCAGGCACACTATCTGCTGGAGGCAGCAGGAGAGGTGTCTCTAAACTCTAAACCAATGTGCGGTCAACCTTGAAGCAATTAACAGTAAAGGAGGGTCCTGCCCGACCTCTCAGTGTATTAATGGGACCAACAAGATACCCACTGGCAGGAGAGCCGAGTGAGCAAGAGCTGGATGTTCCGACAGCACCCCACCCATGAGCTTCTGGGATCACGAATGTTGGAGGGGAGTGATCTAGAGCTGGCGTGGAGAGTCTTGCTAAGCACACGGAATATATCCTGGCTCAATGATCGTCAGCTCTTGAGGGAGACGATATTCCCATGCGCTAGGTACATCTCCGACCAAGGAGAACAAGAACTACTAGCGGTTGGCGACCTTCTTCAACCATAACACACAAAGATAACGTAGATGTGTGAAGAGATTGGCGAGGAGGCGGGCTGCCGTTTGAGGTGAGAACTGAATAGGGCACATGGGGCCCCGCAAATGGTATTGAACCAGTCTGCTATAATCTTTGGTCGTGGGAGGACAAAGATACCCTGCGCTTCAAGTTTTGGATCCGGGTGACCTAGGGTAGACGTTCTAGGAGATATGAAAGATGACAAGTGTCGGAGATTGAACTATAGTATACCGTCCACTTTCTATCTGGGTTTAAACATGACAGGAGGGTGAGTGACACGCGTTATAAGGCTAACCAAAAATAGATTGGATTGAGGTATGCTCCAGACAAATCTATAGCGTAGTTAATAGTATGGGCACGAGTAATCGCCATCAGGAACTATGGATATTCCCACAGATTACAGAGTGCAGCTGCCACTATCTAAAACGTGCTCTAGTCCTTTTAATAAGACAGGAAGAGGCTATTATGTTAACCGGAAATTGAATTCGGTCCTTGTCTCCGAAATCGACCCGCTAGATGCCAGACTACTTACCCAAGGTGATTTAAGGGAGTACTTGGTTTATATAAATGGATTCCCCAGGATTGATCAAGTGTCCAAGAGCTGGAATAGCGGGCTGGTATCCCAGGCTGGAAGCGTCCTTCATGCAACTGAGACCATTTCTCATGTCGAATGCCAGTTATACCCGACTCACCCCGCTCTATCCCGACCTGCAGGTCCCTGCTTAACTCGACACTTGTAGCAGCTTGAGAGAATGTCAACAGTCAACCCTCTAATTCTCCCGAGCAGTCTTGTAGTTCCTATTGTTCTCCACTTATCTTGCGTGCAGACACCGACGGCCAATGGTCCCAGTTATTATCCTCACTTGGAATTTCTCCTTGCCTCTTCGTCGGACTTCAACTCCTGCCGTTGCTCTGACCAGTAGTAGTGTTCAAAAGTGTGCAGACATGGACCGCATTGAGATGCCGACAGGGTTGAAGGTCATCAGTCTCCGCATTACCCCCTGGCTAAGAAAGGTACCCTTCAGCAGAATAGGGAGTGGGAAGCAACTAAAAGAAAGCTTCGCGAGACGGTAGTAACATTGCGGTATTTTTCTGCTGATTTCACAATTCTAGTGGAGATGGTTCACCCACTTTGCTCAAATCAGTGGCCATCTCGTATCTTATGGAGGTAACGGGGCTTGATCAGTGGACAGAGAAAGCCTTTTTAGGAAATTGGTGAAGGCTTGTAGACATTGACTATAATCCGGGTATTAGGATTCAGCAAATCATTGGTGGCTAAAATACAGAAAATTTCCACCCAATCGACTCTCGGTTCCGATGAACTTGACCCACCCCCGTTAACTCATATGGGGCCAAGTTCAGCTTTACCGGATCTAAGCGTATCATGTCTCTTAATTTGCAAGACTGTGCTTTACATAATTCTCAAGTAAGTCTTCGGCAGATATTAGTTAACGCTGACAGTCATGAGCTACGGAGATATTTCCTCCACTTTGTGCTTTACGGCTATATCTATCAGGTTGACTGGGATATATATGTAGATATATCCCCCTTCACAGGAACTGTTTACTATCCATTAAATCCCCGTTCTCGACAGTCCAATCTGTAAGCTGACGACCTGGAACCAACATCCATCATGAAGTTACTAGGATACCTTGCTCTGTCTTCTCTCGTCCTTGCCGCAAATGCTGCTGACTGCACGGCACCAAACCAACAGTGGTTCAGCGACGCCGCTGTTCAAATGATGTGGTCAATCCGTGCCTGGGTCTGTCCCAACGCTTGGTCGCAATCGATTACAGCCGGCCCGGACGGTGGTTGGTGCGATGCTGGTGGCGGCGTGATCAGTGCATATTGGGGATCATGGACAATTGCTGGAATGCAATCTGAGCAACAATGCTGGGTATGTGAATCTGCTCCACTTTTGAAGGCCATAAGCACATGACGCGTTGACAATGGGAAAAAGGATATTACCGAGCAAATCATCAACCAGTGCATGTGGTATGATTTTGCTTCGACAAGCTACAATGGCGGAAGTTGGACATACGGAGGTACCTATGCTGGCGGATGGTTCTGGGCTGATACGAGCAAGACTTGTACCCATGCAGTGAAGAGAGATGCATCAATAGACAATGAGGGACCAACCAATTTCACCCTTGCAGATGGGACAACCAAGAAGGTGGATAAGCAGGTATGGTTGGACTTCACCGCGGAAGGTGTGAGGGTAGTCAGGGAGGAGACCTATGTCTGAAATTGCTAGGTCTCGCATTGTCAAAATTTCTTATTTAGAGACAGCCTACGCTTTCAAAAGACGAGTTTTGGTTGAATTGACCTGCCTCTTAATTGCCTAAAGATACACAAATTTCCTAACCAGTCAAACCCCTGTAGTATAACTGATCTCTCATGAAAAAGTATGCGTAGCTCAGCTGAAGGTCCATTATCCAGTTCAGGACTTATTTTCCTTTGAATATAATACATAGATAATGTGAGGCCGTGTACTAACATGAAAGGTCACTGATGCTGTTTCTTCTAGTCCCCGATACGCAGCATCCTCCATGGACCCGACCTCGAATATCAGCCTTGTTTCCAAGATAATTTTCGTGGACTTCTCAGAATAATCCTTCAAGTTAATGGCACGCTACAACAGATTTTCAGAAAAAAGGAGGGGTTACATATATATGAGTGGTCTCATAATCACCTTACTAAGGAGCAAGATGGGACTCAACCTGCCCTGGCTGTCGGGTTTTGTTCATGATGAGCCCCTTAAGAATTCCTTGAATTCGGACGAAGGCATCCTTCAGGTTCAAAAAGATTAAACAATGTTTAAGAATGGCCTTGTCCACGTGAAAGTGTTAGTAGACGGATCATTTTCCATTTCCGGTAGTAGTAAGTCTTCTCACACAGAACACGGCCGCAAAAAATGCGAGGGTAATATTAGTGTCTTCACTGTGGGTAATAGAAAGGTAGCGAACAGAGACATGCGAAGGAGGCGTCAAGCTGTTGAAGGCTGATTCGGTCTGAAGGAACTAAGCACATAGATTGTTTTATCGCTTAGCCTTTTGTTCGCAAGAAAAAATAGGAATTCGGTAACTAGCTTAGTTGCATCAAGGAGCCCAGTGCAGTCATACGGCCACGGCCTCTGCTTTTGGGGCCACAGGGACATCAGCACAGTCTACCTGCACAACCTGATGTTCAAATCCCCTTTCGGTCATCTCAATCACTAACGCACTCAACTGATGACCGTATAAACATGCGGAATCCAGTCCGATTGAATACCTGCCCAGCTGCAGACGACGCTTGGCATCGTGCCCGAAAATCACCGTAGTCCGGGCTGCCAGTTTCTCCTGCCACCGGTCCCATTCGGCAGCCCAACCTTCCTCGCCGGTTTCTTCAGTTGGTATGAAGGAATCTTCGACGCTCGGCGCGCGGAGGAGGCTGCGCATATGCATGACAGCATGGGGATCCTGGTCCTCAAGAGGAATACCGGGAGTGAGGCCGGCATGTACGACAACCAGAGTGTCGCCTATAGATGATGTTGGATGATGAGGTAACTTGATGCGCAAGATCAATGGTAGAGAGGCGAGCCAGTTGAGGTGGCATGTCGAGAGTGCATTGGCCGTGCTGTACGTTCCTGCGCTATGTCTCATGGAAATTCTGGTAGTGGCAGATGTGTTTTCTTCGGGGCTACCAGAAGGGACAGCATTGCTCAATAAATAAGCTCCTGGGTTCCCAGACAGCTTGGCAGGAGGGCTGGATAAGCCTCCGGCGTGCACTGGGCTATCCTCTCGTGCGTTGATTTCCATGGTAGCATCCAGAACTGCATTGTCGTGATTACCTCTCACTGCGCTGGCGCCAAGCTCAATGACCAGATCAATGACACCTGGGCTATCGGGCCCTTTGTTGACCAGATCACCAACCAGTATGAGATGATCCCCTCTGCCTTTGTCGAAGCTGACCTTGTCCAAAAGTGCCTCCAGAGACCTTTTCATCCCATGTACATCTCCTACAATAACTAAGCGTCGAGTGGCAGGCCCAGGTCCATGTTCAGGAGATGATGATGGGAGCTGCGGAATGAGATTACTCGGTAGGTCTGATATAAACGTAGTGATTGGGAATAACTTGTCAGTGGCTGTCGCAGGAGTCATTGTTATTTATGAAGATTACTTGAAGGGAAAGCAGAATAGATGAAGTGTGATCATGGATCAAGTCATGTGGGGTTCTTTTAAACGAGAAGAGGTTTACTCATCGGGTAAAGCGCCATCCAATTAGAACGAACAGGTTGTATATAGTGTTTTTACTGGAACAGATCAGATTGATTTATTTAGCAAACCATCTTATTGGAAAAATATTCTCAGTGCTGTTCATGTAAATATTACTATATTCAAGAATCCCGATTATGAGCTTCATCAGTTCGCCTTGTATAGCTACTATCATAGAAGTTCTCTAATACAAAACAGAAGAAGATAAAGCAACGCAAGAAATGCATTTAGATAAGGATGTTTGAGCTACAGTCCTCTAATTCCAGTTGTGATCTACCTTTATTTCCCCATGGACTTCCTCACATCCTCCTAACCAATCCCTACCTTTAACCCCCCCAAGCCTGAGGTAGGCACGGTATACTAATGGACCACCATTTCAGTAGAGCTCCAAGTACTCCATGGTAGGCTTATGTCCTTGAAGATATGACAATCACAGGAAAACAGCTCCAAAAGCCCAATATTGGACGCCAACGGTTTCAAAATATCGATTTTTATCCGGAGGATACAGCGAACTCTATCCAGACAGTATAGATCTTCCCTACTATAGGGATGGACAATCACTCCAGCATATTTCCTATGACACCTGTTATAATGCTCATACTTCCACCTCCCTGTATTCTGCTAATAATTAGTCTACGATAGAGAGTTAGTTTCAAGCACACAATTTGGTTGGGCTTAACACGAGTCTTGCCGAAAATAGTATCAGAATAGCATATTGCAAGTATTGTAGTGCGCTATTTGGGAGCTATAGTGAGGACAGCACACTAGCAGTATCTGTCCAATTAGCCTGAAAAGCATAAAGTAAGAAGTGTGATATACCAAAACCAGGAATATAATTTCCCTCTACATTGGTCATGGTCGCGTATAGCATGTGGGCGCTGCTGCTGACGGGTGTCAACCTACATGCGCCACCATATGAGCAATGGACAAATCCGCCCACGCTCGTCCCATTCAATGACTGCATGGTTGATGGAAAGCTGACATTCCTACCTCCGACTACAATCCAAAGTGGTGAAAGATCATATCGGATCCGGCAATATGCATGAGAAATTGAGAATGCTAAGGCACATGCTCTGCCAATTTAGGTGAATTTTGGAATATAATGTCCCGCTTACAACCTTCAAACGGCAAAGCACAACAGAGGTCCCTGCAACAAATATATGCACATAATATGCTGGAAGATCATTTTCTAAAATGTGCCCGAGCAGTCTCAGCCTCCCAGCAGCAACCTTATTGGACAGGTCCTAGATTATGGCCAAAGCCAGTCAGTCCATTTCGAAGATATTTATATCAGCACACCAACGTAAACATATGATAACGAAGTTAAGTGTCTAATTTTTTCTTTCTGAATATGCGCAGTTGTTCAGATAACATGTCAATCAGCTCCAATGCATGGCAATCGAGCCCGTTCGGCTAACCCCACCGCTACAAGGTGTTAGTATATCTACCGAAGAGATACATGAGACTTTTGACCTTCTAATCCCTCAATGTTGAATCCGCTCTATTAGGAGCCTAGAAAATGGAGCTTCATTTAACAATCGAGGCATTAGCTTGGTTGATCTCGGGATGGATCTGGCCAAACCCATCACCTCCCTTCGGGAATTTCTCTTTTTGAAGCTCGAGGCACGACTGAAAGTCCTGAACGAAGACGATGTGTTCATTCCTAACAGGGGGTTAACTGATATCATCATAAAAGCAATTAATTCAGAATCGGATCATCTCTCTATATTGAGCGGTGGAAATCAACTGGATCGGTTTGTTTTTACTCGCACCGACCTGTCTCCCCGAAACATTCTGGTCTCGGAAGATCCCCCGCAAATAACTGGCATACTGGATTTTGGATTCTCTGGCTTCTTTCCCGTTCTCGAAGAGTATCAAGGGAACTGGGGTGGAGACGATGGAGACTGGACAAAGTTTGCCTACAGAGCTTTTCTTGAGCGCCTTGACAAGAACGGCGTCGCAACACCGCTACAGGGCGACACGAAAGTACTCTGGGAAAATCTTTTATGTATTTTTCATACTGGAGACGTATATTGCTCCATGGTGACTAGAACAAAGAGGAGCGGGGGATGTGAGTTCGGAGCTGGCGCACGCGTCGCGACATATAATGGCAGCAGTCCATGAAATTTGTCCTTCAATAGAAACTCTCCGGGCACCAGAACAACTTCAATTGGTTGGTCCTCCTTTTTCATAAAATAGGCAGCTTATGGTGGATTAGCAACTAGATATTGATAAGGGAGATGAAAGCCTCAGGCCTCAAGAATATCGAGAAGCCCCAATAGAAAGTATAAGCGGAATGTTGGCACAGCGATCTCTGTACTGTCATTAGCGAAGATAAACTTGTCCTTGTACCACCAGATACCAGGCATGTGGACAATACATCGCAGCATAGTGCACAGTCACCATACTGGATCCATCGATCGAAGGAGTCGTGGCAGCATCGTGCCTGAAATGTCATAGGAAGGTCCAGCGGATGCAAGAGAAGACCGAACAAGCTCCAACTTGAAATGCTGACGGCCACACGTACATAATACCCTGGAAGTTAACGTAATCGGTAAACGAGCTGCGCACGCAAACGGGCTGCGCACTCCACGCGTTTTCAACGCGCCTCAATTTCTTAGGTGATCGAAACACCAGCCATACCACCAAAAATGCCTAAATCATCAAAATCACGCCTTGAACAGGAAGGCCGAATCCTACTGGCCATATCGGCCCTAAAAAAAATGAATTCAGTAGCCTTAGAAAGGCAGCCGATATATTTAATCTACCTGAATCTACCCTACGCAGTCGCCTAAAAGGAACCTCTTTTAGAGGCGAGCAACGCGCCAATGGTCATAAATTGACTACTAGTAAAGAGGAATCGCTTAAAGAATGGATTCTATCACTAGATAGACGTGGAGCACCTCCTCGGCCTGCACATGTTCGAGAAATGGCCAATATCCTACTCTCAAAGCATGATACTACATCTCCCCCTGCTACTGTAGGGGAGAAATGGATATATAACTTTACCAGGCGTACACCTGAGCTTAAAACCTGCTTTGCACGTCGCTACAACTATTAACGTGCTAAAGTAGAGGATCCAAAGGTTCTAGGTGCTCGGTTTGAGCAGGTAAATGAGGCTATTCAGAAGTACGGCATAGCTTTAAGTGATATATATAATTTCAATGAAATAGGCTTTGCAATGGGCCTAATTGCTGCAGCCAAAGTTATTACTAGGTCTGATATGCCAGGCAAGCCATTTTTATTGCAGCCAGGGAACAGGGAATGGGTTACTGCCATAGAATGTATATATTCTAATGGATGGGCTCTACCTCCCTGCATTATTTTCAAAGGCAAGATGCACATGGAGGCCTGGTATGAGGATAATAAGGTTCCTTCTAATTGGAGGATTGAGGTTAGTCCTAATGGCTGGACAAGCAATGAGATTGGCCTACATTGGCTGCCGAATCATTTTATACCTCTTACTACCGGCCGATCTATAGGGAAATACCGTTTACTTATTCTAGATGGCCACGATAGTCATCTAACACCTCAGTTTGATCAAGTCTGCGCAGAAAATGTTACCACTATTATCTTTAAGGGAAAGGATTATATAGAGAAATAGTTTAATAAAATAAGAATTCCTGGTGACTGGAGAATTAAATTAAGTGTTAATAGATAGACTACTGATAAGATTAGTCTTTACTGGCTTTAAAAAGTCTTTATTCTAGCTATAAATAAATATATAACAGGAGAATATCAACTACTAGTTCTGGATAGCTATAGAAGCTATCTTATACCTGAATTTAACTGTACCTGTAAGAAAAATAATATTATCTCTATTTATATGCCTGTTTATTTTTCTTATCTTCTGCAGTCTCTTGATATTAGTTGTTTTGGCCCTTTAAAAAATGTATACAGCAAGCTTATAAAGCAGAAAGGGCGCTTGGGATATAACTATATTAATATGCTAGATTTCTTAAAGATATATCCAGCAGCTCAAGAAATAGTATTCACTAAGAAAAATATTCAAAGCAGATTTAAAGCAACTAGATTAGTTTCTGACAGACTTTGCGAGCAATACTACCGTTCGGCTACAAAAAGGTGCCATGACATCTAATTGTACCTTCAGGTAGATTATAAGTGCTCAGTCCAACAGTTTCTTAATCTATATACTATACTAGAAAAGTTAAATATCAGGCTTTTAATACCTATCCCCTTATTAAGCAGAGAAGATACTTTAATCCCTTTCTTCCAGCTCTATGCGCCTTATACAGTCTGCCAAGTATATTAAAAGGCTTTCTCAATTAAGAAACTTCTAAAGAAAGGATTTACAAGTTCTTTATATCTCTCTAAGCAAGCACTAGACAAATTTATAAAGAAATATAAGTTAGCTATCTATAATACTAGCATGCTAGTACAGGAAAATTCTGATCTCCGAGTAGCCGTTAAGAATAACAGATAAAAAAAGAGTTATTCTAAACGCTAAATAACTACTATAACTGGCCTGTCAGTTTAGGAAGCTAGATATCTTATATTATTAAGAAATGATCAATTAAAGGTATATAGTGATAATTCTGGGCCACCTGGCAATTCTACTTGTCAAACTTTAGATAGACCAAAACATGCTCCACCAATATATTAAGACTGTCATGTAAAGAGTATACTAGAACTAGATGTCCTAATCATCAGAATATTTAGTTTATTTAATTTAAATTGCTTTTGATTGTTGTAAAGAGCTTTAAACTTGAGCAAGCACGAGTTCTTGGTTGAAAACTACGGATTGCCCGGGAACTACGGAACGCCCGGGAATTACATTAATATGCAGCCCCCCGAGATACCCTCGGGTATACAAACCTGGTCTACCAAAGGCTGTTCGCTATCATAATGCCGAGTGACAAGTAAATTCCATGCCCCGGTTAATATCAAGTAACTAAGATAATACAGCACCTCTCTGTATTATCGGTATCAGAGACACCTTTCAAGAATAATCTAGGAACTATAGATGGATCCAACCTTCTGGACGAATCCATAGCTGCCAAAGGTTGAATCAAGGTCTAAATATCTTAAAGATAGATCCATTAGTAAGATCTAAAGAGATAAGAGACATGTTCTTTACGATCTTTCTAGACACTATACTAGTACTTCTAGATGAGAAAAGCTCTAGAATGGCCTACTACTCTCTATACTAGCCTATTAATGTGGTATTGGTGGTCCTAAGTGCTAAATCTATCATACAGAGATTCCATGGTGTTGTGGTCAGATCATGTGGTTGCCGCCTTAGCTCCCTATAGTCTCTGACAGATTCCATATACTCGTCTCATGGCCGAACCTCGAAATTGTATTTATTGGTGATTTGAGCCGTTGGGTACTGTGACGGTTACTCTATTACAGTATTACAGAAGTAATGCCGGCTTATCATAGATGGCGCTATGGGAGAGAAGACCGGTAGTGTGCCAGACACTCAAACTCTACAGAATAGTCTAATAACACAACGGCAAACACACATCGCCCCTAGAAGAAAGGCCGAAAGCATGGATTTACGTTGCGTAGAGGCATTTTGCCTTCCACCGAGACAGTTGCCGATCCTTGGGCTATGCGCACTTTGCCAATTCGGGAATATTTATCGTATTGGGGCTATGTGTGCCTTTCGCCCGAGCTTTACAGTGTTAGGCTTTTCTCGACGGCTTGAAAACCCAGCACTGAAAGACTACCACCAGTTACGGTTATGGCGTACCGGTGCTCAGCGAAAGAATTTTCGGTTTGGAAGAGCTCGTGAGTGGGCCTCTACAACCACTCTTTTTTGACCTTCCAAAAAGTACGGAGTTCGCCAAAGAGAAGGACTCTGTTAATGTGCCAACCCGGCACCCATATAAGAGCGAAGATTTACTCCTAAAAGGACCGAGATGTTCCACGGTCGCGAGAGGATGTCTAGCGACTTCAGGGCCAGGCATTGCAGCCAAAGTGCCCTGTTTCCTCGGCGGAATAAACTACCTAGTATCAAACAGGCCCAGATCAAGTGTAGGCCTGCGGTTGCCTTAACTTCTGCTCATGTGCTGTGGTTTCCGTCAGTCTGATACAATACAGAATTATTTCTGTATAGGAAGTTCTGCTACTTACGATTGAGCCTTGATCCACAGCGACGTGGGCGACGTTATACATGGGACTATATGCTCCGATGGTCTAAAACAGATTAAAAAAATAAAAAATTCAAATAAAAATTATTACTAGTCTGATCCAAAGGCACTATCATCCTGACGAAGAGCAGTAGATTTGTATACCAGCCTTCCTGTAATTAGCATCCTTCTTGCTGACCGATATAGTAACGGACATGGACGTTCTTGGACGTCCAAGGAGGCCTGGAGGCGGTAACAGCCCCACCACTTGGATATGGACGCACATCGCTCTTGCGCACCAAATAGGGAATAGTGCCGAAGGGTGGTTCCCCTCCGGCATCGGCTGTGTACCAGTAAACGCACTGGTAGAATCTTTAGAATTTCGTGAAGCAAACGGGGGTGACTCGGGAGGAGGCTTCATTTTCCGAGATTCCTCCAAGGACCCTTTCGTGAATGTCCGTACCGGCCCACCCTTCTAGGTATGTAACAGCGATGAGCTACTAAGGTGAAGGTGAAAAGGGGGTCCTTGCTATGGATAAAAGAGCTGCGAGTCAGTAGCCTCTGTCTTGAAACTTATAAGTGGCCCAGGAATTTGATAGCATAGAACCTAGCTTTAACCGGGGAGCCCATGCTCGATTCTATCTCCTGCATCTAACTGTAAAGTACCTACTACGTGTCTAGGCTGAACAATGGAATCGTCGAAAATGCGGTATTAGAAAGACGTCTCCGAGTAGAGGTGGTATCAATATAAATATACATTCATCTATGAAAGATCCTGTACAGGGACTATGTATAGCGTGATCTGGGCAATTTGAGTCCCTAATTACGGGGAAGCTATGGCTGAAGGGTGCTCTTCCAGCGTTGGAGCTCACAGGGGAGATCTATTCACCAAACGTGTCTTAGGATGGCCAATACCCATTTCTAAGGTCTGCGAGCGTGCTCTGATACATCGCGTCTACCTCCTCTAGCTTACCCTAAACGAAGTATGGAAGACGGATTATTAACAGTATCAAGGTAAATAAGATTTCCCTAATGTACAGGTCTCTGCTCATACAATCACGTAGTATTTAGGATATTTTCATCAATAGAATTCGAGTGGCTTGTTGAGTGAACCAGTACACTGAAAGTGTCCAATATGATGTGCAATCATTGTTCATATTCAAATATATTTAAGTGCCAATAAACCTTGGTGGCAAACTATATAGTACAAGTGGTCTGCCCACTCAAGAGAAAAGCGCAATATTGGAATCAGAAGATGCCATATAGATTGCTTTGATGACTAGTGAGACTGATGGAAGATTGTAATGGAAGATTGAGAGGTTGCCAGATATGTGTAGCTGGAAGGATGACACAACTAGAACAAATAATAGATTGGATGTAAGACAGTGGACTACCTCGGACAACGCTCTTGGGATAGCCCACATCCTACGCCACAGAAATTTAGGCATTATATTGTGCCATTCATGCTGCGTCGCCTTTGTCGGTGGAGCGAGCCTGTTTCTATTTCCTTGGAGATCCATTTATTCTTTTACACCGCAGCCTAGATACTTCTACGTACGTTATACGACTGCTAATAATACAGAAGCATCTGCACAACAACTTACATATGTACCTTGGGATGGACGCAAGTGTCCACAGTGTTTCAAAACAAAACAACTGACTAGAAGACACTCTTATCACCTAAAGCGTAATAGACCACTGCCAAGAAGGCGACAACATTGAGGGATATCCAGTAAATATATCAATACCCTTTCCATAACAAGTAACCGCAACTTCAAAAATAACGGAGAACCCTATCTTCCCTCCAAAGAGGAGCGACTTCGGGGCAATTTTTATGTAATAGGGAGACTGCATCTTCTCATTTGCTGTTTTCGATGCCGACTTTTAAGATCACAAGAACGCCACGGCCCTTGACTAGGTCTAATCTGTGAGTTCGGCTCGTTAGCGTAGTTCGTTCTTGTACATATGCACACTAATTGAGATGTTTCTCCGGAGCTTTCCCGAGTAAACGTGAAGAACATGGAGATAGTTTGCCTCCCCCGCTCTCTGTTTCCCGCCTATCCTATATCAGTCAAACGAAAGAATGATATATAACAAGACGGTACCATCCCACTGATCGAGCATCCTGTGTAATATCCAACGCCCAGAACTCGTTCATAGATTTAATTTAATCGCTTTTTTGTGCCCTCGGGTCTTTATGATGGGTCTCTTTCTGCACCATGCTCTGCTCCTGGGCTTAGCTGCAGGCCAGGCTGCAGCCACCCGGAATTATACTGAGCGCTACCGCCCTCAGTATCATTTCACCCCAGAGAAGAACTGGATAAATGATCCTAATGGACTGCTCTTTTATAACAACCTCTATCACATGTTTTATCAGTACAACCCTAATGGCACGGAATGGGGTGCCCTGTCCTGGGGCCATGCAACTAGCACCGATTTGAGCCACTGGGAGCATCAGCCAGTTGCGCTTCTTGCACGGGGATATCCAGGCGAGATTACAGAGATGTACTTTTCCGGCTCTGCAGTTGCCGATGTGAATAACACAAGCGGCTTTGGTACGGACGGGAAAGTACCCTTAGTGGCAATCTATACATCTTTTGTGGGTGAATCCGAGCCCTACCTTTTTCTGATTTACTGCTAACGAATGTGTTAGTACCCCCAAGCACAACGTCTACCCAGTGGAAAATATGTCCGCGAGAATCAGCAGTCACAATCAATCGCCTACAGTCTTGATGAAGGCCTGACATGGACTAGGTGGGATGCTGGTAATCCTGTCATCCTTGACCCACCAGTCCCTTACGAAGATGAGTATAAGGAGTTCCGAGATCCCTTTGTATTCTGGAATGGACCAACACAGAAGTGGGTTGGACTGGTGGCTATATCCAAACAGCATAAGATCGCTATCTATACATCCGACAACCTGAAAGATTGGACGTATGTGAGTGAGTTTGGTCCCTTCAATGCTGTTGGTGGTGTCTGGGAATGTCCCAACCTTTTCCCTCTACCACTTGATGGCGATAATTCAAATGTGAAATGGATTGCACAGATCTCACTCAATCCGGGTGGGCCGCCTGGTACCATCGGATCAGGCACCCAGTATACTGTGGGAAGCTTCGACGGTATTACTTTCACTCCGGATGCAGAGAATATCTACCCAGATGTCACACCGCCGCCGGCTGATAGCGTAATCTTTGAGGATTTTGAAGGCACCGGTGACTTTAATGCACTTGGCTGGACTGCTACAGGTGGTCTGATAGGAGCGTCACCAGCCGAAGGAGCTATTGGCGACCAACAAATCGTGAGCGGATATATGGGCCGTCGCCTCCTGAACACTTTTTTGGATGGAGACAGTACTACTGGAACACTTACCTCCCCTTCCTTTACAATTTCGCACCGGTATATTAATTTCCTTATTGGTGGAGGCTACAGCAGAAGCCAAACATCCGTGAATCTTAAAATTGATGGGCAGGTAGTACGGACAGCTACAGGCCACAACAGTGAAAGCCTAGTCTGGCATGGGTGGGATGTCAGCGCCTTGACGGGGCAGACTGCCACTATTGAGGTTATTGACAGTGCGGATGGGGGATGGGGACATATCAACATCGATGAAATCTCATTCTCAAATACATTGGCACGAAGTCAGATCGCAAATTGGCTGGATTACGGTCCTGACTTTTACGCGGCCACCAGCTTTAATGGGCTTCTCCAGGACGAGCGAATTGATGTGGCGTGGATGAGCAACTGGCAATACGCCGCTGCCACACCTGAAGAGGTTTGGAAGGGTGCTTACGCTCTTCCGCGAAAACTTTCTCTAAGAACTATCAACCAGAAGCCCATGCTGGTGCACGAGCCCATGGGTGACTGGGCTGACCTGATCCAACAGGATGGCTATTCCAAGGCTTGGGATAAAGTACCCGAAGGGACTACGGCACTGGCTGTTTCGGGCCAAACGATGGAGATCAATCTAAGCTTCCCTGACCGGGAGGCAGCACCCGATGAAGTGGCCCGATTTGGCGTCATTGCGTTAGCGATGTCTGATCTGAGCGAACAGGTACAGGTCGGCTATGACTTCGCAAGCAAACAACTGTTTATTGATCGGACAAAGTCGGGCAATGTAACATTCGACGCAACATTTCCGGAAGTGTATTATGCGCCGCACTCCGCGGATAGAGACGGGAATATCAACATGCGCATCTTCGTGGACTGGTCTTCTGTTGAGCTATTTGGGGGGGATGGTGAAACTAGTATAACTGCCCGGGTGTTCCCGACTGAGAACGCGACTCATTCTCATATATTCTCCTTCGGTGGAGGAACTGAGAACGTAAAGATTCGTGTGAGAAACATTGAGTCGGTGTGGGCCTAAAATGGAGATGATGGAACCAGGAAAATGATGAACTATGGCAAGACGTGGGGGTGGCCCAGAAGACCCCACCACGTCCGAGGCATGAATTCTGAATACCAGATATTACGCTACGATACATGCCACCCACAGTGTACATAGAACTTTTAGCAGCTTAGAAATCCCACTCCTCTAAGTCCCATTAGCTCTTTTCCCAAATCCTTCCGTAGAATTGTAGGAATATGCTAAGCCTGGTTGTGATGGTGTTAGCCAAATCTTTTTCTGTCAAAACTAGGATTAGTAGGGCTCGGTGGGGAAACCTCTATCGTTAGTGTACGAATACGGGATGATATGGTACGCTTTAGTTCACGGCTTTTCTCAGAGAAGTAAGAAATCGTTCTCGATCTTAACGGGCCCGTTGCTCGGATCCGGTCCAAGATCTGAAGAGGGGGCGGTGCCTTGCCGATTAAGTCATTTTGCTAGGTTAGTCAGTCTGATTATCGCCACAGCTCCCACCGTACGGCATTTGGCTTGACAAAACGTAGGAGACTTATAGAATAGGAAAATAATATCTATGTAACTTATCAGCCATTGCCGTTTATCTACCGTGAGAGACAACTGTGGTTGACATTCCTAGCATCTTGCATCTAGGGAATCAAAGGTTCTACAAGGCCTGCGTCCTAACTAGTATGATTTGTTCTAGAGCTTCAATTTGCAGATATCGATCATTTCCATAGCCGGTGCAACCTCAGAAGCCCTCGCAGCTTCCGATTGGGAGGTGTAGCAGAGAGGATTATCTCGTTAAGTGAAGTCTCATCTTGTTATTAAAAAGTTTCCTGAACAATATTCAAGCGCCGACACAAGGTTCGATGGGAGGTCTTAGAAAAACGCAAGGCTCGCGGGGTGTCCAGGAAAGTAGGCTTGGAACATCATGATAGTGGGGTAGAGGAGCGCATGTTGACATTCAGATTCGTAGGTGGGGAAGGATGTGATGACTGCTCATTCATAAATAGCTATTCTCCATAGAAAGCTAGATATGGTAGCATTTCCAACTAGATCCAACTATGGGGGGAGAAACACTATCATACAAGGATTGTGTTGTGGGAAGTAGGCCTGCCTAACCACGTGGCATACAGGTCATCACAAAGGAAGGCCGATTCTACCATGCTTCTAATGGCAAGTGAGGGTGTTGTCACAGTGCAAGAACGCATCACAGTGAGCCCTCATCACGATATACATGTGAGTCGTGGTATAATATTAACCACAGCAGTCGCGGTCGAACAGCAGGAAGGTTGGTTATCTTAGATGGCCTTTGATGTATATAATGAGCTCCGTTTTACTCTAGAGTAGACCTGACACAATGCAGTGCTTCTCAATATAATGTAACTTTATATACATTTATTATAGTCACATATAGTTTGTATGTGAAATTGTCGGTGGAATTGAAGCCATATGATTTGATATCTGATCAAGCGTATATCTTTGGAAGCTTCATGACCTCGCTATTCTAGATAGTTAGGCAAATTATTTTATTTTTTCTATCACTCCCTATAGAGAGCCAAGACACGTTAAATGTGCCTGGAAATTCGTATCTCACCGACTCGAGTGACTGCCCGTCATCATGACCTGCCGTCACTGGCCACGTACCACCATGCTCTCCTAGTTCAACGTTCGATAACAAAACAGAGACCGAGAGGTAAACATACCACGCAGCCAGAACATAATATGTTCTTCGTGAACATATTAAGAATTCCTAATGGAATTGCTATAGGTATTACACCCCCTTCCTGAATAGTTTTGGATGGAAAGAAGGCGCGTCTGGATTTCATTACTCGACTCAGGGCGTCCTTTGTCAATTGCTCATAGCCACAATGTGTTACAGCCATGGCTGCAAGTGTACATTGTTATAATGATTGGGCAATTGCGTAGTCTTTGCGGATAGAAGTCTGCTCGGGTGGTGAAAGTTGAAGAGCACCATCTGCACGAACATCAGGACGCCGTCAAATACGTAGAGAAATACCTCGTGCCGAAGTAGGTAGCCATTATTTCCCTGGATATACTCAACAACTCGAAAAACTGATCGGGCCATGATGAGGATGCAGGCGGCGTACAATATAGCGAGATGCTTCTGCCATGCAAGCCCAGGTACAGCCAGGCGAGCAGTAACCATGTTTCGCATGCGCCAGTTGAAAATGGTCGCCGTGATAATGAAAAGACCGAAAAAGGCGACCTGGACAAACAAGCCAGCTATCACGACATCTTCGCCTAGTCTCATACCATTCACTCCGGTAACCATGAGGCCAGCACCTGATAGGTATGTCAAATCGGCCCAAGCAGCACGCGGGGGAAATGCTCCAAGGGATATAGCTTACCGGCGGCTTGCACAACGAACGACAAGACATCTCCAGAGACAAAGAATCTGGTTAGCCAATGCGGTCTCACAATGGCAAATTCAGGATGATTCGTGATTATAATAAGCCTTCCAAGGACCATGTATATGGAAGCAGCAAATAGGGCAGGAGCAACAAGGAGAAGGAGGCTTTGGAGTACATAAGGCCCCAAAGTCCAATTTGGTGTCTCGTAATGTCCAAGCGCACGGCCAATGTAGCCAACACACTCAACTAATAGGATAACATTAGCGCCTTTCTTCTCAACCCATCTCTCTCCTTCTCAGGGTTACCGAGATGCTGGGCACGGTAACGGATCTCTCACAGAAGCCGCCTATCACAAAGGGAATGAAACACCAGGTTCGTGTGCGCAGCGCTTGATACGTGTGGAACAGGGAGCTTATGCCGAAAAGAATGGTGAATATAATGGCTGCAGGTAGAGAAGGATCGTAGTGATAGTATGTCCAACTAGAGTCATCGGTCGACATGATGGACGTCTTTAGAATGCTGGGTCCGAGGAGGCTTGTATATAGCCCTGGCGGAAATAATTTTGCAGCTGCCTCCCCTTAAGTCTGTGCGGGATAGAGAGGGATCTTCAAGCTGCACAAATCAGAGCAATAAGAAATGGGCTGGATAGTTTCTCTGCACAGCCAAACAGTGCCTCTCGTACTCGTACCTGTCTGGAGGGCCGATCTAGCGCCCTTCATGGGCTTTTGTTCTTTTATAGATATGAGGCATTGTATGCATTGTATGGTTGGTTGAGACTAATTTTGGGGCTAGGAATGTTTCTACACTTTATTTGAAAGATATGGGTAAATATTTGCTTTTTTTGCATGATATCTTCCCTGTTAGCTATCGGCTTTTTAAGAATGGACTTGGCTTTGGCTGGCTATGCTGGCGCAGATATGGTGGGAGTTTTCACCTTCGTAGATCGCACCGGTAAAAGCGTCGCCCCGTATACGGTCCTCCGCTCGGCGTGGGCTCCAAGTCGGGGGTAGGTGGAACTACGTTACGCGCAAGTACATCGTGGCAGAGCATGTAATGGTATGTATATTCTCACGTCGGACTTCCTACAGGCCATCGGGCAGCGCAGTGGCATTATGCTACCTTGTCGACCCCCTGTCGATCGACTAAGCCTTGTTATTGAAATACTGAATATTACGGTATCGTATTCGTATTAGACTTTCTGCGGGACTCTCCGTGTAATTACTCGGATATACCCATGAATCATGAATCGCGTTAAACTACTCTGAGAACGGAGTCATGTCTGACTTGCTAGTCGTGCCCAGACCTTGGCTCCGTCTTGTTAATCCTCGTTCAATCACTAGTCCGGTCCGTCACCGGCGATTAGGTCCATGGGCTCCGGCGACGAATATTCGGCGTCACCTCCTGAACAAACTAGGAAAAGTATAACTGTGCCACCCCCACGTTATTCGACGTTATCCCGTCTTTTACGCTATAGGCTATTACGCTAGGTAATCACCTTATGTATGGTTCACTACATACAGTCATAGTGCCACCTCGAAACAGAGGTATGCTGTAGAAGACATAGGCCAGTTATGTTTCCACCAACAAAATCAATATTCGCTCAGATGTGATAGTCGTGGTCCAAGCTTCATACAGCAGTACGCTTATATATATGCATACCTTCATCCGTGGCGCCAACGTGACAGTTCGGGAAGAACAGTTACACGTCAACCGTCTCTGAATATGGGACCTCGAGAAGAAAAGTCTCAGGCCTTGATTGGGAAGGCCACGGCTTTTAAGAACACCCCCTGGTGTGATCAATACGAGCGAATGATATCTGGGATGATGTAAATGCTTTCATCTAAAATAAGATGGAACACTCGATGGGCGGAGTCGCGTCTTCCATACACCGCGCTGATCCATGGCCAGGTATAATCCCTTTGACCACCAACTGACAGAAGCTCGTTTCCGCGCCCGAAGACTCCTATCAAAGTATAATAGTGCTCCCATATCAGACGAGATGACGCCAGAGTATCTCAAAGCCGACCGGGACGCCATCCTCAGCCAACTCCTTGGTTCTGTCGGATCCAATGTCTATCTTGAACCCCCCATCTTTGTCGATTACGGCTGCAATATCAGCGTCGGTGACAACTTCTACGCTAATTTCCAGTAAGTCCGCTAGCGTCCTTTGGTCCGAATATACTAACCCGACCGGGCCTATAGTGCGACAATGCTCGACTGCTCTCTTATAACAATAGGTGATAGGGTTTCCTTCGGTCCGAACGTGAGTATCCTAGCCGCCACGCATGAAACAAACGTACAATCGCGTCGGGAGGGATTGGAGTTTGCACTTGAGGTCTCGATCGGCAACGACTGCTGGATCGGGGGTGGAGTCACTATACTGGCAGGCGTGAATATTGGAGAAGGGTGCACAATTGGAGCCGGCGCGGTGGTCACGAAAGATATTCCCCCGTTCAGTGTTGCCGTTGGGAGCCCCGCGCGGATTATAAAGCGAGCCGAGCCTGCTGCAGCAAGTTCCACCTAGAGGTAGCGTCCGATACACCCATTCTCACCTAGGTGGGTGCTAAATCTGAACTTGGCAGATAGGGGTGATATATCATGGCCTTCCACTGTTTAATATGAAGACCAGTGGGTGGAAAGATGAGGGATAATCGAGTTGGACTTTTTAGTTAAGGGTATCAATAATGTATGAAATGTTGTCGCTCTACGTCCTTGGGAGCCCGGGATTATTTTGCTACGTTCCGCTAGAAAAGTAGAAGAACGAAGCTCTTCTAGTAACTTTTTAAAACGGGTTTGAAGGCAGAGAACTGGTGCTGTATTGAGAAGCTTCTTAAGCAACTTGTTTCTGATGTTAACTATAAGGATGTACAAAAAAGCTAAATTCATTAATACTGTACATGGTACAGAGAATATCCCTCTAAACCACTGAATTCAGGACTGTGAAATGAATTTCTAGAATCAGTAGGAGAACGGACGACGTTGAAACCCTCTACAGCTTTGACTTCAATCTCTAGAAGATGGTAATAAAGCCTTTTAGTGTTGAAGCACATCTCAAGAAGAATACAATTTTCTAGGAGAGAAAAAAGAATCTACAACGCTTGTCAGGGTAGCTAAAGAGGAACAATGAACTATGAGACAGCGGGCGGTGGGGAAGAGAAGACAATTAATTGAAGAGCAAAAGAGATTAAAGGCCTAGGACAAACGAAGCGGAGGACATAGATACTAGGAAGAATGCTGCTAAATAGGTGAACTTATAGCTTCAAACTCATATCAGACAAGCTAAGAAGGGATAATGCGGGAATCTTTGAGTCTCGTACAACAAAGATAAGTATATCAATAATAAAGTAAGGAAGAAGTGGGCCTCCCCAGGAATTCCACAGTACACCCAAGATGAACTATACAGCTTCTTTACATCTGTTATTCTCTGTTACCAAATGGCCTAATCACTATCTTATTTGGTACGAGCCTTATAGCTTCACTTTTGCGGTAGCAGGTGGCTGAGAATCGTGCTTGTATGGGAATGTTGGCGAGGCACAATTCTCTTGTATTCAAGGGGCTGCAGGCGAGCTGTTTATCTAGATGGGTGACTAAGCAAGGCACGTGACTATACCGAATACGGTAGGTCTCCAACAGGGAACGTGCGTCATGTAGGCTGACCGTTGGGACGGGATAATCCCAGGGATTTCGGGATGGGATGGGATTTTGGGATTTTGGGATGGGAAATGGGAATCCCGTCCCATCCCAAAATCCCAAAATAATGCCAAGACAAGGATGGGAATCCCGTTTTTATGGTTAATCCGGATGGGAATCCCATCCCATTTTAAAATTGGGATTGGGAATCCCGTTTTGTGCGGTTAAACGGGATGGGATTCCCGTTCTAGCCCTATGTTTGGGATGGGATGGGAAACGGGATGCCAAGAGGGAAAACGGGATGGGAAATGGGATGCCAAGGATGGGATGGGATGGGATGGGAAATTCCCATTCCCAT